TCTATTTAGGATATATATTTTGTCATTTTTTTTTTTTTTTTTTTTCAATACTTCTTCTATGTCGTATTTCCACAAGTTAGTATTATTGTACACCATGTTAATCGTGTGTGTGAACAACTAAATAATTCCAAAAAAAAAAAAAAAAAAAAAAAAATATATCATTATTGATCTGATAATTTACAGGATTATCTATTCAATCCTTTTGACATTTCGTCCATTTCTGAAGAATCTTTATACATCTTATTTTCAAGCGTAGAAACAGTATACATACATGTTATTTCTTTACCTTTTTTACGTTTTTCCCCGTAATTGCGGATGTTAACCAAAGCTGAACCATGTTTTCATTCCTGTTTGGAGGTATAAAGAGAAAAATGAGTTATATACATATGTACACAAAAGTGTAAACAAAGATGAACCTTCATATATAGAATTCCTTGTCATACATTGCCCCTTTTAAAGAGCACAGAAAAGAAAGCATTTAAAAATCAAGCGCTTAAGCTTAACAAATGAAGCATATTAGTCTTACGCAAAATTTTCTGCCCGTCTAAATACCTCACAGTCCTCAGTTACCAAATCTGGTATAAGAGAAAAAAAAAATAATAATAATAAATAAATAAAAATAAAATAAATAAATAAATATATGAATAAATGTATGAATAAATGTATGAATAAATGTATGAATAAATGTATGAATAAATGTATGAATAAATAAATGAACAAATAAATGAACAAATAAATAAACAAATAAATGAACAAATAAATGAACAAATAAATGAACAAATAAATGAACAAATAAATGAACAAATAAATGAACAAATAAATGAACAAATAAATGAACAAATAAATGAACAAATAAATGAACAAATAAATGAACAAATAAATGAACAAATAAATGAACAAATAAATGAACAAATAAATGAACAAATAAATGATGTAAAATTTTTATATATTCACATGAGCTTGTCTATGCACCTGCTTTATTGTCTGTGTAGGAGATGTACATGTGCATACACGTAAACAGTCCTTATACATACACTCCTCATATGTGCACTTTAATTTCGTTTTTTTTAAAAAATAAAGAAAAAAGAAAAAAAAGAGGATTACCATATTTATTCCCGACAAGGGATATAAACGGTTTTAGGGTCTAAAAAGGGATACATAAAATTAAGAAATCGCAGAAATGTAGGAAAATTTTCTTCTACTGTAACAATGCACATTGTAATGTATACACATACGTCGAAGAAATCAGGAAAGCATTTTTCGAAATATGATATAATTACATAATATTGATCATATACACTAGACATGCTTGTGTAAATCATCTTGACGTATTCTAGAGTAGATTCGTTTGTGAGATCGAAAACTAAAAAGTAAGCCATCCTTCCTGGAAAAAAAAGCACACACACACATACATGTGTGTGTGTGAAGACTCATATTTTTATATTTACAAAAAGTTGCGAATTTTAAAGGTGGTACGAGGACGCCATCTTGCACTATGAAAAAATGGACAACATTTTAATGAACCTTCTAATACAAATGCACATTGAATCATTTACACTTTTTCTATCCATCTTTTAACCATAACTAATTGAATTATATTCGTCTCCCACTTGAAAAGGAATACTAGGTTTGTCAAATAAACTGAATACTGGATTTTTCATGTTTCTATTGTCAGTTGTAACTATGAAAAAAATTGGTGGATTCACATGCATGTGTTCATGAAATATACATATATTTTTGTTCATTTTTGTTGTATTGTGTAATGGGTTTTTACAAAAAATTATACATTTTAAGAGTAATATTAGATATAGTAATATATAATCGTGAAAATACACGTCATCTACACTTGTTTATAGTCGCCTAACGCGTTCACACATATAATTAATTGCATTTTATACGACAAAAAAAAAAAAAAAAATGATTACTTTCCTTTCTCAACATGCTGGTAAAAATATTCATGTCCACGTCAACAGATGTGTCTTCTATCTCAACACAGAATCTTCTTTTTTTCTCCTTGTGTACCTTGTAATATACCCTTCAAAGTGGTAAGAAGTTTATGTGTTAATGAGAATAGCATGAACAATCATATGCACACATATGTATATGAAATATTATGTATGAACTAATCTGAAGTCAGTGATACTTCTATGTGCTTAAACACACATCACATGTGCATTACGTTGGCAAATCTGTATGAATGTAGTTAGTGTAAATGTCATTATTCATAATGTAATTTATAAGTGAAGTTTTCCCAGTATTCAAATAACCCATAACAGTTAGCTGTAGTAAAATCATTTTTCATTTTGATTTTTAAAAGACACACTTGATTTAAGAAAATCTGTTGGATGTTAACACTTTATATGCCTTTCCTTTGAAAATGCAATAATTGTGTCTTAAGTAATTTTTCTCGTTTTATTTTAGTTTCGTATTATCAAATAACCTTTTTGTTCTCTTCTTATCTTACATTTATACACAATGAACATATAATGATTAAGCCATGTGCAAATGTCAGCATATATAATGCCAATTAATCTTTTCAAAAAACTTTTGTCATGGAGAAACTTTTACCAAAGTGTTAACTGATTTGGAGGTAATTAAAAATGACATATAAGATTTTTTCATCTTTTGAGTAAATTGTTACAATGATATTGAAAACAAGTGGACTTTATTTTTTTAAAGTCATATATTTGTACACACACGTATATGAATTTTAGGTCAAGCGATAATTTCCATTTTTTTTTTTTTTTATTTTGCCTTTTTTAATCGTCGCATTTTTTTTTTTTTTTTTTTTTTTTTTGCTATAACATAAAGCAACCCCTTGGAAAATATTCTTAAACCTTATTCACTATATATGCATTATGGAATACATGCGTAATGTTAAACAATTCTAAAGCAAAGATTGAGACCTTAATTTAATCAAAAATAAAATAAAAAAAAATAAAATACAATGTTTGTAAGAGTTATGCTAGTTCCATACCAGTCAAAATAAAGCACGTGCACACAGAAAATGCAAGTGCTAAGATATAAGAAAAAAAAAGTAACGTGCAGGGTTATCAGTGAAAGACAAATACTTTATTCCATGATCTGCATGTCCACAACACTTAGGTTTAATCCTGTGTGTTAGAAATGGCGACAGAGAAATTTCTTTTAATCCACTAATGTTACGATACTAAAACAAACACCACATTTGCACATGCAACTATTCAGGAAAATATAAAATTTTAAAACATTATACTGTTAGAATGTTTGATTGAGTAAGCGATTGTACACAAAAAGAAAAATAGAGTCTATTGCATGAAACAAAAAAATAACAACAATATTGTTTTTTGATCAGCATATTTGAACTTACCTTGCATGCGGTGTTTCATCAAAGGACGTTCTCAAAAAAATATCAAAAATAATATCAAAAAAAAAAAAAAAATTGCAAACCTCAGAACAAGCCTAGGGGAAAGCATGAGTTCAAATGTAAGCCATTGTTTGTGCAAGCTTATGTCTAACCCTACAAATGTGTTGAATGTGTACCCACTTACATACATTTCCATGAACTTGTAAATGCGTATAAAGCCGCTAAACAAACAACCACTAAAAAAAAAAAAATCATATTTTCACAATACTTTCCCAAATAACACTAAACAAAAATGATCACTTAAGAACCATTTCAAAATTTTAACAAAAATATGAGAGTTTTTTTTTTTTTTCATTTCAAAATAAAGAAGTTACCATGTATATTTACTTATTCGTTCTATACTTTCTTTTGCACATTTTTAGGAAAATACAGATGTCAACAAATTAATTGAGGTAAATCATGTATAGATATATATATATATTTTTTAATTAAACAGTATGTCAATCATTTATTGTATCACACGGATTGTATGTAAATCTAACATTGCACGTATTTGCGTGTGTCATTGGATTTACTTTTTTTTTTTTTTTTTTTTTTTTAACTCCTCACACCCCTTAAGGAAAGGAACGAATGGATAAAGAAGTATAAGACAATTGAATCTGAATGTTTAGAGTTGAGAGATAAGCTGGAAAAAGTCACTCCGAATAGTTGTGACAAAAATGAAGACTTGTATAGAAACTATTCAACATCCCAGAGGGACATTTCGATGAAGTACAAATATATGGTATAAAAAAAAAAAAAAAAAAAAAAAAAAAACACGGACACAGACACAGACATAGACATGAACAAGAATGTTTGTATTATTCATAGCAGGTTCTCATGCATGTCTATACCCAGAAACGTACAATATACCTTTTAATCAAACTTTGTGTTCACAAAATTGCAACCATCGCTTCGTCTTCTTATCGTAGGAAAACCAGTGTGAACTTCTGAGCACCAAGCTGAAAATCACCACACTCGAGAAGGAAAAAGAAACACAGAAAAATAAAGATTTACAAATTATAATTAACAAACAGAAGAACGAAATAAATGGATACCAGAAAATTTTAGAAAAACTAAAAAATATGAATGTTTCCTTTAGAAAGGAGAAAAATGAAGCTGAAAAAAAAATTTGTTCCATTATAGGAAACGATTTATTGACAAGAAATGATAATGTACTTCTAAAAGAAATAGTACTAATAAATGACAAATTAATAGATGTAAATAACAAAATAAGAGAAAATGTTAAAGAGGACCTAGAAAAGGCTAAAAGTAAATTGTCCGTGGCTCATGACAAAATTAAGCGATTCTCCGATGCACTTAGTGATATGAAGGAAAATTTTACGAAATACAAAAAAAAAAAAGAAAAGTTTTTGCTAGAAATTCTAACAATCAATAAACAACTAAAGGAAGAATTAAAAAAAAAAAAATTAATAGAAAAATACAACATAGAGTGCAAGAAACAGTTCGAAGAATTTAGTGCATCCAATGTTTTATTAAATTATTACGAGGCAAAATATAAAATGAACGACTTTATCCTGCACGTTATGTTACATTATGTCATCTCTATTCTTAATTCTCTGCATATGCAACACAAAAATAAGGATGATTTTAACAGTTCCAATGGAAGGAGTAAAAATTATTCGCTTTTGTGCACTTTGCTCAACACGCACGTGGGGATGAAAAAAAAGGAATCAGAAAAATACGATAATTCGGAGATCTACCACGAACAAATGAATATACTAAAGAGAGAAATTCTTTCAGATAATTTTCCTCAAAGACAGAAAAAAAAAGGAAAAATGGTTCGATATGAGGACGGAGAAATTTCTAGTGAACATGATGATTCGTTAGAAATGCTTGTATTCACCAATTTGAATGCATCAACAAATATTGTGCATGGCATATATTACAACATAAGACTTGTGAATGAAATTTTCGAAACAGTAAATATAACCTTAATTCTTCTATTATACATTTATGATACTTACTTAAAGGAACTAATTAACAGTATCAACCAGGAGACATGTTTCCAAATGGTAGAAAAAGGAAACGTACGATTTGGTGCATTTTTTTTAATAACTCTCTCTAATTTTTTTTTATCTGTACTAAAATATGTGAATATAATTAAAAGTTCAAATAGACATGCACATTTCTTATTATTGCAAAATGAAAACATTTTTAGCATATTCTGTTTATGCAAATATGTACTAGAACAATATATAGAAAAGATAAAAATTAAGCTATTCTCATCTACGATTGATTATCACATATTAAACGTTTTGAATAACAAATTGGGAATACTGTACGAAGATATATTTAACCTCATTATGCATATAAATGCAGGGTATGAAGAAAAACAAAATATGGAATTTTCTTCTTCTCTCGTATCAAAATATGACATCAATCAAAGGAGAACAAAATTGCCCAACGATGATGAATCAATAGAAACAAAAATGATAAATAAATCCTCTAATGAAAATACAGATGAGGGGCTATTCAAGGAAGAGAATTTCCATCACTTGTCTGAGAATATTACTTCACTTGAATTACTAACCAGATTGAATCTTACCATGAGTATTAGCATCCTGTTAATTATAGATGAAGATGTTTACTCTGCTTTAATTCCAGATATAGACATTGATATACAAAAGGAAATTATAACAAAATGTGAAGAGTTGCTAAAATTAGTAAAAGCTCCTCATAAAATAAGCAATTTTTTTTTTCCCTTAAAAAAATATAAATTTTCTTTTAAAAATTTTATAGTGCATTCTGAAAAGTACCAAAAAGTGGTTATAAAAAGAACAAATAATGAGAGTTCTATCGAAGGGGTAGGAGAAACAGAGGGTTCAATCAATAAAATAAGTAACAATCTATTAGATGAGATTAATAATATACTGGAAGATGCAACCAGAATATACTCAATAGATGTACAACAAGAGGGGGAGCCATATATATTTCAAATTTGCAATAAATTCGTCGATTTTTACAAAGACGAAATGAGTAAAGAAAAACAAAACGTACATCAACAGAAAGCTTTAGAAGAAGAGCAAGATAATCTCATAAAACAGTTAAATGATGAAATCACAAAGAGTAATAGTAAAATACACATTCTCAACAAACAGTTAAACCTACTAACCATAAGAGAAGAAAAATATAACAAAATCAATATTGATTTGAACACTTTAAAAAAAGAAAAAAATGAATACCTAAGTTTAATCACAGAATTACGGGAAAATAAAAATGAAAATTTAAATGAAATTTCTTACCTCACAAAACATTATAATGACATGAAAAAAAAATACAATGACTTGTTAAAAAATTATGAACACAGAAAAAAGTACATTGGATCAAACAAACAAATGGAACCTTCTAACATAGATATCTATTACATGAAAAAAATCATAAATCATCTATACTACGAAAATTTTATGAACAAAGTAAATAACTATTATGATTTGTATGTCCAAACGGAGAATAACTATCATAATGAATTATGTAATACCTCCACAATCGATGCCTTTCAACCTACACCATTGCACACGGCATTGGGTCATCTACCTTTTGGACAATACGCACAGAAGCGAGAGGACATAAGTCTTGCATGCAAAAACAATTTCAATCAAAAAGAATCATTTAAAGATGATGTTTATTTCTCCAATGTAAAACATGCAACCTTATATGATGATATATACAACTGTGAATTAATCAAAGGTCGAATTAATAGAAAGAAAAAAGACTATTTTAAAAGCAAATTATATCAAAATAACACCACCTTACAAAAAATACCTACTAGTAACAAAAAAGAAAAATATATGGAACAAATAATAGACATAATAGAAGAATATAAAAATTTAAAAAATGAAATATTCAGCCAAATGATAAATATTCCAATTGGGAATAATCACATTTTAGCCGGAGAAGAAAAAAAAAAGGATCAACAAAATTGGATACGCCTCACTCAAAAATTAGCTCAACTCAAATATGCCTTAAAAAAATTTCATACCGAAAATGATTTAACATTGTTAAATGGGGATCCTTCACATTCTGCACAAAATGTACTCAGTATTTCCTTTCAAGAGGAATCCAACAGTTCGTGCAACACAATAAATCAGACTAATCATATATTTACAGATTTGCACAATCCAACTAAACTTAACGAATACCAAAGCTGCAACAAAGTTGTATTAAGTGAACAGTCCTTTTCTCACTTACTTCAAAATATGTTCCATTTATAAAGAAACTGAAGAAAAAAAGAAAAAAAGAAAAAAAAAAAAAAAAAAAGTGCCCTCATTTTTTCTTCCTTCGGATTTTATACCTAATTTTTTTCGTTCATAATTTGTTCGGATTTCTCCAGGGGTAAATAAGTTTATATATATGATTTATGTCCGACAGCAAAAATTCCTCGTTTGTTTTATTTTTATTTTATTTTCTTCTTCTCACTGATGTGTGTGTAACTGTTTTGTTGTAGTCCTATTTGACAAAAAAATAATTCACCTATAATTGTTCACAAGTATTTTGTTCAACTGGAACGAGGGCCTTATTCACAAGGGACCTACACTTGTTCTTCTCTCATAAATATGTTTCTTTTCACTCATGATAATTTCTAATTGAGGCCAAGGAAAAGGAATTAAAATATAGAGATTCATTTTTACTCACCTATTAATTCATTCGACGATTTCATTATGTTTATTCACTTAATTTGTTTCATTTATATATATATATATATATATTTTTTTTTTTTTTTTTTTTTTCCCTTTGTGTGTTCCTCGCCTAATTCCCTAGACCCCTCTTGCGTGATCCACTTTTCTCATATCATATCATTTTTCATCATTTTGTATTTCATCATTTTGTATTTCATCATTTTGTATTTCATCATTTTGTATTTCATCATTTTGTTTTTCATCATTTTGTATTTCATCATTTTGTTTTTCATCATTTTATTTATTATTGTTTTATTTGTTTATTTATTTATCTATTTTTATTTATTTTTCCTTTATTTTATTTTTCACATGTGAGGAGGCACCACTAGGACGTGGCTTGTACCAGAGCTGTGTACACGTCCCCGCTTAGCTACTCAAAAGAGGGAAAAGAATGTATTCTACTTATTCGTTTATTCTTTTGCTTATTCATTTATTTTTTTTTTTTTTTTTACGTATTTTTTTTTGTTTATTTTACTTATGTTTTAATTTAGTTTAATTTAATTTAATTTTTTTTTTTTTTTTTTTTTTTTTTTTTTTTCCTTTTTTTTTTTTTTTTTTTTTCTTTTTTTTTTTCTTTTTTTTTTTTTTTTTTTTTTTTTTTTTTTTTTTTTTTTTTTTTTTTTTTTTTGCTTATTTCACCTTTTTTTTTTTTTTTTTTTTTTTTTTTTTTTTTTTTTTTTTTTTTTTTTTTTTTTTTTTTTTTTTTTTTTTTTTTTTTTTTTTTTTTATTTTTTTTTATTTTTATTTTTTTTTTTTTTTTTTTTTTTTTTTGCTTATTTCACCTATTTGTTTGTTCGTTTTGCTCATTTATTTGTTCATTATATTCTGTTTTATTTTTATTATTATTATTATTTTTTTTTTTTTTTTTTGTGACACTTTTCATAATTAACAGAATCGTTATAAGCCGCACACCAATAATTAATCTATTCATAAAAATTTAAACAAAGAATGTACATCTTTATCTACATTTTTCGTTCATCTCTTATGCCCGCTATCACCATCACCACAATTACAACTTGTGCCAACTTTTTATCACCACATCCGCACAAGAGCACGTAACCACATAGGGAGGGGAGGATAACATAAATAGGGAAAATTTTATTTTCCAAAGAATGTACAATATATTGTATCAAACGAAAACAAATAAAACGAGCGATAGTAAAATTGTAAGAACTTTACAAGCTCAAACGATTGATTAGATATTACAAAATCTCTTTACAGAAGAGTTCAAATAGTACACAAAATTGTGAAAGACATGTCTCATTACATCATGAAATACATACTCTTTGCCCGTTGCTTTATCTTACATATGAATAAACATCTGGAATTGTAAAAACGGAAAAGTGGAAAAGCCGCTAAAGTTTTTTTTTTTTTCTTCCCAGTTGGGTCACCTTCCTCCTATGAAAAAAAAAAAGGAAATAACACCCCTTTTGAGCCATTTATAAAAGACCTGTTCTTCTTCCTTTCTTCTTTCCTTTTATTTTATTATTTTTTTTTTTTTTTTTTTTATAAAAATGAAAAAGAACAAACTTAATGTTTTATACCAAAGAAATGAATCAACCAGGCAGAGGAGAAATTTCCTTTTTCTTCTTTCCATGAGGAGGAGGTATGAGAATAGGAGAACGGTTGCGAAGGAAAATGACAGCACGCATTACGACACAAACGAAGAGAAAGTACATGAATGTAGTGATAATATTGAAAAAAGAAACGAAAGACATAACGAAAATGTTAATGATATGCCGAGTAAAAAACAAGAAGATATTTTAAAATATTATGATCATAATAAAAATGTTATAAGGACAACAAATTATATTTTAAGAGAACATTTAAATGATATTATTTTCATCAACCAGAGGAACCTTTTTTACAGTTATTTTTATAATGCATATCCATTTGTTGTGAATAAATATATGAGTCAGATAAAAGGAAGAAAACAAAAAAACGGTTTGATACAACAAAAAAACTCCAAGGAAAATGATAAAAACATTGGACATGAAGATAGCGGGATCATACCACCCACGCAAGTGACTAACAACTCATTGACATTCAACAACAATCAAGAGATGAATCCATCTTTAGGAATTTTTCATTATTATAATACAAACACGAAACATGAAATGGAGGAGGATAATTTTATACACTTAATTAGTCAAAAGGTAAATTGCCTTAATAGTGCAAGTAAATTTTTAAAAGATATAAATGACAATTTTCATTTGGCTCACATGAAGAATACAGACCTTTACAAGCTAGGCAATATTTTTCAAAACATAATTGAACGAATAAATGATACAAATGACATAAATAAGAAAATTGAAATTTTGTTATATCTATCGAATGTATGTAATCCGCATGTGTTTCCAAGTATATACGCAAATGTAAAAAAATATATACAAGAGATTTATGAACATATAAAGAAAAAAACAAAAAAAGGGGTAGATGAATCATACATTTTATTCCTTTTATATAAACAATTTTTATCAAAAAAAAATGATAAATATGTAAATATGAATGTAGAAAAATACCTATCAGAAGAAATCTCTTTTTATAACTATTTAAAAAATGAAAATATAAACATTTGTCTGTTAAGCTTAATATATCGTGATTTATCGTTTCTCAAAAATTATCAAGCAAAATTTGTCTTGATGAATTTGGCTTTTTCCAAAATGAAAAATTCAGATTTTTTCACCAGAACGGACACTCCAACAGGTAGCCAAGCTACCAACACCATCAGCAGAATCAGAGACAGTAACAATCAAGAGGGAAGCAAAGATGGACATTTGTTCAATCCAACGAAAGGGAATGCTCATGTCAACTTGCTACTAACATTCTTCTCGAATACTCTTTTAAGAAACAATTTCCTTCACTTTTTGCAAAATGATTATATAAATCTTGCACAAAGTTCTATAAATTACACAAATAGAGTAAACCAAACAAATGTAAACAATTACATACTCTACAATTTAGTAATTTCTATTGTTCAAATGAAGGCATCACAATCTTTATGTTACGAAACGATTTTGAAAAAAAAAATGCACTTTTTTCTGCAAAATAAGAAAAACACCATGTTATTTCATCAGATATGTAAAATGAAAAAGGATCTAGATCATATGAACGATTTTATCCTAAACAATATTATTTTCTTTACTCCAAATTTTGTAAAACATAGAATAAATATACCAAGGAATATGTATTTATACATTCTCAATATTTATTGTGACCTTTTCGATATGATGAAAAGTGTAGAACTTTATACAGATATTAAAAAAAAAAAACATATAATTAATGACAGTAAAAAAATTATAAATTATATAATAAATGAAATATATCAACACATAAATATGTACACACTTAAAGAGTTTGTTATTTTATGTGCAATGATTGATAAACTCCCCAGGAACTTTACTTTTGAATTGAGGAATGATAATGATCATTTGTCTCATAGAATGAAAAATAATTTGTATAAAAAAAAACAGGATGAAATGGAAGAAGCACTAATAGGTGAAAGAGGAGGAGTAGGAGGAGTAAAAGCAAGAAGTTCCCACCTGCAACATATCTTACATTTTCCAGCAAACCAAGTCATTCAAAAGAGGAGTAAACAAATTGCAGAAAAAAAATATACTACCCAAGATGAACAAAATCGACAAGAAAATATAAAAAGAGATGTTCGTGGTGATGATTTATCCATATGTAATACTACCCTCATGTCAAACCAAAAAACAGAGGATGATATGTATGGAAGAAACAAAATCGAAAATATTGCACATACGAGTGAATATATTTCAAACAAAAATGTGGGATACAAGATGAAAAAAAAAATGTCCATAATTAGTAAACACGATTTTACCATTATAATATCTCTTTCTATCTTCAACGAAATTAATGATAATTTTATTTTTCAGATAAAACAGAAAGAATTCCATGAAACGAATGTGACGCCTCTAAATTGTGATGACATATTTGACTATGTGTACAAAAAACATTATGAACAATTTTTGAACAACTCAGATTTTTATATAAACTTTGTAACCCAAAATTATGACTCAGCAACAGTAGAGAATATTATAAATTACTTTATTTTTTGTACACACATAAACCAATTAGATATGTCTGATTTGTGTGTCCTGATTAGGATTATGAAGCAAATAAATAAATTTCATTCATTCATAGATTTCTATATGGCAAAACGAGTAGAAAAAATGCTGAAGGAAGAATATTCCAGAGGACGTGAACAAAATCTGATTGGTAATGAGACGGAGAAACGAAATTCCTACGAATTTACAGACACTTATTTAGATGAGTATATATCCAAAATTAATGAAAAAAAAAAAAAGGTAGATCAGGATATATTTTCAAATGCGGAAAATAATAATAAAAGTATTACGGAATCTGAAATCTCAAACATGTCATATGTTTCACAAAGGATGAAACATTTTGACGAAATGAATCTAAACACACATTCATTATATGCAGCAAATTTTGAAAAATATTACTATGATTATGATATTTGCAATACTGCTATAAATATGTTCCTATCTCTACATCCAATGAGCCAAACCAGACGTGTCATCTCAAATTATCATCCATACTTCACTCATAACAAGGTGAACATTTTTAAAATTAACATGGAACATTTTTTTGTAAATGAAAAGGATTCAATGGAGAAGAATGAAAACAGTCAAACGTTTCACGAATCCTATCACAACACATACACACGGGAAGCAAACATAGAATTCTCCAACTTGTTTCCAAATGAAACAGGAAAAAATAGCCAAATGGTAAATTCTGAACAAGAAAATTATCCATTTGTAAACTCTGAACATGAGAATTATCCATTTGTAAACTCTGAACATGAGAATTATCCATTTGTAAATTCTGAACATGAGAATTATCCATTTGTAAATTCTTCCTTGTCTAGTCAGAGTATGATAATCGACAATAACAACTACCCATTTAGTGATGTTCAAATAAATAGTAATCTCAACTGGAAAAAAAAAGTAACAATTTATGATCACCCCTTTGATCATGACTTAATTTACAACATTGTAGAAGAGAGACTAAAATATAACATTAATGTGAAAAATTATTTATTAAATAAAATGAATGAAAATAATGAAGAGACAAAAAATTTTCTTGAAAAAGAAGTTCTATCATTAAACAATATTGCATGTTTTATATATTCCATAAATACAACAAATGATGATATGAAATACATGAAACTTTTGAATCTAGCGTTAAAAGATATAATTCTAAGCAAACACGAAATTGTAGATATAAAAATTTTTAGAATGATAACAAAAGTTCTTGTTGATATTAAAAATGTGTATCAAAATATTTATTTCCCCTCCGAATATTCTTACTTAAGCATGCTAACAAAACATTATGTACAGATCATGCAAAATTTTTTTCCTTTTTTTAAAATGTCAGATTATTTTCAAATCATTCAAATTTTTATAAAATACAATTTAACAGAAAATTATCTAAAAAACTTAGTATCTTTAAATAGAGAATTAAATAAAATGAATATGAAAAATTTTAATATCAATCTGATTCACATTATATTATATTTTTATACAAAATTAGGTTATATGAATGAAAAATTTATTTCTAACATTTTACAAATGTATGCACATGCAATGCTTCAACAAATAAATAACATCAACAAACATATTGTGGAAAATCTTATCAAAACAAACGATTTATTGCTTTCTTTATGTATCAAAAATAGGGACATTATACAATTAAATTATCTGCTTATACAGCATTACAGCGACTACTCTCGCGAATTTAAAATTGATGACTATGTTGATGAAGGTGATGAGGCACGATGCAACACACCAAAGAAGGAAGAAAATAATCTTTTCAGTCATGGGAATAACATGAAAAATAAAGATGTTTCTTCCAAATCGTTTGATGTCAACAACAACAAAAGCATGGATAGACACACGGAAAATACTAAATTTGTAAAACAAAATGAATCTGAGGAGGATGTAGCAAATCAAGACCTGTATGTCAATTTTCGCAATGAAAACATTTTTGACGTAAAAAAAAAATTAATTGAAACGAGAAACTCATCATCCAATGTATGGTGGACACATAATAACCATAACATATGTTCCTCGAATGACAGACCTACAAAGAACAAATGTGAAAATAAAACCTCAGATATAGAGGGAATAAAGGAAAAAAAAGAAATTACTACAAGTACAATATTTACAAAGAAATGTCAACTTTCCCTAAAACAGAAATTGAAAATTATGTACTTTTTGTGCAAATTTCATTTGTACAATGACTTGATAAAAATATATTATTTACAATTACTAGACCAATGTATAAAGAACAAAAATGACAATCTGAATGACGAAGATTATTGCAAATTGTACGAAATATACGTACATGTAATTCTGAATTTTTATTTTCTTTCCTTTAATAAAAATAATAAATATATTAATTTTGTATTAAATAATTTACCATGTTATTATTGGTATAAAAGAGAAGAAGAAAAATTAAATCTGTTTATTTCATCCAAGGAATTTAATGACATTCATCTTATTTTAAAATTGTTAAATATTGATTTTCTTACCCCGACATTGACAGAAATATATTTCATTCATTTCTTTAATGACATCAAAAAAACAAATCATGCTTTAGAAATCCCTATAAACGTTTTACATTTATATAAAAAGTTCAATTTGCTTATTGACGATGTTAGGAGTAAAAGCATTTCTATATTGTGTGTCCCGGAAGAGGACGTCCTATGGTGAGTCAACAAAATGGCATGTCACGCGATTGACAATTCGTATGTGCATTCTCTCATTCAGACGTTTGCAAATCGTATGACTGCACAGAAACTGTTAAAAATAACCGCGAACAGTCAAAAATAATCACGAGCAGTCAAAAATAACCGCGAACAGTCAAAAATAATCACGAGCAGTCAAAAATAACCGCGAACAGTCAAAAACACTTACAAAGCTCCACACAATCATGTATATACCTCCCCCCGCTCCACCTTTTTAGGGACGATAATGGAAATAACAGGATCCTAATAAACGAAAGCCATTATGTTTATGAAAATATTAAAAAAACGTATGCAACTTCTTTGTTATTTTTAAGCGAGGTAAAATAAAAAAACAGACAAATTAAGAATAATTATACTTATATACATGTATTTTTTACCATAACTGAGATAATAAGAACACTAAGTATAATACATATGCAACATAAGTTCATGTATAATATTAATCACTAATTTTTTCTACATTTGAGAGTGATGTATATTTCTCTATGTAAAATAAATGATGTGAATATTTTAACAATAATATAAAATTGGAAATGTTCATTTTTTTTTTTTTTTTTTTTTTTTTTTTTTTTTTTTTTACTCGCATATCCCCCATTAAGTGGAAGAAATTAAATACGGAAGAAAAATGCGAATATATCTTGCGTGTTATCCATTCATCTTTAAATAGTTAAAAGGAATTCCCTCTTTATTTACCCATGATATATTTCCTGAAATCTGTAATGTGTTTTTACAAAGTTTTGAAAAAATTCGCATTTCCATATAATACGCATGTATATGAAAAAAAATTAACAGACACATATTATATGGATACATTTCACGCGTTTTCTACGTTTTTATTCTCCAGAGAAACAAGCTTTTTCTCGCAACATGTAATATATGAAGGTCATACATTCTACCGAATATTCGTGTCTTTTTTGTTTCTCCTGTTTTATCTTTTCCATTTCGACTTGTTCTGCTGTAGGCCCTCCCGCAAAAAAGGCATCAACACACCTGCGTATATTTTTGCATTGTTTTGTGCATTTAAAAAGGAATTAAAAAAAAAAAAATTTTCATATGTGCGTTTTTCCATATGTGCACTTGTCTATATATCAATATGGAGCATATGCACACACGGCTTATGGACTCTCTCATTTGATAAACTGAACAAGTGATAAACACACTCCCCAAGTGGTGACCTGCGCTCATCCATCTTAACAGGCTTCTGGTCTAGAAATGTAAGCCGCTTCATAGTGTGCAAAAACAATTTTCTATAATTCTTATATTTTGCCAACTGTGGGAAATTCGGGGTGAGGAACATGCAGCATGCAACGTGTGAGTAAAAATGTTCAAAAAAAAATGAGTGCAAAAATTAGCAGCTAAAAATGAGTGCAAAAATTAGCAGCTAAAAATGAGTGCAAAAATTAGCAGCTAAAAATGAGTGCAAAAATTAGCAGCCAAAAATGAGGGGAAAAAATAAGGGAAAAAAGCACCAATTTAAGTTACTCATGAATTGAACACATCAAATATTCAATAGGGATAAACGTAGACACACAAACATCGAACCAATTAGTAAAAAAGCAAGGGAATGTTTTTTTCTTTTTTTCCACGGTTTCGGATGTGAAGAAAACGATCCATTGCAAAAAGGATATGCTATTCTAATTGCCAATGGTACAGGAATATATACATAATTATGGCAGATTATTCAAACGCCCGCATTTAGAGAATTACCATAGGGTTATTCATGAAATACAAAACGGACAAATTTTTCATGTTAGATAAATCCTTTAAAATGTCTTCATCGATATTATTGTTGCTTAAATTCAAAATACTTAAATTTTCATTTTTGCATAAATTTGAAACGTGTGCGGAACTTTTACTTCCTAAGCAGTTGTTACTTAAGTTTAAATCCTCCAATAATTTTAAATTTTCTACAAAAAAAGGAAAAGGAAAGTAATTTCTTCCCCAATGGATGTTCACCTCTCGGTGTGTTGGTATTTTCTTGGAAAATGGAAAAAACGAAATAAATATTTGTGAATGTGTATAATGAAAATGTGTGCGAAAAATTACCCAAATTTTCTATCATACAAATGTTGTTGTCCTCTAAATTTAAAATTCTCAGTTTCGTCAAGGAGTCCAAATTCTCGATCTTGGAAATTTTATTGCAATTCAGATATCTTTTCGCGCAGCCAAAAAAATAGATTAAAGTGGAATAAATATGTAGAGGTAAATGCAGAATACATGCAAAAACTTTGTTCTTCTTCTATGCAGAAAGTTTCAAATCTTAAAGAAGCAAATGTTTCATTTCGAAGACAGAGAAGACACAGACAAACATAAATATTCACTAACAAAGCAATAAGATTCACACAAGAGTCCAATCCGGAGATAATTTCCAAGGCTAAAAAAATTAAGCATGTGTTTAAGCCACGTGTTTACGACAGGTTCAATGCAAGAATCCTGAGTTTACTGGCACATTTTGCTGGCACATATATGGGGGACTATACAATTAGTGCCTATAGGTACATACGGAACTACTATTGATCTATCCGCTAAGAACACTACAGTGTTAATAGCTCTACTTCTCTCAATTTTATCTTCCCCTCGACTCATGTTAAAACCATTATTGTTCAGGTAGAGGGTCCTCAAGTTGTGCAAATTCCTCAAGGTTTCTATCTTTCGGTACAATTTATTATTTAAGTAAAGAACGTCATTCAATTCGATTATGGAATAATAGGTCTCATTTTTCTGAATGACTCTATCAATTTCTTGGTCGTTCAGTATATACTCCATGAAGTAGTCAGATGAATTAAAATTATAACGAACTTTTACTTTCTTATTTTTTATTCACGTTACATGTATGGTGTGTGTGTGTTGGGGGTGGTGGTGGTATATATGCCTGGTGTTTATATGCATATACTTTCCACACATTAAATCAAGCGCAGACACACACAAAAATGTTCACTTTGTCTTAAAAGTAGACAATAACATTTCTATACAGATATTGTATACTTTTTCTATTCTTCTAATTCATTGGAAAAAAAAAGACAAATTAAACAATGTGTAAAGTTTTTAAAAAAAAAAAAAAAAAAAAAAAAAGTTAAGATCTTTTAAAATTATTAATAATAAGTAAAACGATGTTATATCATTAAAGAAAAGGAATCCATGAAGATGCTTAACATATGCAAGCTTACATATCTCTATACGAATGTGGATATATAACAGTATATAAAAATGGTAAAAAAAAAGAAAAAGAAAAAGAAAAATTTTGTAATGTTCAGAATGCTAAAAATTTGTAAGATAAGGGAACGGCAAAAAAAAAAAAAAAAAAAAAAAAAATATACATATATATATATATATGTATATATAAAATTTAAATTAACTCTGTAAACTATTAAAAACAAACAAAATTGTAAAAATTAAAGGATTCATATATATATTTTTATATTTTATTTTCATCCTTGCACACATAACTTTTCTTTTGTGTGTTAATCTATATGCACATATTAGCAAATAGCAATTGTGTCATCATTATGTTATATGTTTTTTTAATAAAAATTAATTTAAAAAAAAAAAAAATAATAAATTAAATATATAAAAATATATAAAAATATATAAAAATAAATGGACTACTGAAATTAATTCAAAACATATGTATTGTTGACCTTCCAGATGTTTTCTTCTTTCTTTTTTCTATAAAACAGGGCCAGTCATAATGAGACGAAAAAAAAAAAAAAAAAAAAAAAAATGTGTAACTATTGTCTATATTTTATATATTTACTAAATAGCGTAAATGTACATAATTTTATCTTCATTATTATATGTTCTACTAACATAAACACAAATAGCATTAACACAATATGTACAGATACGTTGAATTACCTTTTGGACATGTTACTCATGAGACACTTTTTGTTTTTTTCTATTCGTTCAATAATTTCAAAGGTTGTTATGCCCTATAAGGTGGGAAAAAAAAAAAAAAAAATATTATACATCATCAGACAGATTATATAATCAATTTTTGTATTTTTCATTGCACTTATGTTTAAGTACAAATTTCTTCACAAAAAAACGAATGAGAAACAAAAAAAAAAAAAAAAAATATATTCTCGTATATGTCAAGCAGGGAAAAGGAATTTCATCCTAAAAGGTGTGCCACATCCCATGTGAAACATTTGCATAACACATTCAGCACGTACGAAAGAACGTTACAAAGGGACAATACCACTTACACACACACAACCTAAATACTCTCTTTCGATTCCTTACCGATTCCGAGGAAAGTTCTTTGTAGATATTCAATTTCTTCGGAACAGCATAAGGGTCTAACTCATTACTGGAATAAAAATAGTCAACAACGGTTCCTCTAACCACAATATCAATCTGAAAACGTTTAATAAAACTTTCACTGATAAGCCATGGGGCACCTATGACTACATCGTCTACTACCTTCATGGCTAATACATTCAAAGTTCTCTCAAGTAAAGACACAACAGGGAAGTATTTTCCTTTCATTCTTCGTACAACATCATCCGAATGCATACCTACTATTAAATAATCACCTAATTTTTTGGCATTCTCTAATATTTTCAAATGCCCAATATGAAATATATCAAAGGATCCATCTACATATACTACCTTTTGCCTTGTTTTCTTTTCATGCTTTCCCATAAATTGATACAACTGTGATGCGGTTACGTAGCATTTGTTTTTACTTAAGGCATGTTTTAAACTGGACATTGCATCAGATGCTTTAATTTTATTGTCTCCTGTTCCTGCAACTTCAGTAGGAGCGCACTGTTGTTGCTGTTGCTGCTGCTCATCATCCAGTTCTATCGAATTCGTTTTACATTTTTTAATAAAATTACTTTTTTCACCTGTACTGTTCAAGCAATTTCCATTACTTAATGTACAGGCTAATTTGTCATCCTCGTTAATGTTAAGGTAACCCGTATGAATATTCGCGTCTCCCAATACATTATTCGCCACCACATCCGTTTCTAGTGCATTTTTATTGGCACTATTAACTGCCTGTAATAAATGATTAATTATAGTAGTGCTTGATATACCGTAACTCCTCTCAAATATTTTTAATTTATTATTTTTCTTAACTTCTTCATAACAACAATTTCCATTTCGATCATAAGCAATGTCACTTCCATGAGCTGCGTAATCACAATTATATTTTCCTAGCAATTCCATATTAACATTATATTTTGTACCTATTATAACTTCATCTACCCATTTACATCCAGCTATTAATGCACCTCTTTCTTCTTGTGTATATATTGGCATAACACCCTTTGAATTCAGGGCATCTTCATCTGAGTTTATTCCAACTACTACCACATCACCTAATTGTTTGGCTTGCCTCATGGCATTAAAATGTCCTGAATGTGATAAATCGAAGATTCCATCAACATAAATTCGTGTTGCTTTATTTTTTTCATTATTCGATGTATTCAAATCTATATCGAATTCATTAATTTCTTCTGAACTGTTAGAAAGGGAACCGCTAAGGTCTTTTACTTCTTCATAAGTATTACTATTATTATCCTCCAAAAGATTGTTATGACATCTATTTACAATTTCAGTATGCTTGATCCTATTACTAAGAGAAATTTTATTTTGGTTACTATTATTTCTACTATTAATATTATTACCCCCTCCTCCCTTGTCCTTTTCATTAAGTTTACTACTTACACTTTCGTCATTACTAATATGATTCAATTCGTTTAAAAATATACGCAATGTTTCCTCATCATCTTTTATATTGCAATTATCACATATCTGACATATCAGATCTAATTTGTTGCTTTTATTTATGCTTTTTAGTAACCCCAGGACCTTTTTCAAATTCCCATGGTTATAAATTGTATTAACTATAAATTCGTTCCTCATCATGGCTACATGTATATGGATATGCACTATCGTTTAAATTTGCAATAATGCAAAAAAACTCACATGTATTTTATGTATGTATGTATGTGCATGTGAATATATGCACACATGTACACTAATACACACTAATTATGTGCACTTTTTTGAATTGTAAAATACTTATTCGTTACAACTCTTGTGAAAAAACACGCAGTTATAAAAAAGTACATGAGTATGCAGCCGTTCTAGAATTTTCCCGAGAACAACAATGAAAAAAAAAAAAAAAAAATTCTCAAGTAGGAAATGTCAGATATAAAATCAACATGTGAAAAAAATTAATTATTTTATGAAAAATGTTAATTATCTTATGAAAAAAAAAAAAAAAAAAAAAAAAAAACATATCCTATAAAAAAACAAAAAAGAATAATCTTATGGAAAAAAAGAAAAAGCATATTGTGTATGCTAGTTTAACATAGTATAGGTGTGTACAAAAAAGCGTATATTGAATACATGTCTTTTCGGCACAATCCGGTTATATATATATATATATATTATCGAAACGTGTTTGAATACGAGAAAAAAAATAAAAAAAACAGACAAAAAATGCTGGAAAAAAAAAAAAAAAATAATAATAAAATAAACTACGGATCCTTTAGAAGAAGGTAGTTAATCATTTCCATTTCTTCATACATTGTGTATTTGTGCTAATGTGTTTATCGCCTATATACAATAAAACATACGTCATGTGTATATATATGCATAGCATAATTTTTATGCCAACATATACGAATGATCTCTATGGCAAATCATACAGGTAAAGTAAAAATAAGCAAGGGGTAAGAAACGACGATGGGAATGTATAGTTATTACATAAACGTAAAAATATAAGTGTTTGTAAAAAGTGTGTAAAAAAGTATACTTAAATATACATACACTTTGGTACGCGTACAAATACAACATATGTATATATATATATATATATATATATATATATATATATAAGTACATATGCAACATTCATTACATATATTTCGTCAAATGTCGCCTGACGTGAAGGTGTACTACTAATACTAATTACTTCCGTTTCAATAGAAATGGTATTATTTTTCTAAATTCAAAATTTCTAAACATGAAAAAAATTTAGGGATGCAAATTGTGTGATTGTGCATGCGTGAAGTTTTAATATTTCTAAAAATGAAAAGAAAAGAATTTGCAAAAATGGGAAAGAAAAATAAGCAAAAATAAAGTGCGCAAACTTTTCAAAAAAATGTGCCATAATGTAATAGAATAAAATGGGATGAAATTAACGTGCTGGATGCAAACAGAAATTGTTGCATTTTACAAGTATACATTTGTTTTGGTGTTACATGCATGTTCTCACTTGTGCATGCGATTCATATTTCTGCATGATGTACCAAAAAATGAAAAGAGCAAACATAAAAATATAGGAAGGGGGAATGATGCAAATCTAATTCCAATCGTTGCGCTAAGAGCTTGGATATATAAGAAATTGTTATTCTTGTAGAAGGCGTGCACTGGTACATCTCGTGCTTATGAATAGACATATGATTGCATGTGAATATATTTGCGTATATATATATATATATATATATATATATGTATGTGCTTATAAATATATGCATTCTACAGTGTCCCTTAGCTAAATATAATAATCATAGCACATCGTTTTCGTAAATGTATTATTTCACAGTGATGAATAGCGATATGCATGTTTTGTTTGTATGCTCCCGTGTACGTTTACAAGCATAAATGTAATGGAACTTTCTCAAGATCACTTTTGTTCTATAAACAAAAAAGTTCGTTCTTCCTTATGCTTATTCATTCTTTGCATAGTCACATTTCGCCACACGCACATGGTATGGTGTTAACGAGGGAAATTCCTACTTAAACCGTCTGACGTATAAATGCCTCTTAAAACAAATGTATAAAGTGTAAGTATGCATATATATTAAAAAAAAAAAAAAAAAAAAAAAGAAAGAGAAAGAAAAAGAGAAAGAAAGAGAGAAAGAAAAAGAGAAAGAAAAAGAGAAAGAAAAAGAGAAAGAAAAAGAGAAAGAAAAAGAAAAAAAGAATCAAAATGAACGAAGCGCAAAGAACGAAACGATGTGAAATAAATAAAGGGGAAAAAAAAAAAAAATGTGCTATTTCATATATACACAGGTGTGTCTTATAAAATTTCTGAGGCAACAAAAATTTCACGTAATTTTTTTTTTTTTTCTTTTTATAAATTAACGTAAATTTTTTTTTAAAAATAAAACAACATGTTTTAATTCTAGTTAAATGTGGAAGATGTTAAAATAATATGCAAAAAAATATACGCAAGTAATATGTAAATGGACGTCTATTTGTTCATGTGCGAGGGTATATATATATATATATATAAGTATATATAATAATATAAATATTATAGCACTTACGCACATAAAAAAGGAGCACATATATTTGTAAAATCTCCACGTGCGAAGTCTGTGGGGGAAAAAATATATTATACTAATTTTTTTAAAAAAAAAACGGATTATGTAAATATATATATATATATGTACGCATTTGCACGTATATATATTATGCATTGACTGTAAAAATTATAAATGTACCCATGTGTACATTTGAACACGTAACATTATATATATATCAATTTGTTACATATATGGCATTACACACCAAATTTCATGTAACAAAAGTAACATGTTGCCATCCTGTGTAACTATATATATATATTTGCATAAGTTTATATTCATACTACGTAAACTCTTTGCAAAGGTTGTAAGTACAATATTCTGGTTTCGTTTATAAAGATTAAAATAGAAAAAAAAAGAAAAAAAAAAAAAAATTAAAACGCGAAAAATTTGTTATTTAATAGTCCCTTTCTCCACAGTTCTCATAATTTTAAAAGCAAATAAATCTCATAAAAAAGTACATGTACATGTATATATATATATATATATATATATATATATATATATATATATATATGTTTATTATACATATAAATATAAATTCTGTACTGCATAATTAAAATATGCATGTTTATATACTTTTTATATTTTTTTTAATGAAATGTTGTTACTCTTTAAGAGACGCACAGTGATTTTTTTTTTTTTTTTCCTTTTCAATGAAGAAGAAAGCATTATTGGATATAATCCTAGTATATTTTGCTTTATGGTTGCGCATCGCAAATATATAAAGGCATATATATATATATATATATATATATAATTTTTACGGTAATTACATTGTGCTATTTATATATTAGTACCATGTACACTACTTATGTATTTACATGATATTACGCCCCTATTTATTAAAATGAACGCCACCATAATAACGGAATTTATACAATATACTTTTGCAACAGCTTAACAATTTTTATTCTAGAGATAAATTTTTACCATTTGTTCCTTTTTTTTTTTTTTTTTTTTTTTTTTCCTATTTGTAATAAGTAATTTTGATGCTGTGAAGTTGAAATATGTGTTTATCTACTGATATATATATATATATATATATACATTCCTACAACAAATATACTTGAAAAAACCAAGGTCATAAACAAAATGGGAAGAAAAATATGGAAAGCATCAATTTACATATATATAATGTGGACGCTCGGATTGTCGAGCCCCTAATAAATTGCACTGTTTTTATGCTTCACCTACGATGTTTATATAATGGGAGCAGGCCTGACACCTCCTTTTTCCTTTTGTTTCTTTTCGCAAAACAGGTTACTAATAAGTACGTATACCCAACATGCAATCAAACAAACGCGTAATATATATACTATATATATTTATAATAACTACGTAGAGTAGTGATTTTTTGTTAGCATTTTTTTTTTTTTTTTTTTTTTTTTTTTTTTTTTTGGAGCATGCAATGATAATATGTGCTTGCGCGTTAGTGTACCATTATGGTACTTATAAAGATAATCTTTTTGCGATGTTTTTTTTTTTTCTTTTTTAAAAGGGAATATTCAATGATTACAAAATAATGTAGAATTGTGATTTCTTCATATAATTCTTAAGTACAAAATCTGCGTCCATTCCTGAGTTAATTTTGGATTGGTGTAACCCATTTTAAGAAAAAAAAATTAAGTACTATATATATATATATATATATATATATATATATATGTATACGTGATCGACATGCCCTTCTTGCTGTGGCAGAAATTTACTACTCTAGGGGCAAATATAAAATTTAACAGTAGGCAAACGGAATGAGACGAGATGAGTTTAGGAAAAAAACAAAAATAAAACATTACATTCTTGCTCTACTTCATAGGGCCAAAGATATTCATAATATTTCTTTACATACATCCAACTAATTTGTAAAAAAAATATATATTACATGAGAGATATATTACGCTTACGCGTTGGTCATGAAAATGTGGTATCGTATGTCTCCTTGTTGATATAAAAACACATCTACACAAAGATACGACGAATTATAGCTTGTCCTAGACTGCAAGGGAAAGTAACGATTGACGAACCAATCTTGGTACGTCAGAACATATCTACCACCATAAAAATAAAAAAATAGAATAAACATAATGATCGCACAAAACCTGCTAACAGATTAATCATTGTTTTTTCCGTGACATTAATTCCAATATGCAAAAAAGGGATAAATTATAACCCACGACTTTTTTTTTTTTTTTTTTTGCAACATTTTAGTCCTCCATTTTCACACCATGAAAAGGAAGAAAAGTTACTTCATCACTTTAAAGCCATAATGTATAAAAGAATCCAAACATTTTTAAACCCATCTTTACTAATGCCCATTTGAGTAAAAAAAGTGGAAAAAAAAAAAAAAATTATATCAGCATTGGCTGTATCAAGTATGCATGTTTACGTATTTCAATGATGATAAAAGTGAATAGTCTGAAAAAGGTGTATTACATATGCAAACGCTTAATAATGGACTATCAAATGTGGTAAAAAAAAAAAAAAAAAAAAAAAAAAACTAAATTAAATTAAATTAAATTAACGTTTCAAAAGAGTGTAGGACACTGACATGTTTACTGCACTGTTCCCCGTCCTTAATGCATAAAATGCTCATTTTGGTAGCTTTGTTCATTTTTCATTTATTTTTGGTATTAACCAAATGAGGACAATTAAATAACGTAATGAATATACAATTTGAAATAATGTATCAATTTATGAATGAATAGAATCTTTTCAAAAACAAACAGTAGAGATCCCCTAGTGTTATAATTGACATGAATTCCATCAATGTATACGTGATTGCGCGTCATATACTCCAACTCTTGAACTAAATAAAAATAATTATATTATATCTGTTTGTGCTGCTTCATATATGTACCATTTCACAGATTAATCTGTCTTATGAATATATTCGACTCGCAGGAACAATTTCTCCCTTCTTGAAATTGTAATGATGACCTATATATGTGTTGTAGGGCGCATATATTTGGGTGCACAAATGGAAGTCAAAAAATGCAAAATAAAAGTGCAAAAAATGTATAATAAAAAAATAATTTGAGTAGTCCACAAATTTGCAAGTGCTGATTCAGTCAGACATACAATCAGGGGTTATTGATCCTCCGATCGATTCCAGATTTGGGCTCTTAAAAAGATAGAAAAATAGCAATAGAAATAGAAATATATGGGAAAATGAAAGTCAAGAGAAAGCTATGTGAACATCGCAAAGTGGGGAATAAAGAGATAAAATAACTCCATTTTGGCATAATAAAAAAGGAAGAAACTACAAAAGACTCCGTTCATCCATAGATGCAGTTACATTTTAATATATATTTTCAACTCATTACTAGCAATTTCCTTTTACGCTCCTTTTTCTTAAATGAAAGATGCGCCTCTTCATAATCCTTTCCTATTTAACATAAAAAACAAAAATATATATATATATATAAAATGACACCTTTTGAAGCATCTGTACTTTTATTTTTGTGCCTTCAAACATATAAGACAAAATAATAATTTGTCTTCCTCAATTTACCGGCTATTAGAAAGCCCATCTTTTTTACTCTGCCCTTAGGAGGTACTAACATATTTAAGAAAAAACAAATTGTGCATGCATGTAAGAGTGATTTTGCATACAGGGTGCATAAGAAATTTTAAGAAAAGATGAGATTGTGTTTTACTTATTTATTTATTTTTACCTGAACAAAGGGTTGCCCTATCACCTTGTGCCTTCTCATGACCTAACTTTCTGTTATAATTCTGGTGCATGGGACGAGAAAAAATGAAATGAGGCATGTGTACCTCTGATACACATATATATACAAATGAATCATCGCACATTGAGCGAAAGAAATGGATTCTATTGCGTCTGCAAAATCTACTTTATTGTATTACAAATACTATGAATTTACACTCAGCGATTTTGTCACATCTGCTCAAGGGTACACAGAAAAAAAAAAAAAATAAAATAGTAATTAAAATGGTAAGAAAAATGGTAAGAAAAATGGTAAGCAAAATGGTAAGCAAAATGGTAAAGCAAACTAATAAAATAAAATGAAGGCATTCGCATAAAACAAGGCGTTAAATGAAAAGCGTTCTTGTAACATTGAAAAATGCAGTAATATATAATTTACGCGTGTTTGCATTTGTTAATTCTGTGGATTCATTTATTTTACTCATCCGCTGCTTCCTTGGGGGTGGTATCTTTGGTGATTCTCATCAAGACGTGTTCATCATCGCACTCCTGACAAGACACAATAAAAAAATGCAGACATGTTTTCTCTTGTTGTCGATCATGGCCTATAGTGTCTAGCTGTTCAATTCCTTTTTTCATTTATTTTTTAAATGTGTTAATATGTATACATATATATATGTTCTGTTTTTTTTTTTTTTTTTTTTTTTGCTCTGCTTTTCAAATAGGATTTACCCCTGTTATATTCAGGGAAACTTTGAAATTCTTCATTTCCTCTGCCACAAGTTAAAACAAAATAGGTACACGAAACGAAAATGAGAATAGAAACAATAGAAAAAAAAAAAAAAAAAAAACGAATAATTTATATGGCATTGATTTCCAAACACCGCTTTGACAAAACCTTTTATGTGATCTCCCTTAATAGCAACAATCTGCATACAAAAAGGATTTTAAAAAAAAATGAAGGATAAAACAGAAAAATAAAATTCCTTTTAGATATCACACAAAAACACAGATAAGTTATCCTATTTGAGTGAAAAAAAAAAAAAAAAACTTCGCATTACCCAATACTTCCTTGGGCGAGAGAAAACCCATTTGTTTCCTTCGAAAAAAAAGACATACAATTAAGACATTCCAATAAATAGTTATATAAAAATGGTAAGAAACTGATGCATAAATTGGTAGTATATAAATATAACGCAAGAAACAAATAGAAAAAGGGTTAGGGGCGAGAAGAATTAATAAAAAATAAATAAACAGACAACCCGAAAAGGAATAACTATATATATATATATATATATGTACACATTGTCACTCTACGAATCGAATTCTCATACAAGGTAGTTTTCACACCAAATCGCGTAATAATATCACTGAAAGAAGAGTTAAATTTTTTTTTTTTTTTTTTCATAGTCATATAAAATATACTAACAAAGATACAGATGGTTGTGTAAATACCTGAACAAACCCAGTTAGCCCCTGTAATCTTTAGCTCCTTCTCATCTTCGTAAAAAATGGAATTTCTTAAAATCCGCTTTGGAGAATAAGAAACAAAATCACATTTTTCCTTGGATGCACATATATCTAGAACTTTGCTCAAGTTGAGAAGTTTTTCCTACAAAATTGTTTTTGTAATTGGATTATTGAAGATTATATATGCAAAAGGGGTGTAGGAGTATCACAATGGTATGTGCAATTCCACACTTTCGACATTATAGCTAATCAAAATTCTCAATAAAAAAAAAAAAGTAATAAAAAAACTTACCGTGCTGGGAGCTAGAATAATACTTTCCCCTTCACAAAACTGAAGATAACCATATGGAAGAGATTAAAAGGAACACATATAGAAATGCAAAAATGAGAAAATGTGTGTGACATTAAATAGATGAAAGCAAAGAAGAAAAAATATAAAAGAAACAAAAAAAAGTATTTACAAAAAGGAGATTAAATAATAAAAAAATGTCAAATGGTGTATTGATCATGAGAACTGTATAAAAGCAGTTTTTTGGAGAAAAAAAAAAAATAAATAAACTTTCTTTTTGAAAAATTGTCCAAAAGGAGTGTAAAAATGTTTGGTGCGTGTACGTACATGTGTGTGTGAGAAAAAAAAAACTGTGGAAACATACAGTCGCATATACTCATACTCTCACATGTACACAGATATACACAGACAGACACAGATATACACAGATATACACAGATAGACACAGGTAGACATAGATAGACACAGGTATACATAGATAGACACAGATAGACACAGATAGATACAGATAGACACACATGTACACACAGGTATATATGAGACAAGAGCATGTGAGCATGTCAGGACAACTTTAATGACGACTTTTTCGTCAAACCTTTTGTGAATTATTTAAGAAAAGAAAATCTGAAAAGTGTTCTTTCACCTCATTTTCTGTTAGTGTCTTCGTTAGCCCCAGAGTGAACACTCCTTCAAAAGGAAAATCGTTTGGCAAACTGTGTGGCAATTTGTTTGGAAAATCATTTATGAATGTTAAGTGAAGAAACTCTTATAATTTATTCATAAGGGAACTTTTGCCAAGTTCTGTTTCTCATTCTGCATGACCAAACACAAGGACTCTCTAACTACATATACATGCACATATATATTTCACTTAAAATTTTTAAGAGAAAATGCATATTAAAAAAAAAAAAAAAAAAATGCAATTTGGACAAAAACAAGAGAAAAAAGAGATATAACTAGTAAATTTTCCTTATAGTTCATTACCAAACAGATTTAGAATAAGATAAAAGACAACAGAAGAATTCTTCTTCATTTTGGTAAACAGTAACTGTGCAACCGGGACAACAAAAAAAAAAAAAAAATAAAATAATATAACACAAAATATAGCCAGGAATAGCAAGATAATGCATAATAGGACATAGTGGGACAGAGTAAAATATACGCATACTACTGTTAGAAGGATATGTAACAATCCCCACAGCAACAAATATACATACACTACATTGCAAACAAGAACATGAGTCTAAATTCTCATTGAATTATCCCAAATGAAAATACAAAATTATATGAGAATAAAAATGCACATCGTGTACGTACACAGTCATCACTTTACATCCCTATGAATATCAACAATGAGCTTTTTCAATTTATTCCATTAGACATAACCATGGAAAATGTAGCTTATGAAAATTATAACCCTTACGAAATTGTTCATTTTTAAAAAAATAAAATAATTTTATAATGACATTTGCGCGTTGTTTTACACTCATCATGTTAGGAAAAAAATGGACAAAATTGAAAAAAATTGTGTCGTCTTTTTTTTTCTTTTTTTTAATCAATTCGTTTATGTGACCAGCTAGCCAAATGAACACCCCTGCAACATTCCCATTTTTCTTAGCATTTGTTTCAAAAAAGGAAAAAATAAAAGTACAGTGATGATATTTTTATAAGAATAGAATTCTATTTTTTTAATTTTTTTTTATTTTCTATTTTACACTTTAGCGAAACCTTTCTACAAATTAAAAAGACACATTTTCATTTCACAAAATCCTGAAATTCGTCTTATATATTGCACAAGAAATATCCTCCATCAGATAGCAACACTTTTATCCAATTCACTGAACCAATTTGAGGTCATATATTTTTTCTCCGAAATATTCTCACGAACTTGCAAAATATATGCGTTCGTGGGGGAGGGGTGGGGGGATTCATTAGTTAAATACGTTTAAGTTAATTATTTTCTTTCTCTTTATTTCGTTCTCTTTTTTTCTTTTTTCCCTGTGCGTTAATGCGAACATGTGATAAACAAGGGTGTGAACAATTCTTCTGTGTTCCTCTTGACCGTATGGTACATCATTTAATTATTTATTAAATAGAGAAAAATTCCTTTTTGTAAATTAACTGAATACAAAAACCACTTTCATATATTTTATACTCCACTAAGTGATGGCTACATGGAGAAAAAGAAGTAAACCGAAACACCTTTTTATTTTACTCCTTTTTTTCGTTGTATACTATTGGTAGACAGGCGCATATAATTATCATACCTTTATTGTAAGTGCATAGGGTGATTACAAAAAAAAAAAAAAAAAAAAAAAAAAAGAATTATACACTCGCAGAGGTATTACTTTCTCATGCACATTTCCTAGACACTTGTTCTGTTCTTTAATTCGAATTTTTTCTTGCAGTATCTTTAAACTTGCACAATACTCAATAATTTAAATGTGTCATTACAAAGCGTAGGACAAAAAAAAAGAAAAAAGAAATTAGAAAACGAAACCAAAGTGTTTATACGTGCCAATTTTTCCATCAAAATAGGCAAACAAATTTTCATGATGGAAAACATCGAGATATATAACCTTATCATAGTCTTTGGTTAATACAGTTGTTTTTCTTTTTTTCTCTAAACATTTATATGTGATCTATATTTGATAAAATGAGATAGAAAAATATTAAACCTACACCTCCTTTACAATGATCATTAAATGTAACATTTATTTCCCAAAAAAAAGAAAAAAAAAAAAAAAAATTGATATTCTAAAACGTGTAATGTATATATATGTGTACAAGCACAATGCAGTAATCACACCTGTGTGTACATACTTTTGGATGTGCCTGGAAAAAAAAAAAAAAAAAAAGATCTACAGTTTTATCACGAATTCCTAATTAGAATTTAAATGTACATACAGGAAAAGCTTAGCCTTCCATCATATATGAACTAATTAATGTACTGAAAATATCATTATCATCAAATGACTGGATCAAGAATTTTATCGAATTATATATCTAATATACATATTTCCTAACTCAAGTATGATGAAAAAATAAAAGAACACGAAAATAAAATAAATTAGGAAAATAAAAATTATGAGAAATAAAATGCACACTATCGAAAAAAAATCTAAATTATACAAAAAATCATATCACGCTAAATGTCATATGTATAATAGAGGTTAATTCACTTTAAAACATAACACATAAAAATGTGAAAAAGCTTGGAAAATAGCAATTATGTACGAAAGGTGAAAACTACGTGATCACAAGGGTTTACTCTACAATTGACTAAAAAAAAAAAAAAATGTGCTAAAAAAGAAACCAAGCCCAAAAAGGTGACAAAAAAAAAGGTTTGAAAATTGGTGTGATTACTTCAAAAATTTATTTGCATGTAATTTTCTTTTAATCAGCGGGGGAGGAGAGATATTTAAAGGAACATATTTATATATATATATATATGTACATGTGTATTACATAGAAGAAAAGAATTAAATAAGCTCGAATGAAGGGGTTATTTACAAAAAAAAAAAAAAAAAAAATTTAAAAAACCCAACAAGGGCTCCCTAAAAAACACAAAAAAAGTAATACAGGTAAAGAGAGTAAGGTGAAGAATATAGAGTAAAGAGTGCAGAGCGGCTGGTGCAAAGTAAAAAGTGAAGAGAAAAAAGTGCTGGTTAAAAAGCGACGAGTAAAACGTGCAATGTAAGGAGGATAGGGATGTCGTGGAGTAAGCACGAATTAAATCGTAGAGAGTTATGTATGGAATTCTACGTATGCACATATATATATGCATCTAGTATGTATACTTATGTATCAACTGTACATGCATGCATGTACCTCACATAAGAACACATGCACAGCACTTACACTTTTCGTTTTGTTTACATGCGCTTAAAGTTTGTCACTGAAAATAAACAAGCCCCCTGAGAATATTACGTTACTGTGTAAACATTCGACTGCGCATGTTTGTGCATGTATGAACATGTATGTATTTGCATAGTGAATATATGTATACTTACTGTATATATGTATATATAGGTGTATGTATACATGTATATTTGTGATATACCTTTATATATATACCCGCTTGGGCATTTTACGTACCTATGAATAAGCACAATTTGACGCTTTTTACTTCCAAATAGAACAATAAATAAATAAAAATAATTAAGCAAGCAAAAAGGTGATATAGTAAAACATGATGCAAAATTAAGCTTAAAAAAAAAGGTAAAAGAAGCAAAAAATAAAAGCAAAAAAAAATTAAACGTCCAATATAATGAAAAAAAAAAGAAAAAAAATTTGAAAATAAGAGAGAAAAAAAAAAATCTATAGAATAAGGAAAAATGCATTTTTAAAATAAACCCCCTTATTTTTATTTTAGTTTATGCGTATTTTATATTTTTATAAGAATTCAACGAAATTTAAAAAAAAAAAAAAGAAAAATATAGAGGAATAGAAAAACGAAAACTACAATCAAAAAAAAATAATTAAAATATATTAACAAAAGGATAAATCAATAAAGGAAAAAACAAAAGGCAAAAACAAAAGGAAAAAACAAAAGAATAAAACAAAGAGAATAAAACAAAGAGAATAAAACAAAGAGAATAAAACAAAGAGAATAAAACAAAGAGAATAAAACAAAAGCGTAAAACAAAAGAATAAAATAAAAGAGTAAGATTTCAAAAAGGGGAATGAATTGAACAAATAATTAGTAAACAAATGAACAAACGCGCAAAAAAAGTGAACAAACCAACAAGCCAAAAAGCTAAATAAACGAATAAATAAAAATAACCTAAATAATAAGGAAAAAATAATGAGAAAAAAATAAAAAAAATTGGAAAAAGCAAAAAAATATATAGGGAGGAACTCATATTTGAAAACAGCAAGGCAGCAAAAACGCGCAAAACAGGTATTAACCCAATGCATGAATTATTTTTTCCCTCAGCGAGAGAAGCAGAGAGAGAAATAGATAGAGAACGCTATTATATACATTACCTCTGTTGCCATGTATACCATGTACCTACGTATATATATATATATATATATATATATATATATATATATATACATATATAAACATTATATACACTAGTACACCATCCATATATATACATAAAGCAATAATCTCCAGTTCTCTCCTCCCCTTTTCCCTTCCGAGACTAATGAAAAATTCGCAAAATATGTAATGTTTGCTTGCAACCTAATCATCAGTGCGTAACGATGCGTAGACTGTATACATACGTGTATATATTCCCTTTACTCACACTTGACATATTTTTTTTTTTTTTTTTTTTTTGATTCACCTGAACAGATATAATTAATTAGAGAAGCACACCAAAATTGATTGCACACTTTATCAAAGTTCCCGAAACCACGTTTTATTACCAAACGTGTATGCAAAAAGTTTAAATATCCCAATAACAGCACAGTTGTAAACAAAGGCAGTTTACCTTGCGCCCCATATAAAAACTCACGTATATAAGATATCCAAGGAAATCATAAGCTGAATAGATTATTTATATCCCTTTATTTTCACATATACGTACATATATTAACAGACGCATCAGATACGGATTCATCAAGAAGCCAAAATGGAAAATGAGAAAAAAAATAACCAGAAACAAAACAGCATTGATGAAAATGAATTTCCTAACTCGAAAGTTTTGTTAGTATCAGTCAAAAGAACTAGGAGATTTTTAGAAAGAACAGCAAGAGAATTGTTAGCAGGTGGGACTAGATATATTATATTGAGTGGTCTTGGTGATGCTTTACCATTGTGTGTACAATTACAATCTTCTTTACAATCAAAGAATGCAGCTGTTGTAGTTAAAATTGAAACATCCTATAGTTACTTCAATTCTAATTATTCCTATACTCCTGGGTTAAAAATTTATATGGAAAAGCATCCAGATTTTAAAGGCTCAAGAATATCACCAGGATATGTCAGTTTTCATGATAAATCTGATGATTTTACACCCATTTTCGATGAAAATCCAAATGAATATATATGCTCTGTCAATGCAGGAGACAATAATTTATATGTTGGTGGTGAAGGAATTAACGGAGCTTTTGCAGATATGTTGTCTGAATTTGGACATGAGGTTGATAAATACGAGGACTTATTCAAGGTAAGAAATAGAACAAAAAAAAAAAAAAAAATGAAAATTTAAAAAAAAAAAAAAAGACACTCATATCTTTTTCAACGATGAAAAAAAAAAAAATAAATAAAAGGGGTGAAGGGGGAAATCACACCATAAAACACATCGTCTGAGAAAGTGTGTTTCACATGTGTTAAATTGTGTACATGCAGACGCTCCTACAGTTATGAATTATTTTCAGACAATGGATTCTTCGAATAATATGCGTTTCAGACCATACAACATTGCACTTCCAACATAAGTATATCTCTTTCAAACATTTTATTCGCTCCATCACCTAACCTTTCCCAACAGGAACTTTTAAACAAAGCTGTAAAAGAGAATGCTGAGAAAACAGATGAAGAAATCAAATCGGTTGTATACGAAAATGTTGAAAAAAAATATCCAGATGTAAAATTAGCTTTATGCAGAACCCGAAACAGTTTAAAAAGAGGTAATGATTATACAACAGGATCTGTTTTTATTGTGACGTTCAAAAAAAATTATCCACATAAAAAAGAAAAGAACATGGGTATGGTTTATGTTGTCGGACCCAAAGGAAAGAATTTCGGTGCAGTGGAAGAATTTTTAGAAGCTGTTCATGAAACGGCAGAAAATTTAATGACAGCCTTGTGTGATTACAATGGTTTAGTGAAACGTGAAGAAATTAAGCACGTAAGAATGAACACTTGTAGAATCTGCTTATTTTCAGGAAGCATATACAAGCATGTTAATGCATCTAAATTAGATGTAGCAAAAGCTATCTTGAATGGTTTAGCTGTTGGATATAGACACGGTCCATCCCCAAGATTAAACTTTGCATATGATGAAAATGTATTTAAAGATGCTTGGATAGAAACCACAGGGCTTCAAGTTTTTAGCCACAACGATAAAGAATAGACAAACAGAACACTTAATATCGTGTGTATTGTATATATATATATATATATATATACACACATGCACAGCTGTGTGTGTACGCATAATTACCCATGTGCATGTGAATCCGCATATAAATTTTTGCACAAAAAAAACTAGTGCATGCATAGACGCATACATATATGGTATACGTACGTGTAAACACAAACACTCACTTGTGTTTTGTTAGCGCTCGTTTATTCCCCTCACCCCCCCCTTATTTCAAAAAAGGAAAAAAAAAAAAAAGTAGAAGTAATAATGAGCCTAGTTCTTGTTTCTGTGCCATATATATATGTACATCTACAGTAGAATTCAATTTACATGCTTGTAATGTTAAGATAAGAAAGAGAAGGGGTGTGAATAAGAGAAAAAAAAAAAAAAAAAACGAAAAGAAAAGAAAAGAAATGAAAAGAAGAAAAAAAGACGAAAAGTAAAAGGTAAAAAAAAATGTAAAAAGAAAATTGTCCCATGAAAAAATATGTACAAAAAAACACCTCTCATGAAAAGATAACCGAAAGACGGGAGGACTCCATGTGCAAATGTGTCGCCCCTCTATGTGATATGCGTGTGTGTATTTTATGGGTGTATGTAATACAGGTTCTCACACATAATATGTACATATATTATGGACCTTGTCAAGTGTACATATATATATATATATGTATACATGAATATGTACACCTATGCACATATGTATATTCAGAAAGACATTAGGGAAGACAAAAAAAAAAATAAAATAAAAAAGTTACGTTGTCGCAACGTTTGCTACGAGAAATGAGTGTGATCTTATTGTGTTCATAATTAATATATATAAGAAAAAAAAAAAAAAAAAAAAAATTCACCGTTATTGCATAACACGCTCACAATTCAAATTACACAGATATACATATTCACAGATTTTCCTACAATCACATTTCAGCAAAATTATTTTTTTCATACTTAATATGTAAATACTTCTTTCATCTATTATTATTCCAGTTATTATTATTTTATTTTATTTATTATTATATTATTTTATTTATTATTATTTTATTATTATTTTTTTTTTTTTTTTTTTGCCATTTCGTTACTTCTATATAAAACATTTACATATTAAAAAAAAAAAAAAAAAAAAATCAAAAACAAAAACAAAAAAACACTTCGTAAGTGTTCTTATTTTTAATCCTTATAAATAATTATTTTGATAACAAATCACATTGAAATAACAGTACTCAATCCTCTTTTGTGTAATATTCAGCACAAGGATGTGAAAAGCTTTATCGAGTTTACACCGTCTATTGATAATTCAACTGGTATGCCATTATATAATATAACCCCCTTGCTCCTCCCACTTATCCCAAACTCGTTTTACTTCTTCACTGAAACATCCCGAGAATTATTTTTTAAGTATCCATTCAGCTAGTACTATGCAAATCTCATGTGGTATATATATATATATATATATGAGTTCCTTCCCCTTAAGAAAAAGAACATTAAAGGAACAATTTGACACATGCGCTCTAGGATAACACAAAGGACGATATACGTCACCACACTTGTGTACACTTAATGTCTACTTATATATATATATATATATATATATATATATATATATATATATACCTGACCCAAGGCCAATCAAAAGAAACAAAAGAGTTGCGTGTGATGTTATATATACACGTCTTCAAAAGATGTATTTTTTTCAATTTAGTTAATTATTAAGTTATTAAATAAATTGCATATAAAAAAAGGGAAAAAAAAAAAGTTCACTCCTTTTAACAATTTTTACATTTTTTCAAAACAAGAACAAAAAAAAAAAAAATTACAAAATAAATAAAAATGATATAGACAAAATTATCAATCAAAATGACATGGAAAAATAAAATAAAAATAAAAAAATAAATTTCCAGGATCGGTTATACTAAATTAGATGCGTTTCATTACTCATTTTTTTTTTTTTATCATCATTCTGCACCGTGCTCTCTTCATCATATTCTCTCCACCATGCTTCTCTGCACCTTCCTGTGTAAAAACTCAATATTATTGACGAACTGTTAGAACATCTTCTCCACATTCTCTGTTTTATTTCCATTTTTTCTCTTGTGTGTCAGAAACTGTTATGTCAATGGTTCCGCCTTCATTAAACGCTAGGTATGAATAAAACAATGTTAGGGTAATGATATACACCACTACAGAAAAAAGGCTGCATAGTAAAGCGTTATCTTTTGAAACACTAAAGTATACAGTAAATACATACTTGTATAGTACTATTAAAATTATTGGGGATAAAATAATTAATAATACAAAAATAAAAAATTTTCTTAACACATTTGAATTTTCCTTATATGATAGAAAATCGCTTAATCCAAAATTTCCTCCACTTTCTTTTGATTCATCAGTCTCCTCATAGCTTGCAGTGCTTGTTACCTCATCTGACATTTCATCTGATATTTCTTCTTTTTCCTCTTTACCATCCTTAACAACACTCTCCTCCATGTAACATTCATTTGCACCACTTGCTTTCTCCACAAGGTTATTCGAACACCCTTTGTTGCCTTTTCGCAACATTCTTTTACTCCTATCCGAAAAATTGAAAGAGTAGGGGGGAGTAATCAATTAATCTCTACCACCGGTGTGTTTCTTCATAAAGGCAAATCTTATTTCGGAGGAAAAAGGCCAGAAAAGTGCGTCAGTATGATGCTAAAACTGTATAATAATAAAAAGGCTCTAAAATATGAATAACCAACACTTTATGTATGTATTTATGTATGTATTTATGTATGTATATATGTATGTATATATGTATGTATATATGTATGTAGCATACTTGCATATGTATAAAAAAAGGTAAAAAGTAATGCAAGCCTTTTCACAGCATAGCTGTATGGAAAACATTTTGAATGTCAAAAAAAAAAAAAAAAAAAAAAAAAACACAAAGGGAAACGGAAACTCAAAAAGCAGCTATTCTCCGCAGAAAAGGCATCTTGTAGCTTTCCATTTTTTTCTGCTCATATCAAAGGTTTTTCATTTTTCCTGAAATTAAAACAAAATGTGGAAAGGACCTAAACAAGCACATGTACATTAGGGTACTCAATGGAGCATATATGTGTAATTATGTGCTATAATATTATATAATATATATAAAAAAAAAAAAAAAAAAAAAAAAAAAAAAAAAAAAAAAAAAAAAAGGTACAATACATGTGAAGGGCGTGGATGGAATATAATAATTTTTAAACTTATTTAAACCAAAAAAGTATTCTAAAGTAGGGTATTAAGGGGCTTAAAATTTAAACTATTGAGAACATGGATATGCCTATTTTTTTTTTTTTTTTTTTCTAGCAATCAAAATGAGTGGGATTGTGACACAAGCGGAAATATAAGTGGAACATTAACGAATCCTGGGAGTATAAATGGGGGAATAACACGAATAAACCCCCATGGTCCACTCAATGTGTTACATTCACTTATGCGTATTTATATATATATATATAAATATATATATATATATATATATATATGTGCATACACGAGGCCCCTGGAAATATCATACTTTTGAAACTCTTAGTCGCCTACTACCTACTACAAAAATGGCACATAAGCATACGAGCCAAATTGGTGTGTAAAAAAAAACAAAAAAAAAAGTCCTTTCCTGTGCAACCGACACACATTAATAAGAAAACCCCCCTCTTTTCGAATGATATTTCTTTTAAAATTAAAAATTTGTGTTTTAATAATATTGGGACATGTATACTTAATTACGTGATGTTCAGAATTTCTATTTCGAGTTTCCAAAAAAAAAAAAAAAAAAAAAAAAAAAAAAAAAAAAATACAGAATCGAACAATTTATTTTTTATGCACAATCGGTTCGTTATTAGGTTGGTTACATGTACGCTTGTCAAATTTGCCGTAATCTTTTTTCTTTTCTTTTTATTTTTTTTCTTTGACAACTTTTGTGTCAATCCTTACACACCACTTTTACTACTCATTTTAATTACACCATTTTCAAATAAGATTACAATCTTTCATCTTGGTTATGTAAATTTTTACACAAATTTGTAAACGCATAAAAGTATACTTTAATTTTCCAATTTGCTGAGATATATAATTATGTTTTTTCTTCTTTAAAGATTTCATTTTTCTCTTCACATTCCATTCTGCATCCCCTTCCTGAACTGTGCGCCAGCTTGGCTTTAATTCCTTTACCTCATTCGAATAACAAAAATGAAAACGATTACAGAAAATGCAATTCTTACCGAAACAATATGCCCCAGTAAAAATGTCCTCAAGTACGAGGAAAAAGTTTACGTGAATCGAGGGGAATCGCTAATTAAGGTAGACCCGTCTTACTATATCAAGCAAGTTAGACTATAAAAAGTGAAATTAAAAAAATAAGAAATAGTAAATTAAATGAGCAAAAATAAAAAAAAATAAAAAATAAAAAAAAATATGAAACATAAGCCACCCAGTAAAATATAACCGATATTCCTCAATACAAACATACATCCACACTTAAGTCAAAGTTAAGAGTTTAAAAACCTTTTCTTACAGTTAATATAATTTCACATCCGTGTGCTTTTTTTTAACGTAATGATTTTACAATACTACTGTTACACAATTTTTAATGCGTCACAAGACAGGCTTCTTCATGCAGTGTGCATTCGTCTAGTCATCTCATATATGTACATACATATATATATATATATATATACATATATACGTGTGTAAGTATATACAACCCTGTGAGTGCGACCGTGGTCGATTTTTTTACACATGTTGCACGTACTTTATCGTTGCCATTGTTGGATCTGCCGATTTATCCATTATGACAATATGCGTACGAATTGATTTATTGCATATGCAATTTAATTACATGTCTCGTTTACAGCAAACTAATTTTCACCCCATCCCCTCTTATACGCAGAAAGTTCTGAATATACAAAATCTCAACTACCTCCTAAGTAGCTACTCAGAATTTTTTGAAAATTACAGAATCCTATGTATCCTATCAGCATTAAACATTTTTATAATTCTTTTTCTTCTCCTCCTGTACTTGTTATTTTCACTTATAATATTTCTCCCGGTAGGAGAACTAAGCATAATCTTAACATTTTTTCCCAAAAAAAGAGAGATACAAAAATGCATAGAGAGGGATATATATATATATATATATATATATATATATATATATATATTTATGCATATTTATGCAAATTTATGACTGCATACAGGTCCCCCACTGTAGCATATTCGTCCTAGATCATTGCGTCTCTTGGGGAACAAGTCTACATAAAAACCATGCCTACGTATGTGCATATATATATATATGTATAGATAGATATAGATATAGGTATACACGCATTTACATTGAAATCCACTCATTCCTCTTGTTAGGCATTTTTTTTACTCTGCTCCATATTCTGTTCTGCATTCCCCCTACTCTACCCCTTAATTAAAGTAACTCCATGCATACAGCAAACATGTGCCCACAAATGTTCTTGCACTAGCACGCCCATGGATTAACACAGAAACAACATAAAATGAAACGAGCTGAAGCAAATTCTCTTTTTTAAATTATTCGTGTGTTTTATCACACATATACGAATACACCAAGTGTAAAGAAAATTTTTTTTTTTTTTCTTTTTTTTTTTTTTAAGGACAAAACGCAAATAATACTGAAGGAGGAAATAATTTTCTGTACATGCATAACAATTGGATCTACACTTTTTTTTATATCAATTCTTTTTATATACCTGACACCATTCGTTTCTGTTTTCTTATACCCTTTCAATGCTATCTTTATGCCTCTCATTTCGACCCTCATTTTGCCAATGATCGTAAGACATCGTAGTAGCACAAATATGATATTTGCTTTTTCGAAATCCCACATGCATCATTATATATATATATATATATATATATATATGCGCACCTTGTGATCCATTTTCCCACTACACTCGAATCACTGAATCGACAGGAGAGGAAAGGGCCTGCATATCAACATACATATGTTATAATCTGTAATACGACGAACACCTAACTTTCTTCACTTTGCAGATGCTCATCAATTCAAGTGTATGTGCCATTTATGTCATTTTTTATACGGAGGTAAGAATACTTCTAAACCCAGGTCCAAAATAAAACGAATCGTGCCAAAGCAAAAGAATGTACATATATGTATTTATATATATAATTATGTGCGTACATTATCAGCTTATGTAAGGTGTCCACAAAATTCATAAACTAATGCATCACCCCTTTTTTTCTGCATCCAAAATATATATACTTATTTACAACATAATTTATAGGCCGTCTCAAGTGTTAAAAACCTAGCACAAAATACATCAAGATATATTTTTTTCAAGATTCCCCTATTTTACCTTTAAGTTGAAGAAGTAGGAGTGGGGAAGAACAACAAAAAAAAAAAAAAAAAAAAAAGAAAAAGAAAAAGAAAAAAAGAAAAAAAGAAAAAAAGAAAAAAAACAGAATGGACTATAATTTTGATCACTCTTTGTTTATACATAAATTACTTATATATAATTGAGACCCACGTGTTGAGTACATGAAAAACATTTTATTCTTTCAAATGTACACACAGCAAAATAATGTGCAAATGGAAAATGGAAAAAGTTATCTAACTCTCTTATTTTCGAGTTATTTTTATTCCATTCCAACCTCGTTAAAATGCCCTTTTTCCCAAAACGATTTTGACATAAGGACGTATACGTACGTATGTACGTGTGCATGCACATATGCATGTACATGTGTATGAACGTATATTTTACTTAAACTCCACATTCACCCGAACGCCCGTGCTCCTATTTTTCACAAAACCACATGTACACAAAAATACACAGTCGGCCCATTTATAATATATATACATATGTACAATGCAATATGTGAATTTTTCACATTCGCAGTTTTAAAAACTTAACGTTATTTTTAGTTTACAGTGGAGTAATTATTATAAAATTATCTAACTTGCACAGACTCAAAAAGTGAATGTATTATCCCAAAAGTTAATTCATCAGGGATTAAGTGCGTTTTTTTTTTTTTTTTTTTTTTTTTTTAATTTATTTATTCTTTTTTACATATGTCCTTACGTGTACGTAAGGCGAGTAACACAGCAATTTTAGGAGCTTGTGTTACTTTCGCCACACATTGCTTGGTTTATTCGAAAAGGCAAAATGTTAACGATATACAGATTTGAACATATAATACCAGCAGCAGTTTTTCCTTTTTTGCCATTAGTTTACATATACATGAATTCTCTGTGTTTCCGTCTTCTCTAACCATATATGATTTCCTATATATGCAAGATATGTACCTATACGTATCAAAAAAAATAAGTAAGGTATTCTGACCTTGTGTTGGGTTCTGTACCTTTGGGTTTTTTTCCATTTTTCTTTCATAAGACTTAAAAAAACTTTATAAAATTTTTTTTTTTGTTCCCATTTATTTTTTTTTTTTTTTTTTTTTTTTTTTTCTTCTTAGCTCTTGTACGAAACCACAAAAAGTAACCTGTGTTTGAGGTGGATTTTTTTGGAAAAAGTTCTATTCACACCCCTCCTGATTTTTATTAACTCACCGACTAAGGTGGGAAATCAAGGAATTCATTTTCTTCCTCATACATAGGCGCATAATAAATTTATGTACATGCTTAAAAATTCATAATATATATTTATATACGATATATGCATGTCCCGATCAATTGAGAATATTTTGAAAAATGGTCAAAATAAATAGCAAATTCATAATGCCAACCGGAGTGTTCGGATTGCATGAGTATCAATACATCCTTTGTAATTAGGGTATATATTTGCACATGGTTCATTGTGTATGTATTTATATATATATATATATATATGTATATGTATATATGTACATGTATATTTGCATGAACTGTTTTTCTTCTACCTGTGCATATGAGATAGGCCTCAATCGGTAACACTCAGGCTAACGAACAAAAAAAAAAGAAAAGTTAAAAAACCCACCTCGTAAACAGAAAAAGGATTAATTTGAAAGCACTAGAGTTCTTGCATGTAGATGTATACATATATGTATATATATATATATATATGTGTGTATATTGAGAGGAACCCTTTTTCCCTTACGACGCATTATACACTACAGCATCGTCATGAACCACCGTACGGTTTGTACAAACATACTTTTTTTTTTTTTCGACTCTTTTTATCATATATTTATGTCAAACATTTTTAATATTTTATTTTATTTTTCCTTTTTCTGTGATTCTACGAGTCATATATATACTCACCTTCATTTGTTAATTGACACAAATGTGAAGGAAAAAATCTACGGCTACTATTTTTTGACCATCTTAAATGCATAGCACAAGTTAACACTTTGCAGCATTTGACACTTTTTTCCCTCTTGGCTCCTACCTTTAAAGAAATTTATTTATTCATTACCTATTTATTTATTATCCGTTCATCTATTTTTTTTTTTTTTTTATGTTTACAAAGAAAATATGCCACTGCAGGCAGTAGAGGTATGTCACATGTATATTGTATATTTACAGATGTTACTATAATGCAAAAATAACCCGAGTGTAATTTTTTTTTTTTTTTTTTTTTGCAAAAATAAAGTAGTCTCCTTTTTCTTTCGAACATATATGCAAAAAAAAAAAAAAAAAAAAATATATAAAATAAAAAAAAGTATAAGAAAGGACAAGAAATCTTAAGAAAGGACAAGAAATCTTAAGAAAGGACGAGAAATCTTAAGAAAGGACGAGAAATCTTAAGAAAGGACGGGAATAATTTCTTCATTTAAACAAAGTTAACCAAAATGAGTATAAGTAAAGAGTCGTCCAAAACCATGTTAGATATTGAGAAGAAAGCTGGGGAAAAAAAAGACTTTAAAGATGTATCAAAATTAAACAAAAAAGAGCAACTTATTTTACCATTTACCTTTTTATTAATTGGTCTTAGTTCGTTAAATGTATGGAACACAGCTTTAGGGTTAAATATAAATTTTAAATACAACACATTCCAAATAACAGGTTTAGTAGTTTCGTCTATCATAGCCCTTTTTGTAAATTTACCAAAAATATTATTACCCATTGCATTAGGAGGATTAGCTATATTATGTGCAGGTTTTCAGATAGCTCATCAATATTTTACCTTTGAGCAATTTGATACTTATTGTTTAATAGCATTTATAACAATTGGAATACTCGCAGGATTTGTACAAACCATTGCATTTAACATTGGGACAACTATGGAGAAAAATATGGGTGGATATATGTCAACTGGTATAGGTGTTTCAGGAGTTTTCATATTTATTATAAATTTATTACTAGATCAAATTGTTTCTGAGGAAAAGCTATATAATGTAAACAAAGCAAAATTACTGTATCTTTATTTTATCTGTGAAATTTGCCTAATTCTATCAATCATATTTAGTTTGTGTAATTTAGAATTAACTTCAAGTAAATTGTTAAAAGAGGAAGAATGTAATGATAAAGAACCAGGATTGTCCTATGTTGAATTAATTAAAGATAGTTATAAAGCCATTTTGTCTATGTTTTTAGTAAATTGGCTATCTTTACAATTATTCCCAGGGGTTGGACATAAAAAATGGCAACAGAGTCATGGTATATCAGATTACAATGTAACAGTAATTGTAGGGATGTTTCAAGTTTTTGATTTTGTCAGTAGATATCCACCAAATTTGAGTCATATAAAATTTTTTAAATTTTTTACCTTTTCCTTAAATAAATTATTACTTTTTAATTTTCTTCGTCTCCTATTTATTCCTTGGTTTGTTTTAAATGCAGCTGTTGAATATTCATTTTTTACAAATATTGTTCAACAATGTATTTGTATGGCTATGCTTGCATATACCAATGGTTGGTTCAATACAGTACCCTTTTTAGTATTCGTGCAAGAACTTAAAAAGACAAAGAAAAAGAAAGACATCGAGACCATTTCCACCTTTCTAGTTATTGCTATGTTTGTTGGATTGGGTATGGGAATATGGACAACCTACATTTACAATTACTTCCCCATTGTGATCAAGAGATATGTCATTCCATAAATAGATCGTCTACCCTCTACCCCTCCCACCCCCATGTTCAGTAAATATCCTACCATTTTGTGACCTTATCATTTTTTTAACTTAACCCTAGATGACTTTTAATACACAATAATTACCATGTGCAACACAGTAGTTAGTAAATGGTGCACGATGGAGGCACCACAGTGAAATAAATCATACATACGTATATACTTATATACATATATACGTATCTATATATGTATACACATGCACACTCATATACCATGACATATTTTTTACGCAACATTTTTGGTATACAACAAAGTAATACATATATAGCATTGCATGTGGCATTTAAAGCAAACGAATTATGAATAGCACATATATTTAAATATATATGCCATATTTATACGTACAAAAAAAAAAAAAAAAAAAAAGAAGAAAACATACACAGCCTTTACAAAAATATACACATGTTTTTAACATGCCTGTGTTTGCATGTACATTTTAAAATCGTACTTAAATATAGAGAAATTATATTTAGATATATATCTCTTTTTAACAACAAATTAATACCGTTGAAACTAACGAGCATATTTGTTTGTTTGTTTTTTTTTTTTTTTTTTACTTTATTTTAAAATTTTTTTATAATAAAACACGCATTCCGTTTTACAAAATATCACTTTATTTTGTAAAAAAAAAAAAAAAAAAAAAAAAAAAAAACATTCACCAGCCATAGTATGTGTCTGTATGAATGTGTGTATATGTGCATGTATGTACCTCCACTCTATACAACATTTCGAATAATTGGAAAAGCCTCTATTTTTTTTTTCATCACACAAGGCCTAATTGCAACACATTTTATATGCATAATTTCTCATGATACATTTCATTGGCGCACAAAGATCGAGGTGTTAAAAATAACAAAATTTCACATTCATATGCCAAGATAGAGAAATAGAGAAGAAACAAGGTTGTGTAAATGAGCAAAAGAACACTCCACACATTACACAGACCCATGCACACGTTGGTACTTCTGTAAACATTGTACCATTTTTAAATCTTCTCAATTGTGCATGTTTTCAGAGAATTAAACAAAATGATGCCATAATGAAAATAAGTTAACATTGACGAAATGAGGGCTAATTTCGTTAGTAGCCAAAATTGATACAATAAAAAAAAAAAAAAAAAAAAAAAATTCCTTGAACAAATATGCCATGGATTATGTAAATTATGTGATGCTCACGTTTAACACAAATGAACACTTAAAAAGAAGTAATGAAAATTATAGTGCATCCTCTTGATTTGGGAACACAAATGTAGTAAACAACCGACCCCTCATCTGTGTAAAAATGATCCAACAAAATATAGCAAAGCATAATATATAGTGTAGATCAATACGTACGTATGAAGACAGGAATCGAAACGAGAATTACGGAGCATTTAAAATGTATATATATATATATATATATATATATGTGTATAACTTCAAATAATTAGCGATATTTATTTTAAGAATGCAAGAATTGTCAGGAATGTTTAGACATACACGTGTTAAGCTCAATTGGCGCACAGGAAGAAATCAACTTTTAGCCCCTCCGCTTGGCATTTAAATTCGTATAAGACAATGCCTTGGGATATGTAAAAATAAAGAAATGAAATGAGCAAAAAAGAAATGAAGTGAACAGAAATGAACAGAAATGAACAGAAATGAACAGAAATGAACAGAAATGAACGGAAAAAAAGGTAACAGAACCACGTGGATGTGCAATTGCAAAGACTATACCCTTATGGAATCCGAACCTTTCAGGTAAAAATTGATGTACTCGTCGAGAAGGTCTATTCGATTGTATATTTCTTGATAAATGTACTTCATTATATCAATATAATTTCGTATGGTTTGATTTTTTTCTTTTGTACCTGATGCAACTAGTGTCATGTCTTTTTCCATCTTTGCGCGAAGTGATGGTTCTGTTAAATCGACCCCAAGATCCTTAAATTTTTTATATGACAATATTAAGGCAATTCCCAAATTGGTTGGTATAAACAGGTTTTTAGAATTCTTAAAAACATAATTTCTTTTTTGAATATTTTCTATATGCTCATGCATAGTTGCATCGGTACCAATTCCATATTTATCCATCAAAGATAATAAATCACATTCTGACAGGTATTTAGGAGGTTGTGTTATTCCTTCTTCTATTAATAAGCTGTAGGGGTAAAATTCCTCATGGATTTGAAAAGGAGGAATAATTTTGTCATTCCATTTTTCATAAATATAAATTTCTAAATAATTTTTTTTTATTATTTTTAACCCTTTACAAAAAAATTCTTCCTTTCCAATTTCTGCGATAACTTTACTGTTAAATCCAATTGCATCATCACTACATACAGCTAAGAAATGTCTACAAATTAGTTCATAAATTTTCCATTCCTTTTCATCTACATTTTCTGTTTTGTTCATATTTTTAACTGGGTGAATAGGTGGATGTGCTTTATCATTTAGTTTTCCTTTTCTTGGTTGTCTAAAATTGTTATTTTCTGTTAACTTTTTAGCGTAAAATCCAAAAATATTATTTTTTTTCAATTCATGAACTACTTTTAATAAGTTCATACTACTTGGGAAATAATTCGTTTCTGTTCTTGGATAACTAATGAATCCTCTATTGTACAATTTCTCTGCAATATTCATACATTGTTTCGATGAAATATGAAAATGTTTTGACACCAACTTTGTCATTTGTAAAGTGTTTAGAGGAAGTGGCCTATATTTTTTTATCTCATTTTGATAGATATTTGTTATCTTACATAGTGGATTTTCTAATAACTTTTCATAAATCAGAACAACTGCCAAGTGGTCAAACAGTTTTAGCCGAGACCACGTAAAATCTACGACATTCGTTTCCCTATTTCGTGCCCTTCTTTTCTTTGCTCTTTTCTCCTTCTTCTTCTTTTTCGTCGTTTTCGTCTTTTTTCTTCTATGCCTTATCGATTTGGATCCGTATGGACAATTCGATTCACCAGTCAACGATTCACAAGTCAGTGATTCACAAGTCAATGATTCACCAGTCAATGATTTCACTGATGCCTCCTCTAGCTCATCCTCCCCACCTTCATACCAGTGCTTCATTTTAATAGACCAGAAATATTCGTTTATAAAATTTTTTATGTCCAGATATCTATTCACAACAAATCCCAAGGTTGGGAATTGGCATGGGCCATAACTAATAATATTCGTTTGAGACTTTATCAAATGTGTGTATCTAATTGTGAGAAATCTTGTGAAAATGGAACCCATTCTTAGATCTATTTCTCTGCGTACATCTACACTGTATGCGAGATTCTTATTTGGGTACTTCAAATTGTTAATTGCATGAATAATATCCTTCTCTGTTACTGCTGAAAACTGAGCCCTGTGAATTTTTATTTCTTTATTTGTTACAAAACAAGTATTTATGACTTCAAAACAGATATGTTCTCCTTCTCTGTCACAATCTAGCCATAAAATTAACATATGACAACATTTAGAAAATTTTTTTAAATTATTTTCTATTGTCTTCTTATCTTTTTCAATATATACTGTAATTTGTGCATCAAATAATTCTTGTGGATCTGTATTATTCCAATTTCTGTACTTGTCATCAAATTTCTGCTCTGTCAAATGACCAGTTACAGATGTTACATACATAAACCAAGTATCATTCTTTCTTTTATAATTAAAAGTAAATACTGGGTTATATTTGCTATAGCTCCTTTTCTTATCCATTTTCCCTTTACTCAATATGTCAGCTATTGCTGACGCAACTGATGGCTTTTCTGCTACGTTTAATACATTTATTCGAGCCATAAAAAGATATTATTCAATTGTGTTTCATTCCCTTGCAATGAATTATCAACTGGACACATCTGTGCTCTTATGCATGTATAGCTAAATAGGTGTAAATAAAATTATGTTCTTTTTTATTCTTCCAATTAACGGGAAAGACGAAAAGAACCCAGGGGGTGTAAAATACACAATTTAATCATGGATCAAAAATTAAGAACATCAAGAACGGTAGTGGTAACTCATACATAATTTACATTCATATGTTACAAAAAAAAAAAAAAAAAAAAAAAAAAAAAAAAAAAATTTTACGGCAAAAAAAGAATTCCCTAAGAGCCAATATGTGGGTGACCATCCTTAGAGATTTTTACATCCATTCTTCAAATGGATATGAAATTCACACATGAAATTGGGTAAGTTACATGTGCAAAGAAGTATGTCCCTGAAATAAGTGCCTCAAATGTGTAGTAAACTATGCAAAGAAATGTGTGCAATTACATGTCCCTTTTTTTTTTTTTTTTTTTCTTGATATCACTTTTATACATTTTTCAAATTTTTAGTCCTTTTTTTTTTTTTTGTTATAAAAGCTCATCTATTATAGAAACCTTTTTCAACCATTTCTTCCATTTTGACTTATCAGATGAAAATTTTTTTTTTTTTTTTTTTTTTCTCCCCCCTACCTTTCTCAATAGATTATGTATACCTCAATTTGGTGGAACCTAAAAATTACCACTTTCCTATATGCCCAAATGATATTTCAAATTGTTCAACTTAATTCATTATCAGTTTAAAAAGTTTTCTAGAATTGTATGGAAAAAATTATAACCATTTCAACTTTTTTCCAATATTGACATGTGAAAAAAAGAGTATTTTCTCATGTCGCTGTGCTAAAATGAAACATACTCAGCGGAGAAACATCAAATAGAATAATGTCACACCAAATGTTAGCGACATAGAAAACGCATGAGAACATTTCGCACAATGACAAATCTTATAAAAGTACACTGATGGAGAATAAGGAACAGGAAAATATCTCAACCCCTTATTTACTACATATGTATATTACATATCCAGCCCTTTCATAAAAAAGTCCTTGCACACACAGCTTTACAAAAATTCACACAAGTATATTCACCTTATTCACGTTGTGGAATGGGGTTAAGTAGATTTAAAGGTTTCTCTTACATTATGAAAAAATAAGATTAAAAGACTTATCTCTGAGTGGTGGAAAATATGAACACTGGAAATTGTTAACTAAAGGAGAAGAAAAAAAAAAAAAAAAAAAAGAGAAAAAAAAATTTTTTTTATACCAATTTGGAAGTGTTATGTATAAGACTTTAACGCGTTTCTAAACCTCCAAAATGCTTGAAAAAATTTAATCATTTCTGTTTATAATCATTTAAAATAAGGGTTAAATCTTTTTGGTACGTCTACAAAGTTTATTTTTAGTGATATTGATGAATGTTAAAATGGTCTTTTTGTTGAATGAATTTTTTTTTTTTCTTTTTTTTCACCTTTCCTTTTGAAATATGAACATCCAAATGTAGGCGCATTTACATGTATATGTGTGTCCCTACGTCTTTACTAAAATGAACAAAGGGAGTTAATGTATAGAGAAAAGTACATCATTTGGGTATGTATACATTGTCATGGGAAAAAAAATACTAGGTGTAAATAAAGGGTGTATAATAGGACCTTTCCAATTGAGGGAATAAAATAAAATGTAATAAAAGTTCATTCGATTGATTTTAAAATTACGACATTTTTTTTTTTTTTTTTTTTTTTGTTTACTTGGCTCACGTACACATACAAAATGTATAATGTATAATGTCATATTTATCTAGTCCATACATTAACTTCCCAACTTAATGTAAGAAAAACCAATGGGGATTTCATATCAAAAAATGATAAAAAAATATATATGAAATACTCATTCATAGTGTACTCAAAAGTAACCGGAAGAATATATGGACACATGTGTAGACATAGCTGGACTCATAGAATAACCATTTAAATATGTTTCGAAAGGGAGGCAGAATTTGATGGATTAGAATCCATAAGCATAACTTATAGAACTCCTTTACATAAGATAAATGCAAAAAATATTTCCATTGAAAAAATATCCCCAAGCGTTTCTTTGGGCATAAAAAAAAAATTTATATATATATATATATATAAAATAAATGAAAAGAAATAAATAAAGTTATATAAATTAAAAAAAATAAATAAAATATAATTGCAAAATTGCATAGCAGAATCGCTTTGCCGCCAAAGGGCTGAAATTCACAGTGGGCATACACACGCTTTTCCTCTTTTCCTCTTTTCCTCTTTTCCTCTTTTCCTCTTTTCCTCTTTTCCACTTTTCCACTTTTCCTCTTCGCGCACCCAATGAACGCCCAAAATAAACCCCAAATTATTGAACACATAAATCACCCCCTTGATAACACCGTGTATGATGTGAAGTGGGTTCATGGAAAGTCCAACCTTGTAGCGGTCGGGGAAATGTTAAATAAAAAAGGATATATAAATATATATAACTTGGACAAGGGGAAATTTACCTGCATTTCTAACAATGAAACAGGCACAGGGATTAAAACAATAAGCCCCTTTTTCTCCTATTCCGGCACGTATTCTATTGCCTGTGGTAAGATATATTCAACGGGAATGTTTCGATTAGTGCATAATGTGGTCATCTGTGCATGTGTTCTTTTTATCCACAGTTGAATATAACCTTTGAGTGAACCCTGAACCCTGAACTCATTCTCCTTTTCATGCCAAATGCATATGCCAATTTATGCACCTAAACCTGATCCAGGCACTTTTGATGGCAACATACTTCTGTACGACATTAACCATATGTCTAACCCATATTATAGCATAAAAAAACATACAAAATTGATAAACAAAATAGAAAGTAAGAGTTACAAAAATAATAATTTAATATTCAGTGCAAGTAGGGATGGATCCGTTAAAATTTTTGATATAAGAACCAATAATGAAGTGAGAACAAGGGGGAGAAAAAAAAAAAAAAAAAAAAAAAAAAAAAAAGACTATCATTTTCTGACTCTTTGATAATTTTCACATAATCGACGTTATTCTACCATTATCCACATTCTTCCTATACTTGCATTACAATACGTATACTATTTTTTTTTCTCTCTATGAAAATTCTCCTTTTTTTTTTTTTTTTTAATTTATACCAAGGTTGTGAGTTTAGAACCACCAAAGAATTCGCCTTATATCCCTGACTGCTGGTGTGTGGGTATAGGTGAGTTTACCAATTAAGAAAGTTGAACATGTACATATAAATGCAAGTGAACGTATACATTTTAGTAATTACATGACACATCTTTCTTTATGTGTGTGAAAAATTTTTGTCTTAAACTCATTTCTACTCAAACAACAGGAAACAATTACATAGATGTAAATCCAACTTGTCAAATAGAAGAAGAAAACTTAAGTTTATGTGCAGGATATGACAATGGGGATATAAAATTTTTCGACTTAAAAATGATGTTAATAGAGCATGAGGTATACAAAAGAAAAATTAATGCACATATATGCACATGCGTACGTATGTATACATATATATGTATTTTCAGACTCCATATACACACATATTTGCATAGGCAGAGACACATACTGACATTACATTCCACACGATTTTCCACTATTAAGCTACAGTTGGATAACATTTGTTTTGACGCATCATACATTGTGCATGGGTATGTGTACACACGAAATCTATTTCAACAGCAATCCCTTAGTATAGCTTAATTTTTTTTTTTTTTTTTTTTTTCTTTTTCTTCATCCTATTCGTTAAGGTCAACGTCAACAATGGTGTTTGTGCAATAAGCTATGATAGAAAAGATACACGAAAGAACAAATTAATTTGTGCAACCTTAGAAGGAAACATTTACGTATTCAACATGGATATTTACAGCGAAGATTCTGGATATGCTTACAGCAAGGATCAGGTAGTTTCAGGTTTGTTCTGTAATGTAAAATCAGGGACCTATTATGCACCTTTTTCTGATTGTGTATTATCACACATAGCCTCGTCAGATCGAGCATAGATCATCCCCCGTCGCCAGTCGAAGCAACTCAGCTAATTAACGTTTTTTCTTAAAAACAAACATAGCAGAATTATAACATTTTAACCAATCCAAATATATATATATATATATATATATTTGCTTGTTTGTTTGTTTGTTTCCTTTTTAAGGAACCTGTTGGGGCACACCATTTTTACCTCAAAATCGGGATATTTTCGCTTCCTTGGGAGGTGACGGAAATGTTAAAGATGCAGAGAGAGATGAGTGCCCAAAGATGTAGCCAAAAAAAAAAAAAAAAAAAAAAAAAAAAAAAAATGAAAACAAAACGAGAGCCAAAAAGAACGTGAAAACAAAACGAGAGCCAAAAAGAACGTGAAAACAAAACGAAAGCGAAAAAGAACGTGAAAACAAAACGAAAGCGAAAAAGAACGTGAAAACAAAACGAAAGCATAAAAGAACGTGAAACCCAAGCATGTGCTAATCGAAATAAAGACGCTGGAACATTGATATGCGTACCAGATAAGTATACATACAACATACACATATGAATAAAGTTCATATACATGTAAACATATTTATGTTCACGCCTATCACCTTTTAGCTGGCCCTTTACAAATATGTGAACCCTGAAAAAAATTACATTTTCGACGAGACAAAGGGATGCAAAAGAGGTGTTGTAGGAGAACTGGAAAAATTAAATTTCCTCAAAGTTTCAACTCAACCCATAATTTCATTCGATTGGAACAACAATAAATTAGGACTTTGTGTCTTTGCATCATTGGATCAAACAATTAGGGTGTATATAATAACTAAGCTAAATTTATTTTAATTTTGTAAGAGTGTTAACAAAATTAAAGGGGGAGTTGCTGGTGCTTAAAAAAAAAATAATTAAGTAGCAAAATTTGTTCAAAATGGGTGGGAATTTATTAGCGTATTCAAATTTTATCATCTGGTGTGCAAAAATTGTTCGCTTTATTTATGTACTCACTTGTGTACGTACTTATTTTTTACTAGTTTCTTCTTCTTCTTTTTCTTCTTTTTTTTTTTTTTTTTTTTTTTTTTTTTTTCATCTTTTTGTGCTATGGTAAATTTTGTAAGGGCGTCTGTACATTTGGGAAAACACACACAGAGGTAAGTGCACACATAGGAGCTGTACATACACATGTAGGAGCCTATCCACAACGAAACGAGAAAGGAGGGGGGGGGGAGGGACTTGGACACACACACATACATGCATAATTTCCACACATGCATAATTTCCACACATGCATAATTTCCACACATGCATAATTTCTACACATGCATAATTTCTACACATGCATAATTTCTACACATGCATAATTTCTACACATACATAATTTCTACACATACATAATTTCCCCACATTCTACATTTTTAGAAAGTACTCAGTTATCTTTTTTTGATTAAACTTTTCGTCATTTAAACTAAGGATGTGGAAACGCAAATTTAACAAGTTGTCACAAAGTACTTCATGTTTTATTGTTTCATTCAAACAGCTGTAATTCATAAAATTTAAAAGAATATCTATACTATTAATTAATACATTTTTATTAAAATGAACATTGTTGCAATTATTCGTCATGTCAGATGATGTGTATTCCATCCTATTTTGAATGTATTTGTCAAATGGGTTTTGATTTAATCCCTGTTGATTGGTGTGTTGTTGATTTCTTCCCATTCCGTTCACACATATATCGTTGCTTCTTATTTCGTTTCCACCCACCCCTGTGAAGCAAATGTGATTTATGCTATATTCATTCACGTAATTGGATAAAAAACTTGCATCATAATTAGGTGTTTCCATCGACAGCTTCCTCTTTTTTTTCTCATTTTCCTCGAATATTATCGAACTTCTGTTCATTTTTTTAGATTTGTTTTATATTTTGGTGCAATCGATTTTGTCTCCCTTCTTGAGCTTTTCTTAGCAGAATCGATACTTGTTCCTTCTTTTTCCTCTCACGCTGCTTACCACGTGTCCACAATTCTAACAACTACTACTACTACTACTACCTTATATATTTCCCCTCCCACTAAAAATTCTGATATAGCCAAGTGAATGATTTATCTCCATAAGCACACGTGTGGCAACACAAGTTTATGTCTCGCATTGCTCGAATTATATATAAAAACATGTCACAAATTCTGAATAAACTTTTTTTTTTTTTTTTTTTTTTTTACCTTTTCAAGGTCACTTTTCTTTCACGCATACAAGTCGTAAAACACACATGCTTGTTATGCGTATATTCACACCTTAATGTTTGTTCACGAATTTTTTTTTTTTTTTTGGGTTTTTTTTTTTTTTGCACAAACTTTCAAAAAGGAGAAATATAATGTGACACGCAAAATGTCTCGTAGTTTACTGTTTATTTATAATATTATGTGCACATTTCGTCAGTTATAAATAAATGGACTATTCATTTTCTCTTTATATATATATCAATTATCAATCATTGCTGCTTCGTGCATACGTCTTCATTTATTGGATCGCACCTTCACGCTATTTTCCCACACTTCCTCACTATTTTGTCAAACCATTTTTTTTCATTTCCTTGCACCCCCTCTTCCCGCCTCACGTTACTACATTGTGCATTTTTTTAATTTGCCTTATTTTAATTCACAGTTATGTGATATTCCTACTGAGTTGAATATCGTCACACCTGATGATTTCATCAGAGACATTGTTATGCACGTATCACACACAAAGTTTGCATGACACAATGGGAATCTGAAGAGGTATATATGCTATAAATACATGTGGAAATATATACAAATGTGTGGAAGAAATTTAACCTTCTTCACCCCTTAAAAGTTATTATAAAAAAATAAAATAGGAGAGAAAAAAAAAAAGAAAAAATGAATAAAATTATTGTTCATCACATTACCAATGAATGACATAAAAGTAACCACATTTTCAACAGAAAAATGTAGTATGATGAAGGGTTAAAAAAACGTTATATTTTAAAAGTAGGAAGAAATAGACATATATAAAAAAAAAAAAAAAAGGAAGCTATGCAAAAATCATAATTCGTCACGTATAAGTCAGAGGGTGTACTTTTTTTTTTTTTTTTTTTTTTTTATATATGTCCATTTACTCCCTTTTGATCAAAGGTAAAATTAGAATGGTAAAATGTTGTACACTTCACAACTGAAAGAAAAAAAAAAAAAAAAAGGGTTCCCACGGATATATAAACAGGCACACATATGATACTTGATCAAATAGTGAGACATAGACATATAAGAAATCGTGCGATTAATTCAATAGTTTGGGGAAAAACAGAAAAATTCGTGATCATTTAGGAAAATGTGTGTATGCATGAATGTACTTTACGTATATATATGTACATATACATGTATATATATATATATATATATATATATATATATATAGGTTCATATGTATAGCGTATGTCAAAGGAACACATTCGGCCTCACCATTTCCTTGTAAAACCTACTCCATCCACCATCAAGGTTTTCCCATTTAATAAAACTTTCAATTACTAATGGAAATCTTTGCACACTCATGGTATCAACCCTATCCACAAAGAACCCAATCCCATACTATTCTCTAAAATATGGATATATTCTCCTATAAAGAAAAAATGAAGTGTCACCCAGACACCAAAAAAGAGAAAAAAAAAAAAAAAAAAAAACTTCAACTTATTTGAAGTGATCTAAGGAAATATCCAGTCTCAACCCCTCAAAAATTACACATTTTAATCTTTATGAACGTTCTAAAAAATGGATAAATTTATTGGTTATGAATATGATTTACTCAGTTCTGAAAAACCTTTCATTTGAGTTCGTGTGCAAGTGAAAAAAAAAAAAAAAAATCCATCAATCACAAACATTCCAGAGTATTAAAAAAGGATCTTCACATTCTACAAAGTGTATATTTCGCGAAACTGTTTGAATATGTACACGTGTGCCCACGCATATATATGCACATACTTATACACATACATGTACATATGCATATGCACGCATATATACATGCATGTATGTACATGTAGAGTGTGTCCTTCCCACGATTTACTCAAAACTGTGCTGGAAAGAAAAAAGCTCTTCCCCGGAAAGCGCCCAAGCAGCACATGTTGCACTTGAGGTACACCATCAAAAGGGGAATCCATTTGTCCAACATTTTCAATGATATCGAGAAGAAAAAAAAAGGCCCCCACACACACACACAAAAAAAAATATAAAAATATACATACGCACATATTTATATATACACAGCCTGATTCGAAAATGGAGTTATACACATTCTGAATATGTCGAAAAAAATACATATACATGTAATTATTCATGTATGTATCGCAATTTTGAGCTATGTAGAACATACAAAAATTAAAAAAGTAGGACAGGTGAAAAAAAAAAAAAAAATTTTTTAACATATGCAAGTAAAATAAATAAAATTGAAAACAAGTGTTAATTCTAAGAATAGGAATATTTAAAGGCTTATAAAACTCGTAGGCATATCGACATATACTTACGTAGAAAATTTTTTCAAAAATTTCATATACACACTTATATACATATACATACACACATATATATCACTGTTAAGGAGGACCTCACCCCCCCAAAATGAAAGCTCTAGTCCTAGCGACGACCATCTGTGGGTTCGTACTTAAACAGTGCATAAATTATATTCTACTTCCCACTGAACATTTATGTGATTTTGCTTTAAATCCTCACAGTAGTATCAAACCTGTAGTAAATGAATCAACTGAACAAAATGAAAATGTTTGGTGCACTGCTGATAACTTGAACAATCTAGATTATGTAGCAATGATATGTCCAAATAAAAAGGAAGGAGATTACACAAACTTAGAAGTTGTCCCAGCGAACTGTTTTTCTAAACATCTGTATTCACCCTACGATTCAGAAGAAAAGGAAAAAGATATGGAACTATTAGATTTTGATACCTTATTATCCATCAATAAATCATACAAAGATTTTGCTTTAAAAATATTATTAATTCCACGTTATTATAAACAGAATAAAACTATTTATTGCAGATGTGATAATAGTAAAACGAAAAAAGAACATGGATCTGAAAAATTAGAAGGAAAATCAGGAATAGTAAAAATTGTATTGAACAAAAAAAACAAGAATCCAAGAGGATTCAGTTTTCTAGAATCTAGTGAATTAGAACCGTTAGATATAGTGCAAAATGGAAATGATAAAATAGTTCAGGTAAAGGAAAATGAAACAGTTCACTTTGAAATTAGAGATACACAAAAAGTAAAATTCGAAGATGATGAAACATATAACATCAGATATGGTGTTTTAACGGAGAAGAAATTTTTTTTTAGATTTCCTACAGTATTTTTCAACACTTCCCAATTTGTTTTAAATATTGAAGAAAGTGCCAAACCCACTATTAAAATAATTATGAAATATAATAAAACAGAAAGTATAGACGGATGTGATTTTACCAAACCTAAAGGAGAGGGTATATATAAAAACGGGTTCGTATTAAATGAGCATGCATCTGATAATAATATATGTTCAGTACACATCGGATCCAGAAAAAAAAGTTTAGCTGCGGGTATTAAATGCCCATATAAATTAACACCTACATACTGTTTTAGACATGTTCTATATGAAAAAAATACTAAAAATCAGAAATCATTTCACCCCTACTTGTTAATGGACATATTGGAAACAGTTGATGTAGAATTCTATAGCAATGTACAAGAGGGATCTTATGTAGTTGGATTGCCAACAAGTCCACGCAACTTTACCGTTGTTAGATGTGTTTGTGAGAATAATGGAAAAACTGGTATAATGGAGCTACAAATTGATTCTCCTGCTCGGTCCTCCTTCCTCAGCCTCGCTTTGATGTTGTTTGCTGTCGCTTTGCTTTACATTTGTTAACACTTTAACACATCGGACTCACGAAATTGCACATGTGTATGTCAACATCAAGTCGTGCATATACCATGTAGTGCGTACGTCAAGTCGTGTTTATGCCAAAAATACCACATACACGCAAGACAAGTAATGATTAGAGAAATGGTTTTTCTCTCTTGAATTATCCGGATTGAATAAATTACAACCATTAAATGAGCAAACATACTTGTAAATATGTATCTGCAGTGGTACATGTATAACATTAAATTGATTTTTCCCTATGATTACACATGAACGGTTTCAATGCCATAAAACTTTTTTTTTTTTTTTTTTTTTTTTTTCTACATATTAAAGGAATACCAACACCCATGTGGGGGTAACGCAAGCATATATATATATATATAATACACCTCTACCATAGGGAAAAACTGCTAATTAAAAAAAAAAAAAAAAAAAAATTTTGAAAACATCCCTCATAGGAATATTTATCTTAAAACTAAGCTCTATCGTTTTCGATAGAAACTATGTGTCCCTCTCAGGTTTAATTCCTGTATACATTTTCACGCCCGATGAGTTTCGCAATGTTTTAACCTTCTAATTTAAGTGACATTTATTTGTCTAAGCATCAAAGAGAGTTAATTAAAAAAAAAAAAAAAAAAAAGTTTTTTTTTCATTCAATCTATAAACTAATTTTTTTTTTTTTTTTTTTACTATTTAGCATATGAATACTTGTTACACTGTCTATTCAGGTCTCAACATAAATTTTATTCATTTTGAAATTTCTGAATTGTAATTTTATATCTTTTCTATATAAGCCTATACGTCAATAGAAAAGAAAATCAAAGTAACATGAATTTGTGCAAAATTGAAAAATACATTTATCATATTGTATATTTTTATAATCAAAATAGTATTGCCATATGTAGCAATAATAATGCACGGAATAGAAGGAATGTTCATACACATGCACACACAAAGGAGCAAGGAAATTCGATTCCTCTCATTTTATGACACTGTAGATCCAGCTTTTTTAAAAAAAAAAAAAAAAAAAAAAAAAACTAAGGATGCACTTTTAATATGATGAGCAATTGTACGTACGAACAAGCAGTATGAGCAATATTGAAAAATTGCAAAATGAAAAAAAAAAAAAAAAAAAAGAATATTCCCCTAAATACTATATGCACAGTAAAGCTAGAAATCACGTATTATATATATATATATAAATAAAATAATAAATGCTGAACTAAAAAGACAGAACCTGGTTAACGTGGGCACATGTAGCATCAACTTCCCCCCCCCCCCTCCAAATATGTCAAATCATGAGAATATTTTAAAAAATGAATATGCCTTAAGAGTAAAGAAATTACTAAACTGTGAATAAACAAGCAGATGTAAATTTTTTGTAATTAAGCATATAATTGTGTATATATAAGCAGATACAATTGAATGCATATACCTGTTCATAATCCACATCACATATATGTGAAAATTCACAGACACGTCTTTTTTTTTTTCTTTTTTTTTTTCGAAATCTCACGCATACCTGGTTTTTACAAATTGCGTATTACAGTCATGCACATATGCATTTTATTTTCATTTCTTCAAAATATGTATACATAGGAATTTATGACTAGCATATGTACAAATAGACGTACGTTATGCTATAACTGTCCCAACACATACAATTGTAAAAATACTCAACAACATAACCACGTATATATAAAAAACTTTTCCTCGCACTATTCCTTCATAAATTATAAAATCAGAGAGTTCTCACTCTTATACTAATACACACGCTTCTAAAAATTCTTTCCATATAGTATTGCACACATTAATACAGTTGTGTGTTGCTTCAATTCAATTTCCACCCATAGCATTCGTGACACGAATAACCATGTTGAAGCGACATTTTGCAAACATCCTTTTATTTATTTCCCTTTCAAACATAATAACACATGTAAAAATAATTAACGGAGAAGTGAAGTATGGACGTCCAGAAGAAATGAACAAAGATGTGTCTGGATTTTTTGGATTCAAATGTAACTTTTCAAGCAAAGGGGTTCATAGTCTAGAACCGGATTTAGCAGAAAAAAGATCCTTAGTGTGTAGTATAAATTCTTATTTTATTTATGACAAAATAAAATTAACAATTCCAAAAAAAGTATCTGGGTCTAAATTTAAATTATTACCAGAAAAATGTTTCGAAACTGTGTATACAAATTATGAAAAAAAAACGGAAGTGAATATAGATAACCTGGGGTTAGTTGAGTATGAAGTAAAAGAAGATGATACAAATGCAGATTTTACAGAAAAAATTATAACAATATCTCCATTTAATACTAAAAATGTTGAATTCTTTTGCATTTGTGATAATACAGAGAAGGTTGTCTCCAATATAGAAGGAAGGGTTGCACTGGTACAAATAAATGTATTGAAATATCCTTATAACATTACATCCATCAATTTAACAAAAGAAACATATCCTTATATACCTAACATGATAAATAAAACTTCTTTTACGTTAAATAAATTCTCCATGGTATTAAATGAGGGAGAGTTAGTTGTTTTGGCTTGTGAAAAAATAGATGATAAATGTTTCAAGAAACCAAAAGACTCTTCATCTTTATACAAAAGTAACAAAATTGTATACCATAAAAATTTCGCCATATTTAAAGCACCATCATATGTAAAATCGGAAGATGTAACGGCTGAATGTTCATGTAATGTTGATGACACTATTTACACACTTACATTATCACCTGTGTATAATAAAAAGGTTGTTCATGGATGTAATTTTTCTTCTGATGTAACTACATATGATTTTACTAATCATATTGACATAGATGCATTAGACGATAATGCACAAATTACATGTAATGTAGAATTAACTGATACTGCTTATAATCACTTAATTGGATTAAGCTGTCCAGGTGAAATCTCCCCAGAATGTTTTTTTCAAGTATATGAACAAGAATCACCTGACTTAGTACCATCCAAAATTGTTTATCTAGATGCACAATTAAATATTGGAAATGTTGAATATTTTGAAGATATCAATGCAGGAAATACAGTTAAAATTTTTGCTCTCGTTGGAAGTATACCTAAAACTACTTCTTTTTCGTGCATCTGTCGAAAGGAAAAAAAAGTTGCATATGCGTCCTTTAAAATAGCTTCTGGTTATTATGGATATTTGGCCAAAATATTTATATTCTTAGTTGTCATAGTGCTCTTATATATTTGAGAGGGGGAGGGGGGGGGTGGAGGAAAAGCGCAAGAATATGTTCAGAGATATCGTCACCATGTATATTAGTGATTTATCCAGTGGAATTACATGTCCATAATTTCACATAATCTAAAAATATATATTTCTCGACATCCCTCACAGGAGACTACCTTACAAGAAATGGCTCTTTTCCTGCACGTTTCTCCATGGTCCTCGGCAGTGCCCCCCCGTTTATCCGCACGTGTGTATGTGTATATACATACGTGTGTACATACATATATGCATAAAAACATATATACACACATATATATATGAATAGCTGTATGCCAGAAAAAGAAAAAAAAAAAAAAAAAAAAAAAAAAGAGCGATTTTTACTTCCACTTATTAATCATCACAGTTTTTGTTTGCTGTGAATTTTTTGCCCCTCAGTCACGTAAGCATCGTCGTAACTTCATCTAATCTGCTTCTTCATTAAAAACGTCTTCTCCCCGAACTCTACCATTTCTACACCACTTCGACAGACACTGCCATTTCTACACCACTTCGACAGACACTGCCATTTCTACACCACTTCGACAGACACTGCCATTTCTACACCACTTCGACAGACACTGCCATTTCTACACCACTTCGACAGACACTACCATTTCTACACCACTTCGACAGACACTACCATTTCTACACCACTTCGACAGACACTACCATTTCTACACCACTTCGACAGACACTACCATTTCTACACCACTTCTACCAGAGCTACAACACAACACAGTAATTTTTTTATTTTTCACCCCTATGTGGACATTCGAATACGCAGTTCTCCATTTCGAACGCCTTCTTTGCCTAGTCCCACACGAGCTGGAAACAGAACATTCATTTCTGAAAATTATAGAAGTGTATATACCTTTTTTCTTTTTTTTTTTATTTTAAATCTCTATATTTTATTTAATTTACTATAGCAAATGTATGCATAATTTTAACTCAGAATTTTTTTCCCCTCCAAACTTCGTTTATAGCAATAAAGTATAAAATTAACATATTACATGTAGGTGTATACATATATATATATATATATATATATATACATAATACACAGCCAAATGTGTTATCATTTTTTTTTTTTTTTTTGTCATTTTAGTTTATTCTTTCCCTACCCCAAAGTGGTTGTACCTTTTAAGCGATTTATTTTTCGGCATGTCATACGTCGATACAGCCACTTTAAAATATGTAAAAAATAAGAGTCACATGAAAAAAAAAAAAAAAAAAAAAAAAAAAAAAAAAAAAAAAAAAAAAAAAAAAAAAAAAAAAAAAAAAAAAAAAAAAAAAAAAGAAGAAGAAGAAGAAGAAGAAGAAGAAGAAAAAAAAAAAAAAAAAAAAGTGTATAATTTGTCTCATACATACCCAAAATGAGGGGAATAAGAAAACTTGGTGTAAAATAATTCGACAGGACACATTTGTTGGAGAAGGAACATAAATGTAGGTGTTGTAGTGCTATTCAGGCTTTAAATTTTTTTTTTTTTTTTTTTTTTTCCCCCCTCCCCTCTCCATTGAATTATGAGCTATTATTTGATTTCACCGAATTAGGAACTATTATTTTACTTCACTTAAATAGGAACTATTATTTTACTTCACTTAATTAGAAACTTTTTTTTTTCTTCACATGGATATTCCTGCAAAAAAACCTTAAGCCCTTTCCACATTTCAGAACTTGGCTATATATACCGTGCATTACACATTTTGTTTAGTCCCTAATTTTTATTTTTTTTTTCCATTTTGTAACAGCCTTCCTGGTATGTTACATTATATATGAGTATCATCTTAATTATTCCCTCCCAAAAAAAAGGGCAAAAAAGGGGAAAAAGGAAAAAAAGGAAAAAAAGGAAAAAAAGGAAAAAAAGGAAAAAAAGGAAAAAAAGGAAAAAAAGGAAAAAAAGGAAAAAAAGGAAAAAAAGGAAAAAAAGGAAAAAAAGGAAAAAATACCCCCCCACCCCTTGTTGGCACCATTCAACAGTGTAATCCGATAATAATAATTTTTCATTTCCCAATCCCAGTATACATGCAGATTACTACTTGAACAAATTATAGAACGTCAAGGAATTTGCACACGACGAATATATAAGCGGAATATTATGCTAATGTGGTACAACAAAAAAAAGGGAAAATAATCTAAAAGAACAAATTACTCAGACCCAAACCATGAGGGTAGTACTTGTTGTTAATCCATTCCATGTGAACACTGGGAAATCTGTCTGGAAAAAACTTAGCTATATGTCAAGAAGATGTTTTTACACAAAGTTTATGAAGAACGATGGAATTCAGAATCGACATTACATAGATAGAAGAAGCTACTTCACTTCCCTATACGACACGAAAAATGAGAAAAAAAAAATAATGAACGAAATAGATGATTTATATGACCACATTTTAACAAGCAATTGGAATGATTCAGTAAACCTTGTTTTGAACGTATCAATTTGGGAAGGAATTTTAAATTCCATTGAAGATAAAATAAAACCATTTGAACTGGATGAAGATATAATTCGTAAAAAAAAAGAACTAAATGAGTTATTTGATATATTATTCATATTAGAAGATTTACGTGATCATGTAAATGAAATTCTCGAACAATCATCACGAGCAAGTGGTTTAGCAGGCACCTATATTTTCGCATCTTTCAGAATTGAAAATATGAATGAACATATCGAATTCTTGAAAAAACAATATGATGAACTCATCTTAAAATACCCCTTGTACAAATACCAAATCGATATGGTCTTGGGGAAAGGCTTAGCTCTTCTGCGACAGAGATACAATTTTGAGTGGAAACACATGCATGATTTTTTCTTTTAACTTATTTGGAGATCCTACATCTCTGTGCAGAAATTTCCAACTGCATGGTATTCTTTTTTTTTTTTTTTTTTTTTTTCTGTGATAATATTTCTGATCTTATCCCCCAAAACTGAACCTTTAAAAATGTATAGACAATTTGAATTTTTTTTATTTTTTTTTTTTTTTTTTATAACACAATTTTAAAAACAGCACAACAATCACGTGTAAAAATATCTCATACCACGGGTGCAGAATATTTAAAAAAGTACAAGTACAACTACGGGTGGTGTTGATATCAACACGTAAAACGCACAAAATGGGAGCATTCAAAATGGGAAAAAAGGGAGCACAAAAAATGAGACCCTCAAAATGGGCAAAAAAATGGACATGTAAAAAGTGTATATGTATGCATATACACTAAAACAAAAAAAAAAAAAAAAAAAAACTGGGGAATAAAACTCGATTAAACAAAAGGATCAACTCGCGCAATTCCTCATGTGTGTCAAGCATCACGTTGCATTTTGTGCATAAGCAAATAACCGTTTTTTCTATTCCTCTGTTAATAATATGTAATTTTTTCTTTTCTGCTGTCCCGTTTTGGAAAAAATAATTTTTCTTGATACAATCGGGAATATAAAAGCCAAATTATTTTTGTTAAAACCTATGACATAAGAAAGCGGATCATTTTCATTAATAGCAAAAGATGGGGTTTTATAATCCCGTACATATTTGAAACATTCCATATTATCATAAAGTTGGTTATTTTGAAAAGAAGGAATATTTTTTTGTAGGACAGTTTCACTTTTTTCTTCATGTTCATTAGTATCTTTTTTTTTCTCTTCTTCTATGTATTCACATTTTTCTGTGTTGTTAAAGGTTACATGCTTACACCTATTCTGTAATTCTTTTGAATCACTTCTTTCATCTTTTGATTTTATAATTTCTCCTTGTTTATTCGTTGCATGTGATGATATTTCTAATTCATTCGATAATTTATTTTTTAACTTTTCTCTTTTTTTTAATTTTAAAATATATTTTTTTATGAGAAATTTACTTAAACTGATTTTTTTTCTTTCTTTTTTCACAGGATTGCTATCCATCGATTTCTTCATTCTCTGCTCGTCTGTTCTATCTGTACCAGCAGTAGTTGCATCACCTGCGGATACCTTGTCATGGGCTCTCTGATGAACTTCATTTCCCATGGAATCTCGATTTGTCCGATCTGCATGCTCACTAAGATTGCCTGTAGTAATAGGACCCGAATTTTCTATTCTCCCTATACTTTTATCTGTGTGTTCAAATTTTTTTAGCAAGTACTCATCATTGTGAATGTCATGCTTTTTGTACAATCCGTATAAATGTTTATCTCTATTTTTCTCTACCAAATGTAGTAACCCAAGGATACCATTATTATTATTACTTCCCTTGTTTGTTTTATTATGTCCATTTGGATTTGAACTTTTGTTTAATAATTTCTTATAATCATCTTGGTGATCATCACATGTTTGTACTTTCATATAATCATTAGAATTTCCTATTTCCATAATACCTTGTATATATGTATTGTTCCACAAAGGTATATTTGGCAACACTGGGTAAATGTTTTTTACTTTTGCATGTTTTTTTAATGGATGTTGAAAATAATGATTATATGATATTTTCCTTTTTACATTTTTCGATTTCAACTCAGAAGAATTATTAGAATAGTCATTAGTATTTTTTTCGTTCGTGCCAGAATGTTCTCCTAAATTATTTCTATTTTTCTTTTCCTCACATTTTGACAAATTACTTTTGATACTTTTAATATATTGTGGAAATACTCTATTTAACAATTCAAAATCATCTTTTTCAAACGTGTGTACAATTGGAAGGGGGGATGAAATTTCTTTCATCTTATCGGTTAGACTCACTTGGTTATGCGATCCTCCAATGTTTTCATGCTTTTGATTTTCATTTTTTTTTTGTTCCTTTATCCAATTATGTATATCATCATTATTCTGTATGTTAAAGGAATATGAAATTGGTAAATCCATGGGTATATATATATTCCTCTCTGCATCATTTAATCGCTCTATTTTTTCATTCAATATCATTGTTGTATAATTAAAATTTAAAATTTCGTTGTCTACATCATACTTTAAAAACTTTACACTTTCATCAATATTCGGTAAATCTAGCACAAAATCAGTACTTCCACAAAACTTTTTAAATTTTGATTCATTCTCTAAATTTCTTATTTTCTTTGCTTCTTCTATTTCTCTCAAATTCATCCTTTCGCTTTTCCCATCCCTTGACTTTTCCTTCTTCATCACTTGCCCTTTATCCATGTTCTTCTAGCCGATCACGGGGTATGTATTTACGTATGTATTTATGTATGTATGTATGTATTTATGTATGTATGTATGTATTTATGTATGTATGTATATATGTATGCATATATGTATGTATGTGATGATAATAGCACACGTCCTTCTAATCCAATACGTTTACATACATATGCACAATCATATGTAAGTGCGCTGGCATGAACTTCCTAACTACTCCAATAAAATATCTGCCCCTCCTATGGGATCGCTATTTATAAAAAGGCTCTCCGAAGGTGGTCAGCCAAAAAGTAAAAGTGCTAACGAATGAGAAATGAAAACTCAAGAAAAATATAAAACTTAAAAATGAGCTTCTTTTCTTTTTTTTATTATGTCCCCATCGTTCATATATACAACTCAACAGAAAGAAGCTCCCTCTAAACTTCCTACAAAAAAGTACCCACAAAATGAAATTATGGATGGAGACACATGAAGGGAAATCAAAAAAAAAAAAAAAAAAAAATTGTCATTAATATATGTAAAAAAGTGAAGTGAAAAATGTATGCGAAAAAAAAAAAAAAAAGTGACAATAACTACTTCAACCTATCGAATCGAACTAGTTTCTTTTAACTTTTTTAAATGAATTTATGCCAGAAAAAATTAAAAGGAAACCTTAAAATGAAATAAAAAAAAAAAAAAAAAAAGTGGGGGACAACGGAGGAACTCAGCGGAAGAGGAAGGTATCAAGAGATTGTTTTTAGAAAAAGTGGGGCCTACACCTATACAACCTACTTATCATTATCACAATCATTTTTTTTTTTTTTTTTTTTTTTTACGTAGCGTTTTAATTTTTGTTCAACCAATATTTTCATTTTATATCCCCTATTCTTTTGATATTAATCCTTTATTATTTTTATCTTATCTATTTATTTATTTATTTTCTTTTTTTGGCCATCCCAGTTACATCTTTTTTTGTGACATAAATATTGTACTTCATCTCCTAGTGATCGAAAAATTTTTGTAGGTGTATCAAACCCATTTCGAGGGAGAAGAGATCAAAAAAAAAAATTCTTCTTTTTTTTTATGTTTATTTTTTTTTTAAAGGATTTACTTAAATAAGTGAATAAAAACAGCATGGACACAAACATGTCACTGTAAGTTTATCATATATGTAAGATGCAAAAAATGGTAGTTTTCTGATCAAATCAAAAAAGTCGGTTTTATGCAACAACGGGACAAATAAAAAGTGTACCAATATGTATGCATATATGTGTGTGAAAACATACACTGAACACACACACACGCGTGCATACGGAGATACAGGGAAAAAAAGAAAAAAAAGGTCAAACTGTCACACTTACACACTGCCACACGATCATACATTTGAACTTCTCCTGATGGAATCCTGAACGTGTGTACGCACAGAGAAAAATAGGTTCTTCCAAACGGTGCTTATAGCCCGGAGGAACGTGCGTTTGTGATTTGTAGAAAGCCAAGTTTACCAATACATTTTCATACAGTGTCGTCATCTCCAAGGATGATGGTAGAGTTTATGGAATTTTTCGAATTTTGCAATTCGTGATATATTTTATTTATGAGTAACGCATTGTTACAAGGAATTTTATACACAAGATTATTGGAATTTCCTGTTTTTATTATAAGACCATGGCTTGAAGCCCTTATTTCTGAAATGTCTTCAACTTTAAGAGACCAAATAACGATATCACCCCCACCACCATTACCTCCACTTCCGGCTCCTGCTGCACCAGCACCAGAAGCAGAACCTACTTTTTTATCTTTCAAAAATTCATTATTTTTAGTACTAACACACATATTTGCATATAAATTGGCATATATAATAACCTTTGGATAAAATAACATAGAATAATGAGCTGGTGGATGATTTTCTTGTTTATGTATAGTCAAACATTTCATAATATTTTTAGAAAATTTCAGACCTAAACATTCTCTTAATTCAGCTTCATGTAAATTGTATTCTTTTATTTTTCCATATTCTCCCCATAGCATTCTAGGTTTTCTGTGTCTCTTAGTTTTATATTTATGACCTCCAATAGGTTTAGACACTTCTGCTTTTATACCTCTTGTTACATCTGAAACAGCTTGGCCTACTTTATCTAATGGCTTTACCAATGATCCAGCTACCCCTTTACCTATACCTTTAAAAAATCCTCCAACTCCTTCTTTTTGTGCACCTTCAATTGGTTTTGTAACAATATTAGATAAACTTAAAACCCCTTCCCCAATATTCTTTACTGCACTTAGTAATCCCTCTTTCATATTTGTATTTGTTTTGAAATTTCTTTCTTTCTGTCTCCTGTTTATATATTCTGAATCAAAAGTCAAATTTGACAAAAAACTACCTATACCAACACTTACATTATCAACTGCATATACTGCTAAACCAATAGTATTTCTACCTATTTCTAATGGTATTTTTGGTATGTTAATTAGACTACTATATCCAACAATGAACCCCAAACAAGCCAATATAGAATGACTATACTTGTCCTTTAACAATGCATAAAAGGATTTTAAACTAGCACGAATATTATTAAATATTTCTTGATTTAATGCTACAGGTGCACCTAACAATTCCAATCTTCCTGATACCATTAATATTCTCAAACCGATCCTTAACAAATCACTCATCATGTGCATTTTATCTAATAAAAATGAACACCAAACTATGAGAGTAAATTTATCTATTTGCATATATTGTATATTTATAGCTAAAGGAATATCTGGGGATTTATAATTTACATATACAGGTAGAATTGTCCATTTTTGTATTTCCTCATAAAGTAAATTCTTCTTCTGTACCAAACTTATTCCTTCTATATATTCTGCTATGAGTAAATTAATTCCATTTAACGTTTCTGCATCCATCTCAATTTCTATATCATCTAAAGATATTTGTATTTTTTTAAAAATTACATCTTTATGTGATATAAAAGATCTCTCTACATATATGTTTAAAAATATTTTCTCTTCATTTGTATTATTTAAGCTTTTCACAATTCTCATTTCTGATGGATTCTTACACATCATTCCCTTATTAGGAAATACTCCTCGGGTCCCACGATTCATAGCACTCGTTCTATTGTTACAATCGTACACCTCATCCATCTCACTCATGTAATAACTTCCTTTTCCACAAAGCACACTACTGTCGCTTGTTCTATTATCAATCTTTGAACCTTGATTATATGAACTTTTAATTCTTTTCAATTCATTTTCACTATTTCCACCGACTACTATTCCTCCTCCTCCTGTTATTCCTCCTACTGCATTACCACTGTCACCATTTGTGCATATCCCTCGATTTGCTAAAAGTACACATTTTTCACAAGACTCTAATTGGCAATCTACTTGTACATCCGTAATCTTTATATCAATTACTTCTTCTTCATTCTTCATATAAAATAATGCACACAGTTTAGACAATTCAATAAAAAAGACTTCCTCTTTTAGTATATTAGATATGATACTTACTCCTATTTGGGTTATATTAATTATTATATGTACATTTTTATATGTGCTGCTGATCATTTTTACTGATTCTTCTTTCTTATTTCCATGATTTTCCTCCTCCTGTCGATGGTGCTGCTGCTGATGCTGGTAGTAGTAGTAGTGGTTCTTATTGTTGTATCCATTGTAGCTGTTCCTGAAGCTGCTATTGTTGCTACTATCACCACCACCACCTACTACTACTACTCCTCTGTCAATTCCATACTTTACATAATTGTATTCATTCGTTCCAATCATTTTTCTCTGAATGTAACTGCTATCTTTACAAGGGTTCATAATATTGAGGGAAGTTGCATTGGTCATGCTTATTTCATTGCTATTTTTCCTACTCATCTGGTACCCATCTACCAGTGCTTCTATTTTATTATATTCCTTTTGTATATCTAAAGAATTTTTCGAACTTCTTTCCCCATCATGAATGTCATAAGTAGACGTAACACGTTCAACAACACCACTACTGTCACAACCTCCATAATCACCACTAGCTGAAAAAGTAGGCTCATGTATTACCCCCTTTACAATATTCATTCGATGCTTCAACTTTATTGTTATCAAATCTTGTATATATTCTATAGAAATAATGAAAATGACATCATGACAATATACATGGAATATTTTCTGAGAATAATTAAATTGTGCAAACCTCAAAATGAAAGGAATTCTAGGAATGGTCTTCATATTATGAAGAACAATCTCGATTTGTATGTTTCTTGTTACATATATAAACGGATTAACCCAACCCAAATACATATGCTCATCATATTCTATATTAAAATAATGTTCAATATCGCTTGAATTTAAAAAATTTCTAAATAATATATTTTTTTCAAAATTATAATTTTCATCCTCAACCTGTTTCAAATGTTTCATATCATCATGAAAGGTTCTTATTCTAAAATATTTTGCCAACCTCGAGCAGTTATAAGCAATAAATCCTTTATTCATATTCTTGTCTAACTTTTCGATAATTATATTCTTCAATCCCAAATCAGGTATGCATGTAATAATATAAACGTCTGATTTCTCTTCCTTTTTTGAATGATTGCTTACTACCATATAATTTGTCCCTACAAAATTCTCACTTGGGAATATAACCGACGACCAAAATGGGCTTCCGTTTGAGTTAGTCACTTTATTGTAATTTTGCACCATTTTGTTTCCCTCCTCAGCCTGACATTTATTCTTCCTACTTTCGTTATTGTTCTTGTCACTAGGGTGGCTATTATCATGGTGACTAACATATCCACCAGCATGAGCATCATTTTTCACATTCTCCAAAGTCTTAAATCGAAACAGCAAAATGTTCTGCTTCTTGGGAAAATACAACGGACAAGTATCATTCTTCCTTATTCCTTGTACCTTATCCATTTGAAACTGCTTTATCAATATGGGATAATTCAACTTGTTGCTGATAATAAACTGAGGCACTACTGTTACTATTCGGCTGATGATGTAAGGTATATTTGTTGTCTTAATTTTTTCTGTGTTCAGGCAAAATGTGTAAAAAAAATTCTTACATTCGACACTAGTTTCTGTATAACTACCAATGGGTGGTAAAGTGGCCTTAAACAATATCGGTGAATTATCAACAGGAGTAGGATAATTAAAATCGTTAAAAATATCATCATAATCATTGGATCCGTAAATTCCAACACCATCGTAACTTTTACCTCCACTTCGACATGATCTTAAGAATTCATTGTTATATGTTTTATGAGGTAATAACAAATCGATTTGTGAATTGTCACCTAGCAATGTTATTCCGTTTATAATTGGGTAATACTTATTAGAATTTATTACCTTAATCCCTAACCCCGTTCTGTCAATAAAACATCGTGGTAGAGAAAAAATATACAATTGTTTATTTCCAACTATACTACTTAATGAGTTAAAATATCCACTAAAATTCTTGATTAACTCTACTTCCACAGATGCAAATCTTTTAAAATTTAAAGTAAATCTCATAACAGATTCTTCATCATCTTCCACTAGATAAAGCTTTTCGGACCATTCACATTGAGAATTCCCAATTTTCATCTTCATATTTAAACAATTATACTTCCTAATTTCGTATATATAAAAAATGGAAAATGGATTCAACCGTTTATTCACATATCCCATATTTGATGTGCATGAAGATATCTTTTTTTTTTTCTCTTTTATTTCTTCTTCAATGTTACATATTTCATTTTCCAACCGATTTAATTCCTGCATATAAATACCTTCATTGTTCATTGCACCTTTTCCCAATACATAATCGTCACCAAAGGTATTAACAATACCACCTGATGAACTGTTTCTCGAGCTGGACATCTTTACTGATGCAATTTTACTTAAATATGCATTTATCTCTTCACACTGTCTCATCAGTCTCACCTTATTGTTTTTTAAAGTATCGATTTTCCCCTTTTCTTCATAAACATAATCGTTCTGCTTCTCCTCAGAAATTTCAGAAGTTATAATAATGTCTACCAATGCTGGAATGGCATTAACTACACTAACATGTGGATATATTGTAATGATTTTTATATTTTTCTCTGCTGGTAAGGCACTTATTTTATTCTCAATTTTTACTAAAAAATATAAATAATTATTGTTATCCCGAAGTTGGCACTTTTTCACATATGTCCCTTGATTTACATCAGAGCTGAAAATGTCTGACCATCCCTTTTCACAATTAATGGAAGAAGTATCCAGAAGTTCTTTTGTTCCTCTCCTTGACAGTAGCATGTCGTTCCACTCTTTATCATCATCACAATTATTCCTCTTCAGTTCATCCTTCGAGCTTTGTGCTTTTCTTTTAGAATAATCAAGCTGGGACAATTCGTTTATGTCATTCCTACTACTAATTCTTTCTTTCCCATTTTCGCCCCCATTTCCATTTCCATTCCCCTCAGTAACGCTTCTAGAACTCACAATTTCATAATAATCATTTTCCTCACTAACCAAATTGATCGGCTTGAACGACATATACACATGCGATGGGCCACAAAATGCACATTCTGGAGTTGACAATAAATGCTCATGGTTCAATATAACTGTAAAGCTGAGGTTATTATTCTTCTGCCGTAATTTTATATTTGGATTTATATTCAAGCTATTAGAAACCTTGTAATTTTTAAATGAATCACTGTGGTTTGGGTACAGTGTACTAATCGGTATTGTTCTATTCTCCAGAGATGTTAATAAAATAGGATTTTTTGTTACATCAAAAAAGCAAAATTCTAATGGAATACCACATTTATTTAAAATTCTAACGGTTGAGGACATGAACAATATTTTATAATTCGGCATGGGAGATATTATTTCACATACTGTCTCTCTAAGCGAAGTTTGAGGTAAATAATTATGTTTCAATCTGTGCCTGTATGCCATATTGGTTTGTTTAATCAACTCTTCATTCAACATTTCCCATTTATTCACCTTTTCTATATTTTCCTTATTTAATTGAACTCCCAAGTTTTGCACCAGTGCATCATTCTTTTTCTCCTCATCCTTTAGGCTGTTCGAAATCTTATTGCACTTCCTCCCTCTATTATTAATAATAACAGCATTCCTAGATTTTTCTTCAAAAATAAAATCACGGGGTTTTAATAAATGAATCACATTACTACTTTTCATTGATGTGGCTAATGTTGTGCAGCTATTCTTAATCAAGTTTATGATGACACATTCACAATTTTTTAAAAAAGGTCCTACGAATTTATTCGGTGCAAAAGTGGAATTTCCTAAATCTTTCTCTTTTCTTTGCTTATACTTAAAATAGTAATTTTCACACTTATTATGCCTCTCCTCAAATGAATTTATTTCTTCAAACTTTTCATTGTCAACACTGCATTCGGTCGAACTTTCTTCCTCATCTTGAATTTCCTTCTCTTCATCTTCTTCCTCCCAAGATAAATCATAATTCGAAATGGACGAGTTACTGTTGTCCTTTCTCAATTCTGTTACTTCACTACAGCCCGTTTTTTCAATTTCTGCCACTCCAATCTCCGTTCTTTCTATCGTTTTTTCCCCTGCATTCCTTTCATCTGCATTTCCTTCCTCTGCAGTGATACTTCCGTTGTACTTCTCCTCTATATCATTCCCTTCTTCCAATCCAAGCGTTTCTGATTTTGCCTCATTTCTTCTTCCTCCTCCTGTCGCTCCAGCCGCTCCTGCCACTCCTGTGCTGATATTTCCTCTTGTGAAAAATTCTGCCCCTGCAATCGAATCCAAGCTGAAATCCCTATTAACATATTTTCTTCCCCTATTTTCGCCTCCTCTAATTTGATTGTATGACACTAAGTTATCAATTGTCTTCTTGGGATTCTTTGTTATCATCAAATCAAGAACAATGTCCTTCTTACTTATAATGGGAAACATATCATGAATTGCGTTCACTACATTAGTAGGTGGAATGGGTATCAAGTACAAGTACATGTACTTTTTCTCTATCAGTGAATTATTAGCAATCTCATTAACTAGTAATCGATCTAGGGATATTAATTCCTTTGTCGTGATAATTTTCGCGAACACCTCCGGCGTGCTTCTCCCATGACCATTCCTTGTGAACTTATCTCTTCCCTCCCCATGCAGCTGCTGTTGTTTCTCCCCCAATTTGCATGAAGATACTGACTTTGAGTCTCCCTCTACCTGCTTCGTTCTTATCCCTTCCTTTTCCTCTATAGTTGCCAATTTGACACCATTTGTAATGGAACTTATACCAGATGGAGTTCCTCTTTCGTTCACAATTTTGTACTTACTCCTTAACATTGCACATGCACGTTTATTCTTCATTTGTTCAATATTGCCTTCTGGCATTACAAAGGCGTAAAAATAGTCACTAGTTAAATTGACATAATATACAACAGAATTATGCTTCACACAATTGTAATTGTTTCGATTTACTTCCTTCTTTAGAAAATCGTCCAAATGAAAATCAGTAGATTTATTTACATCCATGTCACCTGATACTGATTCAAATACAGAGGAACAATCTTCATAAATGTTTTTACATTTTATGTTCAATTTTTTATCATCTAACTCGGTCGACGTCCCATCATAATTGTTATTCATAAAGGATAATTCTACAGCTTGATTTTCGCTCATATCATATGTGTTACTATTCATGAGTCTATTTTCCTTTTTCTTTAGTCCATTAAGTACCTTTTCAGTAAATAGTGGAAGAAACAGAAATAGCAAATTTATTAACTGTGGGGTTACATTAAACCATAAAGCTTTAACACTATTTATTTTTATAATACTGATTGGGGATTTACTATATTCTGATTCTTCACTATACATATCATTTGATAATATTTTATGGACATCCAAAGATATGTTACATTTTTCAAGAAATGGTTCCCATTCTCCTATGCAGTTATTAAAATATTCTACCTTAGAATTTAAATCGTTTATATTGTAAGAACACTCATCTGTGTAAAAATTTAAACTAATATTCATACTTAGTATCATTCTAATAATTGGAACAATAGAATTTCTTATATCATCAATAAATGTACACTTCACATTATGTAACCTTATCATTATTTTAATATCTCTATACGTATTTGTTGTCTCGTTATTATTCCTGTTCAGTTCTGATTCCGATTCGTTCTCTTTAATAGATTTCCTCATGAAAATTCTGTTAGATGCATACGATTCTGTGTACGATGAATCTGAACAACTTATCGAATTAGAATCAATTGAGAATTCAGATAACATATTATATGAAAACGACTCAAGCACTCTATTTTTCGTCTCAGAAAAATTCACATTACCTTTACTCTCCATACAAATTGGAATTATGCCCTTTTCTGTACCAGGTTTGTATGTATCTGCTGAAATATCTTCCCCATCCATTAAGGCCTTTTCCTTATGTTTCAAATCCGCAACACCATCAGGCAGAATTTTTTCCTTCGTTCTAATTCTTATCATCCCTTTTTTTAACTTGTTTATATTAGTAACACGTAAATTATTGGAGGAGCTCAATTCACTATCTCCCACTTGTTTCATTACAAAATAAATGTTATTTCTCATAAATTTGTTTTTTATTTTTCTATGTATAAATTTCACTGGGGGTATTACTGTACCTATGGCTATATTCGTGTATGAACTAGGAACATCACCAAACAGGGTGGAAGAGGCTCTTAGCAAAATTTCTACATCATCATTTGACAATCGTATGTCAAATTTTCCTATGTTTATGTCTACTTCAAAAACAGATATAAATTCTGGATAATCTTTTTTTTTCAGATTAGGTTTTAAAATATAATTTTCTTTTTTAGTATCTACCGATTCGTATAACGCTTCACCCTTTACATTTAAATTATCACACAACAATATTTTCTTCTTGTGATAATTGTGCAATGGATTGGACACATCTTTGGAATTTCTTCTCTTAAATTCCTTGTTCTGTGAATTACTTACATAATTAATTCTATTTATTTTACTATCTATGGCATAAATTTTTCGAAAAATTATACACTTGTTTAAAAGAGAAAAGGAAAAAACAAAATTATTTGACCACATTAAAATAGGATGTGCTACATTTTCTAAATCTGTAAAAATTATAAAATTTCCATTTGTCACTTTAAAATTTATATGAGTAGGTTTATTATCTAACTTCAATATCTCATTAATATTTGTTATAATTTGATTTTTTTCATCTTTCATTCCTTCTCTTATAAACTTGTATGGGTCGCTAAGGTTCTTGTCTCTATATTTTTTGTTCTTTCTTTTTAAATAAGTATCTTCTTCCTTTTCCTCTTCTTCTTTGGCATCGGATAAGAAACAACCTTCATCCACATGATTTTCTACATCATCCTCAGATTCGTTTTTCCCCATTTTAAAAACATCTTCTTCTATCATAATATTCTCAAAATCGTATTTTTTCAAATTCTTACTACACTGATTAATTTCTGAATGTGTGTTAATCTTCTGCTCCTTAGAATTGAATTCCTTTTTACTCTCACTGGGCAAGTCGTCATTATGTGATTGTTTATGTTGCATATCACTCTTCTTCCCTTTTTTCTTTTTTCCACTATCTCTATACGAAACAATGTAAGGGGAAGGCTTAGGGTATAAATGCAAAGTACTCAATTTGAAACCCATAGATAAAAATTTATATATATCTATGAAAATAATAAAAAAAAAACAAATATAAGCATCATCCAATTCTATACTTAACAATATGTCTTCTATAAAAGAGTTAATTTTTATCTTTATACCCTTTTGCTTCTTTTTCTTCTTTTTCTCGTTCAAAAATACGTTATTCTCGAACATGTATCTTAGTAATATTTTATAGTCATTTAATTCTTGGGAGGAGGATCTATAATCATCTGCGGCATCTTTAAAACTCTTATTCTTGGAATGGTTATCATCCATTGTCATAATATTCCATTCTCCTGAGGTTGTATTTTCAAATAGAGCACTACTACTTATAACTTGGTTACTGCTCATGTTATTTTCCTCATCCAGATTGGAAATTAAAGAAATGCTATTCAATGACACGTTATTATTCTTTGTTAGTGAAGACACATTGCTCTGTACATTATTCCGTACTATATGTGATTTCTTAGACTTTTTCTTCCTATTAATTCTGTCAACTTCATTTTGAATACAACAGTATGCCACCCTCTTGTAATAGTTGATAGAATTTTTCCTCACATCATCAATATATAGAGAATTACTATAAAGATCAAAAAAATAAATATAGTAAAAATCTAAAAGAACTAGATGGAACGAAATGCTTATGTTCTTAAACGTTATAACAGCTATTGGTGTATTTACATCAAAAGATGTTTTAATTCTTAGGCTCTCCAAGTTTATATACACGTATAACTTCAACCCATTCTTTCTCATGGGTTCATTTTTCGATTCCCTAATTATTTCCTTGCTCCTTGGACTTCCATCCATTGTATCCCCTTTTGGGATCTCTCTATCCTCACTACTCATGGGATCTAAGTTTTCTTTGAGATTAGAAATGGTCGAATCAACGTGGCTATTTGGCTCGTCACCCAGATGTCCGTTAGAATGACTGTTAGGATTTCCGCTATATTTCTCAATTTCTCCCTCTTCTCCGGTACATTTGGCCATGCTACTACCACTTCTCATATTCAAACTCCCTAAGTTGATATTTCCCTTTCGAAACCATTCAACATTTAACATGTTGTGTATGTCTACCCCTTTGTCACAAATAAAACACATTGGAAAATACCCCTTGTAGCAGAAATTTTCATTAATTATGTCCAACAAAAAAGATAACTGAAATATAGTCAAGTCTAGATATAAATTATTTCCATTAAGATAAATGCAAACGCCATCCTTAGTGCTGACTAAGCATAAAGCTATGTTCACTTTCTGTAATATATTTCCTTCTATATTTGTGCTTCCTCCATTTTCACACGCTCTACTTTCAATGTTTAACAGATCAATATATAATGTAAAATCGTACTTAGATTGTCCCCCATTTGCAATTCCATTATTTTTGTTTTCATTTTTCCTCAGTGAGTCAATTTCTTTGGTCACTTTTGGTGCACTGCTACCACCTTTATCGCTACTTACATTACCTCTTTGTTGCTCTTGTTTACTTTCGATTTTCCATCCAACACCTCTTAATCGTTTATCTCTCCTTTTTTTCCTCTTTTCATTCAGCTCATTCCTCTGATTTAGTATAATCTCCTCGGTGCAATTAACTGTGTATGAATTCTTAAATTTTAATGTATCTATATGGAATTTTAAATATGATTCGATATACGGAATGTTGTTATTGTCCTTTTCTGCATTTACATCCCCTTTTGCATTTTCATCCCCTTTGGCATTTCCCACTTTTTCACCAAGACTGCTGCTTACCTTGGAGCACATAGACGTGTCTTTCACTTTTCCACGATAGTTGTATATTATATTTTTGTCTTCGGGGATAATAACGACAGGATCCAGAATGGTGCAATGAAAGAGAAAATATTTCGTCTGAGCAACTTGGACTACCTTCTTGTACGATTTGCTTATAAATACATTCAATATACCATCATCTAAATATTCCAAAAATAATTTTAAATCGCGTAAATAAAAAATATAGTATATACTTGATATATCACACAGTAAGCATATATTATAATTTCTCTTATCATTATAAACCTTTACTTTTCCCACAAATAAATCATGCTTTTTCTGTTTATTTGTTCTTTTCTTTTTTTTTTTTATTTCCTCAGATAAATTATCGACATTGATATAATTCCAAATATCCTTACTATTTCTCCTCTCACATAAACTTTTCATATTTACCACTTTACATTCCTCATTTTGTTTTATACTGTCCATATCAGTTGAGTTGTGTTTTTTGCTCTTCTTAGAAATAAATAAATCATATGTATAATCGTCAATATTATTGGAAATTATATTCTTACTATTTATTGATATAATACCTTTTTCAATATTCACAAACATTTTCTGATCAAAATTTAAATACACCTTGTTTTCATAGTATATATTGCTTACTTGAATTTTTGAAAAAATCTTCCGTTTTTGCCAGAAGGCAAGGGACGCACTCTTGATATAACAATTGAAAAAGTACTTAACGTATGAGCTCTTCTGTCCCTGCAATTTCGGTAATGTATTGTTCAGTCCATTGCTAAGAATGTCATCGGTGGCAGTGTCGATATCAACCTCATTAGTGTTAGTGCCAATATCAACCTCATTAGTGTTAGTGCCAATATCAACCTCATTAGTGCTAGTGCCAATATCAACCGGTGCTGCAGTATCGTAGTCAGCAACATTTGGAGAATTTTTCCCCATTGCACAATTATTACCACTCATGTGTTCCATACATGTTTGTTTTTCAGGAGACAAATAGGAATTCGCAATTTTTCTTTTGCCAGGATCTAGAGTAGCTGTTTTTACAACGGAATCACTGAGACTTATGTTTGCCTCCTCATCATTTTTTTTTGTGGATTCTAGATCTAAAATGTTGAGAGAATTTTTCACATTCTTTAACGTTTCCTGGACACTCCTCAAAGTGTGCTCAGAAATAAACATTTTATAATTCTTCAACTCCATTTCATTTTTTAATTTATTTTTTATATATTTCATATCCTTTTCTATTCCATACTGCAACTTCTTTTTGTATTCTTTCATCGTTCTAAATATCTGCTTTATGGTCTTATATTTCCAGTGCAATTCGATATCACTTATGATGAAATTAATATGAGTTTCGGCTTTATTGATTTCATTTTTCTTCTGTACAATTTGCAGGTTTATGGACAGCTGTTTTTCTTCTATGGCATCCATAAAGTCATCATCTTCCTCCTCGTAAATGCCATCATCATCACAACGGGCATCTGCATCGGCATCATTACTGACATGATTGACCACTCGATCTTCATTTTCATTTCTCCTAGATTCTTCTTTTTTCTCCATTTCTTCACTTCTATCCTTCCATCCTGTTTCTATCACGTCGTTATTTCTGCTTTCGTTCGAAACGATATTCACATGTGTGTTTTTATCATCCCTATAACTGTAAATTTTCTTCTCGTTTGAGGATTCCCCATTTTCCACAGGATTTTCACAAATTTTTTCATCCCTACAGTTAGGGTTAAAAGAGGTGGGGTGGAAATTATCATCCTTTTTTTCTGTGTACTCCTGTCCCTCATTGGATGAACTCATCATCATATATTCTTCTACTCTTTGAGCTGACTGAAATCGCTCAAGGCAATCTGATTCATCCTTATCCTTATCCTCATTATTATTATTATTATCAATTTTATTATCTAATATATTATCTTTATTATTCACGCCTGAATCACCACTGATAGCATTTTCCGTGTGGGGGTTGTCTGGTAGTACGCCAGCACCAACTGAAGCAACATCTGCATTACCCAGAGAAACACCCTTAATCATTGCATTGTGCTTTTCCTCCAAATAAGTTGACAATGATCTGAAGAGAAAAATATCCTTCGAATTCACATTCTTTGTTAAAGTAAAAAAAATTGGCTGTCTATTGCTAGGGTCACAAATCCATAACTGCTCAATTTCAATTTTAACGATCTTCTTCTTTTTCTGTAAATAATTTTTATATGATATTCCACAGGCTTCATATTTCAAAACTTCTCTATTTTTCCCATTTTTAATCGAAAATGCAGAATTCTTAATTAAAAAATCGATATCATAAAGAAAGGATTCTTCCTCTAGTTTATTTGTTTTGCCAAATTCAGTCATATTCATATTTGCATCTTTAACATTGACAACAACATCAATACTGGACTCGCTATTCTTTTTAGGATGTTTTTCTACGCATGGCAAATCCAAGCTGATATTTGCTTCCCCCTTAGTACACATATCTTTTTTTTCTACGGAGGAGATTCTTTTCCTATTTTTCAACAAATCTTTTTCTTTCTTGTTTTTTGAATAAAACCGCGTTAAATATCTAGTGATAGATGTTGGTACAGCCATTATGATGCTTACTGCATCTGGATTAATTTGAAAAAATATTCCATCCAAAATTATATTAGTTTTTAATATTTTCAAATTGTATTCTACATATACTTTAACAGGAATTGGCTGTAGTATGTGAAATTTCTCATTTTCTAATGCCTTTTCTTTTATGTTATTGCAGTAACTCTCATTCAAATAAACCTCTTCATCAGGTGTAACGCCTGCAATAACTTTTTCCCCCTGTTTTTCAATTTCCCTTTTTCGATCCTTATATTCATTATCCAGTTCTACCTCTTCCGTCTCCTCTTTCTCCTCCTTCTCCTTCGCTTCCTTACGACTTAATAACTCTGCGTCAATTTTACCCTTGTACATTCTCTGAACATCATGAGTCGACGTTTTCAAGCATGTTATTTGCGTCTCGTTAAATTCAAATATAAGGTTAAACTTGTGATATGTACACGGGCATTCGGTTTTTGCTATTAAATTACCCAAATGTAATTCAACAATACCATTTGTTAAATTGTCAAAATGTAGTATAGGACCACATATATGAATATAAAATTCGAAGAGTTCAGGTAGATGTTGTACTGCTCTATTATATACATTTTCCCCCTTTTCTTTCAGACCCTCAATTAATTCTGTGTGTTCCATTTTCTTAATATGAATCAATGCTTCATTATCTTCATCATCCATTTCGTCGCACTCTGACTCGTATCCCTGAAAATCGTATTCTTCTTCTCCTCTTTCTTCTTCTCCTTCTTCTTCTTCTCCTTTTTCTTCTCCTTTCTTTTCTCCCTCTTCGTCATCTTTGTAATTTCCCTCATCTGGGAAATCCTTAAGTGACTCCTTCGCAAGACCTTCCTTACCAACTAATTGCTTGCACGTGGATTCCTCTGCATGAGTATTGTACGAAATTTGTTCATTAGAACCCAAATCGAGGGTATCCTCCTCTCTCTTTTTGGATAAAAATAAAGAATCTGAATTGATGAAATTCTGAGTACAGTCTCCCCCTTCTTCATCCCTTCCTGCAGAGATGATGACAGAGTCCTTTCCTTTATTTTTCTTCAAAATCGATGCTTGCTTCTTATTAATTATATCTATCAAAGGAAACGCAAAAGACAAAATATTTTTAATAAGTAATGGTGATAAATAAAGTTCCAACGGATTCAATCTTAACAAAGTAGATAATGTATTTCCCTTTTCTGTAACTAAATGATTTATCTCTACATAAGCACATAAACTTTGGCTATGTATCAATGAATAGTATATTGGGTTTTGATAAATAGTACTTCCTGTATTATTAACATTATACGAATATGAATTTTTATTCGTACGAAATTCCATAAAAACTTTATTCTTATGTTTTGCAACAAAATTTTGTAACTCAATTATAAACTTCCATTGAAAATTATCGTTATCATTGTGATCAACAACGGATTGTAATGATAATGATGAATATATTTGATAAAAATTTATTGACAATATATTAATTTCTTTACATTTCATCTTTTCCTTAATGTAATTAGAATTAGTAGAACTTACAACAGTGGAACTATTTAACATACTGTAACTACTTCCACTGTGAAACATTTCCTGACTCATATCGTCATTAATATCGTTCCTATGAAGGTATTTATTAGTAATAACATCACCATCTTCGTTTCCTTCGTATTGATGGTTTGTCATTTCTTTTGAAATTCCTTTCATTAGCTTATCATCATTTTGATTTCCACAAACTTGTATCACATTAGAGTGGTTATTTCGGTTTCCATGCTCTCCCTTGTTCAAATGAAAAATCGCATTTTTTTTTCTTCTTTTTCTACAATCATCATACACATTGATAGAAAAATTCGCTAATTTGAATTGAAAATCATACTTCGTTGGAAGGACTACATCGTAATTATCATCATTCGTCATTGCTTCTTGCAAAATATATAACTCCTTTTCATTTATAATGTCTTGTTCACTCTTTAAAATACTTTGAACCTTATTTTCAATGTCTTTCTTATTTCCTGTTACCCAAGCCCACCATGATTGTTGTTTATAGATAGAATCGTAGAGATATTTTTTTTTTAAATTTTTCTCTTCTATTATTTTTTCTAGCATATTTCTACATTGCAATCTCCATTTAGCCAAATGTCGTACACCAACTACATCATACAAAATTTGTAATCGATTCAATTCCTTTGTTGTCAATTCAGTTGTTGATATATTATATTTTTCTGCAAGAACTTTATTGTACAAGTTCATAAATTCATTTTTTGTTTCATTTCTCAACGATTCTATATCTAATTTAACAGTACAAGCATGCTTTAGCAATAATTTGTTCGTTTGATTTCTAGACTTATTCGCTTCATTCATTATTTCAATTATTTTTGTAATTTGCGTTCTTGTTAATGTTATTCCTTCCCATTTCTCACCTATTTCTAACTTTGCTTTTAGTTCTTTTTTGTTACTAGACTGTTCCACAGGTAGTACTAAATCGAATGGTTTAATTAAATATTCAAAATTATAATAATTTAAAATCTTATTATCGTCATCTCTTAAAAAATGGCTAATCTGGGACAGTGTTCTTTTCAAATAGTTATCTTTATTATTATCATCACCATCATCATCACATTCCTCTCCACTACCTAACTTCGATTCGAATGTTAGATAGCTATTTTTATCATAACTAATGGATAAATCACCCTTCATCTTTGAAGAAAAATCAAAGTCTTTCATCTTTTCATTAACATTGTTTACTTTGATATCGTTATTCGTTACAGATGATGCATTTTTCCAATCATCATTTTCATCTTTAGCATTTTCCCCAATGTTTACTGAATTGGGCGATTCTTCAATGTCCTTTTTTTTAGGAAAATTTTTTGGATCACTTAAAGAGTTGTCGCTCTCTTCTTTTTTCCCCTCTTTTTCATTTTTATTTTTTTTCTCCCTTTCCCACTTTTTCCTTTTACGTTTTTTCCTTATATTACTGTTACTGTATATACATAACCCTTTGAATTCGATTATATGATTTAACTTTTTATGTTCTTCATTTGCATTCGTATTTGCATTCGCATTTGCTTTTACGTTTGCATTCGTGTTTGTATTTGCATTTACGTTTGTATTTGCATTTTGGTTAGAACTCGAATTGGCAACTTCTGTGACATTTTCGTCCTTGTTAAGACAATTTTTTACTGATGATGACTTCAGGATGAATCCTATGGAAAAGTTCTTCTCTGGGTCTTCAAAATGAATTAAAATATCTTGAATATCTATTTGAATATTGTTAATAATTTTATTTAATAATTTAAAAATAAGTGTAGACTTTTCCGATGATTTTTCTCTATTTTTCTGCTGTTTAATGATTGAAATTTCTTCTTCTAATAATTCCAATCTATGCATTTTGGCTTTTCTTAATTCTTCTATTATCACATTTTCATTTTTTCTATAACTTCTTGGTTTTATATAAATGTGTACACTTTTAATTAGTACACATACCGGGCTTTTTCCTAACTTACTCCATGGGATTTGTATGTTTATTCTTCCTATATTTCCATGGATTATTTTAAAAGATAAGTCTAATATTTCAGTTATCTGTGGTTTCAGTTTTAAGTTCTCTAAAACTATGTTGCCTGACCATACACCCAAATGTAAATTCCGCTCAATCCCCTCCACATATGGAGCAAGGAATTTATTCAGGAGCTTTTCAACTAGTGATTCCAGCATTTTTCTCTCGTGCACTATACTGTGCTTGACACTCCCTCCCCTTTTCCCTATTCGTTTCTGGAAATGTTTTAAATACGTCGAATATCTTCTATAAACTCAATCACAAAAAGGAAGCAAAATGGGGAAAACAAGTAGCTACGTAGGATACAAAAAGGATGCAATTAGGATGCACATGAGATTTAATTGGTATGCAAACACGATACATATGCAATTCATTTGGGATACAAATAGGATACACAAACGATTCAATTGAGATGCAAACAGAATACACATGCGATTCAATTGAGATGCAAACAGAATACACATGCGATTCAATTGAGATGCAAACAGAATACACATGCGATTCAATTGAGATGCAAGTAGGATATAAAACGAAAAAAAAATAATCGTCCCCTAGCAGATTTCACATATATGTACAATTATATGTAATTCTTAGGTACGATTTTCTTTTCTTTTACATATGTAACATCATTTTAATTAGAAATTATGGGTAATATAATCATATTTTATGGTATCTTCCTTCATAAGGAGTGTTTTTTTTTTTTTTTTTCTTTTTTTAAAAAATTCACAACTCTGCTGAATTGCACCTCACAATTAGTGCAACTGTTTCACACAAAATTCATTACATGCATTTTTTTTTTTTTTTTTTTAATAATTGCACAAAAAAATTACCAACAGGTGGTGGGGGCTAAATCAAGAAGTGTCAACTTTGTTAGCACCTACTGAAAAAAAGTTTCTTCACAATGTGCCTTTTTATATGCACATATAATATATTATATATATTACATTCCTACAATGAAAAAGAAAGGACTTTTTTTTTAAAAAATTGTGAAATTGTTTAAACCAAAAAAAAAAAAAAAAAAAAAATAAAGTGAAGCAAGGATGAATTTCATCAACGCTTGGTTATAATCCCTTGCATGCATACATTTTTATTTTTAAGTACATTTCTTCGTTATGGCTTATATTTGTTGCATATATAAAAATTTTGCAAAAAAATGCTACATAAATATTTAGTCTTAATTCAAAATTACACAGAAAAAGGACAGTTTTTTTTAAGGTGGAATTTTTTTTGAGAATAAAATAGATATAAACAGGATATGTATGTACAAATAATATAGGCTTATTTACACACATACAAATTCGTAAAAGAGCGTGCGAAACATGCACAATGAGAAAAAACATATTTTGTTGGCAGTCAATCTTGTTCACTTTTTTTTTACGGCATAACCAGAAAACAGTTACACGCTAATAATCAAAGTTAAAATTAAACAAATTTTTATGAACTGTTAAGGTCATATTAGAATTTTTGATATATACATTTTTAATTTTTGCATGAACAAGTCATATATATATAGCGTGCTTTTTTTTTTTTTTTTTTTTTTTTTTAAATTTACATTTTGGCTTCTCCTTATTAAGTGTAAACTTTTGTCATATTTTTCTTAAAAAATGCATGGTACCCTTTTTCTCTTAATGTTGAAAAAGAGAATGTAAAATGTGTAGAAATTAAAAATAATATTATTTCATTTAAAATTTTTTTTTTTTTAATATCATCTGAAAAAATCAATAAAAATTCAAAAGTGGGGGGTTGATATAAAATGAAACAAGGTGAAGAGGAGTAAAAGGTTTCTATTCCATTTAAGCCTAAATAGGTACATACAAAAATAGGCCTTTATCTTTGTAAAACAATACCCAGACAAACATGTTATTTCTTTTATATGTAAACGAAAGGGAGAGAGAGTGACGGGGGGGGGGGGGAGGGGTGTTGTCTTCATCATTATTTTTTTACCACATACTGAAATTAAAAATGTTACATAGCTATGTTAGACAAAATGATTTATTAAAAGGAAAAAAACAAACAAAAGAATGTAAGATTTAAAAGGGTAATATGAAATGAAGGAGGACACCCATGACCCCTGGAAAAAATATATTCTTTTCTCTTCTCTATTTAAATTTTCTTCCCTTTTTATTATATCTGCATTTTGTTGTGATTCTAAGTTTTTGCCAATTAAAGCAATTCATGTGTTTCATTTTTTTTTTTTTTTTTTTTTTTTTTTGCTAGTTGCAACATGTAAAATATGGCAGAATCAGAAGACCAGGTCTGTCTTTTCTCTTTTAATTTGTCAATTTTATCACGAATAAAAATTATGAAAGAACAACACGAGTCTATTATTTATTTTTTTTTTTTTAACCAATCTTTCGTGAAATATTGTAAACAAAAGGGCATATGTGAAACTATAAAAAAAATAGTATAATAAACTAATTTATACTTTTTTTCTGAAAAATATAACATATTTTATTATTTTATTTATTTTATTTTTTTTGTTTTTTTGTATAACTTATTGCAAATATTTTTATTAATAAATAAAACATTTCCGAATATAAAAAAAAAGTTTAATCTAATATTAATAAATAAAAGAAAATTAAAAAAATTTAAACATTTTAATTTGAATAAAAAAATATAAAAAAAAAAATCATAAAAATATTTATAATCACACTTAAGAACATTGGAAACCGAATTATATATATCTACATTAATACATAATAATACACATATATATATAATTACTTAATTAAGCTACATACCAATATTTACAATAAATTCGTAACAGTAGTAACTACTAATCAGAGGATATCTCGATATAGGAGGAAAAGGTTCACACTCATTTAAAAATATCATCCTTTTTAAATGGGTAAAAAAAACATTTAAAAATATATATATATATATATATGTATATATAATATGAGCTTTTTCACGTAACATTACATATACATACGTATATAAGACTTAAATATAACAAATATATATGATAAAACGCTTATTCAAAGTTCTTGTAAAAATAAATATTTAATGAACTCCTATTGGGTACACATAAAAAGTGTGAAATTTCATGATACTGTTGGATGGGGGAATTTGTTTGTAAAGGGTGAAAATAGAATAACAAATTTTGTTAAGATGTTTTAGTTGTTTAATTCCTTTTTTCGTATCGCCTGTTATTCCACATTGATGTTTCGTAGTAATTCTTTCGGTAAGATGATCTGAATCTATTCTCTCCACCTCTACCTCGTCTATCTATAAAAATAAAAAATGATTAACATGGTCAAAATGGGTAATGTGCATAAAAAATGTGTCAGCCAAACGGATAAATGGTGCATTTTGCAGAAATGACAAAATTTTTCCTCAAACAAAATAAGAATAAGAAAAATGGAAACATTTGTGCTATGTGTTCATTTATTTATATACATAAAAAAAAAAAAAAAAAACTTACATCGCCTTCTATAGGATTTTTCCTTTAGTATTTGATCTGGAGTCATAACATTTACATCCTTATCATCTAAAGGTTTTTGGTAACCAACTTCATTTTTATCAACATCTTTTTCATCTTTTGTTAAAATAATTTTCATGCATGGAACTGTAGTACTAAATTCAATTATTCTATTTGCAGTATCTTTATTCATGTCGTTTTCTGCATTCTCTTCTTGTTCATCTTCTCCAGATTTTTTACCATCCTCCTTGTTATCTTTTTTGGAGAATTGTGGATCTTCTCTAAAAAAAATATAGAAAAATGGGAAAATGTTTGAACGCCAAATTTTTTTTTTTTTTTTTTTCTACTATTATGTTATGTATTTTAAAAAATCCCAAATCTTCTAAACTAGCGGCATGAAGTTGTAATATATTTATTTGCACAAAAAATAAAAAATATACATATATATATGTACATGCACTTTTGCATGCATAACATTGACATATATGGTGAATAAAAATTCATACCTCTTGATCGTATGTTCCTTCTCGTACAGCTTCGTGCACTGGTGTATACCTTTTACTCTCCTCTTCACCATCTCAGCAACATTGACCACCGAACTGATGGCCTTTCCTACTCCTGACAGAATAACTTTATCATTTGTCTCAAACAGAACAATTGCTTTATATACGTAATCTAAAGCATCACTTTTGTAGCTCACTCGGATTTCGTTTTCTAATTTTGTATCACTTGTTGTGCTATCGGGCATATTGTAGTATATATAATGGATAAAACGGGGATGGGTGTTAATGTTTAAAATATGCACGTGTGTATTGCAACAAGCAAATCTACAAATGGGCAAATAGGTAAATTTTCAAATAGATAAATCTGTAAATAGGTAAATAGTCATATAAGGGAATGGGAAAGCTTGTGCTTAATATCAGGGAAATATCAAACACATGATTTTCTAAATATGAAACAAAAACAGCCAAGTGTCAACAATATGTGAAAAAAAAAAAAAAAATATATTGTGCATGCATTTGCAAAAGTATATTTGGTTATGGTAAAATGGTAGGATAATACGACAAAAACTAGAACTAAATAAAAAGTTACAGGGACTTACATTTCAAATCAGGCGGCACGACGTTCGTAATAAAACGAACAAATGGAAATATAATTTATTATTTAGTAGTGGGCTATTAATTTTGTTTTCAAATGAATAAATTCTTTATTATCATTCATGGGGAAAAAGGCAAATATGAAACTTAGCATACTAATAAAATGAGTGCGTTTATAAATGAATATTGCTCATAATTTGCAAAATGATAAAGTGGCAAACTGAAAAGTTGACAAATTAGCAAATTGGTAAACTGGCAAATTGGTAAACTGGCAAATTGGTAAACTGGCAAATTGGTAAATTGACTAATTATCAAATTGGCAAACTGGCAAACTGGCAAACTGATGAATAAGCTAATAAATGAATACTCATAAATGCACGAAAAATAAAAACTAAATCAAAAAATTAAATTTTAAAAAAAAATAAATTAATACAAATTCTTCTTTTTAGTAACAAATAGCCAACAAATAAAAAATATATATCTAAAAAAGGGTTTTTTAATAGTTTTTCTCCTCCCCTTTTTTTATAGCGTTGTTGTTGTTGTAATTTGTGCGCAAGAAAGAATTGTTTATGTTCCTCCTTTTTTAGAGACATGGATATTTTTTATTTTTATTTTTTTTTTTTTAGTTTTGTTATTTATTTCTGTATTTTTTTTTTTTTTTTTTTTTTTTTTTTTTTTTGTGGGGAAGACTTAAATTTGTTTTTTAACTCGTGTATTTTATTGTATTATTTTTTTCTTTTTTTTTTTTGTTTTTTTTTTTTTTTTTTTTTTTTTTTTTTTTTTTTTTTTTTTTTTTTTTTTTTTTTTTTTTTTTTTTTTTTTTTTTTTTTTTTTTTTTTTTTTTTTTTTTTTTTTTTTTTTTTTTTTTTTTTTTTTTTTTTTTTTTTTTTTTTTTTTTTTTTTTTTTTTTTTTTTTTTTTTTTTTTTTTTTTTTTTTTTTTTTTCTTTTGTATTTTTTGTATTTTTTGTATTTTTCTATTTCTCTATTTTTAATATATTTTTTTTATTTTTTTCCTTTTTTTTATTTTTAAGTTTTGCCATTTTTCTTGTATTTTTTTGTTATTTTTCTCATATTTTTTATATATATTTTTCACGTTATTTTTTGAGTATTTATTTATGTGTTTTTTTGTTCCCCCTAGTATTTATTTTTTTTAAATGTTTTTGTATACATTTTATGTTTTTATGGTATTTTTATAACTCTTTCCTCACATATATATATATATTTGTGTATTGTATCCCTTTCACCCATTCTTTTTTCACATTCTTTTGACTTGGTTCCTATGTTTGAATTTCCAAACTGACAAAGCGTGTATTAAATAAACTTTCCTCCCCTATATGGTCGCGTTTCATGGATTTATCATTTTTTGTATATGTCACTCAAATCTGCCTTTGTAAAAGTTTTGTTTAGGTTATATTGTAATTTGGCAAATTGGGGTAATTCTTGGAATTATGTTTTATGTGCCATGAAAAGAGTAAAAGATTCAAAAATGTCACAACTGATTAAAAAGTAAATGAAGCAACAACAATAGTATGTTTGACTACATCTAAAAAAACACACATAGTTTATATATATAAGTACATATATGTATATATAAATTTATACATAATGGTCACCATATGAAGCCAACCTGAAGAACTTGATATTCCAAGAAAAAATAAAATTTTAAATTTCAGATGAACGGGGAAAGGTTACTGTTGTGAAATCCGATGGGGTCCGTCTATTCACATATTTATCGAATAATAAATAAACTACATGTTGTAGATAAATTTTTCCTTTTCTCTTGTTCAGTTATCCTAAAAAAAAAAAAAAAAAAAAAAAAAAAACATAAAAAATTGTGAACACGTTCTTGAAATATTTACTTTCGCGACAGTTACACAAATATAGCAAAACGGGTTGTAGGAGATGCCTTTTTAAAAATGATAATTTAAAATTATTTTTAAACAAGTTGAACTTAATGTTTATACATTTTCTCTTATTTTCATAGTACGACATGTAAGGTACACAACTTCATTGAGTCATCACTGTATAGTATCATTCCTCCCACTTTTACCCTTTTTTTTTTTTTTTTTTTTTTTTTCATTCTCTTATTTGCTGAAAATTTTAAAAATGTGAATTTACGAGTATATCTATTTCATCAAATGGAGGTATTTCCATCCATTAAACTCCACTTCGTGGTCATAAAAAATTTGCATTAAAAGAATTTGTACATAAACTTGTAAAATCGGAAAGATTGAGATTTTTTTCAATTTGTTCATTTATGAGTAGACAATTCTACCAACAATGGTGTACATGTGTCATTTGTGTCTGCCTGGATGCAATAAACCCCATTGGCTGTTTGTAAAAAGTAATACAATTGCTTTACACACGCAAATGTCTATACAAATTGGCAGAAAAAAAAAAAAAAGTTAACTACCACGAAAAGCTATACTGCAGCCATACAGTCAGTGGTAGTACCTATTGTGGTATGGACACAATTAAAAATAAAATAAAAAAAAATAAACAGATAAAATAAAAAAATAAAATAAAAAAATAAAATAAAAAAATAAAATAAAATAAAGTGGGTTTCAGATTTTATGCATTGAAAACTAAATCAGCAGAAAAAATAAAAATTTCTCAAAAGGATTAACTATTTTACAAGCCGAATAATAGAATGAAATACATGCTTTCAATGCTACATGAATGAAAATTTGGAGCACTCAAAAAAGGTTTTTCTCATATTGCACATCAACATATATTTACATATATGGTAATGTCACATGTATAACATATGCATCTACGGAATTAGAAACTTTAAGAACAGCTTTTTAGCACCTTCAGGGAAAAGCATTTTCGCATCTTTTTTACAACCGTTTTGATGACTATGTATTCTCTCCCGTAATCTCTTGTGAAAAATTACTTGTGACACAAATTTCTCTTATAGAAATCACACACTCATTGAGAAAGCTAAAATTTTTCTATATAAAATTTCCCAACGTTTCAGAGCCTCATGAGAAGTGTCACATATAAATATATATAACTCACAAATTTTTTTTTTTTTTTTTTTCTATTTTGGGTCTATGTTCACCAAAATAGAAAAAAAAAAAAAAAACCTAGTACAAGTCAAAAAAGCGAAACAAATGAAACAAAAACACTTATGTACCAAATATGGCTCCATAAGGAATACTCCTTAAAATGCTTATCATGCTTGCAATCCTAATTTTTTACATATCTTGAAATGTCCAAAACAAAATGAAAATTTGTACAATATTCCATAATATTTTATCTAAACTCATAGGAAAGGAGAATTTTATTTACTTCACCCAAACCAGCCACTACTCTGTAATGCTCATTATTGTTGAGTAATTATCATTACTACATAGTAATTATCTTCATTACATAGTAATTATCTTCATTACATAGTAATTATCTTCATTACATAGTAATTATCTTCATTACATAGTAATTATTATCACGGCACATTAATCCTCATGACAACATAGCAATTCTCATCATTGTTTAGTTCTACTCAGCTCAGTAACACCACTTCTGTGCTATTTCAATACCCCCCCCCCCAAAATTTTGCATACAGACGTAGAAAATAAAAAAAAAATTCATTATTAAAGTTTCGCCTGTACATCTTGTCAACATCTCAACCCCTTCTAAATTTGATAGAATGCAAAAATTAGGAAATGAATGTGAAAAAAAGAACAATTGTCATTTTCGAAAAAAATGAAATTATTTCTAGTGAGAATAATACCCAAAATTTAGTTACAGAAAATTTATTACACACTGACGCTAACATATATTGACACATTAGACATTTTGTGCATGATCAAATCTTTACTCTATCCCCACCCATTATGCAACTAATTAAAAATGGAGGAAATACTGCACGAGAACCACTTTTTCGACAAATACATGAAAATGAATATTCCAGAGAACTATATAGACGCCTCCCAATTCAGAATAATCCCAGACAACCAAGAAGTGTATGTGCACAAATTCGAAAACAAATGTTTCATAATTGAAGTGTTATGTTATCAAAATGTAGATCTAAATGAGAAAGGAAAGTTTTATTTTTATGATTTAGCAAAAGAAAATTCAAGTATAGAAAATAATATTATATTGAATAATATTTCTGTATCTCATCCACAAACAAGTTATATACTCATAGTTGGAACACAGAAAATTAAAAAACAGAACTCAAATGTATATGAAAACATTTTACTATATATTTGTATTTTCCCCTTTAAGGAATATAATGCTGATATATTAATAACTTGGAATATTCCAAAAGAGGATATTAATATTCAGCCTGAGTTTAATACATTTAAAGAAATGGTACATTCCTTCAGAATATTAGATTTTGGTCTATTCATTTGATAGATTTTTTCTCACCAATTTTTCACATTTGTACAAGATTTTATTCGAGACTTCTTTATTTTCGTCTGAATATATCTTTTTTTTTTACGATTAAGGGAAAGAACGAAAAGCCGATGCCCTATTTTAATGCATCTTTTTTTTTTTTTTTTTTTCCTCTATTTTTTTATTTTATTTTTTTTTTTGTCATTTTTAGATAAAATTTATTCAATTATTTAAAAAATAATAGGAAACATAGAAATAAGTATAATAAATGAGGACCATAATAAGGAGGGAATGGAATATATATGGAAAAAAAAAGTAAAGGGGCCCCAAGAAGGCGGAAAGTTGGTATACCAAAAGACATTTGAAGTGAATTGTTTTTCTTCTATGCAATGATACATATGGAAGGGGGAGGAGAGGAAGAAGAAATACACAAATAGAAGGGAATGATATGTAACATAATATCCAGTATGTACATATTGTATACATGTTGGGGATGAGCATAGAAAATGTATATATGTCCCCGCAAGTGACTCAAACTGAGACAAAAAAAAAAAAAAAAAAAAAAAAAAAAAAAAGGAAAATGAAAATAGAAGTAGAAATAGAAATAGAAATGGAACGGGCGAGAGAGAGAAGGAAAGTGAAACACACTGTAAAAGTGGCAAAAGGGCTGCAAAAAGGAAAAAAATAAAAAAAAAAAAAAAGTGAAACTTGTCCACAAAAAAGATATGTTCAAACACGCTATACGCGAAAATCAAGATTAGTTTTGTTGCACAAATTTTTTTGATTAATGTTCCCTAATTGTGGCACAGATTTAAAATAGGGAAGCCGCTTTCTCTTGTTCCTTCACGAGCATTTCATAGAACTGATATATTATGGTAACAGCAAGTAATATACCCGTTCCACTACCTAATGCACCCAGAAAATCGGCTAATATAGTTAATGCACCAATACACATTCCCCCAAAGGCAGCTGCTGTAGGAATATATCTATTAAAAACCCTTGTTAAGGATGTTGGTGTGTCTCTATGTCCTCTCATCCCAATTTGTTGATCTCTCAATTGCTTCGCAACATCTTTTGCTGAACTACCAGATACTTCAATCCAGGTTTTTGAAAAAAAAGCACATGCAACAAGAACAAAAGATATATATACTAGCGTATGAAAAGGATCGTTGGTAATATCAGCGAAAGAATTGGGAGGAGAAATATAATATGCAATTCCTCCAATAGGTATAGATGTTCCACTTGATTCAACTTCTTGCCATTGTCCCAAAATATTTACTAATATACTATTTTTAAATCTTTTATATAATATTTGTGAAAAGAAGTATAAATTGGATACTAAAGCAGTCTGTAAAATAATTGGAATGTTACTAGTATAAAAAAGTTTAATAGGATATGTTCCTTGTTGTCCTCTTACACTTTGATATTTAACTGATAAATCTACTCTGAATCCTTGTAAATATATAACGATAAGAAATACTAATATGGTAGCCAACAAATTTGTTACATTAGGTGCATGGGTTCGATAAAAAGCTTTTTTTAATGCTGATATTTTATTTGATTCTGTAAATAAGCAGTATACTAATGAAATAATTGCACCTTCAAATTCTATTCCTTTATCTGTGTTAATAGTTGTTGGGCTAAATGATTTCCACATAATTGTTTCACATATATTTGTTGCTATAAATAATGATATTCCTGAACCTAATCCGTATCCTTTTTGTAATAATTCATCTAATAATATTACAACTACTCCAGCAAAAAATAATTGAAGTATAATTATAATGGCATGTCCTGTTCCAATTTCTGATATGTTTCCATATATACCACTAATAACATACGCTATAGCTTCTCCAAGGGTTATTAACAATCCCAGTAATTTCTGTGCTCCTTGAAATAACGTTCTATCTTCTTTTAAGCTTTGATCTACATCTATTATTTTTGAACCAGCCAATAGCTGCATAACCATACCACTTGTAACTATTGGTGATATTCCCAACTCCATTAATGTACCTCGGTTTGAGGCCAATATCACACGCATCCAATAAAATGGATCACTTGATTTACTTGTCACGATCCCATAAAGTGGTATTTGACAACATATCAAAAATACAAATAATGACACTGCTGTCCATAGCAATTTTTCTTTGAATGGCAATTTTCTGTCTGGAGACTGAACCTCCGGAAGTAGAAACATAACAGGCTTAATCAAATTCAAGAATCTCACTGCACGTTGGGGAATAATATGCAGGGGATGGGATGTATGTAACGGATATAAAGGTGATTAGAGATGATAAAAAAAAAAATAGCACAGCGGCACAATTGACATAAAAAAGGATAGCGGCACAATTGATATAAAAAAGGATAGTGGCGTAATTAAATAAAAAAAAAAAAAAAAACTCGTATTACACTTTTGAAAAACACTAGCTATACACTTTTGCCTGAACTTCCAAAATTTTTCAAATTGTTGTCTGCTCGGGCACATACATTTCTGCTAAAAAGCCAGTACATGCCACTTAGACTGATAATTGGGATACACTTATTTTTACGTACAATGGGCATAACATTAAAATACACCTTCCTCATAAGTTTACACATTTATACGACTTTGTAAAATTAGCAAAGGCAATAATTTACGTGTAATGATGGACAAGTAATGTATTTTTCGGTTTTTATATTTATCGATTTTTCGATTTTTCTAGTTCTTACCCATTTTTCCTTATTTCGTTTTTATTCTATTTTTCTCCTCTTATTTGAGAAAACCTGTTTCAATTTGGTTAAAAAAAAAAAAAAAAATGAAATGCATGTATATAAATGTATATAATACATGCATGTGTTTAACCTTCCTTACTACAGTTGTGTATTTATTCAGATCATTCGAGATATATGTACACGTAACATTGGGAAATGCAAAGTGTGATATAATCCCTTTTGACATGGGATATATTCTCTATTAATCATTCGTTGTGTGCATTTAATTTCCAATTTTCAAAGACTTTAAATTTCCTGAACTCGGCTACACTCAGCTCCTTTTTGTTAGTTCCGTTTTCATTCTTTCTTTTAAATTACCTTTATTCACTGCACAAGGCTTTATTTTCGAACCGTGTCCTTCTACTCTCCTTTCCCCTCCTTTTTCTTGCTGCGCTTTAACATAAATGTGGAATAAAATCTTCTAAGTTAAATAGTATATGAAAAAACAAAAAGCAATAAAAATTCGTTAGCGCAAGGCAATATATCTAAATGTGGGGAAATGCTGATGGTATATGTGATCGAATAAAATTACTCCTTAGAAATGCAGGAAAAAAACAAAAAAAAACAATTAATAAGGGAAAAAAAGTAAATTTTGGGATTTATTATATATTCATTGTCATGTATATGTATAATATAATTCTGTATACTTTCAATAAGTTTCGGAACAACGCATACTCCCTTGTATGCTCTTAAATATCAAATTGTTATTAACTGTTTCAAAAACATATAAAAAAATATCAAATGTCAAACGAAAAAAAAAAAAAAAAAAAAAAAACGGGAAATGGAAAGGGGAAAAAAATGATAAATACATATATATACCATATGCATTTTGGAAATTACATAAATGTTACGCATATTACTATTTTTTTTTTTTTTTTTTTTTTTTTATTTTGTACGAACAGCAAAATTACATGTGCATTGAACTGATTGTAAGTTAATTAATATATGTATACACGTTTTGGGTTTTTTTTTTTTTTTTTTTTTTTAAACAGTATAGTATCGGCATTTGTGCGCAAATTTCATCGCAAAAACTACATATTTTTAAGAATTGTTTTGTGAAGCACAAATAAGGTTTTTTTTTTTTTTTTCAAATGCTATAAATGATTCATTTAGAGCATATTCACATATGTTTATGTGCGAAATGTACCTTGTGTATACATGTATATGTATGACACATATTATTAAAAGTGTGATGATAATGTATTTACCACTTTGTTTATTCATTCATTTTATTTTTACCAGGACGCATTCATAAAAACTTTAACCACTCTTACTTCTTACATGCATGAAACAGATTAAGCTTATTTAAAATTTCTAATTGTAACGATTTGTTTCTCCACTTTGCCTTCTGAAATTCAAAATTTTGACACATTTGATGTGTCCATATCCTAGATAAATTATTTACTTCCCCCTTTTTTTTTTTTCACGTTTTTGTTGAAATGCTGAGTCCCCTCAACATATTTCATTATGTGCAATTTTGTCATTTTTTATTAACACGTAAATTTCCGGTTATAACTTATTCTCTCCACAAAGACGAAAGTAATGAAGCAAAACATAACATTAAATTTGAACATCAAATATTTCGTCAGGATTTTTATAACGTGTGTCCCTTTCTCATTCTTAAAGATAACCATTTTAACAGATTTATTTACACAAAATGCTTAAATCAATGATAAGGAAAAAAAAAAAAAAAAAAAAAAAAAAAGTGGGACAAAATTTTATTAACTGACCTTTTCTGAAAATCTAATCACATGCTTTGTTGCATTATGTAGAGAAAAAACACACACATGAAATTATACAATTTTAGGGGAGACCTTTGTTTTTTTTTTTTTTTTATATCCCTTCTCTCTTTAGCATGTGAGAAGCGTTCTGTAACACCTAAGTTCCTCAATTTACATGTAAAACAGGAACATTTCGTCAATTCGCTAACGATACACAGTTTATATCCTACATGAGGCTTGATTTATTAGTTCCTCTCGAATATCCAAAAAAAAAAAAAAAAAAAAAAAAAAACTCTTCCCAAAATTATTTCAAGAATAGTAAAACGATTGTAACATTTTCATAAAGGAGGAAAACAAACATTCAACGTTGTCCTATCAAGGGTATTTTTCACTACATTAAAATATAGTTACGTAACACGCATTCCTCCCGTTTATTACATTACATAGGTTTTCTTATAAATATACATACATATTTTCTCCCATTAGATGAAAAAAGTCTAAAAAAAAAAAAAAAGGAAAATCTTTAACTGTGCGAAAAGAACTACGCATTGACTAAAAGGTACAAATTCTTCTCAACTTTTAATAACCATAAAATAAGGATAAATAAAAATGTGTGTAACATTTCAATCATGTGCAAGAAAATGCGCTAACATATTTTTGAAAAACCGTATGCATAACATTTACATTTTGTAAAATACTTTGAGCTTAATTTTTTTTACAATATTGATACGGTTCCTACAACAACAAAAAAAAATTTACATGAATTGAGTACATATTTGTCCAGGATACGAAATAAGGATGAAGGAATTTGCAATTGCTTTGCTTTTTTCCTAATATTCCTTTTTGAAAAAGAGCGAATGGGGCTAAGAAATACCTAAGCATACAACAGTTCCATATAGACTCACAACAAAATGTGCAAGCATGCAAAGACTCTAATGTAACAATTGGACATCGGTTTGAAAAAACATATCTTACAATAGCAACCATTTTTCATATTTCGCACTTTATTTTATTATTTTATGTTGTTTTTTTCTGTTCTTCTTTTTTAATTTCAATAAGCCATATTACTCTTATAAAAAAAAGTAGGAAACACCATTTTTCTACCTTTTACACATTTTTTGTTGAGAACAAAAAAGAAAAATTAAATAAAAAATACAGACAAAAAAAAAAAAAAAAAAAAAAAAAAAAAACAGGAAAAGGAAAAGGACAAATTTCTTCTCATGCTACCTTCAAAAACTGTGCAAATTTAAAGTGTCCCTTTTGCACACTCTGTTGTGCTAAATTTTCATGCACGTGCATGTGTGTATTTCCATTTCTTTCTTTTCCTTTTCCTTTTTCCTTTTTCCTTTTTCCTTTTTCCTTTTTCCTCTTTTTTTTTTTTTTTTTTTTTTTTTTTTTTTGGTGCATTTTTGTTGTTTTATTGTTCCACATATTTAACGTTGTAACAATCAAAAATATAACTTTTAAAATTTGATAAATAAAAAAAGCTAGACATATAAAAAAAATATTATGAACAGTTAATAAAAAAAAAAAAAACCTTGTTTTGTTTTTTTTTTTTTTTTTTTTTTTTTGTAGTCATAAATAGTATTCGATTTAAAAAAAAAAAAAAAAGGCTAAGTCAAATTGAGTACGTACCAAAAAAGCTTTCCAGACAGGGGAAAATATGAACAGATTGAATGGAAGCAAGTCTGGATTAGAGGATGATGGAAAAGGTGAAATAGATAGCATTAATGAAATAAAAGAGTATAATGAGACAAGTGAACATAGTGTGCATAATGGCTCGTGGGAGGAAATTGAGGTAAATATAGTGAGGGAGAAAAATACACAGAAGGATGAGGATGAACAAATTGGGAAAAATGAAGCCCCTGGTCAAGCTAGGATAAATGAGTCTAGCGAACAACAAGGACATCAAGAACAAGAGATAACGCTGAATCATTCTTGCAAGCATACCGAGGACGATATGGAAAAGGATGACACGAGTTTATATGGAAATGTAGAATTGAAACAAAGTCGTGAAACAGTCAACATCATCAACGAATGTACAGAAGAAAAAAATGAAAAAAGCAGTAATAAATCCTCAACATACCTTGAAGATGATAAAAGAAAAAAAAAAAAGGATATGATTTCTATTACTTATAACGACAACCCTATTGATAAGAAGTTAACTTATAGTGTAAAAGGAAAAAAACCCAAAAGTGGAGGAGAAAAAATGATACCTAAATTTTTTGGATTAGACCATTTACATAATGACATGAATAAAGAAGAAATGAATACGAGCAAGCATAAAAAAATAACAAAAGAAAATTTAAAATTAGATATGCGAGATTTCTTTTTTACCTCACAAGAGAAGGATGTTTATGAATATGTGCCAGAAACATCTAATTATGCCATATGCCATAATGATGCAAATGAATTATATAAAGATGTAGTAACTATGAATAAGCATTTTTTAGATGAAATAAATGTTAATATATATTCGTCACCACTAGACACCTACTTATCAAGCATGTTAGCTGTATCAGATGGTCCAAAACAAAGGGATACAAATTCTTTATTTCGAAAAAGTTCAAAAAATGAAAATAATAAAAATGATTTATCAGATGAAAAAAATAAACTGAAACAATGCGACATATTAGATGAAAATTCTATAAACAAACCATTATATTCATATGAGTTCTATAAAAATAAAATCTTCAAACATTATCACAATAATGGTCTAGTCATCGAAATAGATCCCACAAAATTAAAATACAATAATTCTACTCACTTTGAATATGATAAAAACATGTCTACCTATTTAAATGACCCTTTAAGTTATCTACAAAAATTAAAGTGTGAAGTAGAAGATATAACTTCCTATATTAACGACTTAGCAAATACTAAAACAGAACAATTCGATCAGAATAATCCAAATGATAAATTAAATGAAGATATGATTGAACATGAACAAATTGTAAAGCAAATTCTACATAACAGAGAACCACCTGAAGTATTGATGGAATTATTTTCCCTGAAAAATGATATTGACAACATGTTAAATGATGATGCTTTGAAAAAATTGCTTAAATCAGAAAAGATGGAAAAAAAAAAACCCAATCAGGAAAGCATAGCCCCCAACGGTTTCTCCAAAGATGTGAAAACTATCCTTGAACAGTTACAAAATTGGGACGATGTTAATGTGAAAAGAGAAGAAGAAGAAGAAGAAGAAGAAGAAGAAGAAAAAAAAAAAAAACAGAAAGACAAAGGAAAGGATAAAAAGGTGAATGAACTGATTAACCAAAGGAGTGGAAAAGGCACACATGAAGATTTATTTCCAAAACAACTCAATATTTATACCCTGAATAGTAGAAAAGAGAAAGAAGTCCAAACATCTGATTTACTGATTCTGGAGAGAAAAATTGCAAATATTGAAAAAGTTTTAGGAATAGATAAAATGGTTATGCTTCCATATGATGACATGAATCATGCTATTATCGATTTATATAGTAAACTAAGTCTACTAGATTCTAATAAATTAGAAAGTGTAAAAAAAAAAATGCAAAATCTTCAGTCAGAATTTTTAAATTTGAAAAAATTTAAAAAAGATCTTTTAAATATTTCGAAAGAACGAGGAAATTACGAAGAATCTATTGATGAAATTTTTAAAATTCTAGACATGTGGAAAAAGACACATCATATAATTCCAAACGTGTTAGCTAGACTTTATCAATTGAAAAAGGTGCACGATAATGTCCAATCCTTTTCTTCCAGGCTCGATGGTGAGGAATAAAAATTTTTTACTATGTGTTTGTTTTCGTGTGAATGTACACGAAATATGCAAACATGAAAATAATACACAATTTTTTCACGTTCATTCCTCGTTCTTTTCATGCTCATACCATGCCCTTTCCTTTTTTTTTTTTTTTTTTTTTCTTCATCTCCTGCATCTTCATCTTCTTCAGATTTGGAAAAACAACAGATGAAGTTAGACGAAACTATAAGTCTAGCTGAGCAGAATATAAAATTAATAAATTTTAAGATTAACGAAAATATAAATTTCCTTCAAGATACGTTAAAAAAGATGGAATTCAACGTAGTCCCCCATAATGAATAATGAATAAAATTTTAAACCCTTCTCCAAAAAAAAAAAAAAAAAAAAGGGGAATGTGCAGAAATGAAGGACAAAAAAAAAAAAAAATAAAAATATTAACATTTGTATTCTATTCCCAAATTTGCTTAAAAAAAATAAAATAATTTCTTTTTTTTTTTTTTTTTTTTTTCTCTATTTTACTTTGTTTGATATTTCCTACGCAAAATTTACCCCCCTTTGCAAATATATCCTATCTGGAAGAAATAAAAAAACATAAGGAGAAAAAACGAAGCATAACTTTTGCATTTTTGCTCATCAGTTCACGCCCCACTTAGTAATTTCCATATTTTCCATTTTTCCTTTGCATTGTACATGAATTGTAATTTTTCTTCATGGCGTTTCCATTTGGGCATTTTTTTTTTTTTTTTTTTTCTTTTATATAGTCATTATTTTACATTTTTTTTTTTTTTTTTTTTTTTCTTTGTTCATGGGGAAAATACGTTTATGCTATTTTACACACCATTTTACTGAATTCTAAGACTTATTCCAAGGTTCGTTCAGTCATTTCGAGCGACATGTGAAATCATTACATTTCGTCGATTATTTGAACACACAGAAAGGTCCCTCCAATCTAATGATCAACGAAGAATAATTAAAATGTGATCACTTTGTATGAACTACTATATTTTTGTTTTGTTTTTTTTTTCGTCTCCATAACCATTAATAGTAAGGAAAAATAATGAGACAATGCATTTTTTACAGAAGTATGATGGAATATATGACATATCTAGGTTGCCCATGTTGCTTATACTGTTCTGTTGCGCACAGTTGTTTTTCTGAATCGTGTGATGAGTAGTTTACTTCTGCCCTGATGTTCTCCTCCCTTCCATCGTTCACTTTTTCCCTTTTTATTAAATCATAAAAAACAAAACAAGTTCCTCTGTATAATTCACATGATTTGAAAAAATTTTTACTCAAAAAAAAAAAAAGGGAATCCAAAAAAAAAAAATTTTCTTCTATTTTTTTCTTCCAATTTTTCGTTGTCCCATATTTCAGGTTTACTCCCCCCCCTTTTATTTTTTTTTTTTTTTTTTTTTTTTTCTTCTTGTAAGCAGTTATATATATATATATATATATATATAACTACGTCAAGCGAGGGCTGAAAAAAATACACACATTTGGGTTTTGTTAGATCACACCAGTGCAAAACAAATATTCGTAAGTTGTTAAACAAGGGAAGAATGTGCTTTTACAATGGTACATAAACATCCTGACTTCTGCCATACTATGCAGTCTGTATGTATGCAAGTGAAAACGGAAATCCCACAGAAACAGGAATAATTTGCTAAGTTTATATAACCCTTTAACGCGCAAAACTTGGTATAACAATTGTGCAAAGATAAATGATCTCATGTATTAAATAAAATGGGATTAATATTACATATATCTCACTCATAAAGTTTTTAATAAATAGATTAAAAAAGAAGAGGAAAAAAAAAAAAAAAATTCCAAATTTTTGAAAACTGCAAAGTGTAAAAAACACACTTCCAACACGTAGAATACCCTTAGCACATTAAAATGGAAGAAATACTTGATAACAACGAGTTAAAACAAACGCTACAGCAACAAATAAATCATATTGTGGAAGACAATGAGAAACAGTACAACGACTTAATATCATATATAGAAAATGAGAAAAGTAAGACCAATACGATGGAATGTGTAAACCCATGTCAAAACAACATGCATATAAGGCGATTATGGTATTGTCAAACTATGAAATGTATTTCTTTTTTTTCTTTTTTTTTTTTTTTTAAATTTTTCATTATTCATTCTGCTTTTTTTTTTTTTTTTTTTTTTTTTCCTCCCACTCATATGTCCCTCTATTCATAGAACAAATTGAAATAATGAAAAACAAAACAAGGGAGAAGAAAAATTCCATAAACAGGATAACACATGGTACTTTAGAAAATGGGGGGGGGGGGAAAGACACTGAATTGTCGATTTAATTTTGCATTTCATAAACTACATAGTTGTTTAAATTTAAAAAAAATGGAAATGTTATACACATGTTTTTCCTTAATTTTTGTGCTATCATTTTTTTTTTTTTTTTTTTTTTTTTCCCGAAGAAATTGAAGCCAATACCGTTTTAGTCACAGAACTAAAGGAAAGTGTGATGGTTTGTTATAAAATAAGTTGATTCATAGAAGGAATTTTTCAATTTTTACCCAATTATCAATTATCATAATTGAACACATTTCATATATTTATTATCAATAACATATGTCCTTTATGCAGGAAGAAGAGAAAAAACTGGATGAATATCCCAAGCTTATTGAGGAAATTAATGAACAACTTAATTTAATTTTAAAAAATTTCGACTCGTCCAAATTGGGTACTCCATCTCATATAGAATCGTCACTTGTTTTGCTCATCTACACATGTGTAACTTTTGATTTGTCTTATCTACAGATTGATATATCGCTCTTTTTATCGACTTTATATTTTATTATTTTTTTTTTTTTTTTTTTTCCCCCCCCCCCCCTCCATTTTGGACATTAAATAAATAGAATACAACACAGTAAAACTGCATAAGGACTATATTCAAAACGAGTGGAAGAGAAAATTGGGGACCCTCTACAATCTCCTAGGATTTGAAATCATTCTGCAGGGTATGCTCCACGACATAATGGACGCTGAAATGGGCACTTTCGCCAGTCGCCCTTACACATAAGCGTGCACACACACAAACACACACATATCTATATCTATATATATATCTATATATATATCTATATCTATATCTATATCTATATATATATGTATATAAAGAGAGAGTGATGCGAATGCTTACGCAACGACAAGTTACGCGTCTGCACTTTTGAAATACCAATACTTGTCTTTCCAACTTGGATCCAATCCATATTTTAACAGACGACAAAATTGTAATAGAATTTTCGAATATTCAAGCATCGGATCCTAATAAAAAATATAGAGCCACTGTTGCTCTTCACAGTGGAACCTACGAGGGTTAGACAAAATTTTATTTTAAAACAGTTATCCAAGTTCTGTATACCCCCTCCCTTACTTGCAACTTCAGATAAACAATCCCACACATGTATAGATATGTATATATATGCTTATCTGTATATAGAGAGATATAGATAAAAACGTGTATATATATATATATATATATATACACATTGTGTACAACTGAATAAATGTTCTGTCTTATTTCTCCGCAGCTATCGAAACTACGCCACGAATAAGCAAATTCGATGATTACGTAAATAATTTAAATAAAGGACTCCCATTCACAACTTTTTGTTGCTTGCTTAGAAAATCATTCAAAGAATTAAAATAAGTTTTAATGAAACATAATGTAATCATCTTTATATCTCTCATTTGGATTTCTCTCATTTCGAGAATATCCGTATATAGTGAGCTCCATTTAAAATTTTTTTTTTTTTTTTTTTGCGTCTTAAAATATGTATACTTTTATTACCTTATTTTATTACTATTTTATTATATTTTTTTTTTTTTTTTGCACCCTTTTTAAGTTACCCCATTAGTTGAATTTTTTTAAAAAAATGAATATTTTTATACAAGTATCATCAAATTGAACAAAATGATACATCACATAAATTGTAGAAACGCAAATTTTTATTTTACCTATTTGAATATCTACAACATAGATTAAAAGACATTGTGGAAATTTTCGAAGGGAAAGATTCCCTTTTCATTATTCATTTTTATTACTTATTTTTATGACCCATTTTTATGACCCATTTTTATGTCCCATTTTTTTTTTTTTTTTCACTGCTATTGTGGCTTTAAACTGAGCAGACATTTATGTGAAAGAAAAAAAAAAAAAAAAAAAAAAAAAAAACATAGTTTGTTAGTCGTTTCAAGTAGCGAAATGTAAGTAACACCTAATTAGTGAGAGTCTCATTGCACAATTCCTATACAAATATTGATCACTTGTGCAGAATTGCACTGAATGGTGGAGATGCATTATTTCCATGTAGATAACACGAAGGTGCATGTGTGTGTGTGTGTATCTGTTTGTGTAGCATGTTAAATGGATTATAATAAAACTCCATTTTGTTATTCAAAATTTTCAGATATTCGAGGGAATTGCATCCCCTTTGCACATTCGTTCGGATAAGACGTTTCTTTTTCCTTTCCTTTTTTTTTTTTTCACGCGTTTGTAAAAAGGGTATGTGCAACATGAATAATATATATAATGGAAAAAGAAAAAAATGGACATAACAGGATGAGATATATGGTCCTAGAAACGAATTAATAAATAAAGAGGTATGATATGTAGTATCCAATTATAAAAAAAAAAAAAAAAAAAAAAAAAAAGACAACTTAATTTCAAAAATGCAGCTTACAATAGTTTCGATTGTGTTGTGACCATGATAAAAACCTCTCAAAGATTCGTCGGATGCATGAAAAATGGTGCCTCTTTCAAAGAACTATTCAATCCGAGGTTATGACAGGGAGATACAAGACAGTGTATATGATTCGAATATTCATAGGTAAGGAATAAATGATTGGGGGCATCAACAAATTTATATATTTCATCAAAAATAAGTTTTTTGTAAAAATAAGATCCTGTATTAGCGAAACTTCCTTCACTACCACAAAAGGATGTTTTTCCCAAATTGGGTTGGTTAGAGTTTGTATACGATGATTCATCATTCAAAATGGATGAATTTAAAAAATAGGAATAATCTGTTCTAGTATTTGCTATATCCTCATGATAATGAAAAAATGTTTTAAATTGTCTTTTGTCACACCATCTCCACATGTTTAAATAAGACGTGGGTAAATTATTTTCTTCTATCTCGTTTTCTTGGGCTTCTTTAACAATAGTGTAAATAAATGACTCATCAGAGTAAATTTTATTTTTAACAAAATTTTCATCCATTTTTTTTATTTTCTCCTTTTTATTAGTCACTAGGGGAGTTAATATAATGTTATCATGAAAACCACAGTATTTTTTATGACGTGAATAAAACTTGGAGCTGTAATTCCTTTTCAGATAATTCAAATATTTAATCTTTTCATTTTTCCGTGAACTATAAGTTTCTATTATTACACTCTCGTAATGTAGGCATGTGGTTGGGTACTTATATCTCAAATCGAATAAAAAAATGGAATTATTAGAATTTAGTGAAGTTAAGGAAATTCCAGTTAAACTTAAATCACAAAAATAATTCTCACTATTGAAATATTTTTTATCATTTTCATAATCTATTAAATTGTAATTCACATACGATACATAATTTGATATTCTCTTGTCATCAATTAGGATATTTTTTTTACTCATAACGATATTTGTGTTACAATCAAAGCGTTTAATTTTTTGTAAATCTTCTACTAGTCTTTTGTTACTTTCTACCATTCCACTTTCTATGTCTATCCTGTAGCATATAGCCTTGCTCAATCCGATGCTACATTTCTCCTTGTCGCTCAGAATTATGTTTTTTATTTTACCACCTTCTTCCATTAAATTCGTGTCAATTCTTGTCACTCCTTTCGCCAATGTTTTGTCTTTTCCTGAAAAAGGTGAAAAGTTCAATGGGTAAACATTACCCAGAGTGAAATACAAAATAGGGAGGGGAAAAAAAAAAAAAAAAAAAAAAAATATGACAATCATGTACACATTCTATCAACGCTCCATCGATGTTATACGAACGTTGAAGTAACAAATTTGTATGAACAGCAAAACGAGCTAACGTACCTTTCAAATAAAAAAGATAAATAGATGAATCATCTGCTACCATAAATTTATCATTTCCTAGATTAATCACATCGCGTGGAATCAAAGCATTTTCCTCATCACATGTTAACTGGGTTTCTAGTAAATGAATCGGGAGAAGAGAATTGACATCATCGATTTTCCATAAGTTTACATGTCCACACTTGTCTATGGATAGGAAAGAAGTAACGGATGGGTACAGATCACTCTGTTTGTTTTGAACCAGTTTTAATATACCAGGAGACGTGCAATTTGTGGCACAATTTGTGGCACAATTTGTGGCACAATTTGTGGCACAATCAGGGGTGGAGGAAAAATCGCCACTAACCCCACTGGAGGAGCACCTGGATCTATGGAAAAAATAATTTTCGTGAACGTAATTGCTTTTCAAATTCCACCTCCTCTGAACATGCTTCTTTAATTTGATTTTGTATTCAAAGGAGCTGACTTTGTTGCCATATGGAAACACGTCATTGTAAAAATTTTCTCTTCTTCTGTTTGAATTGCGTTTGAATTTTTCATTGGTAATACAAAAATGTACCTGTTCTCTGTTAAATTTACTTAAATATATTCTGACGAATTCATAAAAACTAAGTAAATATCTAATGTTCATAATATTATTCGTATAAAGAACTTTATCATTGATTTTTACAATATTATTTATTTTTTCATAAAAATTATTTTGGGCCACATTTTTTCTATCTGCTTTGCTTACATATTCATGGCTAAATGTACTTTGCTCCCTTCTAGTTTCTGTGTTTTTATGATCATGACTAGCCATTATCATTTCTACTTCCACATCTGTGTTATGACTACAAAGAGTTTCTATTTTTTTCACATTGTGTTGTTCGCTGTTTTCTGTCTGACAATGTTCTAGTGGATCATTATTCCTCTCATCCTTGTTCTCATATCCATCTAATAAACCAATTTCCTGATATTTCAACGGATGGGAAATAAATGATTCTGAAATTAATAGTTCTCTCTTCTGGTCGTAAGATTTTTCTAAATCGTTTTGGAAATAGTTTGCCCCTTTCAATATTTGAAATTGATATTCCTTATTTTCATTTAAAAATTTGATAATATCCTTAACATTTTGTCTGAATGGATTTATATGCACATTGATGTAAAAAAAACGGTTAAAAATTTCCTGTGAACATTTACATAATGTCATTAACTTGAATAGTTCATTAAAATTAAAAAATTCACTTAACAGGAGGAAATACAAAAAATTGTTCAAAATGCTAATAAGTGGATTTCTAAAATTTACATCCTCTATTTCTCTCAAATTATCACTAATCTGATTAGAATCATCATCAATATTCTGTGTTAATTCATCCTCACCTTGCATTGTTTTGTTATATACGTTCCTTTCTACAAAAGTGTGTGCAGCATTTCTTCTTATTCTTCTTCCTTCTCCTACGTTCCAATGATCTGTTAAAAAAGGATTACAAAATATATTTTCAGACTTTGTTAATATGTTGCTCCCACTAACATTGTCTCCATTACCAATTCTTGAATTCTTAGCATAGTTTATATTCCTCTTTCTTTTTAAAACTTTCTTGTTAACTGAATTTAAAGAAGCGTACATACGAAAACTTAACTTGTTCCAATTTGTATAATAATTTGTATAACTATATTTATTAAAAGGAACCAAAAAGTAAACAAACGAATTTTTATCTAATAAAGATTCCATTATATAATTCGTTTTATATCCATCATAAAGGGAGTAATATGAATTATCCTCATTTGAAATATATTCTTCTATGCAACTTGAATCATCATCATCTTCCATATCCTCCTCAATTTCACTTTCTGAGGTGCATATTATTTCCTTTTGGTAATTCCTACTATTTTCCATACCACTTGGAATAGACCTCTTATCCACTTTTTTATTATAATTACATTTGCTCCTCACAGACTGAACATTATCATTTCCATTTACTATATAATCATTTATGACAGTTCCCTTTTGAACTCCTTTACTTGTATGTGTATCCATATATTTATTCGTATACATATCCATATTCATTTCCATTATTTCATTTCCATTTTTTTTTTGCATTTCGCTAATAGATAGTTTACTCACTTCATTCTCATTTTCCTTATACTTATGAAATGCTTTAAACTCATCATTCTTTATCATTTTATCAAATTCGCATGAGCTCATGTTTTTTTTTTTTTTTTTTTTTTTTTTTTTTTTTTTTTTTTTTTTTTTTTTTTTTTCTTTTTTTTTTTTTTTTTTTTTTTTTATTTTTTTATTTTTTTTTTTTTTTTTTTTTTTTTTATTTTTTTTTTTTTTTTTTTTTTTTTTTTTTTTTTTTTTTTTTTTTTTTTTTTTTTCTCTCTTTACTGTCACTCACTCTCGATTCTTATCACTATCTACGAATAAATGTTGTGTCCTCTTGGCATAATAAAATAGGGACCCCAAGTTGTCTTAACTGGTAAAAGTACAGGGGAGGAGGGTTTCCAATGGGAAAGGATTAGAAAATAGGAGAAGAAATTTGGCAGAATTACTGAAATGGAGAAATTGCCTAAATAGTGAAAAAACGTTGTAGACGTGGAACGAATCGCCCAAACACTGCAATACATTTCAGAGTTTTTGGTTTCTCTGATTTCCCAGAAAATGAATTTAAATTATACATTCGAAACATAACCTATATATATATATATATATATATATATAGAAATACCACATGCACATTGACATATACACGTCTATATATAAACAAGTTTTCTTCTCCTACTTTTGAGTAATCAACATAAGGAAATTGTTTTGCTTATAGAAGCAAAGGTGGATTTTATGCTTCTCTTTATAAAAGGATTCAAAAGTAATGCAAGCGAAAGGGTTCGCGACAGGAGAAAAAAAAAAAAAAAAAAAAAAAAAAAAATGTACAAAAATCAGGTAACTAAACTAACACATACAAGTATACTTTTTTAGGAATAAAAACAAAACTGACGATTCTAATATGTAAAATACTCCGTTTCCTCTCTACACAAATGTCAAGATACATATGATTTAGACTATTTATTATAAGCAAAATATATATTCCTCCATCAACACAACGAGTGTAACACGAAACACGTGTGTGTAGCCTTACATGTGCTTTTCCTTCAATATATCTAAAAAAAAGGGGAAAAAAAAATGCAACACGCAATAAAGGAATAAGAACTCGTTGCACTCTCAACCCTACATATGAAACATTACTTCGTTGATTTTCATACTTCTTACGATAAAAAAAATGGAAATATCACTGTAACTTGGTTGGTACATTTGTGTATTGTCCCTCTTCTCAAACATTTACATAGAGATGTAAACTTGTTCGAAATATCAATTTTGAAAAGAAAAGAAAAGTGTTGAAAATACACATGCGGTGTTTTCTCTTCCTTCAGGGCTTGCTCACTAGTACGCGAAAAAAAAAAAAATATAAAGAAAAGGGTAAAGAAAAAGGTAAAGAAAAGGGTAACAAAAATGGAACGAAAAAATGCATGGGCTTCTTCGATTAGGGACTTTTTTTTTTCTTTTTTTTTTTTTTCAGATGCTTAAGGTTTAACGTTCATACATTTAGCAGAATTCGTGATATGCAATTATCCTATTTTTTCGTGTATGGAATGTATATAAATAGGAATATCTAAAAATGTAACTATGTAAATACATCCACATCTTCATATATAGTCCATTTCCTCTGTTTGAAGTGTCAATGTTTCAGTAATAGTGGAGAAGTAAAATTATATATATATATATATATATCTCATTGAGCCCCACACCCGTGTCGCTTGTGTACAATAGGTAACTGAAGATTTCTACATTGCAATGCATGCTGTGCCTGAGAATAATTTCTACACGTCATAATAAAAAAAAAAAAAAAAAAAAAAAAAAAAAAGCCAAGGCAGAGAAAAGCAACACTATATTAAAATATAAACAAATTCGTTGATATTGCAATAAAAATAGGGAATCCTTTTTTCTGATTTATTGGATAAGCACCAATCAAATCCCTTGAGAAGCAAAAAAAAAATACATTTTTCTTTACACCCCAATTTACGTATATAAACCGAAACATATTTTCTTCGCTCGCTTCAGCAAGTGTGTTAAACTTATAAAGAAATATATAAATAAAACCTCATATGTACTTTTTTTTTTTTTTTTTTTTTTTTTTCGTACATGTAGATATATCAGTTCAATAACACCATTTTGATGATATACACACGATGAAACATATTATTCCACATATTATTCCACATATTATTCCACATATTATTCAACATATTATTCAACATATTATTCCACATAATATGTTGAAGAAACCTCTAAATCGCTTGAGAATATGACAACCGTATACAGTGAATACTTTTTGTGAAGCAATAACTTATACCGGATACGCATGATCCAACGTGTAAAAATATGTGCACCTACTTAGAGTCTACCTATCCCCCATTATTAACCAAGTAAATTGATGGAAAATATACCATTATACATACCCTTTTTTTTTTTTTTTTTTTTTTTTTTTTTGCTGTAGCATTTTGTATACTATTCAAGTAAAAAAAATTAACTATACCCATCTTTATATTTTTTCCCATCTAAAAAATAAACACGTTTATACAGAGAGAAAAAAAAAAAAAAAAAAAAAAAAAAAATAGTCTCTTTGAAACTTGTCCGAGATCAAAGTGAAGAAAATCTGCATAATCTACTTCATTAAAACTCGTTCCAGAAACAGCATAAGAGAATAATTTGCAATAAATAAGAAAAGAAAAAATAATCTACAAGAGCTCACAAAAGTGAAAGCGGAGAGTGAAAATGGGAGGAAAGAGCAACCTGTGGAAGAAATCCCGAGTTCAAAATATTATCAAACGATGTGTAAGCCAAAGAGCACCATTCAACCTACATGGAAAAGTGAAGGTAGAGAATCCAATAGTAGAACTAGATGGAGATGAAATGACAAAAGTTATATGGAAAGATATAAAAGAAAAATTAATATTGCCATACTTGGACCTAAAAATAAAATATTTTGATTTATCTATCGAAAATCGAGACAAGACAAATGATCTAGTGACATTAGAAGCAGCAGATGAAATTAAAAAATCATCTGTTGGTATTAAATGTGCAACAATTACACCAGATGCAGCTAGAGTTAAAGAATTTAATTTAAAAAAAATGTGGAAAAGTCCAAATGGAACCATAAGAAATATATTAGATGGTACTGTATTCAGAGCTCCCATTTTGATAAAAAATATACCAAGACTAATACCGAATTGGAAAAAACCAATTATTATAGGAAGACATGCATATGCAGATCAGTATAAACAGAAATCATTCAAAATTGAAAAAAGTGGAAAATTTGAAATTGTGTTTACCCCAGATGATAATTCACAAATTCAAAGGGAAGAAATATTTCATTTCAATTCACCTGGTGTTTGTTTGGGAATGTATAATACAGAAGCATCCATCACCAATTTTGCTCTTGCATGTTTCCAATATGCATTAGATTTAAAAATGCCTGTTTATATGAGTACAAAAAGTACTATACTCAAAATATATGATGGATTATTTAAGGATATTTTTCAAGAAATTTACGATAACAAGTTCAAAAAAGAATTTGAAAAAAATAATTTATGGTATGAACATAAATTAATTGATGATATGGTTGCACAAGTCTTAAAATCAGAAGGTGGATTTGTATGGGCATGTAAAAATTATGATGGGGATATACAATCGGATGCTGTTGCACAAGGATATGGAAGTCTCGGTTTAATGAGTTCCATTCTAATGTGTCCAGATGGAACCACTTGTGTTTCAGAAGCAGCACATGGTACTGTCACAAGACATTATCGATGTTATCAAAAAGGACAGAAAACATCAACAAATCCTATTGCATCTATCTTTGCGTGGACAAGAGGATTACAACACAGGGCTAAATTAGATCGAAATCAAGCACTCCAACAATTTTGCAATGCTCTTGAGAGAGCATGTATAGAAACTGTTGAAGATGGGTTAATGCCAAAGGACCTTGCTTCATGTATCAAGGGTCTTAAAAATGTAACAGAAAAAGATTATCTATATACAGAAGATTTCATAAATGCCATTAATGAAAAACTTAAATTCAAGTTACTTGCAAATCAGTCAAAACATGATTCCCACAATGCAACTACTACAAAGTTGCACAACGAAAATTGGAATAATTATGCCCCTCAAGAACATTCTTCCTGAGTTTGTATCATATCATGACATTGTAGGTGATTAATATACCTACAACATTCCTCTGTGTTTTAGTACGTCAATTTCTTCCTTTTTTTTTTATTTTTTTTACCATGTCTTTTTCGACAACTCATAATATATTCATCTGCATGTGCAAAACTAACAATTGACGATTTTTTCTAAAGATCCGCGTCAGGTGCCAACTAGAAAAAATATACCCTTCATGAGATAACCATAAATTCACGTATGCACGAAAAATACATTATCCAAAGAAAATGAATTATCCAAAGAAAATGAATTATCCAGAGAAAATGAATTATCCAGAGAAAATGAATTATCCAAAGAAAATGAATTATCCAGAGAAAATGAATTATCCAGAGAAAATGAATTATCCAGAGAAAATGAATTATCCAGAGAAAATGAATTATCCAGAGAAAATACATTACCCAGTGCATTCAAAAAGGTACGAGGTGAAGCATTTTATCTCGTTTTGCCGCCAATTAATATGCTTCCTTTTCGTATGTATTCTAAAATATATTCATCCATAAAAGATACATGTAAAAGCAAAAATGCTGTGAAATAACAAAACTAATAGAGAAAGTTTGTGGAAAAAAAAATCCCGGATGTTCAAAAATAAAGGTAAAAAAAAAAAAAAAAAAGTACCACTATGAAATGATACACAAAAATATAAAACAATAAGGTTTCAATAAACACAAATTCCAATTAATTATAATCCTTAAATTTTAAAATATTTAAAAAAAAAAAAAAAAAAAAAAAAAAAATTATTTAAAAATAGCTATAAAATAGGAGAAGCAAAATATTTCCCTTCATTCAGAAGGTGAGAGAAAAAAAAAAAAAAAAAAAAAAGTGACACCTGTTTACATCATAACACTGTGTCTTTCGAAGTTGCTAAATTGAGGCAATTCAATTTTTCCATTTTCATCTTTTGGAAAAGTACCCATTTTGTAGTAGACCTCCTCAAACTCCTTACTATTTTGTCGTACCATTTCTCTTATTTTTCCCCTATCTTTAAAAAAATCTATTTTATTAATTTCTTTTGAATCCAGCCAATTGTTTATTATATCCCATATTTTATGAAAAATAGTACGAGACTCATCAAAACCTTCAAAGAAACTTATACAATCTTTGTGATGAGTATCCATTAAAATATTTCCATACTTTTTTCTGCACATCTCACAATCAATATCCATTTCATGCACTGGTGGCACGCTTGGGTCGAAGTTTATTTCCTTCGTATTTAAATCTCTGTTAATTTTAGCAAACGCCAATTTTAGTACTTTAAAAATATATTTTATGAAGTTGTTAATATACGTAATAACATCCTTAGGGGATATATGACACTTTGTATCCATCTCCTGTAAAAATTCGTTATTAATGTTAATGTTTCCCTAAAGCAAAAGGTGCAAATGGAAAGAAAAAGTATATAACATGATAGAATATGCTAAAAAAAAAAAAAAAAAGAGTGTTGGTGGGGAAGGGTTCACACCATGCACACACAGAAAAGTAGTTTACAGCGTTGTTGTTTTTCCATCCTTTTTATTTTTTTCCCTTCTCATATATGTTTTAAGTGCATTAATAGGTACTGGGGGTGTAGTACATACTGTGTTGTTTGAATAATGGAAGTCATCTTAGTCCCTCTCGGTTTTTTCTTTTTTTCGATGTAATTTTTCTTTTTTCGATGTACTTTCTCTCTTTTCGATGTACTTTCTCTCTTTTCGATGTACTTTCTCTCTTTTCGATGTACTTTCTCTCTTTTCGATGTACTTTCTCTCTTTTCTATGTACTTTCTCTTTTTTTTCCGCTTCTCTTACCGCACTCAGGGGATAGACTTGATTGGCGAAGTTGTACGTGTCATTATTTTGAAAAGACTCACGAACACAGAGAGGCATATTCATGTATGTATTGTCAAGGTTCATAAATTGACCATTTAAGGAATAATTAAGATCATCGGATAAATATGCATAAGTTAATCTATTTGAGTTACCACTAAGATATTTATCACTAAATTGTGCATTCTTATTATTATCACAAAGGGGAATGGTGTAACTAAACTCTCCTATGTTATTTTTATTAATGGAATTACTTGGGTATATTACATAAGGATTAATATCTTGTGAAAAGGATGTATTTAAAGAACCAGATTTGTTATTACCTACTTTGCGTTTCTTATTTTCAACCCTTCGAATAAATACCTTTGGGTTGGATGTTTTACAACTTAATGGATTTCCTGTATAACCGAAAGTCATAGAAGGAGTACTATTATTATTTCCATATTCTTGTACTATTGCATTTGGATATGTATTATATTCATTGTACTGTGGTTGTGAAATTTCCATGCCGTCACTAGTGTATCCATCTATGGAGTATAATCTTCCTACACTGTCTGGCACCGTGTCATTTGTTTCATCAAAACTTTTTTCCGCCTTGTTCAATTTTTCATACTTTTTTGATATGTCTTCAAACATTTTTGCGTGTTGAATAGATGTTTCTTATAATGTACTGGTGTCTAATTTGGCTCTTGTTCTTAAGTCCGTCTCGATGAATATGCGTGGGTAATGTAGTTTGTGTATGAAAGGGTATCAATCGATATTCTGTTTTTTTTTATTTCCGCTTGCTATTATAATTTACCGTGCTGTTATTACTGCGTTGTAGTCACTGCGTAATTGCTGCCACATAATTATTATTTTTTGCTATTTTTTATGTATTTTTTTCGTTTTTGTACTCCCCTCATCTAAGGAAAAATAGCAGCGAAACGTTCAAAAATATTTGCAACACTTGTGCGCACACAGTAATGTTCTACGAAACATAATTTGTTTATTAAATAAAACGAATTTATATTAAAAAAGAAAAAAAAACGCATGGCAAACTTCACCCTACATTTAGTTTTATGCATAACCGTGATGTGTTGCAAAAGGGAAATTATTTTTTATGTCTACTGAAACAGAATGTTTGTTATAGTAAACATATATTCATATGCAACCACGTTTGTAATGACAAATGATTCATATATTGCGACAAAACTAGAAAAAAAAAAAAAAAAAAAAAAAAAAAAAACATGTACAATAGGAAAAGAATTGGGGACAGTAAAGGGGAGGGGCACAAAATACATTAATACACCTGTACATATTTAATTTACTTTTCAAGTGAGAAAAAACAAAAAAAAAAGACAATATATATTTTGCGTAAAATATTTCCTAAGTCAATACATTTTTTAAAAAAAGATGAATGTGCAAAGGTAAAAGGGATTCACACATTTCATGCGCACTCTGGGATGTATATATTATATGCATTTGTGTGTATGTGCACATATACAGATATATATATATTAGTACACATACATATGAAAATATTTGTTAGCACATGCTAACATTTCATTCTTTCCATTATTAAATTCCTTAAAAGAAAATAATATACACACTCGAAAATGCGAATATAGAGAGCGCAAATGAATGCAACATCATAAATTGTTCTTTTAGAATGTGCGCAGGCTTATGTACACACATTTGTCACGTAATAATTGACTAAAACGGGAAATGCAACAGCACAATTGATTTTTCCTGACTACTCCATTAAATTCTTAGCAGGATATAATAAATAACACAGTTGCATGGAAAAATATATGAACATAAAAAAAAAAAAAAAAAAACTTTTTGCTAAAAATTGCATGAACAGTTCAGATGAGATGTGTGCATATATACCAAAAAATTGAATATACATAACCGTAAAATGGGTATAAAGAAAAAAAAAAAAAAAATAATAATAATCGAGCGATAGAGCGAATAAAGATAAAAAAGCTGTTTTCTGAATAGTCAGGAAAAAATGTAATTTTTTTTTTTATACAAAAAAATGCGTCTTTAATAGATGGAATTGCCACTTTGCAATTTTTCCACCTTACATTTTTATTTTGTACATATTAAACAAAATGTGTACCCCCCCCCTTACCTCCAAATACCAATATTATAATTTTTAGTCGGTTCAAGCAGAAACATTGTGACAACCACTATTCTGCAGAAATACAAAAAAAAAAAAAAAAAAAATTAGGAAGAACCTTGTAGACTTTAAAGAAAAAGTTGCACGTTCAATGTTTTTTCTCAAAAAAACTTATGCTTTATTAGCATAATTTCGCATGCCTTTTTCTCAACATCAGTATACTTTTAGATACCCTTTTATTTATACCCATTTCATGGTTATATATATGCAATTCGGGAAAAAAAAATTTCTGCTTTGTTCGCATTAGTACACTGCTCTTACATTATATTTGCATCAACAGGCAGACAGAAAATAATACCAAAAAAAAAAAAAAAAAAAATGAACAAATGGGTAGATCGTAAGTATTTTATTTGATGCATGGAGTTGATTTTTCTCATTTTTTTACCTGTCTCCACCTTTTTTATATTCCTTTCGTTTCTTTCGCTTCATTTGCTTCACTCTTGCGTCATTTCCTTTTGGCCACCTCTTTGACAGTTCCTTATGTTCAAGGATTTATGAGTGACCTGGTTTTTCCGACAACTATTTCTTCCGTTCTACATTCTTTAAAAAAGCAAAAATAAACAACATAGTAAGACAAATAAATACATAATAAGAAATGGTTCACTTAAGTACACATACACAAAGTGGAAAAGTGAAATAGTATATATATATGATCAAAATGAGAGAAAAGCCTATTTTTCCCTTTAACCAAGCTACTCCTTTTTCTACTAACAATATGTAAATTTTCAAATATTTTGCTAGAAACACCTACATATAGTTCTTCCATTGATATAGAACCTGATTATTTTTAAAAATTATTATATTACAAAAATGAAAAAAAGTTATATGTATATATTCAAGTGCTCATTTTTTTTAATGCATATGGGTTCACTATTTCGTACCCTAAAAAATGAAGAAGAATTAGGAAAAATAAATATAAACGACATATGTTATAATCATGCATAAGTCTGTTATGATCTGATAGAATAAATTAACTCAGCTAATTTTGTGATATTAAAAAAAAAAAAAAAAAAAAAAAAAAAGACTCATATATTACAAACAAACATCAGCGTACGTGTATATTCATTATGTATATCCACATGGATACAAAATCTTTAACTTAGAAAATTATCGTAATGAAAAGATTACCCTTTAGGAAGGGTGCAAAAAGAAGAAAAAAAAAAAAAAAAAAAAAAAAAGCAAACTCATTTTGATATTTAAAAAAAAAGTAATTTATAAAAGAGGTCAATATATGATGGAAAAAAAATTTAAGTTTTCTCATGTACATAAAAGATATCACCGGAGGGTTGAGTAATTTTTGGGATAGATGTCATTTGTGGTATTCTGTACGAGATGTACCATGTTTGCACTGTCACTGTTCGTATGGGTACTCAGAAACAATGTCCTCTTCTCTATCAGCATTTGTCATCGTGATAAAGAAAATTGTTTTGATTGCTTCCCGGCTTCGCATCTGCATGTGTATAGTTATCAATGGGAAGTTTTTTTTCTTTTGCTGATGATAACATAGATATAATGGATAATACTAAACCAGAGATAGACAAACTAGGATTATAATCATCACCAAGTAAACTTAAACATATGTCTCCATTAGAATAAACATGCGTATGCTTAGGTGGTTTTTGTAAAAAATATACAATGGGTGGCTTTAATGGATAATCATCAGGAAAAATAATTTTAAGTTTGTATACTTCATTAGCATATATAGTATTTTCCAAACCTACATATTTAACAATCCAAATTCTGATATTATTTGGATGCACATCTATAGTACAATTAATGGGTGGATTTTTTAAAAAGTTGTGTAATTCTTTTTGTATTCTATAATTAGCGTTCCCTAAGTTATATTTAGTTCTCATGTGTTTCTTAACACTTATAGATGGTTCTATGGTGTCACTCTTAACAGGTTTGTTATGAGGCTTAATTGTGAATAGTCGTTTTGTGATACGGTTCCTGTACTCGTGCATATTAAATTTCCCCATGCGGGGTAATATCATAGCATATTTTTGTATCCTATTCAATTTCCTTTTTCGATCACAAGATGTCTTCATTCCACTACTACTACTACCACTACTACTACTACTATTACCACTACTACCACTGTATGCGCGATTATCGTTCCAACTTGTATACATGTCAAACAGGTGAATATTTTTCAAATTTTTGCATTTTATGAAATTTCTATTTCTATTTCGCGATAGGAATATGCAACAGGTAATTAAGCATTTCCACAGAACCTTCATTCGGATAAATTATTTTTTTTTTTTATTTTTTAACTATTTCATGAAAAGAAGATTACTTGTCCTTATCATACCATTTCTACGTACATCGTTTTGCAAATGTATAAATTTTCTATTATGGACGTGCTCCAAGCTTGTTCTTAACATATGGATATTTTAAAAACGAGAACAGCAGAATGGCACAGCAAAGCGTTGGGATTGTTTTCTACCTAATATGGTTATGCCTTTTCTTATAATTTTTTTTTTTTATACCACACCATCATATTTATTTATGGAAGAATTGCACTCTATACACTATGAAAAGCTGTGTAATGATGTTCCATTAAAAGGTGTATATACATATATATATAATTATTGCCCTTCGAAGGATTTTGGATTGGGTCCAAGTTTTGTATGAACGCCTTGTCAAGCCTTTTACGTATGACCACTTTTGTGAAAATTCATCTGATATGGGAAAGAGACCAATTAAAGCATGTGGCTCGAGTATGTTACTAAAAAAAAAAAAATACTGGAGAAAAATAAATTGAAAAACTTTGAGTTGGGACCTAAGTGTTAAATTTCAAAGGGGCTCTTTTCTTATTTTTAAATTAAACATAGGAAGATGGCGTAGGTTATTTTAATTTTTTTTTTTTAACCCTTGTTCGGTCAATTAAGGAAATGGGGATATTTTTCATTTCAAAAATGAAAGCAAGTGGGGGGTAAAAAAAAAAAAAAAAAATAATAAATAAATAAATAAATAATAATAAAAAAATAAAATTACCACAGAAATGTTTAATTTCATTATTCACCTTCATCCACATATTTATAAGTCCATTTTGGGATATCAGAACTGAGGAATGAGTTCATGTGTGTAATGTACTGAGAAGATATAATTATGTATTCATTTGTACTACATTATCAATTACACGCTTAAATTGTCAACTAGTGCAAACAAGGAAACAAGTCTGAATTATTTTAAGTTCATTCAGAGGATAAAAATTTATGCAAAGGAACAGTTCTTTCCACGAAGAAGAGAAAAAGAGAACTTGAAAGCATTACCTAGAATTAACAATCACAACGTGTAAAAAACACGAAAGAAAAAAAAAGCACATTTTATAACCTCCATAAGCATACACAAAGTAATTTTCCCATTTTTAATTTATTTCACCCCATAACCATTTTTCGGGCACTCTCAATGAAAATACGTCATTGCAATAACATTTTAGTTTGTGCACTCCTGGGGAAAAAAAAAAAAAAAAAAAAAAAAAAAAAAAAACGAGAAAGCAGCCAAGCAAAGGAAAAAAAAAATAAAATAAAATAAAAATAAGGAGAGTAAAAGTCCAGTGTAACAAAAATGAAGAAATCACTTTCAAGCTCTTCTTTTCTAAAAATTAACGGCCCAAAATTTTCCTTACATAATATTATGTAAGTACCATTTTTAACATCCCCCTGCATACTTTTAAACATCTCCAAAATGCTATCGTAAAAAATATCAAATAATTTATTTCATACACATTTTTTATTGAAATTAACATGAGTTCTTTTTATTGCAATTTCCATTGAATTTTAATGCAATATTTTTTTTTTTTTTTTTCTTTTTTTTCTGCTGATTTTCTATAATGTAAAGGATATAGAATAGAATGAAGTATGTATGTCTCACTTTGGACATAAAAGTAATACAAACATGGCTTCTTACACATTACGCACATATTTTTGTGTCGAAGTATTAGTGTGTAAAAGTAGCCACGCCTAAACACACATAGGGAAAACGTAATTAAAAAGGTATATAAAACGTATGTAAAAATACAAGGGAAAGCATACGTATGCGATGCTTAAATCCCAATTTTGAAATTGTCCGAGGGAGAAAATAGACACTTTTTCTCCTCACATACTTATAAATGTTAATTAAAAAGAATATATATTTCCACAATTCCTAGTTTAAAAATAAAAAAAAAATAAAAATCCAAAACGATTTTCACACAAATTATAGCAAAGTTTCCCGTGTACCCACACCACACAGCTCGCGTATGCACATGCGGAGTCATTCTTATATTAGAAAAAATGTAAATATATTTTTTTGTTCTTTTAAAGATGTGCTAAGATATTTCATGCTACCTTTCTAGGAACTAAAAAGGCTATTTTTTTTTTTTTTTATGTGTAAAGACATTTGGTACATTAGAGTTTGAAATGAATATAAACATTTTAAATAAAAAAAAAAAAAAAAAAAATATTTTTTCTGACGACGAAGAAAGCGACAAAAAGGATGAGAAGGAACATGAAAACGGAATAAAAGTACCAGAAGAATCGGAAAATTTAGTGTCTACAAACACAACGGAGCAGATTCACTGTGGGGGAAATATTGATGCTGAAGCTGGTAAAGCAACTAGTACTAATGAGGAGGGAGCAAAGGTTGCAGTGACGGAAAAAGAAATGTCAGAAAATGCAGAGAATAAAACTGATATCAGAGAAAGTAATGACGAAATAAATGGAGAACCTACTAAATTAAGGGGTGATAATGAACAAGAACAAGATACTAGTAATATCCAAAAAGAAAATGTTTTAAAAAAAAAAAAAAAAAAGTTGCGAAGATTGGAAAAATCCATTGAGGACGAAACTGAAACGGAGGAAAGTGTACAGCATAATTTGGAGCAAATTTCACAGCAAGAGATACACAATGAAAAGCAAGTTCGTAAACTTAGCAAAAAAGATTTTATTATAAAAAATTATGCACATGAAAAAAAACAGAAGGAGGAAAAACATAAAGGAAAAAGTGACCCATACAATGATGGTCATGAAATTCCTGTGGAGAGAAGAGAACCAGTTCATGATACAGCATCCGATCGAGACACTGTTGAACAGAGTGTAGAAAGAAAAAGAAAGGAGAAGAAAAAGATCAATGATGATGAGAGTTCCCATGACAGGGATGACATTTATCATAATCCTGATAATAGTGAAGATGATGAAAAGAATTACGAGGAGGTGTACCATGGAGATGGTCCTTTGGGAACCGAAGAGGAAGAGGAGGATAAATTTTCCCAAGACTTGAGCGACGAAGAGGAAAAGAGGAATAAGCACATAAAAAAAAAAAAAAAAAAGACAAAAGAAGATATCCCAAAACTGAACGAATCAGAGCGTAACAAATTTAAGTTAGATAAAGACGAAGATAATATGACTTATTTGAAAGAAAGAAAAAAAAAAAAAATGAAAAATTCTAAACTGATGCTGGATGTAAATCCAAATGAAGAGAAATTGAAGCTAAAACTAATTTGTATATCTTTTCATAAGAAGGAATACAATATTGAGGAATTTATTTTCGAAAGTTTAAAAGTAATCATCCCTCAAAACAAAACTGAACTATTTTTAAATCAACAAAATATAATCATCGATTCTACAAGTAGGGATGATTTAAAAAATTTGGAAATTTTTTGGTTCGACAGATTGACGAAAAACAGACGTAGAAGCATAATGAATTGTTTCACCACGCTCAGCAAGATGAGTCCAAAGGAAATGGAGGACAACTTGAATACCTCGCCTCCAAATGTGGCTAGCGCTAACGAACCTTTAATTAACGATTCCAAGAACATACCTAACAGTTCTCAAAATGTAGCTGACAGTTCTAAAAATATACCTGACAGTTCTAAAAATGTACCTGACAGTTCTAAAAATGTACCTGACAGTTCTAAAAATGTACCTGACATTTCTCAAAATGTACCTGACAGTTCTAAAAATGTACCTGACAATTCTCAAAATGCAACTGACAGTCCGAAGAACGTAGCTCATAATTCCGCAAGTATACCAATCACTGCCTCCAATATAATTGACGCTAACGAGAATATATCTAATGTTTCCCATAATCCAACTATCGATGGCTCAAATGTAGCTAGCTACACTCCAGATACTTCTAGGACAGCTGGAAAAAATATAAACGGTCTGGAGGACATATTCAACAAAAAGAAGGATACAATAATAGTAGACTATTTAGCGGCATTATGCACGGAACAAGTTAAACTGATTAAGCTGTACATCTCATATATTAGGAAGAATATTTATGATATGTCATCCATCACAGAGAATAATGAAAAAATAAAAGAAATGAACATTTTGGAACCAATAAAAAGGAGAGAAATGTTTTTTTACCTAAATTTGTGCATCTCGATGAATTATATTCAAGAACAATCGCCAAACGTATATACACCACCTATCGACGTCACACCAGACATTAGAGGATTTAATTTGCATCCCATGTTTTCACATATAAATAAAAAAATAAACGAACAAAGAAAAGGCAATATTAAAAATCCATGGGAGAAATTAAAATTATTAAAAAAATCAAAAAAAACAGATTCAGAAAATAAAAATCACGATAACAGTGTGCACAAATGTGAGGTAGATGCACACATGGTCAAAAAAAAAAATGAAGCAAATGAGGAAGAAGAAGAAGAAAAAGAAGAAGAAAAAGAAGAAGAAAGAGAAGTAACAGCAACAACAGAATCCGCTGCAGGAGGAGGAAGAGTCGCAGCAGCAGAAGCAGAAGAAGAGGATTCTGAAAAAAGGAAAAATGATAAATACACAGGTGATAACGATATGTCACAGAAAAAATCGTTAGAAGATGAAGGGAAAAAAAAGAAAGCATTAGAAGAAATGAAAAAAAAAAAAAAAGAAAAAGATGACAAAAAGGTTTATAATGTGTATTCGCTACTCGAATCCGCAGCTCAATATTTTGGAGAAGGTCCAAAATATTCAAATCCCAATATGCATGAATTCTACAAGTCCAATATTAATCAGTTGGTATATATTAAACCACCAAATAACATAGATGAAAAAAATATTTTAATTAATTATTTTTTGCAATTTCCAAGCATTACAAAAAAATTAGAGTACAATAAAAGAAGAATTTATGCAGAAAATTATGGACTTGTTAAAATAGTTAAAAATAACGAAAATCTCCCAATTAATTTTACTTTACACACACAACCTTGGCTATTAGAATCATATGAACACTTATGGAATGAGCAAAATAAACTGAACAATTTTGACATTTTCAACATGTCCAATTTGTTAGATGATAATGATGACGATGATGACTTTGGGGGGGGAGGCTTCGAGTACAACCAGTTCTCCTTGACCAAACCTGAGATTGTCAAACCTGAGATTGTCAAACCTGAGATTGCTAAACCTGAGAGTGCCAAACCTGAGAGTGCCAAACCTGAGAGTGCCAAATCTGAGACTGTTCAACAGGACGGGGTGGGGTCTGTATGGTCAAACTCCCACTCCCCTAGCAAACGAGACCAGAAGAATGTTGCGTCAACTAGTGAAATTAAAAAACGTGATAGCAAAAGTAAAAGTGAATTTTTAACAAAAAAAATAAAAAAAATTTTCCCCACTAAGGACTCCAAACAGCTAAAGTTGACATCCTTTGTGAGTAAAGAAAAAATTAGTAAATATATGAATGTAACCAAGAAAGAGGAAAGAGAAGAGCAAGACAAAGATAAGCAAACCTTGGGGGAATCAAACAATGTTCCAATTATAAATCAGCAGGAAGAACAAACAAATGATTCCACTGTAGTAGCCAATGAAAATGAAGAAACAGAATATATAAAAATAAAAATAAAAAAAAAAAGAGTTTTAGACGATGAAGCGATCAATGACATATATGCAGATCAAAAAACAAAGATAAAATCCAATGATAATCAAAAAAATGGAACAGATAATGAAATAAATTTTTCTAATGAACAGAAGGAGCAAAATATCAACCGTGAAAATTGCACTAGCACCACTAGTCTTATTAATGAATTTGAAAATGATGATATGAATGAAAAAGAGAATAGGATGTATCACGAGGAAAGCAAAATTATAAAAAACATACGAAAAAAAAATGAGAATTTGGATGAAGAAGAAGAGATGAAGAAGGAAAATGACAATATAAACGATCATTACAAGAAAACAGAGATAAGTGGAAATCAAAATGCAGATGAAGAAAAAAATGAAAAGGTAGTTGAAGACAAAAAAGGAAATGCAGATAATGTAAAGAATTCAGAATATAAGGACATAAAAGAATCTATTGCCAAAGAAAGGAAAAGGTACACTCCAGAAAATGCAACATTATTATTATTTACATATATAATTTTTTTTTTTTTTTTTTTTTTTTCTTTTTTGCATATTCTATATGGATCCCAATAACACACATGTTTTATGGATTATGGCCCCATAAAATACTTGAGCACAAACTATATTCACCTATAAGTAGTTGCATACTGATATGTACACATTGTGCATATTGGTACATATACATATATGTTAGGGTCTACAAAAAAATTGTATTATTCCCCTTTTTTTTTCTTAAAGCCTTCGGCATGAAAAAATGCAACACATGTTTGAGTTAGAAGCAGAGGAAAGCGATGACGAAAATATAGAAGATTTGGAAGAAAGGAGAAGAGCACAAATGTTGAAACAAAATAATCAAACGGAGGAGTCCGAGGATGACGAACAATACAACAGCGAAGAGTAGGTGTTTATATGCATACGGGCGATTGCTTATGCATTTGTATCGTACCCATGAATTGGTACCATGTCAACTGCATTCACATACATTATCACACCATAAGTTGGAAAAACAAAAAGGGGAAAATGGTACCAAGAAAGGGGTGCCACTTTTTGTAGTGAAAACAAATGAATAATCCAGTGCTTCACGAAGAAGCTCCCTTTAAGAAGGAAAAAGAATTTTATCCAACTTGGCACTTCCATTTCACACCCCATTTTATGCCTCACGTTGCCCAATTTCATCATCTTTCTTCCTCCCTTCCTTAGACTTAACGAATTCATAAATAATGAAGAATACAACAGCGATAATGAAATTGTTAAGCTTAAACACAAACAAGAAATGGAAAAATTGGAAGAAGACATATTTATAAAGAAATTTACTTATCAGGGAAAGGAATTTAATAATGAATTAACAAACAGAGAAAAACTGGAACTAGCAAAAGAAAAAGAATTACTAAGAAGAAAAAAACTTTTATTTAACAGTACCTTAGGACATGTCAAGTTGAGTGATTTCGAATCAGATAGTAGTACTAGCAGTAATGCTAGCTTGAAAAAACGTATCAAAAATACCTTGTACGAACCTTTTACTGAACTTGAGAATGTAAAATTGTCAAAAAGAAATAATAATATTATTGGTAGCTCCTACAAGGAAAATATCTTCAAGAGAGGAGAAGACATTAGAAATTTAGAGGACCAACAGAGGAGAAAAAGTAAAATATATCTCTTCATCAATGTGTGGATTTTTATATGCCCAACTTTTTTTTTCTTAAATCATACTGTTCAAAAATGACAATTTTTCCACTTCACCATTTCAATCTCGCAGTTTTAGAAAAAATAGACAACGTTATGTACACAAAAGAAATAAAAACAAACGAAGGAAAAAGAATAGTAATTAAGAAAAAAAGAAAAATTCGTTTTCATCAAGATTTATCCGACGTTACAGTAACAGAGGAAGAACAAGTTGACACATATGAAAAAACGAAGAAGAAACCGAAAAAGGTAAATACCATCCTGGTTGAGCAATCCAAACCATCTTCTGTAAATACACTCAATAAAACAGTGAATCATCATAATAAGGCTTCCATAAAATGGAATAATAACATAAAAGATATTAGTGAATTGGACACACCCACGAATAGTGAAGTGTTTAAGGGATTTAGGAAAGTGGAAAATGCACAGTGAAATAGTTACACATTTGAGGGTATCCAACAAAACAACAGAGCTTATGGATTTATCGGCTGGTAGACTGATCGGTTGGTAGGTTGATAGATGGGAGGACAGATGAACACGTCTATGTCAAACCTTAATGCATAGGCATGCTGGATCATATGGATCTGATTTGCATGGGAACCCCTTTCCTGTGCTTATGTGGCAGGAATGTGAAGAAATTCAAACATTATCATTGATAAATACCTTATCCGTGATCTTTTAATTTTAGTTTTATATGCACATGCAAAACGTATGAGCTTTCATGTATGTATGCATGTATGCACCCGTGTTTGCGCCATCATTTTAACGTATATATACCTTTTAAATAATTCCAATGTTTTTAATTTTATTTTCCCCTTATGCCATTATTTATCTGATTATTATTTAGATAATATAAAATATATGTGCCTTTTTTTTTTTTTTTTTTTTTTTTTTTTTTTTCTTATACGCCCCTTCAAATACACACCTACCGAATTATTATCATTTAAAACATATGAAATATTTTAAATCTTAATGTTTTCGAATAAAACAATAATTGCAGTATATACTTGTAAGTATTCCATTTTAAATTATCACTTTTACATAGTTCAATTCATTTTGCTAATTTCCACTTAATTTTTGAATTTTTTTTTTTTTTTTTCACATTTTTCATTTTCTTCACATTTTTCACATTTTTCACATTTTTCACATTTTTCATATTTTTCATATTTTTCGTTTTTTTCACATTTCGCAACTTTTTTTTTTTTATTCTTAAATTTATTGCCTCACATAATTATGTTTTTCTTTTTTCATGATTAAATTTGCATTCCTGATTACACATTAAAAAGTACAGTACCTTAATATGTAATATTTCCTCTTCTCATTCCTTCACTATGAATGATTTATTAATAGCAAAAGGGAATACTTGCAAGCAATAAATGTGCGTTAATAACATATCAATACATAAAATTGCTTATATTTTCTGCAATGTGTAAGAATAAATGTCAATGAAGTGATAATATACCATTTATTTTGTGATAATTTCTTTAACAAATTTATAAAGGACTTTTTTTTCTTTTTCATTACTTGCCCTTAGGAAAAAGGAAAAAGAATTGTTTTCCATGTTTACTTAAACTTCTCTTTTTGTATACATTTTATATACGAATAAAATACAAGGACAAAATGAATAACAAAGTTAGTGTACCATACGAGACGTGTGAACTAAGGAATGTTACTTTTGAGCTACCTAAAGAATTTCATCCAAATGTAAAATATGGCTTTATCAGAAATTTCCTATTTGGAAAATATACCTTCTACTACGTAATAATGAATAAGAAATTTTAAACATCATATATTTTTGCTTTTATGTGCAGAATTCATTGTAGTTTATCTTTTTTTACTCTTTTCTTAACAATGGCTTTCTTTTAATCATGCCTGTTTTTTTTTTTTTTTTTCTCTTTTTTCCTTTATATAAGACACAACACCTTTTAGCAAAATTTACCTGAACATTTTTTTTTTTTTTTTTTTTAACATTTTGGCTAGTTTAAAGGCATTTTTAAGGTATCAACAAAGGTGGCTGCAGGTTTTCTACTTTTTTATTACCCTTTGGATAAAGTCCACTGCAACATTCGTAGATTTGTAATACATTTTTATGAAAAAAAGGAACATCTATCTATTTGTGATAGAAATGTATACAATTGTTTGTATTATACATTCGTGATATTATTACTTTTTTTTTTTTTAAAAAGTTCATTATGCATATTTCTCCATTATGCATACGGTTTAACATAATTGATCGTGTATATACACACGCACACATTTATGCCTCCGTTTTTCCTTCCAAAAAAAACCACAGAAAAATAATCTGAAGAAGCAGGATTAATGTTATCATCACTTCTTGAACTCATGAGAATCGCAAGAATATTCAAGTGGGACGAAAAAGAACAGCCTTTTATTTATGGAAAGTTTTTTTTATTTAAACAGTACATTTTATGCTCGATAATTTTGCAGCATACCCTTTATGTATTTTATTTTATTATTAGTATTATTTTTTTTTTTTTTTTTTATTACCATAACGAACATAACTTCTGACATTTTAATTTGTGTGTACATACATGTACGGTTTTATGCATAAGGAGAAATCAACAGAAAATACAAGAATGACCGGATATTTCCTTAAAGCAACGATAAATTAACAGATATACAATTCCCTAAACATGAATTATGTTGTATTCCAATATGAACTAGCACTAGTTCTGTCACATGGATGATACTTTTTGAATATAAATTACACTATGTGTTCCATGAACACTTGGTGGGGGGGGGGGATGAAAATGTATCACTCATTGTGTGACTAATTTTTTCATGTGAATAAATATAAATAAATAGAAAGAAAACAAATTGTTTCAACACATATGGTTCACTTTTTTGGCTAAAACAAAGGGGAAGGATATAAACAACTATTTCTCCTTTCAATTTTTCCCATAAAAAAGGGGAAAAAAAAAAAAAAAAAAAAAAAAAAGGATCCAATAAAATGGGATGATTTTTTACGTTAAAGAGGAAATAATATGGTACAAGATAAATTTATTACTTTTTTTTTTTCCCCCCCCCACCCCTTCCTCCTGCACTCGTAGTTTTTGATTGATAATATGTACAAAAGGACATGACATCCTTAAAGGTATCAACTTGTTAAAACATCAAAATTCATGACAATACCACTTGTCCCTATCGGTACATTTCATGTGGGTACTTATGTACTCTTCATCCTATAAAGGCTTTTTCGTCAGTTGAAGAAACTGTACATATATAAATAAGAATGGCTTCATCCACCTGTTGTCCCTATATATGGTACATCGTTTAAGGGTGCACATTTGGGATATTCTTTTACAATACGTGTTTTTAATTTTTTTTTTTTTTTTCTTGCACGGGGATATTTATATGATATAGGATCATGTGCATTGTGGAGCTCGCTAAAACGTTGTTCTTTATATGCTTCCTTTATTGCTTGCCTTTTTTTTTTTTTTTTTTTTTTTGTTTTTCCGCACGCACATTTATCTGACCGCACAATTCTTTCCTTTCTCTTTATCAACCTTACTTATATACGTTTCCATCATTATTTTTTTTTCTTCCTGTCATTCCTCTCTCCCATGCATGTTTAAAATTTATATAGTGCATGGTAGGCTATGTTTGGAAATACTTTTCTGTTTAAGTTGAAACACAGTTGAATGTAATTTAAATTTCTACGTCTTGTATTGACTTCATATTTTTACATCTTCTACATCTGCTTCTTTTTCTGCTCCTGTTTCTGTGTCGGTTTTTTTTTTTTTTTTTTTTTTCTTTTTTACTTTCGACAATGCCATGATTTATATGCTTGTGTTCAGCTTTAGGGCCACAAAATGCACTTGCCAGATTTTCATATAAATGATAATATATTTTTACTGAAAGGTGCACAGTATAGAAAATGTTCAATGTTGGAAGATGCTTCAGAGTAAGATATTATAAAAAATATAACATTTTACGTGTAAAAACAAGCAGACAATTTCATGAATTCACGAAAAATAAAAAAACACAGACAAATGCTCTTAAAAGGAAAGATAGAATAAAAAAAGGAAAAGCATTACAATTTAAAGAAAAACTAAAGTTATTCGTTTTTAGTTCCTTGTACTTTTTTACGTGTGATTATATTTACCACGTATATGTTTTGAGCGACAGACACAGTGCCAACAATGCCAATCGACGTAATAATAATGAAAAGGCTGAAAATTATCAGACTAACGAACATGATCATGCTGAGGACAGGGGAGTAGGTATGGGGAAAACCCTCATGAACTATATCAATTGGATGAACATATTTGAAACTTCGAAAGGGAAAGACAAGGAAAATATAAAGCATGAGAATGGTAATAAACATATGGGGGGAAATGAAATCCAAGAAATAAAAGTACAGAAAGGATCCCAAAGAAAGGACAAATTTTCAGGAAATAAAGAAGAAATAAAAATTTGTAGTGTATGTGATGATGATGATCCATATGAAATAAAAATAAATCGAGTAAAGCGAAGTGCATGGGACCAAGAAAATAGTAAAGATGATGGAAAAGAGTCAGAGAAGAAAGAACAAATATATGGCTATAGTATGAGTAGTAATGGACAAAATCGTGATAATAACAGAAGAATAGGCGAAGGAGGAACCGCACAGAGAAACAGTATCGGGGGTGAAGAAAAAAATATGAAAGATTTAATTGTAAGTAACATTTACAAAAATGATGTTTTCAATTGGTGTAACTTGTTTTTGTTTGTCAATGGAATAGTGTTTTTAAGTTGGAGATTAAGCGAAATAGTAGAAAATAAAAGATTTTTTTATTTTATGTGCAGAAACTTCATTTGTTCTTATGAAAATGTTAAGAGAAAATATTACCACACAATGTTTACAGCTAGCATTAGCCATATAACGCTTCCTCATTTTTTATTTAATATGTGGGCATTCCACACCATAAGTAATACATTATTAAGTCCAGAAATTAAAGAAAATAAAAAAAATTATTATTTTTTTTTTAATTATAAATCTAGTGTTTTAGAAAAAAAAATGACGGACAATGATATAATGAAAGTTTGTTTTTTATCGTCCATCATTTCAACACTCCCGTATATTTTTTTACATAAAAGGAATCAACTACTAGGAGCATCAGGAGCTGTTATGGGTCTTGTATATATTTTGTCCACAGTTAAACCGAATGAAGTATTTGTCTCGTTATTTCCACTTCCATATGTAAAAATGACGGCCCTACAGTTATGTCACTTATCCATTTTGACAAATTTTGTATTTCTCTTTCTTAAAAGAAATCATTTCAGTATTGCTTGGTCAGCACATTTATTTGGTTTAATGGGAGGGGCAATATATAATATATACCAGCGTAAACAAAATAACAATAAAAATTATTATCCATTTATTCAACTCTCCATTAAAAATGGATCTATTGATTACTTAAATTCATATCTCGATTTTCTAGATTTTGTCAAATGTCTACAGTTACAAATTAGGATCTTTTTTTCGTTCGATCCACGTTCTATGCAAAATATGAATAGGCAAATTACCTCAATTAAACATATGCAATCTCAGAGAAGGCTAAAATATCACATGTTGAAGGTTAAAAATTTGGAAGCCATGTCAAAATGAGCTTTTTTTATTTTGTATGTGTGCAGAAAATAAAAGGAAGATTTGAACCATGTGTAAAACGGAAACTTTCCTATTACAGAAAGCCGAATGCAGGATATTACCTTCGGGTGTCATACTTCTTTCCACGGGGAATAGCAGCAAAGTGATATATCAAATGGAGTAAATGAGTAGGTCTCATATGGATAAAAATATTTTTTGGCTAATTTTTTTTTTTTTTACGATATTACATTTTTTTTTTTTTTTTTTTGCAAATATAGCAATACTATCGTAGAACCATAAATATGACCTTAAAACGCGCATAAAAGATGCTTATGCGTGTCAATCATTGGTTCAGCATTTACATATTTATATAAATAAATATATATACAAATATGTTCTCAAATATGTACATAAATATGTGCACAAATATATGCATAAAATATATCTGTAAATATATATGTCCACGTAGGCCCCCCCCCCCTTCGCGCATTATTTTTCACACATTTTTCCTCCTTTTTTTTAAGTGCAAATTTCGTCTTTCCCTAATTTGTTCTAACTTCAAACATTTTTGATGAAAGAAAAAAACAGAACAAAAACAAATTCGACAAAAAATTTTAAATGATCAGCCTGTTTATCCATGCAGTTGGTCTTAACTCATATCCGTACTATCTCTAAACGGGTGATTTTCATAAGTTTCTTATTCACTATTTAACTTTTGTAATTTTATTACAATTTTATAAAAGTTCAAATTCACAAGTGTTTTGCATTTCAGTGCAACAGAAGGGGTGCATAAATTTTTTTTTTTTTTTTTTTTTTTTCTCAGTTAGGCAAAAACAGACAGTTTTTTTCACATACTGATGTGGACAAAATTTTTTTTAGTATCGATATTGTTTTTATTTAAATAGCATTTTCGAGGGACAGATATTACTAAAAATGAGCTTTCCAATTTCATTATTATTTATTGAGTTCTGTTGTGGGTAATATGGAGCCTCATCATATGTCTGACATATATTCAAGTTTATGTATACACAACGGTATTGGAGTATTTTGATATGTAACTTCCCTGCCTTTAACTCATTTTAAATAAAAAAAAATTATTCCTCAACGGATGTCTACACTTACACAGACACACGTGATGTTCCATCATTATGCTCAACGAGGTGTTGAGATAGCAAGATGGGGTTGTTTTTAGAAAGGGTGAACTTTAACGGTTCCTTTCTCCTGTATTTAGCTAGAAATATAAAACTACAACATTTGGTAATCCCATACACTGAAATGTGTACATATATATATATATATATATATATATATATATATATATATATGTATATGTATGGGTACATATGAAACTAGCCATTTATCGTACAATCTGTCCCCACTGCCCAATCAAACTCCATCGCAATGATTAAGAAAAAAAAATATATACATGTAAACAAAAATAAAATGCGTGAATTTCTCTTTTTCTTATAAATATATTTCACTTGTAAGGTGCAAAACTTGAACACGGCAATGAAAAATATTGCTCATTCAATATGTTCATACCGGGGTATATATTTGGAAAGGTATACCAAAAGTCACTGCTAAGGCAAAACGAAGAATATAGTTGACAAAGAAAAATCTCACACACATTATTAACAATGTATTTATATAAAGACCCGTGGATAAAAAGTTATTGCTTTTTTCCCTACTCTTCCATTTCTGTTAACATTTATGTTCTGTTTCCCTTTTATATACATAAGTTTTGTTTTTCTTTTCATGAATTCGCATTTTTCTACGCACAAAATGGTGTAGTGCTTGTAAGCTGGGGTGAATTTTAAAACTTTCTTTTGCACATAAACAAGAGTGTTATTTTATCCCATGAACGTGCGTGTAAGCCATGTATAACGTGCTTCTGTGGATATGTGTATTGCACAAATGTGTACACAAACGCAAATATATATATGTATATATATATATTTACACAAATACATTGCCCTTTGAATCATTCTCACCCAGGCAAATCCTCATTATACATTTTTTGCCCCTGTAATAATTTACTATTTTTTTTTTTTTTTTTTTTTTTTAATCTCAGTTTACCATTGCAAAAAATGCTTTCTTTGCAAAAATTCTTCTGCCTCAGTACAATTGAGTTTTAAAAATGTACATAATTACAATACATATAATTTGTATAATATATTTATGTATATATATATACAGAATTCTGCGTATAACTTTGTTACTTATTTTGGTGTCACTCTCACAAACCGGTGTTTTTGTTTACAGCCTTGCTGCGGTACAACGAATCATGCCGTTATATATATATATATATATATATATATATATATATATACATGTGTATACTATACACATATATGTAAATATAAATTTTTACTCTTTTACCGGTGCTGTTCAAAAATACATTAATAATATTTGCGTATAAGTTTATAAAAAAAAAGTTTATACATGTTATAATCTACATAATATATGGAGATTTATAACTTCATTACTTTTCTTAATCCTTTTTTTAAAGGCCTTTTTTTTTTTTTTTTTTTTTTTTTTTTTTTTTTTTCCTCCCTTAACCATTGAATTATAAAATTTTATTTTACTTATTTAGAGGAAAAATTGAAACAGTGCAGAGATGACTCTACTTTTTTGCGATTCCGACTTTGACCTCTATAAATTTAGCTGCTCACGTTATTGTACTTAAATTACATTTATATTATATTTACACTATATTTTATGTACACTACATTTATGCCACATTTATACCATATTATATATATATATACTATATTTATATACATTTACGTTCCGTGCACGTTACTATTGAGGGACTAATTTAAGAACATTTTAAAAGATTATAGAAGCATTTTTTCCCCATTTATGTATGAGTTATTTTTTATTTATTATAATTAATTTCAATTTTTTATAAACATTTTTTTTCTTTTCTTCTGGATAAATTTTTTTTTTTTTTTTTTTTTTTTTTTTTGTTGAAACCCCCCCCTCGCTTCTTCTCTACTGTTAATCCATCATGAAGTGTATAACTTTTCTCTTTCTCTTTTTTTTGAGCTTCCTTTCTTTTCAATATGTGGAAAGCACGAAATATTTATCATCTCAAGATACCGATAATCCCCTAACCCCTTTAAACAAATTTGACAAATACTTTTTACGAATGTACAACAAGGCATCAAGATTACAACAAGGAGGAGGAAACTACATAAATGTAAGAGAAGTGTTACATGAGAGTAAAATTTTCTTCCCCTTCATAGCTTTACTGCTTATGTGATGTAAAAGAGCATGAATTTTTTTGGCCACTACAATGCCAATTATCTGTTAACCCTGTTTCTATGAACATATGTGTTTTATAAGTACTCGTTTCAAGGAATTTTTCAACATGTGCAGATTATCACCTTGTGTATATTACCACAAAATGCATATTACCACCGAGTGTAAATTACCACCAAGTGTTAATTATCACCGACATGTTGCATATCCCTGTGAAAACAGATTGTCATTGTTTCTGAGGGAGGTACCCTTTTTTTCACAATACTCCCACCATTTTTTGTGTGCACGCATGTAAAAACATATTGGCTGATGATCTCATTACCTTTATCTTTTTGTAGGGAGTTAATGTAAAAAACACGATTTTTATTTTGTATTTTTTTGCAAAATGGTAATAATACATAAAAAGACACATGCGTATATGCATTACCACGAGTATGTAGATACCTCATGGCCTTGCACGTGTGTTTGAGGAGGAGCTGTTGTACATGCACAATTAGCAAAATTGGAAAAATTGGAAAAATTGGAAAAATTAGTGAAGTTAATGACCATTTTACACATATTTCTTTTCAGAACCCACAGGCATATACTCATTTTTTTCTTTTTTTTTTTTTTCCTCCGTTTTAATCACGCAGGTGCCACGCTTGTAAAATGCAGGGAAGCGAAATGGTATTAAAAAAAAAAAAAAAAAAAAAGGAAAAAATTACAAGCAGTCTTTCTTGTTTGTTTGATAAAGTGCAAATGGGGGAAAAAAATAAATATACCCATTTATGTACCCACTTGTGTACCAATTTATACATACATACACATATATATATTGTTATGAACACATGTACATTGATGCCACAATATAAGTGAACGAAGCGCTATGATAACTACCTCACCACTACCTTACAACTATAATAATATATTTCAATTTTTTTCACAGGATAAGCTGGAAAAATACTACGGGAAACGGATATACATACTAAAGGTGGATATAGACCAAAACGAATCGATGGCCAGAAAATTCGCTGTGAAGTCATTACCAACCATTATTATAATGAAAAATAAAGCAGTTATAGCTAAAAAAGAGCATTTTGTCACGAGTAATGATTTGGTGTCTTTGATAAGAAAACATTTATAAGGAACACCACGGTTGTGTTGCTACGCAATGTGTGCAATCGGCATTTGATCAGTTTTTTCTTCATCTTTTTTTTCCTCCTTTTTTTCTTCTCCATTTTTTTCCTCCATTTTTTCTTCATCATTTTTTTCCTCCATTTTTTCTTCACCATTTTTTTCCTCCATTTTTACTTCACCATTTTTGTATATCCAAGACAATTAGGCATACATTTCCAGTAGTATCACTTTTCATTTGGTGCCCTACTATCTGCTTGCAACTTCATAACCTTTAACATAAGTTTATTTTTTTTTTCATTTTCTTTTTTCTCCCTCCTTGCCATACTGATAATTTCATTTTTGTCGTCTTCACTGATTTCACTGTGACAAATGCAGCATGTCTGCATACGGTAGGAAGGAGAAATGTGTCGTTGCGCAGTGGGTTTATGAGCACATGCAAGTATATGTTCTCTTTTTTTTTGTTTAAGTATGAGTAAGGTGTGTGTGTGTTCATCATCCATATGTTTATGTTATATACATATACACATACATCACAGTATGGTACCAGCAAGCATGGGCTCATTCGTGCATGCGCATATTTTTTTGCTTGCAACAGCACACAACATATCTCTCCATTCGTTTTTATGTCTTTTAAATTATGCGCATTTTTCATCTTATTTTAGAATGAATTATTGGCCATTTTTCCTTTTTTCTTTTATTTGTTTTATATATACTCGTTTGACATATTAATGTATTTGTATACACAAATAGCTAATCGCTCAATTTTTTATCCCTGTGGTTTTACCATCTAATAATTCTTTTATTCACTAATTAACTTTTTTTTTTTTTTTCCTTTTTTATATTGTGTTTACTCACTTAAGATTTAAAAACCGTTTAAATTTATACATTTTTTTTTTTTCTTTTATCTTATTTTGAGAAAAATTCATAATGCTTTATAGATATATTATATGTATATATATATACATATATAGTACGCTCGGACATGCATGTTATCATGGATGTTTTCATGTCTTTGTTTATGTATGCACATGTGTAACATCTTCGACCATAGAATAAATCCATTTGCTTCTTTTCCTCCTTTTTTTTTTTTTTTTATTTCTCTTTTCACCTTTCTACATTCTCTTCGTACTACAGTTTCATAGATGCACATCAAATGGAAAACGTGATCTTGAAAAAAAAAAAAAAAAAAAAAAAAAAAAAAAAAAAAAAAAAAATTAAAAAAATTTTTTTTTTTAAAAAATTATTTTAAAAAAAAAAAAAAAAAAAAAAAAAAAAAAAAAAAAAAAACGTGTTTAAATAAGTTAATACATGATTTTAAATACTAAATTTGAAAATACAAAATTTTCACAATGCGCAAGTGTAAGGTGAAGGAAATATTTAAATACCACAAGTCAACTTGTAAAAGGTTGGTGGCATATTCCCGTGCAATGATTCCGTTTTTGGCATTAGACACTGAAAATTGGTTATCCGATTAAAGGGAGGGAAGTATCAAAAGTGAAAAAAAAAAAAAATGTGTAATGTGTTCATGGATGTGCAGTGTATAGATATATTATATATGGGTACATTCGCATGAACGAAATACCAAAAGCATACTGAGAGGATTGGGGTAATGCAGAGGAAGTATATTACCACCACAGGTTATAACCATTCTGTAAACATGAATGTAAACGTACCAAGGGACATTCTCCTGTAATTGTGTCGCTCATTTCTGGTGTTATTTTGGATTTTGTCACTTGGGTATCCTTGTTAAAATTGGATTGACATGTGGATTCAACATTTGTATCATTATTTCTATAGTCATCCAGTGTCTTTTTTTGCTTCACGGATGAAAAAATAAATATACATAGGTGTAAAGGTACACATGTTAAGGTCCAGGTAAGAGCAGAAAAGGAATAGATCAAAGCACAAAGAGAAAAAGGTGATGTTGTGCATTCATGTATATTTATATTTTTTTGTTCATAAATAGGATTGATAAAACTGGGAGATAAATATAAATGTATATGTGAAAAAACTCATTAATATTACAATTCCAGTGTACGCAATTTTTTAAATTTTATGCTATACATATTATGCCACTTACCTGTGTGCTGTCTTTGTTACTAGATTCCTTATCACTGTCACTAGAGAAATTTTCTTCTCCTATATCTGCTTATTGAAAAAATAAGACACACACACACAAAAAAAAAAAAAAAAAAAAAAAAAAAAATTGAAAATGCATATCTGCAGTGTTTATCTCAACAGAATAGAAAAGCTTCAAAAATGAATGAAATATTTAAACAACAAAATAAAAAAAGAAAAAAAAAAATTGAAAATGCATATCTGCAATGTTTATCTCAACAGAATAGAAAAGCTTCAAAAATGAATAAAATATTTAAACAACAAAATAAAAAAAAAAAAAAAAAAAGAAGAACAGCGTTAAGTTAAGCTACTTTTCTTTCCTGAGAATTCTCTCTCTATCATCTTAAAAAAAGCAAAAACAATTGGAAGGAAATTTTGTTTTGGTGTAAATTTGGTGTGAAATTTTTTAGTTAAAAATGCTAGAATATGCAAACGTGCATTTGTTTACGTAGATCTGAGTCCATTATCATATGTAACATTATATATAATCGAAGATAAAAAAAAGATAAAAAAAATTATAATTCTCAACATAAATGGATTACATTTTCCATCGTGTGGTTCTCCAAATGTTTATCTTTTAGGGATACTCTATCAGAACTTAAAGAAGAATCTGAGGAATTTTTTTCATTACTTAGTTCTTCATTTATCTTATTGGGTGCTGAAAATAAATTTAGCTCTTTTTTTTTTTTAGGGGTCCTAAGATACGGAATTTTTATTAACTTAGTAAAAATAGAGGAAGCAATGATTTGTTCTTAAAAAATCGTGTAAAAAGACTAGGGGAGCATAATTTATTTTTTATGTATTGCATATGTCATGTCTATAATATTCATGCTCAGCCTTTTCCAATTTTCCCTACTCTTCTCTTTTTTGAGGATATTCTTCTTTTATGAGATTTTATCCTAAGAGGGGAAAAAAGTATACACACACATGTATATATATATATATACATATATATATGTGTGTGTATCTTTTTTTTTCCATGTTAGACCATCTTTTGTCAGATCAGCGTGTATATCTCTTTTATTGTCACAGAGGAAATACCACATCTGCAAGCACTTTCCTAATTTTTCTTACTCATATTCACTGTTTTCAACGGGAGCTTCCTCCTTTTGGTCGATGGGCCCTGTCACAGTTGTGATCAATGTGCACACGTTTATGAGTATCATGTGTGTGCTATACAATGGAGCATAATATGTAGCGTTTCTATGTCTTCTAATTACGGTAATGATATATACACAAAAAAAAAAAACAATCAGACTAATTCCAATAATCACATAAAAAGACAATACATTAGCAATACATTGCGTACTTGTTAGGAGCACATTATGTCACATTTGTTCCTCTGTTTGAACAAATAACCTTACCAGATATGAACTTCTTTATATTTAGGGTTGTTATCCCCTGTACTTCCAGAATTGCACACAACATTTTTATAATTTTATCCTTATACTCAATAATTTCATAGGCTTCCTTTTTAAACTCTTCCAACTTGGCCTCAGCTTGATGTTTGTATTTTCTAAAAGAAGAACATTATGGGATTCATATGTGGACCTTTCAATTTTTTTTGGATGTATTTTTTTTTTTTTTTTAAAGAAGAAAAATGTTCACCTACTTATATGAATTATCCCTGTTCTTCATCTGTCCTTTCGCGAGGATTAAAAAAATATATTTGATTGAGTGTGTACCTACACGCTTATGTAAATCCTTCACCTGATGCTTGCCCAGTGTGTTGATGTGTCTTATGACTTATCTGTTCTGCCTCAATTTCATCTCCAGCTTGTCCTATTCGTTCAATTCGCTCAATTCGTTCGATTCTTCCAATTTGCTGAATTCACGTTGGTGTTTTTTTGTTTTTTATTAAGCGCTACACAATTTGATCTTCATGCCATCCTCAATTTGCATCATTCGATTGTTGCGCTGTCTTATAGAACAAGAGAAAAAAAAAAAAAAAAAAAAAAAAAAGTAACACCTCAAATCAGCTTGAAAACAATGTATATATATATATATATATATATATGTATATGACCCAATCTACAGAATTTGCAAAATGGAACTCAAAAGAAAAACTTCATTAGAAGTATTTTCCATTAAGCAAATATCATGTTTAATACGATCATATTAAAAGGGATATTTATTCAGAAAAAAAGGAAAAACCTATGAAAGTCTAAAATGATTCTACAATTTTTTTTTTTTTTTTTTTTTTTTTCTTTTGCCATAAAGTATTACTTGTGATGGAATAAATTATATGAGGAATATTATTTCCCTGTTTTCACATTGAAAAAATAACACATACCTAATGTTTTGTGGTGTACGTACAAAACAAATGCCAATTATTCCCCTCTTACAGAATAATATGTAAATATATACTATATGGTAGCATCCCTATATGAGCAACTCTTAGATGGAAAACTTCTTAACACAATAGAGGAAACTTGCTATTTATATCCTTCTACCTCTTAACAAAAAAAAAAAAAAAAAGCAGATAGACATGTAAAAAATTTTTTTTTTTTCCTTTTTGTCTTATCCTATTTTTTTTAAAACATTAGATTGTAAAGTGACTTCTTTTTTGTTTCTCTCTTTCTATTTTGTTTCTCTTTTAATTTTGTTTCTCTTTTAATTTTGTTTCTTACTTTTTATTTTTATTAAAGTTTATTCCTACTTTAAAATTTGCAAAGGAACACAAAAAAATAAAAATACAGAGGGGGAAAAGAACGGGGTGTGATAGAATATAATTGAGTAACGCAAAGAAAAGCATTTTTTAATTACAAATTCAAACATGTTAATTATTTTAAATGTGCAAATTGATAAATTTGTAACGCTTCAAATGAAAAACGAAATAGGGGGATAAAAAAAATAAAATAAATACATAAGTAAATAAATAAATAAGTGAATAAATGAATAAATGAATAAATAAAACAAAATGAGAAAAAACATCGTCTATATATTGGGAAGCAGGGCTGTACTCAAAAGTGCAACTATTGCAGGTGGCTCAATAACATTAGTGTGATAAAATGTAAGCTTGATAGACATAAAAAAAGAAAAAAAAAAAAAAAAAGGAAAGAAAGAACGTGAAATAAAAACAGTAAAATGGATAAATTGGTGAATGGATGCATGGATGAATAAAATGAAATAATGAAAAATATTCGATATGAAATATGTGCCAAATCAATTACATCCAATCAGCTACATAACATTATATGCACAAAAAATAAATGACGCAATGATAACCACGAAGTGCTATATAGTTACGTTGCAATATATGTGCGTATGCACAGTAATAACTCAATGTGGAAAATGGGGAGGGGTAGGAAAGGACGTGAATTATGTATAAGTTACGGGGTAATATGATAAAAATGAAGGAAAAAAAAAAAAAAAAAAAAAAAAGCAAAATGATGATAGAAATAAATGAGACATATATAAAAAGTCTACGATATCGTTGTTTTGGAAAGATTCTAGAGTAACCGTTGGTATAAAATTAAAAGGGGAACTAATGAAATAAATCCAGAATAAAAAAAAAAAAAAAACTCAATAAATTTACATAAGGGATGCATGGAAGAACCATCAATATTATCATTCCGATCATCCATGGATTAGTAATTTCTACAAAGCTTGATGAGATTGTATTTTACTATCCCCTGATTCTTTTACATTTTCCGTCATTACTTTTTCAGTATCTATTTGACCACAAAATGTTTTCTCCTTGTCAACGGTTTGGTTTATCTGGCCATTGTGATTCCCTGGAATGTTACCACCAATGTTACTACTACCTTCTCTGCTTACGTCATCGTTCCACGCAAGTCTACTACTCCTATCATCACACGAATTGTTCAGAATTTGTTCATTATTCAATGCTGAAACAGAAAAATAACTATTCTGCTCTTGCATCATGTCCTTATTACAATATGTGATGTTATCTTCAGCGTTGTTATACTCAGGTAGCAAATTCTGTTCCCCGTGGAAAATATTCGAAGCAGAATTATCATCATAATTTGGTTTTGTTATTAATGGAAAAGAAAGAGAACAATTATTATTCAAGCTGTTTGTATTTCCTTCTCCCTGATGTATCTCGTAGTGATTCAAATTATTTCCTACGAAGGAATTTTTCAGATCTGTGTTATTTAAATCCACATTCATATTTTGGTTGTCTAAGATGTTGTCACAATTACCCCCCTTAATATCCTCCATATTATCACCACTATCTTTATAATATTCTCCTTGAGAACTGTCGTTCCCAAGTCCATTATTTCTCACCGTATAATCTGTCATGCTATTAACCATGTAATCGGCCATGCTACTAACCATATAATCAACTCCACTATCAGCCGAGCAATCAACTCCGATACCAGAAGAATAATTATCTCTGATACCAACCCCGTAATCTACTTCAGCACCAACTGCATAATCCACTTCAATGCCAAGGGATTCTCTTTCTTTCCCCATGGGTATATATTCATCACTGTGAAAAGTGCTATTATTCATCTGGTACATATTTTCGTCATTCAAAAAGGTGGGGTTTAAGTCTACTTTGATCATTCCTTCTTGTGCATGTTCTTGTGCATGTTCTCGTCCGCGCCCCTGTTCATCCTCTCTTCCACGTTCCTGTTCCTGCTCGCCCTGTTTTCCACGATTTTGCTCCTGTTTTATTTCGGTGCCCAGTTGCTGCTCCTGCAATTGTCCCCTCTCTTCCATTTGATGCTGCTGCGGTTGCTGCGGTTGCTGAGGTTGCGGATCTTGTGCTTCTCCCTCCTTCTTATCATTTAGCTCTTCATGAGACATCAATTCTTCTATATAATTTATCCATTCCATAACAGAATTAAACTTTTTGTTGTCGTAATTCAATTCGTGTTTACCTTTGGTACACCATGCATGGAATACCTTTTTGTAATTGTCTCTCTTAAAATTGTAAATGACTTCATCTTTTTGTATATTTCTTTTTTTCCCTTTATTAGAACTACACATATCTAGGGAAAAATCATTACTAAATTTTGAATTTTCATTGCTACTACTCTCTGTATAATCACTTTTATTTTCTAGCTCATCCAACGATTCAAAAAATGAACCCAACATGTCGAATTCTGAAAATATGTCATTTCTATATGGTGATGAAACTAAATAATTCGAGTTCACTTTTTCTATATTCTCTTCATTATAATTAGATTCAAAAAGCGGGGAAGCAGGAGATAGAGGCGTATTGCTGGGTGATTTTATAGGGCTATTTGAATAAATTTGTTGATTTGGTGATAAAACTAACTCATTCACATCAGTTAGATGCAAAGATGATGCATGCAAAGAACTTGTAGGAGGTGATTGTGAAAATTTCATGTTCTCTGGTGTGTTCATAAGTCTAATATCACATGCCTCTTCAAAATCAGGATCATTCAATTGATTCGGGAAACTTTTGCTATTTCCTTGGTTCGTATTGCTGTTACTATTGTGCACACCACTACCACTACTATTGCTGCAGCTACCACTATCGCTACAAATATCTGTACCACCCCCATCACCACTACCGCTGCCACTACCACTACCACTACTGCTGCCACTGCTACATGCACTATTACATCGCGGGGAATGGGACGAAAATGAATTCGGATGACTCATTTCTGGTAATAGAGGCAATTTTAAAGGCTGACTAACATGACTAGACGTGTGTATTGTTATCTGATTCATGTTTAAAATTTGATTCTCCTCATTTGATGAATTATTCAATCTCATATTTGAATCATCTTCCTTCTCTGTTCCAGGTGTATCAGGTTTCACTGCACAATTTTCAACAACAAACAACTTCATTTTCTGCTCATCCCCTTCTGCTGTAGCATCTAAGGAATCATTCTTTTTCACGGATATGCATTCTTTCATGTTTTCATTTTTTTCTAAAAATTCAATTTCTCTAATCAATTTGTAGTAATTTTCGTGTCCACTATCCTGTCTATTCATACAACATTGTTCCTTTCTTTCATCTTTGATCACTTCCCCCCTTCGATTTTTATCTTTTTCCTCTTTCTCCTTATCATTGTCGTTGCTACTGTCGTTTCCACTGTCATTACCGTCATCCTTTCCGCTGTCACTACCGTCATCCTTTCCACTGTCATTACCATCATCCTTTCCACTGTCATTACCATCATCCTTTCCACTGTCTTTTCTACTGTCTTTGTCATTGTTCTTTCCATTGTCCTTTCCATTGTCGTCATAGTTTTTTTCCCTCTCGTTGTTGCTTCCTCCACTTCTACTTCCATGCTCCCTGTTGCTACCATTCTTTTGATTATCACTACTGCTATCACCATGCTCCCTGTTGCTACCATTCTTTTGATTATCACTACTGCTATCACCATGCTCGCTGTTGCTACCATTCTTTTGATTATCACTACTGCTATCACCATGCTCGCTGTTGCTACCATTCTTTGGATTATCACTACTGCTATCACCATGCTCGCTGTTGCTACCATTCTTTGGATTATCACTACTGCTATCACCATGCTCCCTGTTGCTACCATTCTTTTGATTATCACTACTGCTATCACCATGCTCACTGTTTGTGCAATGGTTACTTCCCTGGTCAATTCCATCGTCAGTACAGCCCTTATTTCCATCGTTAGCGATATCCCTACTTTTTCCAGAGTTATCCCCCTTGTTGCATTCAATTTCACTGTTTTCCTTGTTCCCACAAATAGACCCATCAGTCCTACCTCCATAACACGTACAATAATTCGAGCTAAGACTGCGGTTGATCGCACCAATTCTATCACTATGAAACATTGGACATTTTATTACACTTCTGCTACCATTCGTATATGTGCAATCTAGGTGGACGCCATTTTTTCCAGAAAATACAGTTTCATTAAACAAAACTTTCTTTTTCTTGGTTTTCTCAATTACACATATGTTTTTCAGCTTATCATCATGCTTCGCATATATCATATTAAAATCAGTTTCTGTTACGATGGTACTTTCCTCTGTGAATGATGAAAAGGACCTTGTGTGGTTAAAGCAACTGTTATAAAAAACATCGTCTGGATTTTTTCGAGTTTGATCGATCTCCACTTTTCTATTGTGATTTACACTTGAGGGTGATAAAGGGTGTAAGTAGCATTGGTCTACAACCTCCTTGTCTTCCTGTTCAATGATAATTTTCCCATTTACCAATGAAGAAAAAAAAATTTTTTTCCTAAAGGTGGAGGAACATTTGTGCCTGTTATATGACGTATCATCAGCATCAGTATCAGCATCAGTATCAGCATCAGTATCAGCATCATCATCATTGTTGGTAGCATATTTAGAATTATGAGAATTTTTAGAATAACAAATTCTTTTACTGTCAAACGCCTTCATTCTCCCTGCATCATTATTGGCATAATTTATATATTTCCAATTGTATCGACAAAAGTAATAATTAAAAAATTTATTAAGTAAAATGAAAAAATAGGAATGAAAAAATTTCTTTACATATTTATCTACATAGCTACAATAGTCATCAATGTTTTTACGAACATGATCAGAAGTTGATTGGATAATATAATTATGTAACATTTTCTCATTCGTTGTGTTTCTTTTCTTTTTATTGATATCTTTTAAAATTAAAATTTTTTTATGTAAATATTTTTTCAAATATCTTTTTAACGTTCTTTTAAATTTATATATTAAATAATATGTTTCTTTCAAAAAAGTGCTTTTCCTGCTTTTCACAAATACATCCTTATCCATTGCGTCAACATCAATAGCGATATCTACTTCTTTTGTTCTATTAGATGATGAGAATTCATTATCATGGTCAATATTGTTATTTATTGCTCTCCTAGTATATGCTATATTTTCTTCTATCATCAATTCTTTTAATGTTTCTATTCTTTTCATAATATAGCATTTCAATCTGTTTATCTTTACATTGGTTCTAAAAATATTTCTCCTATTTTTGCAATTATAAATTCGTTTCATTTTGCATAAGTTCTTGTTATTCCCACTGTTAATCATATTTTTATCTTTTGAATTATTGGTATTTTTCATTATTGCTAATTCTGTTATATCCTCTTTTGTGTTTTCTTGTATAAGTGACAACTCCTTCGGGGAAGGGCATACACTATTAACATTTTTCACAATTTTATTATTTCCTATATGTGTATCTTTTATTGCCCCCCAATTTGAAATTTTGTATGCATCATACACTGGGAAACAAATACTTTCCTTGAACTTTTCTTTTCTTTTCCTTTTTTTCTTCTTCTTTTTCTTCTTCTTTTTATTCAGCTGTTTCAATATGATAATACCGCTTATACCTCTACCATAATTTCTCTTAAGATTCACAGTCCTCTTATTACCTTCACAATACTTTATTTTTTTGTCTATTCGTCTTGGACGTACACATGCTAAGGTTTTGTCCAGATTACTTCTTCTACCAGGATTCCTGTATTCTTCGCTAATATTACCACCAACACTCAGTTTACAGAATACTACACCTTTGTGTTCCTCAACCTCAACAATACTAGAGAATATATTATTTTCATTTACTTCTTTGCCTTTATCTTTTTTGATTTTACAAAACTCAGTTCTTCCCATCCCATAATTTTTATTTCTTAAATCAATTTTAAAATCATTTTTAAATGCTATATCGATTCCTAATAAAGATAAATATTCTTTTCCTCCATACAAGCTGTCCCTGTTGTCATTAACTTTTTTATCATTATGCTTACACAATGAAATGCTGTTTTTTTGTGAGTGTGCTTTTAAAAATGAAGAAAAATTTCCTGATCGTTCTGCATATTTCTTCGTGTCAATATTCACAATTTTTAAATTACAAAAATTGTCATAATATTCTATATCGAAACATGCACTTTGACATGTCGCCATTTTACATATGTTCGTATGTGTATATATACACGTATTGGGGCATGTTTATACTCATGCGATTGGTTTGTGTATGCACATTTGTTTCAATCACTACGTGTATGCTTACGCTCTTTTGTATATATGCAAATGTGCAGTGTGGACACCCTTTTTCGATGCTAAAATTTCGCTCTCCGTTCCCTCTATACCCCCCTTTTATAATATGCACGAAACTTTTTTCTTTATTCCCCCTATCTATCTAACTATTTATGTATATACATATATATATACAAACATGCGCACACATGAACTCACACATATGTGTATATTCTTGCTAATTTGAAATGCTACGTGTTCCACAAAAGCAGGTGACGATAAACGAATAAAAATTGAAATGTGAACCTTTATATTTTAACCCCTTAAATGCCAAATGCGTGTCATATTACTAATATGTAATGTGTGCACTTGTGTGTCACATGAGGGATATTACGGGGGGGAAATTAATAACCTACGTATTTTTTTTTTTTTTTTTTTTTTTTTTTTTTACACCTTTTAATTGTTCTCTTGCTATTACGTTTTTAATGATTTACTACACTCTCTTATCATTGGATAAACCTCGTTTGGATAATTAATTTAACGTCACTTTAGTTTTTCTTGTTTTTCTTATTTTTCTTAAATTTTACCAGTTTACTAATGTTTATATCTTGCCTTTGTTCCCTTTCTGTCTTCTCACATGCGTTAAATTTCATAAAATTTTTCACATTAACAGAAGCAGAGCCAACTTTTCTTCTTCAACTTTTTTATGCTCTCTGTTTAATTGGGGAAATTTATATCACTCGTTGTGTTTGCATTTATGTAGCAAATTGTATAATTTACAAGCTATCACACATAAACTCATGACATTTCAATGTCCAAATTTTATTCTTTCATATAATTCAAATAATTAAAAAAAAAAAAAAAATTAAGTAAAATAGACAAAACGTTTGTAAATTTTGCTTGTGCAAAAATGTGTCATACAAATGGAAAAAAAAAAAAAAAAAAAGTTAGGCTTTTTTTATCACACATGAAAGTATAGCACATAATATATGCAAAACGAAGGAAAAAAAAACATAAAAAAAAAAAAAAAAACACAAATGTTGAAAATGAGTTTTATTTCATAAATCTATGCATAATACATGAACATTAATTATATCCATTTAACATATCCGTAATGTTATATTTATGTAATAAGTATTATTAAGTTTATACGTATTATGTATGTATCTATTTATCCCACCCAAAATGTATACATATTATATATATCATATGGTATACCTATCTCTATACATTTCTTACAATTATAAAAAGGATATTATACATATGTCAGTTAAACTTTGAATAATTTTAGTTTTTTTCCATTTTTATATCCAGCGAAAAAAAATAAAATAATAAAATAAAAATAAATATAAAAAAAAAAAAAAACTTAAAATATATAATAAAATGAATAAAAACTACCTTACTGTTCATAAAATTATGTGCTACACAAAAACGTAACTTGCTAACATCAGCCAATTTATGATATGAATGAATGCTTTTATGCATATATATATGGATGATAAATTTTTATTACATATAATGGATTTTGATAATATAAAGAATTTGCCAAATAGATTTTGTTGTATATGTGGTGAATATATATACGTATGTGTGAATAAATGTTATGGATAAATGTATGGATGTTCAGTTCACATATAAAAACTACTCATGATGACATGCCACGTTATATATCGTGATTATAAAAAAAGAATAATGCTTTTATGTGAAAAAAAATTCATTTTATCAATTTTTAAGGATTATCATTTTTTTCTTTTCTTTTTGCTTTTTGACAAATTTTTTTAAAAAATAAAAAAATAATCACGAATTTGAAGATATGCTAACATACAAATAAAAAAAAAAAAAAAAAAAAAAAAAAAAAATGTGTATATATATATTGTCAAGCTATATAAAATGTAACTTTTCTTTTTTTTCTTTTTTTTTGTTAATACTTTTCCATGCGGTTAAAAGATATAAGCCTTTTCCCACTTCTACATTAAGTAATGTGATAAGGCAAAGCTACCATTTTTATAGCTAAAAAAAAAAGGAAAAGGAGAACCTAATTAAACATAAGAATAAAGCTTTAATAATAAATACGGGTTAAAACTAGTTGGTTCGTTAGTATGAAAGTTATGTCTAATGGGAAAAGCAAAAAAAAAAAAAATAAAAAAAAACGAAAAAATTCCAGTGCACAAGTTATGTATAATAATATATACATCTATGTTCTATGGGTAGATGCAGAATATAGAATATAAGAATGAAGTTTCACACAGCCATGTAGGAATACAAGTCACCCAATAATTTATTAGAATGTCAGAACAAAAAATCTTACTTAACAGCATTACAAAATAGGTATATGGTTGTACATATGTATTCACATTTCTAGATAGAACTTTTATCTAAAACTACTATCACCCTCCATCAATGATCAAATACTTAATAACTTAGGCTTATGTATATTATAAGTTCTTGACGAAATTATGATATATATATATTTTTCTTTTTTTATGTTATATTGGCATGCAAACATATAGCGATACATATATTTGCAAAATGCACTGAATTTATACCAAATAGTAGTCTAACCTTGAAATAAGAAATGTATTCACATACTAATGTATCCTGTGCTTAATTTTTATTAGTAATTCATGCGTTTATATAACACATGTGTCCATATACATTCCGTGCATAATTGTGAGTACAAAAAATAAAAACAAAAATTTGTATCTTTCACCCGCAGTACATTTTTTCATTTTTTTTTTTTTTTTTTTACACTACCTGTTTTTGACGAATATGTGTGTAATAAATACATATAAAAGTATACCTTTTTCATATTCTGCATCTCAAAATTGGCACTTTTTAAAACAGCATATATAAAAATAAGCTTTAAGGTAAGAAATACGGAAAATATATTCCCTATTATGTACATATCGGATTCATTATGCTTCTAGACAAGGAAACGTAGTTACAGAAATTCTATCATCACTCCTCATTACCATAACCATCATTCAAAAATAAAAATAAAACGTATGCTTACACTTAGCATAGGTGATATGGAGTGTTATACGTGTGTGTATTTACTCACGTTTAGATGTGTGTGTGCTTTTTATGTCTTTATAAATCATAGTTATACGACCACCTATTTTAATATAAGTAATTCGACATGTTGTTATGTCAAAACGTTTTTTCATTGGTTTCTTTTTCTTATTAAAAGAAAGTAAGTATTAATGGTGGAACTAAATTAAACTAAACACAAAGTAAACAGTGTGCATTATGAATAAATATGTATAAATAGATAAACAAAAGTTGGGATATATTAGAGAGAAAAAAGGGAAGGGTGAAATAGAAAAAACAGAAAAAACTGAAAAAAATGAAAAAATAAAAAAAAAAAATAATTCAAGGAATTCCCTATTCATTTTCTATAACCAAAGAAAAAAAAAAAAGGAATATTACATAAAACGTAAAAAATGTGTATTACACTTTTTAATTGTGTTTGCATACTTGCAATATTTAACAAAAATAAAAAAAAAAATGAGTTTTCTTTTTTTAAAAGCATATATTTCTTTACTAATAATAAATTTTAGACAAAAATAACTCAAAAAATATGTGAACAAATGTATAATAAAGCCAATCATATGTTTATAATTACAATCAAAAGTGCTAAATAATAATCTTTGTCGATTATGATTTCATGTACATAAAAGCTAATATATCAGCAAAATTTTAAAGACTCCACATAAATTAAAAAAAAAGCCTTGGCCTCCCCATAATGAAAGCAGCAAAATGGTAGTACTTTATGCTTTCTCTTTCGGTTGTTTTCTTTTTAGATAGGTGTTTTATGAAAAAATAAGATACAACAGAGCCATTCGTACATATAAGCCATTTTCAGCTTGTAGAAAGTATACACTTTTTGGATTTTCATCAACCTCAACTTTTATTTCGTTAACTCTTGGCAGGGGGTGCAGGATCTGCGAAAAGAGGGGAGGGAAAAAAAAAAAGAAAAATTTGTTAAAGAAGCGAACAATATTAAAAAGTGATGAAAACTGGGTTAAAATGGAACTCGAAAAATATCAAAAGGGTACGCCAAAAATACACAATTGCAACACAAATTTTAAGGTGTTCCGATAATTTAATCTTTTCATAAAACATGCAATAAAATTTTGGCATTGCTTAAATGACAAAAGTAGGAAACGCATATCGAGCAGCTGGATTTTGCGCCCTCTTAGCACTTCCAAAAATAAAGAAACGAATATGATATCATATATTATGCTTAGAAAATGTATGTATGCACAAAAACGTTATGACACACCTTTGTCTCCTTTCTGGTATTTTTTAGAATATCATTATCCAAAATAAAGGCATCTTTATATGTGCTGTATTCATTCATATCTGTAAATCTCTCTTTTTGTATCCTTGTCATGTATATTACATGTGCGTCTTTTATCCCTTTTTCCAAATTATCATATTTCTTTATAGAATTTTCATTATAAAAATTGTTCTTTTTCAAATTGTCAGTTATAATATGTATTATACTATCAGGAATGTCTAGCGATTTACATGATATAAAATTAAAATTTACATTATATCTACTAAGTAATTTACTAAGAGAATGAACAGTTCTTCCATTTTTCAAATCTCCAACAAATGCAACATTTACTTTTTGCTCTATGTCTCTTTCCAGAATATATGGGAAGAAGTTATATATTGTGTAAAAGTCTAGTAAGGATTGAGTTGGATGTTCCCCTGTTCCATTTCCTGCATTAATGATTGGCTTGCTTGATGATGCAACAGCGAGGTCCACATTGTTCTGTTATAAAAAAATAACGAAATAGGGAAACAATGAAATAATGAAACAATGAAATAATGAAACAATGAAATAATGAAATAATGAAATAATGAAATAATGAAATAATAAAAAAAAAAAAAAAAAAAAGACACACAATATAACACATCACAACATAGCATATCATAACAAAACAAAAACTGTCTAAGGGAATACATAAATAATGCATCATCACGTAAGAAATTATAATCTTAAAAAAAAAAAAAAAAAAAAATTTCGTGCAAAGAAAAACCAAACGGTTGGTAATGTTGAGCAAGAAATATTAATGTGTTGGGAAGAACTACGAATGTATCACGAAATTGGATAAAAAAATGTATGTCATCCTGTTAACATTTCCTTTTATCACGTTTGAAATAAACACATAAAAGCGAACGTAGATCCATGTTAGACCATATGCGTGTATTCTCCTTACATTAGATGGATCTCGATATATAATTCCGTCTACATATTTTGAAAGTATTATAAATGCATCTTGAATAGTTTCTCCTTTGTAAAAAGATGTAGAATTCATGTCAGTAATGTTTATTACCTTTGAACCCAACCTTAAAATTGCAGAATCAAAGGAACATCTGGTTCTTGTACTTGGTTCTAGAAATAAACTACAGAAAACTTTGTTATTCAAAAATTTTGAATCCTGCTTATTTTTTAATATAGATTCAAATTTTTTGGCAGTAAACAAAATGGCCAGCAATTCCTCATCACTAATATCATCAATATTTATAACATTCTTATTTTTCATCCTTTCTACAATTAAATCTAAATCGATTTTATACTTTTTGTTCAGCTCAATTTTTCTGTCGATAATTAATTTCTTCTTCTTTGTTCCTGCAGATGTGTAGGTTAATATTAATGCCATTAAAAGGGTGAAAGCTAAAATTAAAATACCAAATATTTCTATCATTTTTTCTTGAAAGGTCATGAAAAAAAAAAAAAAAAAAGTTACACTCTTAAGTGTGTAACAGGATAAGAATATGCAAAATTAAGGGTTCACCAATTCAGTGATGAGTTACAAATTTGAAAGATAACAATGCTGATGTGGTAATATGTTAAAACACTTTTTTTCAGCCATATTTAATTAGCAAAAATGTAGACATTATTTTCACCAAAGTCGCACAAAACATGTGAGACTTATTTATAATAAAGTTATAAATAATGCTCTAAAATAAAAAAAAAAAAAAATTCTTCAATTTAGCGTTGAATGAATGTTCAGAAAATCGGTGGTACTCGTCTAGCTACGATTTCATATTCAGGATAAATTATACATAAACACAAAAGTGTTTATCATTTGGGCGCAAAATGACACACCAAAAAAATAAAAAAACAAAAATAAAGAAAAAATAACATCACTTTAAATCAATTAATAATATAAAATACTTGCACTCATAAACGAAATTTCAAAAATTTTTTCTTATAGATACTTTTACAATGGAGGCCCATTTGTGAATAAATTCAGAACTGCATTTCAGTTACGCAAAAATAAAGCGCTAATTCTCTTGGGGCTTCATGCCAATCCGTTCTATTAAATTTTTAAAACATGCTACAATTAACGTTTTAAGGAATAAAATCATAGTTACTAAATCCGTTTTTGATCACTTATTCACGCACTATACACATGTACATATAAACGTATTACATACAAATATGTATGCATAATTTTTTTTTTTTCTCTCTTATTAATAAAATTGTTTGTGTCGAAATGGTGGTAAGCACCTGCATTAAGAAAAAAGGGAAAAAAAGTGTGAAAAAAAATAAAAAAAGTGCAAAATGAAAATCATTAAATAAAGGCTAAACAAAATTTCCCCTTAATTAGCAAGAGCACGAGAAATACATAAACTATATGTATATTTTTTACTACATTCACATTAAGAACAATTTTTTTTTTTTTTCTAATTATATTTTAACATATATGCATAGCTGCTTATATGATGTGTGCTAAAGCGTTAAAGCCACTTTAAGGTTACCGATAAAATAAGCATTTTTCCGGACGGCATAAAATTATAAATTTCATTGTTGTAATATTAGGGAGGTTTATATTTGCATGTCTGCACCCACGTTTTCATTAATGTAACTAATCACAAATTAAAGCAGACATGGTGAAATGGCCACGTATCAGCATAGGCACGAGGCATCGTGAGTAAGAAAAAGGCACCCAATGACGTGAACAGGAATGGGGAGCGGGGGTCTTTTGTAGTACCTAACTCTCAGGGCCATACTTGCGAAATTGCACAAATACCACAAGTGTGGCAAAAATCTAAAAAAGTTTTTTTTTTAAAAAAAAAAAAGAAAGCATGCAAACAGAAGGAATGCTCCAAAAAACGTTTTCATAAATTTTTAGAAAAAAGAAATGTTTATAGCTAGCTATTTCGATCGAAGGAACAGTTTGGGTGAAAAGAAGGAACATGAAATCGAAAATCAGGATTGTAAAAAGAGTAACATAGAAAGGGTTTTAAAGAATGCTTTAAATTTGAGTAAGGAACAAAATATAGTGTCTTACAAAAGAAATGAAAAGGAACGAATTAAAGATATCTTATCAGCGTTATTAAAAAAAAAATTAAAAAAGACCAAAAAAAGGAACAACAATATAGATGAACCCCCAGAATATAACACAAATGATCACCACCAAGACAATAAATTGAATTCAAATAATGGGGTAAATATGCATGTGAATTTTACAAGTGATAACGAAATAGAAGTCATATTAAGAGAAAATAAGAATCTAAAACATTGTTCAGAGAAAATATTACAATTAAGCACACACTTAAAACATAATGTATTAAAAAATATGAACATACAGGATGTTTATAAAATTATCGATACGTACATTTCTGATATTGAGTCCGAAATTTCTAAAATCAATGAAACATTGGAATTAGATGCAAAACAGGAATTAAGAATATATAAAGACCACTTATCAAAGTTATGCACCATCAAAACAGAATTATCAAAAAATAAATTCATCGATATAGAGACAGAAGGCAGTAGCTTAAATGAAATCGAACATATCATAAATGAAATGAAAGTAATACAAAAATTGATAAAGCAGAAGGAGTATATTATATGTTTAAAAAATACACTAAGTAAACTTGAGTATGCAAAAAAATGTGCAGTCAGTAGAAAATACGATGAAACATTGCATATCATTTTAGACGTAATAAAAAATCTACACATTTTTAAAAAATATGCAAAAGAGCAAATTATTAAGGGAATTCAATTTTTTCTTCCGATATTAACAGAATATTATATGAATAGAATTCAATTCTTACTAACTAGTATTTCTTGGGGTAACAATATATCAAATGTTTCAACAAGTGCATTGGAGCAATTAATAAATGATGCAGATATTAGTGATGATGAATACTCGTCTAACAATGACCAGGAGGAACACTTTTTTTTCAATACAGAATATTCTTTTTCGGAAGGAAAATTCACCAATGTATGTACAGATGCAGACATAACAACTGAACAAGTTGGTAATAGTGATGGTAATGGTGATGGAAGTTGCGCCACTAGACAAGGACAAAATGGAGATATCCCTAATGTGGATAAAGCCAAATCTATTAAAGAGAAAATAAAAAATGCTATAATTTTTGATAATACATACATCTCATTATTGAAAAAAGAAAGTTACGAATTCATTCACATATTAACAAGTTGGAATTTGACGGAAAAAATTCACAATTACATAAATGAAAAAAATTGCAGATATAATTTTTCATTACGTAGGAATAATTGTCCCATAAAATTTATTGATAAAATGGCTAGCTACATAATAACCTTTTTTAGATCCTTTTTTCAAAATGAGAAAAGTCCTTTATTCAGATTTGATAAACCTGAATGGGGATTAAAATATTTATTTTACCAATGCATAATTAGCAATACTATTTTGAAAATGTTTCTAAATTTTGTTCAAACTGAAGACATAAAAGATAGCAAAGTGATGCAATATATCTTGCAAAATCTGCTATCTTCCAATGAACATTCAAAAGTAGGTGATCATCATGACATTATTCAGGTTAGTTCCAACTACAACACGAGAGATGGAGAAACTAAATGCAAAGTACAGCATAAAAATTATGTGGATACTACAAATAAAATGAGCATGTCCTCTAGTGCAGAATTCTCATTGATTGAAGAACCAAATCGGAAGGTTCGCAGGCAAGCCGTGCTCGATGAGGAGAACAAGTTCAGAGAAAAAAAACACAAATTTAACAAGAACAACTATTCTAATGAGAGTAACATATACGATGAAAAAAACATTTCTAGTGTTCAGGAGGCTTCTTATATAGGAAGGACCCCTACGGAGGACAGCCAATATAATGAAGGAACGAAAAATTTGGACGAAGTTTACTACATGTATAGGATGATGAGTACCGAACAGAAGGAATGCTTCTTTTACGAGATAACAAATTGCGAACAAGTGATAAGTAAACTAAATTTCAAAATAGTTAATGAATGTAGATTGTATATACTAAGTAGAATTTCTGTATTCATTCAACTGTATCATGTGGAAGAAAATCAATGTGAAATAAAAAAGGCCTTTTTAAATTTTATACACCATGTTCTTAAGTTATATAAGAAATGGGCTTTGTATGACGGGGAAAATTGCAAGCATTTATTGGATGACTTATTAAAAAATACATTTGTGCATTTATTGTTAGATGTGGAAAAAATGTCAAATGAGGAAGAAAATAAAGAATGTAATACACACGATGAAGATGTACAAGAGACGAATAAACAAAGAGCACAAAAAACAAGTGGTCAATCGGTTCACGAATTGCTAAAACGTAGAATTGATAGTTCAAGCGAAATAAAAGGAGTGAATGTAAGAAATTTCTTTTTATTAATTGAAAAGGAATTTCTTGTTGATATATTGAAAGATATGTCCATTAACAACTGTTGTATACAGTTAAAGAATAGTATAATTCTGGAGGAGTCGGATTGTGTTAGTGAGTATGTACACATTCTTACTAAGTTAGTGAAGAAAATATCCAAGAGGATACTTCTGTTTCATCATGCAGAGGGAGGAACAATTACAAATGCAGATTGTAACAACTATAATGAAAACAACATTCATCACCAGCGGGACACTTTTGTGCAAGAGTACATTAACCATGTAGTGAAGGAATTACTGTTGATTGCAAAAGACGAATTTAGACATCACTGGAATAACATAAACGATCTAATAGGAGAGTGTAGTACAGCATGTCTTTTGTATGTTTCTTTTTGTTCGATAAATAAATTCCTTTCCATTTTTCACTTCAAAAGATATTTGAAAGACACAATTTCTAGCTTTAAACAATTGGAAAAAAAAATGATGAATAATTTGTTAGATGCATTTTATCACTTCATATCTATAAGAATATATAATTTATTTACAACAAATAGTATATTTCATGAACATATACTAAGTAATTTATTTAAAATGAAAAAATGTTTACCTGACTATCTGTTTCAAAATTTGTGTAATAAAATTTTACAAAAACTCGATTCCAAAATTCTAAATTTCATAGTAAATCAGAGTACAACTTATTTACATAATGAATGCATATTCAACACGTTCATCAACAATTCTTTCATGATTTTACAAGAATTAGAAGATTTGCATATCAAAAGGGATGGAATTGTCGTATATTCAATGCCAATATTACAAGAAATTATTAAACTCATGACAGACGACATGGATAATTTGAAAAAAAGAATTCATGAAATTAAAAGTAACTATGCTTTATTATTAAATGACAATAATAACAATTGGTTACTTCAGGTTACCAAAATAGCTAATGCTCTATTGAGGGAAGATGACGACGATGATGATTCCAGTAATGACTTTACACCACATCATCCATATGAACCAAGGTCTTATGGAAGTAAAGCATGTCAATTTTCGTTAAAAAAAATTAAATTCCTCCTTTTAAGAAGACCAGATATTAAACTCATTGCAGAAAAGTCTATCATTATTCGGGAATTTATAGAGGAATGAGGAAGTGTAAAAAAAGAAAAGAAAAGAACAAAAGAACAAAAGAAGAAAAGAAGAAAAGAACAAAAGAACAAAAGAAGAAAAGAACAAAAGAAGAAAAGAAGAAAAGAAGAAAAGAAGAAAAGAAGAAAAGAACAAAAGAACAAAAGAACAAAAGAAAGAACGTTTTTGAATATATTCATGTTCTCACTTTGGCAGTGCTAAATGTGTGATTATCCCTTCTTATTTAAAATATTCTACTTTTCCCATCGCTTGTACATGTAGTATATAAAATTAGGCCTGAATGGCCTTCGAACAAATTACATGTTTTTAAAGTTTCAGAAATTATACTTGTAAAATAAGTGTTAATAATAAGGATGCAGAAAGCGAATAAATGATCCCAAGCTCGGTGGAGAGAACGAGGGCAGCTAAAAGCGCTAATCCTTGTTATTGCACCAATTGCACAAAATTATGATATTGTACAAATGGGGATGTTTTTATTTTATTTTTTTTAAAAGGACAAACGTTTGTTCATATAAGTGGTATCTTAGATTTTTCCTACGCTTTTCTCACCCTTTTCCCATTTTTCAAGCCCGCCCCAACTTCAGGGCACGGGCTGCAACTTGCTTCCCTTCCTCTCCTCAACGAGACTTTTCATAAAATATTCACCAGCCTTATAAGACGACCGAACCAAGGGCCCACTGGCTATATACTTGAAACCCATTTTCATTCCTTCATCCTTGTAGTAATCAAACATCTGAGGAGAAATGTATTCAACAACATTTAGATGATTTTTAGTTGGTCTTAAATATTGACCGAATGTAATAACATCAATATTGTGTTGTCTTACATCTAACATGGCTTCTAGTACCTCTTCTTTAGTTTCCCCTAATCCTAACATAATACTCGTTTTTGTATACAACATAGGATTAATTTCTTTTGCAATTTTTAATACTCGTAATGATTGTTCATAATTTGCTCTTCTATCACGTACATATTTTTGTAACCTCTTAACAGTTTCAATGTTATGTGCATAAACTTCCATGCCACTTAATGCAAGCTTACGAACAGAATCTACATTTCCTTGAAAATCAGAAACTAAACATTCGATTAAAATATCAGGTCTAGAAAATTTTATAAGTTCAATAGTTTTAGCAAAATGCGTAGCTCCACCATCTACTAAGTCATCTCTATCAACTGATGTTAAAACAACATAATTTATATCCCATTCACATATAGCCTTTGCTGTATTAAAAGGTTCATTGATATCTGGTGGTAAAGGTTTACTTGATGTTTTTATAGAACAAAACTTACACCCCCTTGTGCAAGTATCCCCTAATAACATAATTGTTGCTGTCCCGATATTCCAACATTCACCTATGTTTGGACATTGTGCTTCTTCACATACTGTGTGTAGGTTTAATTTTTTTAAATCTGTTTTTAGTTGCTTATATTTTTTTCCTGTGGGTGCAGGTACATGAAACCAATCAGGTTTCTTTTCTGGCATTTTATTTCCAACCTTTGGAATTACTAATTGGTCTTTTTCTTTTTCTTCAACTGTGGTAGCGTAGTTTCCCCTTCTATCGTTCAATTGATAATTTCCTTTTTCTATATTCCCTACCAGTATCTCATTATTATCTGATTCGACATGAATAGTCTTCTTTCTATTATTTTCCTGATTAGCTACATTTGTATCTGACATTCTGTCCAATTTCCATAAAAAGAAAAACTTCTTACATTTCACCCTCTTGTCATTATTACATTTTAATTTTGTACAAAATTTTACATCCTTTCTAACGTATGATCCTTTGGCATGTTTATCGTATGAAAACGTGTGCTTTGTGCTTGCGAATATTTTATCTTGCACCCACTTCAATTTTACACATACTAAAAAAAAAAATGCATACGTGTAAAGAAAGGGAATTAAGAGGTGCATGTTTCGCTTATCTGTGGTTTAGGAAATTTTACAAAGTTGAAAAAGGGGTCCTACTGCTGTGTTTGCAGTGGTAGTTGCTGTAGTTCTTGTGGATCAAGATGAGTAATATTTCGTTCCGCTGCTTACAACGCTGTGTGTGTGTGTGGGGGACAAAATGACTTGTATTTTTGTTATAAAAAAATTCTGACAAAAAAAAAAAAAAAAAAAAAAAAAATGATAAGAAATTTGAAGATTAAATTCTTATATTTCTTCACCAACATGAAGGAAAATAAATACAAAAATCATGATCATGATCGTGCGCATGTGCAGGAATAGATCTATTTTCCATGTGATCCCGTAAAATTGGGCTCAATTTTAGTTCACACTTTCATGGGCCCTAGCTCGAGTGTAAATCTATTTGTACTGTGCATAATTCTCGCGAGCGTAAATCTCGTGTATGCCAAGATGAATATAATAAAACTTGATAAGGTTTGTTATTTTCATTTTTGTAATGTCGTTCTTCCTATTTTAATTTTTTTTTTCGTTTCATTCATTGCTTTACTAAATAAATTCATGTACCAATAAAGCAATGTTCAAAGAGAGGAAAAAAAAAAAAAAAAAAAAAAAAAAAAAGGTAAATCTTGAAAAATGTTAAACATAGGAAATTTTAACTCGTACATTTACATCCCAGGTGCGTGCAACAACAAAAGTGGATGTTTCTCCCAATTGAACTTTATCTTGCAGAGTCAACCCATTTGCATAACACAGATGAAACTTGGCATACATGTATGTAACTACGTGTATATACCCATACATGTAGTGGCATATAAACCTCCCTCGTGCTTGTTGATTGGTAACATCTATATTTTTCTCCCACTTTGACGCCTCAGTTAAGATCAACGAAAGTATCCGGACAAAATCTCAGGTGTGCTTTGACATTTTGCAAAAATTAGTAGAGAAAAATTTAGCCATAATTACAGATAAAGAGAGCCCAGCGAGTCCATACAGAAACCAAAAGGATGAATTAGATACGAGGGATTTATCAAACCATGTGTTCTACCAGTTGGAGAAATTAAACAAATTTAAAAACAAAAAGAAGGGGGATGGAAGACAAAAGGAATTTAACGATCCCTTACATATAACCATAGCAGGTCCCGTGCAAATAAAAAGGCACATGATTTCGTCTTTTGTTCGAAAAATAAGTGAAGAACTGGAAACACAAAGTTGGTAGGAAATACTTATATAACACAGAGCATGTCAAATGTGTGCGCGTTATTGAAGCACAAACTAGGGCACACAAATATACGTATATATGTGTATGTTTGTACATGCATATATATATGTATATACATGTATAATCCCTTTTTTTCCGTCCTTTTTTTATTTCCATGCTTTTGATTTACACACATATGCGATAGAAAAAACAACTGTTATATATATAATAACCACAGAAACAACTTTTACAAGCCTTATGAAGTCATGGCTAATGTTTTTTTTCTCCGCAGTTTCTATCTGTTTTTTAAGAATGGAGTGGACCTATATAAAAGTCAAAAATATACAAAATATTTTTGTGCGTATTCTGTTATTCCAGAACAGCAAGAAGCCCATTTAGATATTTTATTAAAAAAAATAAACAAAATATTGAGTCAGTTTGGGTTGATAAACAATTATGATAATCGAATATGTCACATGTCATTGGCATACACAAATATCAATTTGGAACCCGTTCTTCAAGAAAGTAAATTAAACATAGATTCTACATTTTGGTCGAATATTCATGAGGCCGTCGAAGATATGCATTTACATACTTGTGCAGAAGATGGCGAATTTTTTATCTACGTAAATCGAATTTGTGTTCGGGTTGGTAACACTGTATATGAATCTCCATTCAAAGCTCCACAGGGGGATATGGATATACTGCAGTCTGATGAATCGTATGATAGTAGCACCGATTAGTACACCTCCACAACACGTGTTCATTTGTGTGTGTGTGCATGTATATTTACCTACCTTTAGTAATACACTAATCCCAACGGTATAACACCGAAGGGTTAATTGTATTTCAAACCCTTACAAACTATACTGTTATGGTGATAATCACATTATGTTTAAATGTGGGCTGCTGGAGAATGATTCCATGAAGGAAGAACGATGTTAACATGCAATGGGGATTTTTCGCATGAACTTTATTTTTTTTTTTTTTTGCTCTTTTTTTGCTTTTTTTTTTAAATTAAAAGAATCATTTTGCATTAACCTTACCATCAACAAGAATATCCCTGTTGAATATTTTAGGTGCGGATGATTATCACTAGACGAATAAAAGATCACATGTCCTGAAATCCAAATCACTGAACTTCCAATTTTTAAATCAGCAAAATAGTGTAACCAACTTCATTCTACCATTTTTGTATAATAAAAAAAAAAAAAATGAAATGACGTCATGTTAAAATCATAAAATTTCAACTATTCATTTGTGTTTATTGATCTCACGGATGTGCACGAATAAAATTCCATACCTTCATGTGAAGGATCAAAAAAAAAAATTACATCCCTGTGTTTAAGTCGGAAAAAAGAAAGTAGCATTATTCTTGTTAAGAATTATTGTGTGTGTACATATACTTTTGCGTACTTTTGGTACTTTTGCATGTTTAGTTAGGTGTTCTTATGTGTTTGTTTATACATTTTCGAATTCGCTTATTTTCACTCTTTTGAAAAAATTATGGGCGAAGAGGAAAATTAAACTCTGCTAATGGGGTTACGTCATTTTTTAATACTCATATTTCTGAAGGGTCTAAAAATAAGAGGCCCCAAATTTTATAAACCACAAAATTGAGAAAAAAAAAAAAAAAAAAAAAAAGTAACTGTTGTATTGGTCTCATAAAAGTTTACACAACATTGTTGGTGGAGGGAAGTTGTAAAGATAAGGATGATTTTTTTTTTTTTTTCCTTTTTCATCTTTTTTTCTTTTTTTTCCTCGTCCCCTTTTCACCATTTCTTGTTTAATTTTTCTATTTATGTGAACAAATATATATTACATATTCACGGTGACAAACGGAAAAACAAGTATTGTGAATTTTGCATTTTTTTGAAAAAAGAAAGCTCAACACATTTTTCGCTGTGCATGTCCTGTAGTAATTTTCACAAATTATAAGGAAGAAATTTGATGACCTTCAAAAATATTACTTCTTAACACGATTGTAGTCTATCGAATGAAACAAGGAAAATAGTTTGCACGTAAATTTGTAAAACAGTTTCAGTCCATTGACGTACATTTCGAAACATTGGTAACACGACAGAAAAGTGTTTAAAAAAAAAAAAAAAAAAAAAAAACACTAAAAATAATGCAACAGGTCAAAAAGTGACCTCCAAAAATAAGCAGCAAAAGTAACTTGCAAAAATAACTTGCAAAATTAACCTACAAAAATAGCCTGCAAAAACGACACTGAAATAAACACCAGCCGCTGCTCACAAAAGCGTGAGAATTTCATTTCACAAATGTGGAATCACGACGATAACTTCCCTGTGGACTAATTTTACCGCTTGAGAACATTTTAATTATGTGCACACATGAGTACATTGACAGTTTTGCGTATGTACATAAAATTTTTGCAAGTTCAGGGAAAATCAAGGAAGAAAAATATAAATTTTGCAAACTGACAATTTAGGAAAGTTTCATAATTCACAAAAATAATGAACCCAAAAGATGACCAAAAGGAACAAGTACTAAATCGCAAATGCTTGAAAAGAAATTTTGAAAAATTGAAATCATTATACAGTGTAGAACTCTTATGTGATACTCCTACAGTGTCTTCGAATAAGAGGAGTAAAGAACTGGATTTAAAAGAAATAGAAACAAGTGAAAAAAAAATTCCTAATGAACAAGATCACTTTTACTACTGTCAAAGAAGCAAGAGAAAGTTCGAAGTAAATTCTAATGAAATAACAGAAAAAAAAAAAAAGAAAAAGAAACATATAACTGAAATTCAAAAAAATCATTACAACTTGGTGAATAATAATAATGATGAGATCACATTGAATTCATTAAATGAATGTACATCCGAAGAGTTGAACCAACAGAAACAAAATGTATCCGTTTTGTGCAAAAATGTAAAGGATATCCTTTCACATAATGTTATACCGAATGGTGACCAGTTCGAACATGATAATAATAATATCCCCAAAGGCGGATTTAGCCAATTAGCAATTATTCCATTTGAAAGGGAGTACATGAACAATTCATCAATGGATTATAAATATGAAAGGTCTAGCAGTAACACACATACAAATTATAGTAATAATGGAAATACCCCACTTGACAAAAATAATATGAAAAATATTTTCCATTTTTTAGCAAGAAAAGATATGCTGTACCAAAATTTATTCAAAAATCAAATAAAGAATAACAAACCCATAATGATCAAATGTGACAATTTAAATTTATTTCTAGACAAAAATAAATGTGAAGGCGAACTCTACACTGAACATTTACCTTCTGATAAGACACTACATATTGATGACCTTTATCTCATTTCGGACTCATTTGTAGCATCAACAAATGAACATCCAGATGCAAACAGAATACTAAACTTACAAAATATAGATCATAAAGGAGTTCACTCTAAATTTTTTAATTCAAAAAATGAAGAGATTGTACCCCCCATCCGTATCATATCTAACGAAGTTCCAATTTTTAGTAACCCTGATAATGCGCAAGATGATTTTGATTCATGTTCCGTAAATATGATTCCAAACGAGAATATAAACACAAATTGTATACCTAATACAGATATGTACCTTTTCAGTAATCATTCAGAGACATCAAATACAAACGATATGACTTATTCACAATTTCATGAGACTATAAAGGATCCATGTTATGTGTATGATGAAAACAGTTATGGCAATTTTAATATTCTAAATGAAGCAGATACAAATAATCTAATCAATACTAACGTAAATGAGAACGATTCTGAAAATACCAGTCTTGTTAATTCCCATAGCAATATATTATAAATTGAGACATGACTAAGAATTATAATACTTACACATGATGTTAATTACAAAAAAATATGTTTAAAAGTAAAAATACGAACAAATGTGTAATGATATTATGTAATATATCTCATTTTTTTTTTTTTTTTTTCAAAAATATAAATCAAACTAGTAAATCTTTCTATACCCCCCAATAGATGTGTATACGCATGAGTTCCCAATTTTACTTCCATTTGATGAAGCTCATTTTATTTGCGGAGAAGTATTCATTGAATCTAGCAAATATTTTGTGATATCCAAAAGAATATATGGATTCCATTCAGAAAGTTCTTCTTTTTTTTTTCTTTTTCTTTTTTTTTTTTTTTTTTTTATCATTACGATTGAATATAATGAAAAAATAATAAAAGGACGCACAAATCCAATCATTTTTATCCCTATTTCTTGTGGATATACATAGAGTTCATTTAATCAACATTTTAAATGAATAACAGGAACAAGAAGATGAACTGCAACAGAAATGGGCATTTAAGCGAATCTCTACATGCATATTAGCAGAATTTGTATAATATTGGAAGCGTATTTATAAGGTCATTTTGAAAGGGATTCGTATTATCCTTAAGGACGTAAGGTCATATGAATCAGCAGTATATTCTTTGGAATTAAAAAGATTTATATATATATATATACCTTGGATATGTATACATATGGCCTCATAGTGCATCAATGGTTAACTCGAAAAAATACCACGTTAGACAACTGCGACTGCGTTGTTTAGGAGAAATGCACTAAACACGATGAAGTCGTGATCGAAAGCGATATGACGAATCTTTTTTTTTTTTTTTTTTTTTTTTACACCTTGATACTACGCTTATATTATAGCGATTTATAAACTTAAATAATTTGTTGAAATGGTGTGCATATCTGTTATAGAAAAAGGAGTTAACTTTTTTTTAATAAATCTTCATTTTTTGTTAGTTTGATTTTTTATTTGCTTCTTTTTCGAATGTGTATACGAAAACACGTAATCGTGTTCTCAATAGTGCGCAAAAGTACATCTACGCTTATATATCTATGCATACATTTTGCACATACATTTCACACATGCATTTGTCACTTTTTATGAATATAATACGTAAGTATGGTAAATTTTTGAGAAAACACCAAATATCATTTTTACCCTTAACATTTGCATATATGTGTTTTATAAAATGTGATTAGACACGGTTTTGCATATACACTAGATTATTCGAATTTATTCTCTTTTTATAAATTATTAAAATATTTAATAAAAAGAAAAACATATTCAAAGGATGCCAATTGAAAATGTAAAAAATGATCACAAATAAGGGAAACAGCCCTTGTTTAGAAATTTTCGTACATTTCGCATTACATTTGTTTGAATATATCTGTGCAAAAATGTCTACGAAAAGTGGCCAATAAACAGTTTATCATAAAAAAAAGGATAGGAAGAAAAAAATGAGCTTGGGTCAACAACGCTGTTTCATAGTTATATCCCCATGGATTTGACTTTGGACCCTTTGAACATACCTACGCAAAAATCATAAAGGCACTGCATCATCCTAATCCTCGGCTAATGCATTTATTTGTATTCTGAATTACGTGAATAATGAAAAAAGTAATATATAAAATTATCACTTGATTTTTTTTTTTTTTTTTCTTACGAAACATTTTAGACATAACATAAAACGTTAGGTTTGTTTACACCGTTGTGCACGAATGGGTTTTAATTAAAGGTAAATAAAAATGTATCTAGTTTGCACATCAATACTTAATTATCGTTTTTTCATATTAGAATGTTCTTTTATCATTTTCGATTAAGTTATTGTGGTAAAAATGCTGGGACGTTTTATTTCATTTGAGATTTCTTTACACATTTTTTTTTTTTTTCTACGCATAACAATTAGGAGTAGAAAAAAAAAGAAAAAAAAAAAGGCATATATATTTCATTTTGCAGCAGTGAAGAGCATGATAATAAATTTGCTAAATGGTGAGTTTCCACTATTGTCTACTTAATCCTGTAGTGAAAATTATGGTACATTTTTTTTTTTTTTTTTTTTTCCCTTCATCTTTATCTTTTCCTATCAAGTACGGAAACTAGTAATTCGACAAAAAAAAGAAAGGAAAAACAAACACACACATATGCACATTACAGATTCGCAAGTGCACGCCGTAGCTATTTAATAATCACCTTCCTTTAAACACAATGTGCTAATTGTGCAACTGTACAATTGTGTAATTGTGCTATTTATGTAAACAGTTTTGCATTGTTCATTAAAAAGGAATAAAACAAAAACAAGAAACGAACTCTTTGATGATTTAGCATAATTAGTGAAGGAGCAATTGTGTTCCTCATTATTGTATTCACATTTTTTCGAAAACGTACTTCTTAATGTAGAGGTACCGGATGCTAGCTATTATATGCGCACGTTAACAAAAGGAAAAAAAGATGTGCTAAGAGCGTTAGTTTCATGGCATTATTTCCTCTGTCTGGAAACGGTGTGACGGGAAATCCTTTGCGGTGAAAATACAGCATAGTACATATATACATGTAAATAGTACATGTGAGTATTTGCTGCAACTTCTTAGTCGAAATGTCAAATACCTGCTATGATTGGACAACTTAGCTATTGAGGTAAATGCTACTTCATTGGGACACATATAGGTGTGTGTTCATGTTGAACATTTAATCAGGATAATAAAAATGTGCTAATACATATTAATGATTAATAGAAAACGAAAACGTAGGAATAATGCAAATATTTTTAATCTTTGCAATTAATACATTTTTCTAAGTTACGGTAAAAAAAATGTAATGCAGTCGAAGCGATAGTTAATATTTCATTTCAGAATAATATTTTAAAGTGCTAAGTGAGGAAAGGAGGAAAGATTATATTATTAATGTTTTTACAACCTCAAATAAGAAAAATAATAATATATATATTTTCACCTCCCCCCCCCCCCCTTCGCAATATATATTTTTATGAAAATTTTATTCATTTTATTACCTATAGAATTAAATAGGAATGAAACGAAAAAAAAAAAAAAACAAACAAAAAATTACACTATTCTGTTCGAAAGGTTGCAACGGATCTTTGTTCATTTGTTTGGAACATATTCGTATATATGTTACCAAAAACAGGGGGGGGGGGGAAAATAAATAAATGAATAAAAAAGTAAACAAAATTAGACGGAGAAGGGAAAAATATTATATAAAATACAGAACGCAACAATGAACAGATTTTTTCTTATGAATGAAATTTGCAAATATGGAATAAATAAAAACAGTCACGAAGAGTTAAAATTGGGTTAATTGTAACACACTTCTACATGTGCAAGGTAAATGTTAATGAAAAAAATGTTGCATAGAAATATTGTTTAATTTTTCATAATTTTCTTTTATTTTAATTTTGTAAATTTTTTTTAGTTTTTTCCTTATCCTTGGGTAAGTGTTACTCTTGTAATTTTTTCAATAATATAATCTGATACAGTTTTCACAATCATGCGAATGTGTAATTTGCGATGGATTAGCACATTGTTATTAACATGTTTCCAATGTTTTGTTAATATGTTACTGTGGTGTTGGATCATTTTTTTTTTTTTTTTTTTTTTTTTTTTTTGTTTTTTGCAATACAACTGTAGCGCATTTGCAAAGCATTTACCACTTCTTTACTGTTTATTGCAATATTTTTACAATGGTGTAATATATACACAAGTACATATATTTGCATAATACTTTTCCCCTCACATATCCTAATTTTTAAGCATATTTCTATAGCCAAATGTGGGGAAATGGGAAATAAACGATATGATAAATAACACATTGTTCTGAACAATTTTTCAACATATCAAATGAATGGAAAATGGAAATTTAAAAAAACTGTAAATGGAACAACGAAAATAACATTAAATCTACAATTGATTTCTACAAAAATATAGAAAATTTATTCTATTAATTTTTTTTTGTTTTTTCAATATCAGACTTCTGCACCTGTATAATCTGTCAATTTAGTTTATTATTTATTTATTTTTTTTTATAAATATATATATGTAAACGTTTAAATTAAAATATTTTCTTTTTTAAAAAAAAAAAAAAAAAAAAAAAAAAAAAAAAAATTAAAAAAAAAAAAAAATGTAATAATTTTAATTCCTGCGTTTTCCATTTTTCGTGCATGAAAATTGGATATTCATTTTTTATACAATGTATATTCATTTTCTACAAATTTAATTATTTAAAATAAAAAAAAAAAAAATAATTCTTTTTTTTTTTTTTACAATTCATTTACACACACATCTTTTTTTTTAAACTCTATTGAGAGAGTAATTACAATAACAAAATTTTACAAAATTACAGACATGCGTGCATAAACATGAAATGAAACAAATGAAATAAATAAAAGTTTGTTAAAAATAAAAAATAAAATATAATAAAAAAAAAAAAAAAAAAAAAAAAAAAACTTAAATGATTAACATGGTAGAAAAAAAAAAAAATTTAAATAAAAGCAAAACGAAGTAAAAATGAAAATCTAAAGAGTTAAGTTAGAACAAACGTTTGCATTCATAAAGAAACAAACAAATATTCAATTACCCCTTGAGGAGATGTGTATATATATAACTGTACAAAAGAGTGAATATATATATACATACGTGTATGTGTATATGTGTACACATTCGTTTAATATTTATACATTACACTTAACCATTGTAAAAAACAGAACGAAGTAATGTGCATATATGTATAATTATACATATTGCACTCCTATAAACACACCTGTATAACATTACGATCAATGTTACATTAAACACATGTACATATTTATTGTTTATAGTTATAGACACAATCGCAACATATTTATATTTGTGTGAATACTTCAATTTGCATTTACATGTTTTCGTAAATCAATAATATAATCATAGTATATTAAAGACGAAACAAAATAAAAAAAAAAATATGAAACTCATTTCACCTAATTTTTCTACGCACAATTGTTTAAGTTCTATTATATAAGTTTTGTGAATAACTGCATGATTGTTCATATGTATAAGGTACATAATATTCATGTGTATGTTTGTTTAAATGTGAAAGAAAAAAGAGGGCGGTGTATGCGTATACACTTTTTTGTTTTTTAAAAAGGAGAAAACTATATTTGTGTAAAAGCAAAAAATAAATGAGTAACAAGTGATAAAGAGTATAAATATTAAGTAAAATAGAACACATTCTGTCAACCTTATCAACACTGTGCTTGTTACTATCATACGACATAGTGTATGTTAACCCTTATTTATGTAGAAGCGTACGATTTTTTTTTTTTTTTTCAGTATAATTTATAGTGTACTTCAACATTTTTAAGTTAATATCGTTTACTATAATAGAGTGTAATTCAGTTGAGTTAAATGTTAACGTCAATTTTGTACTCGCGTACAGATATTATTTCTCCTTTTTCTCTTTTTCTTTTACTTTTTTTTCTTCTTTCAAGTTTTTTCCTTCTTTCTCATTTTCCATGTTTTTACCTCTTTATTTTAAATTTATCCCATAATTAGCAACTCGCATGAAGACTCATTGTAACAAGCACATGACTACAGATGAGTGCTAGGCATCTGCATAAGCATGCATGAACAAGTGTACATAAGTGCAAACATGTATAAACGTGCTAATGTATATAAACATGAAAAACATGTTCATAACATATGTATAATATGTATGTACATAACTAAATATATTTAAGTACGCGTATAATATATATGCATGTGTGCGTGTATGTTTGTATACATCCGAATGTATAAAATTATTGCCCCTTAGGTGGCCTTTCCCCCCCCCCTTTTTTTTTTTTTTTTTTTTTTTTTTTTTCTAGTTTTCCAATATTGAAGGAGGTGCGTCTTATATGTATATATATATATTTTTTTTTTTTGTGTACATTTTAAGAATTTCACACATTTTTTTTTTTTTTTTTTTTTTTTTTGTCATCTTCCTAGGTTAAAACGCAAACATATGATATATAATAATGCGCACACTACTGCGTGTACTATTACATGTTATTACACATACCAATAAATATATGCATATATATATATATATATATATATATATTTTAATCACACTTGTTCGTTATAAAAATAATAAGCACATTTGGAAAAGTGTAAATAGTTAGTACACTATTAAATGTATCATATAAAATAGAAATAGTAATTGTCGTGTATGCAAATTTTGAAAAGATAAACATTTCCTCGCAAAAATTACACATGCAATATGTAAAAACCAATATTTTCATATAATTGTTACGAGGATTTACTGCTTTATTATTTTGTACTTTCCTATTTGATACTTGATTACACTTTTATGCATAAGTTTACGCTTACTTTTAATTTTATGTTTTTTTTTTTTTTTTTTTTTTTTTTTTTTTTTTTTTTTCATTTTTTTTACTTCATTTTTATCTTTTTTTCCCTTTTTCAATTTTGAAAAGTTAATACATAATATACATATTCCTATTTTCATTACATTCTGTTCCAATATATATACATAAGATTGTAGAAATACACACATATTACCTTTATTTTTTGTTCATTTCATCCCCATATTTTACAGTTCTGTTTCTTCTTTTTGTTGTTTAAATTAGTATGCGTCTAAGTATTGATTTTAGCATAACGTTGTTCATTACAATTTTTAGATAATAAATTAATATATTAAGATGTTAAGGAATATAATAGTACTTATAATATATTCATAAAATACTTGCATCCCCTAGTAGTTAACTTTATTCCTTTTCCTTGTCGTCTACACTTATACACATCCCAGAATTTGCAGGATTCCCTACATACCCGAATGACATAAAGATTTCAGCAAATCATATATACGAAATACTTCCATAAGTTCACACTCTTCTTTTTTATCATTTAGAATTAATAAATTGTAAAATTAGGAAATAAAATATAAACAAAAATAAAGCAAATAAAATAAGAAATCAAAGAGAGCCAGCAAAAAAAGCAAATTATAACCCCTCAAAATAAGAAAAATAAAATACCTTATTGATAATTTAAAGAAAATATTTTTCATAGTAAATTGAGGAATGAAAGTTGTACAAATTGATACAAGTTGTAATTGTCATACGAACTTAACCAAAAAAAGGAAAAAGAAAAAAAATTTCATTATATTGAATAGCCATTATCTATATATGGATCTTTAGGAAATTAATACTTTCTTTTTTTTTCTTTTTTTTTCTCCCTTGGTCACCTTGTTAATATTTCAGAACTGTTCATTAATACATACGGAAAAATGTAATGCATGCATATGCATAAAATTTCTTTAAATATATATATTTGCAGCTTACATTCACAGAAATGTTAGCTTGAATCAATGAAAAAATTTCCACAAATGCGCATAGTTTGTATATGTATATAATAAATCCATGCCTGTATACTCACATATGTGTACAATATTTTGCACACTTGTTTATGCACATTGTATGCAAAATGTATTCCACTTATTTAATATTTTACACCATCAAGTCTTGTGAAACAGTAGAGAGAAAGAAAAAAAAAAAAAAAAGAGAAAAAGAATAACCGAATGAAATGCATATTATATAATATGTTCACATTAATGGTGTAGTGATACAATTTTTTTTTTTTTTTTTATTAGAACATGAAGGATTTTCAAATGTTCATTCATTTTTCATAAATATATGTTCATTCATAAAATATTTGCAAATTTCTGTAAAATATATGTAATTTTTTCTTTTATTCCTATTTCACACAGGTTAAGAGTTGAAACCAAAACTTGGACACGAGATAGCCATGACCTATTTGATTATGAAGCTCAACAAGTTAACAAAAAAAGTTTTTTAATTTCAACTCCAATTAAACTCTTTCGTTCGAAAGCACAAGTCTCATGTGTTGCTGATAATCCCCATTGCTTACCCAATACAACACAAGATTATCTTTTGTCAGTACGTCCAGAGGAAGGTAACCAAAAAAGGCCATGAAAATATGCATTCGTTTATTTCTGTGTATTTTATTAAGAAATCATGTGTGCAAAATTTTTCTGTATTCATGTGGTTGTGCCCTACTGATCGGAGCTTAGTCGATATGACATTCATTTTTTTTTTTTTTTTCAAAATTTCCCCTTTAAAAAGGCACTGATAAATACGTCATAACACCAGCCGAGCATTCGCTAAATACTCAGTACAATGTAAAAAAATTATGGATTATCGTAAAGGATTTACCTGACAAATCATATATTTTGCACGAAAATGACATAATAAAATTAGGAAGATTTAGATTGAAAGTAAGACAATTTATTGAATCAGTTGATACTTTAAATTCATTAAAATTAGATGATTGTCCGTCAAAAAAATGTGAATCTGTTTTAGACTCCTGTAATGTCCAATGTAGAATTTGTTTAACAGAAGGGAATCAAGAAAATGATCCATTAATTTGTCCATGTGATTGTAAGGGGTCTATTAAATATGCTCATTTAATGTGTTTAAGAAAATGGATAAATGGTAGATTAAATTTAAATGAACAGATGTTTTCTGGTTCTGTTTTTATCAAAGATATATGCTGTGAATTATGTAAGACAAAATATCCAAAAAGTATTAAACAAAATGATGAATTAGTACAACTAGTTAAAATTCCAAATTTAAAAACTCCTCTAATTGTATTAGATAATATTATTGGACAGACAAGCAAAGGAGTACATTTAATCAGCTTTGCTGATAAAAAATATCTTAAATTAGGTAGAGGTCATGAATCAGATGTTCGAATTCCTGATGTTTCTATTTCCAGGTATCATGCTACTATTAAATATGAAAAAGGATTATTTAAATTAGAAGATCACAATTCAAAATTCGGAACATTAGTTGCTTTGAGAAAAGCACGAGAGATATGTCCTAAGGATACCATGTCCTTACAAGTAGGTAGAAGTGTTGTAAACCTCAGAGTAGATGAAGAAATTCCGTTTAAGAGTGGAACAATTGATATTATTGAAAATAAAGAAGTTATAGATTCATCGGAAGTACCATCCACAAATGATAAAAGCAATACAAACCCTGCACAAACAAACAATCCCAATTTGGAAGAAAATAATCGAAATAATACTGAAACAAATAATTATGTAGATCTTACCAGCACACCCAATTCTTTACAAAATTCCTGCTCTTCTTACAGAGTTGATAATTTAATGTCTTTACTAAACTACCAAAATGAATATAGAATTTTTGGTGTTAGAAATTGTTACAATATAGTTGAAGACAGGAATAATAACCTTCAAAATGTTCCTCAGATAGAATACGATGATAATAACATTAACATAGGAGGAGGAAATACGCATAATATTCTTGAAATTGGTAACAATGATCAAATCATGGATAGTCAGGTGAACACTCAAATTGGTGTTCAAATGGGTATTCAAATAGCTTCCGAAATTGTTTCTAGAAATATTAATCCAAGCAATGCTGATGATGAGAGCCATAATGATCTGGGTATTGTTCACAGGATCGATCATATCGTTGGTCACAATAACAATTGCATTAATGAGGAAGATAACGAACAAAATGGTCAACATGATAGCGAAGATGATAACGAAGATAATAATGATGGAAATAACGATGGAAATAATGAAGAAAATGGTGGAGAAAATGGCGAAGAAAATAATGAAGAAACTAATGAAGAAAATAATGAAGAAAATAATGACGAGGGAGAAGGAGATGATTTGCGCATGAATGATGAGGATGATGATGCAAATGGAAGTGGAACGAACAACACAGGAAGTAGTGGCGGTACTAGCGGAGGAGGAAGTAGTGCAGGAAATAGCGAAGGAAACAAAAGTAGTAACCAAGGCAGTAACCGAGGCAGTAACCGAAGCAGTAATCGAAGTAGTAATCGAAGTAGTAATCGAAGCAATAATCGAAGCAATAATCGAAGCATTAACCAATGTAGTAACGGAAGCAATAATGATAGCAATGAGTGCAACAAAAGTTATCTCACAAATAACTGCATCAGTAACAATGATAGAATAGGATTTTATAAATCCAACTACAATAGGAAAATATATAACTCTTTTTATGATAATATTATGCAGAACAGAAAACTTTTAAACAATATATGTATTGATCAAATAAGACACAAAAAAGATGAAGTCGAAAATTATTGTGTGAACAATGTTTTTTATATGACATACAAAAACGGAAAAACTCAGAATACTAACGAAAGTTTCAAAAGTGGTGTATCAGACAAGCCAGGTCTCGTGAGTGGATACGGTAGCATCAGTTTGATCCATAGTGTTAACAACAATAGCGGTAGTAGTAACATTCAAAATAACCACAACAGAAATGATGAATATGAAAATTATGCAAATCTGAACATTCAAGATAATTTCTTTTGTCATAACGAATCGAAAACTCCACAACAAACGGATTATTGCTCAAATTATGGCGATATAAATACTTTTCTTACAACTAATTGTAATACAAGCGCAAAAAAGATTTACGACTCTGTGAACAGCAGAACCAATCAGATCTATTTTAACGAAGATGTCTTTTCTCAATCTTACTACCACATGAACAACAAAAAGAACGAAAATTTAATTCATCTAATGTATAACAATAAAAATAGCAATGACACCAATGACAATAGCAACGATAACAACAATGGAATAATAAATAATAGTGGTGCATATGAGTTGGAGGGCTATTTAAAAAATAAACAATTTTCTCATATGGTATCTTACCAAAGTAATAATAAAACTATAGATAGCATCAACCCACGTAATTTTTTAAATGAAATAAATGAGTTAAACAATGATAATAGTTATAACAACTTTATGACGACTTTGCCAAATTTTATCAATTTGAATAATTCTTCTATAAATTTTGAAAACATCATGTTCAATAAATTCGATGGAAATCATTTAGCCTTTGTTCACGATTCCACAGCTAATGACCAATGTGATGAAGATATTAGGAGTAAGATGAAGGACAATAGGTTAGACACGTTGAACGGCGGAATTGACTGCAATAATGGTAACAACAAGAGTAGTAGTAATAGTATGAGTAACAATAGAAACAACAACAATGATAATGACAATGACAACAACAGCAGTAGCAACAGCAGTAGCAACAGCAGTAACAACAACAATAACAATAATTATAATATTGTGCAAGATGAGACCCTTCTCAAGGTGTTGCCCCATTTGGAGAGCAGGAGCAACGAGGCTATGAATGTGTACGAAGGAAAAGAATTTGTGCTAAAAAATAATATGAAAAAAGGAAATTCGCATAAAAAAAATATTATGCTGTATTCTCTAGATAAAAAGAATGCACGTAATAAGAAATTGAAAAAATCTATAAATAGCAATTGTTCAGAATTACTACCACAGCATCAAACAGCGTATGAGAACAAAAATGATAAATTTATGAATAAATGTAAAGATGAAAATGTGCAAAGTGAGAATTCCCCAACGCAATTTGTTTTTTATGATAAAAATCAATATACCTCCAAATGTGGAAAATCGGATCTTTTGAAAAGTAACACATCTCAGAATAATCCAGTGCAAAATATTTCAAGACTAAATATAATTAACGGAACTTTGAATCCTCATAATACGAGTGATGGACTTCACAATTACTATTACAGAAAAAAACCATTTCATGAGATCTCGTTTTACAACGAAAAATTTTATTACGAAAGTTTGGAAGATTACAAATTTGAAACATCCAATCGTAGTTGCAACAAGAGAAATGAACTTGGTATTTATGATTGTGATCAAGACAGCAATGATAGAAGTTCCATTGATACTATCCGTTGTGAGGACAATAATAGAAGCAAAAACAGGAACAAAATTCACATGAAAAATTACTCACAAAATCTTGACAATTACAACGACAAGTTTAATGTTCGTAGAAACACAACCTTTAACAATTTTAGTACACTGAACTGTTTGAATGATAAATTTAAGTATATCCATGATGGGGGAGATATAAAGATCGCTAAAATTAATTCAGATTTTCTTTTAAATAATTATTGTCTGGATGAAAATCAAGTTCATTTAAATATGTCCCTTCCGTTATATAATAACTTTATGAGAGATGATGGAACATCCTATTTGAGTACTGAAAAATGTGCAGATGTTATTAGTGGAAGCAATCCCACATTAGGGGTAGATTATGAAATGGTAAATCATCAAAACATGAACCAAAATAGTGATAATTGGAAGGAAAGAAACGATTGCATCATTGAAAATAATCAGAATTATGAGGAATTTATGACTAAGTGGGATAAACAGAAAAGCAAAGAACAAGATTTAAATCATGAGCATACTAACAACATCAAAAAACAGTTTCAATACAGGAGTAATAATAATAATGATATGGTGGGGAAGGAATATAATTCTCAATTGGAAAATGCACACAAGGGAGATGCTATTCGAAGTAGTGAGAATAATGACGCCCATTACATCAACTGTAATTACGAATTAGGACACTTAAGTCAGAAAAACCCGATCCACCAACTAAATCAGATCAGTCAGATGGATCAGATGAATACCAATACACAACGTTGCAACTTTTTATATCAAATGGAAGGAAATACTCCAATGACAAGCATGGAATTATTTTCCAAAAAGAAGAAAAAAAATTACAACAATAGCGGACCTATGCACAGAGACACTGTAATCAACGATAGCATTGACAACGGAAGCAATAACATGGACGAGATTCATATGAATCTTCACCCAAGATACACATATCACCATACTCAATTAAATAAAAAGATATGCCCCAGTGTTAAAAAGAATGAAGAAAAGAGGACGAACAAAATAAATAAAAATCAAAATGATAAATTTATCGATATTAATATTAGAAAGATGAAGAATGGAAGAAGATTCAAGAACAAAAATTATAAAAGTGAGAACTGTGATGACGGGTTCCAAATTAGTTCAATCACAAGCAATGGTTTTTCGAAAAACATCACTGAGGATAGCACAATCTATAATCAGAATGGATCAAATCTTTACGACAATAATAACTATAAGGGAGATCAATTTTCAATTGAAAATATTACCAATGAGCAGGTGAATTTTATGGATACTGGTATAAATAATAATCATCATATTGGGTCAAATATTTCCAAACCGCAACTGGTTGAACTAGCTAAACTCTATGCATCTGGCTTAATGCCAAATGATGATATGTATTTTCACATGTACAACGGAAGTGGGATTTCTGGTCACTCGAATATAGTTTTAAACATTATAAGTAATAGATAAAAACCCAAAATGGAAAGCTGAAAATAAAATTCGAAAATTTTACTCTCCTACGTCCATATGAATGGAGCACGCTTATAGATTATTCGTGTGAATAACAATTTGAATAGCAATTCGAATAACAATTATTTTTGGTAATTGACCACATGTCATTGTTATTTTTGTTATTATTTTTTTTTTTTTTTCAGATAATAAGTCTCTGAATGAGGATAATATATACTGGAAGGAAGAACAAGTGATATGAATACAAACAATTTGTGTATGCGTAATTTTTGTATGGATAATTTGTGTGTGAGTGACTTGTATATGAACATTTTGTATATACCCTATTTAAGTTCTATATTTGAGTGAAGTGTTAAGTGTTAGCAGATTTTTTTTTCTTTTTAAAAGAAAAGTCTAATGAATGAAATAACTCTTGTTCCATGAGTATATTTCATGTCAAGCAAAAAAGACAATGTATTTTTTTTTTTTTTTTTTTTCACCTTTCTTTGTTTAACTCTTGATTTTTTTTTTATTCTGCCAATACAGTTTATATGTTTTTTTGCACCCCATGCATTTTTTTACATTTCAGTTAACTATTTGTTAAAACATCCACTTGTTAAATTAGAATGATGATTGTAATAATAATTACTCTACCCATTTTTGAAAACAATTTTTTAATATATTTCAAAAAAAGAAAAAAAAAAAAAAAGGGAATAAATTGTGCCTGCGTAAAAATGATGAGGAACAAAAAATAAAATAAAATAAAATAAAATAAAACATGCATTTGTAAAAAATAAATAAATAAAATAATAAAGGCATTTTCCCAAAAGTGTGTAGAATTTTTTGTGTTTTTTAGAAAAGAAAATAAAACATGCTCTTGAAGAGTAAAGATAAGTGTAACTAGGATTATGATCACATGAATAAATGTAAATGTTCAATTCTTTTATAAGGTTTACTTTTTTTAATTTTAACTTTTTTTTTTTTTTTCATCTCTTTATTAGCATGTCTATTATTTTGTTTCATATGTACATCAGCACTAATTTCTTACATTTTTACCGCTTTTTTTTTTTTTTTTTATATTTTTCTATTCTTAAAAGTTATTTGGATTTGTTTACATAGGTGAAAAGCTAATATTGACATTTGAATTTTTCTCCGTAATCTGAATATAACAAGCTTCAGTTGTGAAATGCACTGTAAAAAACTGAAAACTAGTTGGTTACGGTTTATCATTTATGTGGGGCAAATTTTAAACAACATGTTTGAATTCTAGTTTGTTACCCTTGCTGGTCGCTTTTTTTTTTTTTTTTTATGAATGCACATATAAGTACGTATAGATTTACGCCATTGAACATATAAGACACTATTTTGATATTTAAAATGAGAATGTTTTTTTTTTTTTTTTTTTGGTTAATAGTTAACTGGGAGATTCTCAGTCAGTTATTGATCAAAGGGGGGTAATATATATACATACTCCTGATGCGTAAAAATTGAGGGATACAAATTTACAATAAAAAAAAAAAAATAAAATAACTAAATAAAAATAAAATAAATACGAAACATGGAAAAGAGGTGTAAAGGAATAAACACATGCGGTTATTATACTTAGAGATGTTCAGTGTAGAATGTTAGATTGAAGCTTGACAAGTTGAAGCTAACTGAGTGAAGGTATCAAACCTAATAGTCATGAAGTATATGGTTATATAACGTGGGAATGCATAACATTGATTTTTACACCACCATAGAGCAATATAGCGCGAAAACAGACATCGATTTCTCAGCGTTTGATCATCCCCTTTACCCAATTTTCTAATTGGACGATGAGGACATAAACAAATGGGTCAGCAAAACAGCATCAAGTATTGTGTGTGTACAATATTATTAGGTGTGGTGATATTGGCAGCCGTGTTCATATTACTGGTGCTGGTCACATCGGTAGCCCTGTTCATATTATTCGTACTGATGGCATCAGTAGCAATGGTGGACGTAATGAAGGGCGTAATGGGGGACGGGTGGGTCAATTATCACCACTTATAATTCGTCTTTCTGCTCCTGGGACTGATTGTTACCACCTGAAGATCCGTTTTTTTTCACATCTGGTTCTCCCTTCTGTTCGCCATTTTCCGCTTGTGAAGAAGCAGGATCAGCGTCTTTATCTCCATTGTCCTGACTTTGTGATTGATTATTATTTGTTTGTTCAGAGTTTGCTTCATTTTTTTTACCTTCTGTGTTAGAAGTAGTGTCATTGTCATTCACTGTTCCTTTTTTTTCTGTGGGTTTTTTCATTTTTTCTAAATTTTTAACTAGTAAATTGATTGTCTTAAATTTGAGTTCTACTTCTTTAGCTTTAAAAAATGGAGTAGAATAATTATCTAATTTTTTTTGTTGTTCCTGTGCATCATTCCACCAGTCTACTCCTTTTTGTAAAGAATCTCTGACCACTTTAATTGATTCTTCAGCCCATGGTTTTTTTTCAGAATATTCAAGTAGTTTTTCTTTCATTTCTTTTATTTTTGCATTAGTTTCTTGAATTAATTTTTCTCTAACCTGTAATTCCTCAGCTCTTTCTTTAATTGGAAAATACACATCTTCCAACTCTCTGATTTTATCACTTACATTTTCTAGAGGTTCATCATTTTCTGTGTATAACCATTCCTCGTATTCTTCCAATTTGCTTAAATAATCATTTCTCATATCCTCTTTACATACTTGTTTGAATATTTCTTGTTTCATTTTTCCCCTAGATTCGTATATGAAGGATTCCAGTTTATTTTTTTTCTCGGATTTTAGAAATATGTTGATATCGTGATCGTCCAACTTTTTCAAAAGGTCCTTCTTTGTATTCACTTCTTCACTTGTAAGAGCAAGAGGTTTTATGTTTTTCACTTGATACGTCATTTGGATGGTGTGTTTCACCACTTTCTTTTTTCCCCCTTGTTCTCCTTCATTCTTTTTATCATCACTTTTTTCTTCCACTTCGGAGTTCTTTTTCGTGTTAGAATCTTCGTTTATACCTACATTTACATCACTCGATGATTCTTTATTTTCATTATCATTTCCTGCTGCTTCTCCTGATTCTTCCTCCTTCTGTTCCTCATATACCAAGAACACATCCTGTATGTTCAAAATTCCGAACTTATCTAGATGAAACTTGAGGCTCATTTTGGGTGAATTCAAATGTTTGTACTTCTTCATTGTAGCATCATCAATTGGGTTGATAGAACATTCAATCATAGTTTTCCCATTTTCTAAAATAGCAAATTTTAAATTTTCTCTATAATTTAATATTACACTTTTATTAACAGGGAACTCAGAATTATAGCTAATTATTTCCTTTGGGCTTTTCTGTTCCCCAACCTCATTATTTTCATCATTATTAAGTACTAGTATGTGATATTCATTGGATAAAATATCCGTATACACTAAATCTTTAAGTCTAAAATTTGCACTATTGTAAGCAGCAATGTATAGATTACCCATTGTCACTGCTTCGTCACTATTGAGATGCATACCGACATTTAGTGGATGAAAAAAGTTCGTGATTTCATTTAGTACTTTGGGCACTCTCCATGCAGATCCAATTAATTCTAAAGCTTCGATGTCTTTTAATTCAAATGATGCTTTCTTAAGGGCATTATTAATAGGAACTTTAAAATTCATAATAACATTTTCAATTATATTTTCAAATTCTTGCCTTGTTACATTTTCTACTAAACTTTTATTATTATACAAACTTTCGATAAATATATCTGTTGATTTTTTAGCACTTAGAAGTAATTTTGCTTTATTCGCTGCAAGAACTAATTTACGCATTGCTTTTTTATCATTATATATGGATAGATTGTATTTTTCTTCAAATTTTTTTCTCAGATATTCTGCTAAAATGACATCTATTTTATTTCCTGATACATTTTCTATAACTTCACATGCATATACCTTAACACTCCTTGTACGAACTTTATCATTTTCAACATTACTAATAGTTGCAATTCCAACATTAATGTTCTTACTTCCTACATCTAAATACATGGTCAATTTGGTCGTATTTAACGGCAAGTCATGTACATTATGTATAGCTGCAGCTGTTATTCCGTTAACTAATCCTAATAATTCTAATCCTGCTATTTTGGATGCATTTACCAAAGCTTCTTTCTTCCTTTGCGAATAGTTACAAGGAATGGAAATTACACAACCGATATGTACATTTATACTTCTCTTCGTTTTATAATCTATATTTAAATGATTATATGCCAGCTTTTTTATATATCCTAATATATTTGCTGTGATTTCTTCTGAAGACAAAACCATATCATTTTTTAATTTTAAATTAATGGTTCCTCTGTTATGGTCTACAACATAATCATAATCAAAATATTTACTTGTAGCATCATCCCCTTGATGAAATTCGTAATTATTTATATCAGAATAAAATTCTTCATTATTTTCATCGTAATTTTCTATCTTAAAATTCTCTTTATTTTTTAATGCATCAAATATATTATATGCTAAAAAATTATTACTATTGTGAATTGTTAAATGTGGATGTTTTGTGCTATATATCTTGGCTTCTTCATCAAATGTTCTCACCTTACTACTGAACGATATGGCATTCGTTATTTTTCTTTTACTTTGATTATTTAACAATATATTGAACCCCTTCCCCGGAGACACAATAGATACTTTGATGTATTCATTTCCAAAATCTATACCTAGTACTGATGCGCCATTAATCACAATTGCTTGTTTCAGAATGGCTAATATGGCTAGCGCTATCAACATCGTTTTCTTCATTTTGAGTCTTGTTCAGTCTTCAACTAAATTATACAATACTGTTAATCAGTTTATTATCTAACACCTTACTAATTAGATCCTATAAATGAGTAGTTTAAAACTTGTTCTCTTTTGCTCTTCTGCACTGTTAGTGAATTTCCTTGGGTTTTATTTCACACTTAATACGGGGAACGTCAGTTTTATTTTTATTTTATTTTTTTTTTTTTATTTTATGTATGACCTTAATTCGAATAAAATCTCCTTCATAAGGATTAAACACGCGTGTGTACAAAGTATGATCCAAGCTATATCATACGTACCCTATGCATGTCCTCACTGCGTCGATAATCTATGTACATATGTATATATACATATATATGCTTATACTGTATATTTCTGCGTTGGGTTATATAATGTGTGGCAAGGAAAAGCGCTATGCTTGTTGGCTCAATTTACGTAAAGTTGCTTATATATTCCTTTCTGCTATTTGTATATATATATATATATATACATATGACAGGCAACTGGACTTGGTGGCTTGTACATTCCCCTGGGTTGTTTTTCACTGCTCCTCACATGCTTAATCAATCAGTCGTTCTGGTCAATCAATTTGTAATAACATATATATATAAATATACATACGTATAATTTTCTTTACAAATACACTAGCGCAGTACTCGACGCAAGAAATTTTCTCATAGCTATCTTAACACAGTACTAACGCAGTCATTGCTATGCAATGCCAAAAGTTGCATTACCTTGCTATGCAGGCTACATGTTCGCGTATATATATAAAAGCACATATGTAAATATGTACCTAGATATTTTTATACATTTATATGTTTTTTTTTTTTTTTTTTTTTTTTTTTTTTTTTTTTTCACCTTTCCCGACAAAGTAGTACTATCTGTTCTGATATTTTTTTTTTTTCTAATTTTGCTAAAGCTTTATCAAATTATTTTTTTTATCTTTTGGTTTTTTTTTTTTTTTTCTTCTCGGTTATGCCCTATTGAATAACCATTTCGCAATGTCCTTGTTGTACTTACAATGTTCAGTGATTTTTTTTTTCTTTTTTTTCAATGCATTTAAGTAAAATGTAATTGTTACTTCTAATTATTACTTCAAATTATTACTTCTAATTATTAATTCAAATTATTACTTCTAATTGTGATAGTAATTTTTTTTTTTTTTCTTCGTCGTCCTCTTCTTCATCATCCTCTTTAATTTTTTTTTAAAAGAACTTTCTTTTTGCGAAAGCGTACCTTAACAACTAATCAAGTGAGAAGTGTTTTTCGGATTACACGTGTAAAAAATTAGATATAAAATTACTTGTTAAGTGGGTATATACCTGCACACAAGCAGATTAATATATATATATATGTTCTTATTTATCTGTGTATATATGTACAAATGGAAAACCTAACTACGAATAACCGAATAACCAATTTTGAAAAAAAAAAAAAAAAAAGGAAGACCTAACAAATAGTGACAAATAGGTTAGATATAATAAAAGCAATTTTTTATGTTGGTTTGTTTAAGCACCATTATAATATATTTTGAAGTAAATTGATTAATATGTTGTAAGTTATGCCTGTGAATACAAAAAATAATGAATATGGACGAGAAAATAATTGCTGAAACACCTTTCTCCAATTGAACATTTATGTGTAAGTAAATACATTTGTATCATGTGGATATATTATACTTTTTTTTTTTTTTTTTTTTTTTTTTTGTATAAAATTACCTAGTTTATTACACCCTTTCAAATACACACAGCCGAGGATCGGGTCATTATGGTTCACCAAATAAAGTAATGAAATTCTGAAAAAAGAAAAATTAATAGATGAACAGAAGATAATACCAATAACATTTCAAATGTAACATAAGACTCGGTATATGTTAGACAAATAAGAAATGTCTTCAAATATTGAGGAAAGGCGGGGACAGTAGAAAGATTTTTCATCCTTTTCTCCTAACCTGAAAAATATTCGAAAATGATATGCCTCACCTAAAAGTGGGACTTGTTATGTTTATTATAAGCGCACATATTAGTCAACAGAAAAAAAAAAAAAAAAAAAAAAAAAAAAACATCTCTATTTAAGCTATACTTAATGTATTTGAAAGAAATTTTTTTTTTTTTTAAAATATTTAGATCTCCGAATTACACATGCATATTTATACAAGTAATTAATCTTATATACATTTACTTTATAACGTGAATTGATAAAAGCAGCTAAATGGAACAAAAAAAGTTGCACATATGTGGAGGTTTAAACAGAAATGGTACAAATAAACGGTACAGATAAACTGCAGAGATAAACGCAACGAACACGCGATAGGGACAAACGGTACAGACAAATAGTGGAATGTATCTCAAATATGAACAATTTTGCAATATCGTGGAAAGGGTCGCCTTCCACGGATACATATATATACTTTTTTTGTTTTTACTCATTTGTCTAATTGTAATTAGAATGTGAAAAAAAAAATTGCAACTGCTGTGAGTGCGTGCATTGTATATTTATAACAAAAAACAAAAAAAAAAAAAAAAAAATACTTGGGAAAAAAGCGGGAAAAAGTGAGAAAAAGACGTAGAAAAAAAATGCTAAAAAAAAAAGACGAAAAAGAAGGTAATTTTAGCCTTACTGATAAATCACGTCCACGACTATATGTTCCTGTTTTTGTAGCGTACAACAACATATAGTTGAGTTAAAAAAAAAATTAAAATAATCTATTGTATGAAACTCTATTAAAAAGGCATAATTGTTCACAATTCGCATTTAATTTTTCTTTCCTCCTATTATTAAATGAATGTAAACGCATGTGCATATATGCAATTACATTAGTACGCACGTTATATGGCTTCCCTGTGGAGATGGGTGAGGTTTTTACATTAACATGTGGGAGGCGCATATGTATATAAGTATATATACCTGTATTGACATTTTTGTACATCAATGCTTGATTATAATGTTCTCTTTATTTATCTAAGGAGAGTTCTTCGTACTTTCCTCCAACGAAAACATTGGATAAGAGGAATTCCTTATCGAAACTGTTTTGCACAATTTTTGATTTATCTGTTGATCTCTCCTGCTTATAGGCTTCCTCCTTTTGCTGCATCAGAATCTGCTGCTCGATTGCCTTCTTATCTCCACATCCCCATGCCTCAACTTCATTGATGGATAATTTGTACAGAAATTTGTCTGCATTGTAATTGTCATCGTCATCCTCGTCTTCATATACCCGATGCTCATGCTTCAAGTTGTGCACATTACCACCATTGTGAGTGTTACAATTGTTATTCCTACCTCCATTCACGTCTCCATTGCAGTCTTCATCGCTGCGACCATGGCTGTTATTACTGCTCGGGGAGTTGCACTTATCCTTCTGGTAGTGAGGAAAGTACAAGTGGCCACTCTTATACGTATAATCAGATTGCGTACAATAAGAATCCTTAAATTCATCACTCAAAAATAATCGAAAACATTCGGATCTTCCACCGAATCCTAAGCCTTTTGGATAGAAGGAATTTTTGCTATTGAGGTACACGTAATTTGTACCAAATTGATTTGATCGTATAATTCTAAATACAGGATGTGCTGAAAATAAAAAGTCGTTTGATGAACCTTGAAATAAATGGGAATCCTTAAGGGGTGTTGTAGATACAGCTCCTAAAATTTGGTTATCCTTTGTCTTTATTACAATAACAATTGGTGATTCATAATGAAAAAGACAGCTAATAAACCTATTAAAACTCCTTCCTTCTTTCCATGATGCATATAATCTATACCATTCATTATTCATAAAGCAAGGGGAACATTGTCTTAGGCTAAAAACAATTTCGTCTGTTAATATTTTACTCGTTTTATTCAAAAATAAACCTCTCCATCCATTCGTTGAATTTTGGATTGCTACTATCGTAGAAGATTTTTCATATTTTTCTACATTTATTTTTTCATCTTGATCACTTCTTTCTTTTTTTTTCATTATTTCGTTTCTTTTCATATTAGTATATATAGAATGTATTAGTTCAATACTGTTAATGCAAATATCATTGAAATTTTCAAATTCATCTATTTTCTCTCCTTCCGTTCCTTCTTCTGTGTCTTGTTTTTTGTGCTCCTCGAGGTGACCTTCTATCCCTCCACCTCCTAATAATACATTTTCTTCATTATTCATAAAATGTTTAAATGTAGCTCTTGCATAATTATCGCTCAAGATTGTAAATGTAGAACTGATATATTCAATGGCCAGGGAATATATGGAATGCTTATTATTATCAATGGAGTTTACAAATAATCTGAATCCTGTAATAATATTTCGAAAATCTAGGGTAGCTTCTAATGAATAAAATACTTCATTAAAAAAATAAGATACATCCCAGCTGTTTTTCCTCTTCATTGTTCCAACATCATCATATACACTTGTTGCAGAATCTTTTAAAAAATTACTTTTTTCAGGTAGGGGATATTTATTGGTTAATTTAAATAGTATATTACTTGAACAAAGAATGTATAGTTGTTCAATATACATATACGTGAATAGATGATGTATAGCTTCTTCTACTGATACTAAATCTTTCATAAGATAATTTCGTGGATATCGATTTTTTAATTTATGATTATCTAGAAAGAATATATTATCCTTGATGAATTTATAATTTCTTTCTTTCTTTTTATTTTTATTTATTGTGTTTATGTTCGAGTCTGAAAAAACGAATTCAAACGAGTTATGATTTCTTCCTAAATCGTCTGTCTCCCCAGAAGAGGCTTCATAATCATTATGATTATTGCAGTTGTTGTAATTGCTCTGATTGCTGTAATTGTTGTAATTACTGCTATGAATATCACCACCCTTCTCCTGCACTGCTACTTCTTCTCCATCCTCATTTGTAACGTCATCATTTGAATGTGTGCAAGCATCCGAATCCTTCCGATTGGGAGTGAAAAAAACAGAATCATAATTATCTACTTTTTTTTCATTTTTCTCCCCATTTCGTTCCCCATTTTCCTTAAGAGATACTCTTTCCATGCAATTTTCATTTTCAACTCCTTCATTCTTTTCCACACTTTTTAATTTAGTTGATCGAATATCATTATTAATTATCCTACTATTGCTACCCTCGGATACAATATACTTTAGAAAACTTCCAAATAATACCCTTACAAGGACTCGTGTTTTGGAGGTACGAATGTAATGGAGTATATTTATGATATCCTGTAGGGATAGTTCATTACTAACTTTTTTACTATTTTTGTTAAAAATGATATTTAAAGCATAATTTAATGCATAATTATTCGCTCTCTTCTCATTTTTTCGATTACTTTTTCTTAAAACTTCATGAAATGATGGAAGTACAAGGGCGATGTATGGTCTTAAAATATGTGGATATACATATATGAAATCTAGAATTCGGATTCTTTCGTTTATTTCTTTTTTGTTTAAATTAAATTTTTTCCTTATCTTTTCTACATCCTCATCGCTCAAGCATCCATAATTCAGGGAATGCTTTGAGGAAACTTCCCCCATCCTTTTAGAACTTTTGTTTCTGTGGCCAATAAAATAATATGGCACGGAGAAAACAACGCAAGTGAAAAGGTGTTATAAAGTATAATTAACTGGGGTCATTAAAAAAAAAAAAAATCTTAAAAAGGCTTGCAAATCCTGCATAAAAACCTTTCCTAAAAGGATTCCTAAAAATATTACTTAAATATGTCACTTAAATATGTCACTTAAATATGTCACTTAAATATGTAGCTTAAAAATGTCGCTTAAAAATACCGCTTAAAAATGTCGCTTAAAAATGTCACATAAAAATGTCAATTAAAAATGTTACTTAAAAATGCTTCTTAAAAAAGAAGCTTAAAAAGGATGCTAAAAAAAATGTTCGACCAAAGGTACAAATATATTTGCTCCTACGGGCGCAGCAGTTAAAAATGTGTTTATAAAAGCGTTCATGCTTTCTGTTTTTCTATCATCTGGTAATTCCTTGAGGATCCATTCGTCGAAAAAAATTAAAAAAAATTACCTTCAGTTTAATAATATAAAATTATGATTTTTTTCTTAAAAAAAATCTTGATTTTTTATAAATTTTCTCGAAGTTGTAAACTCGCAAAGATAGTCTCGTAACAGGTGCAGCGTATGTAACCTTGTGGATAACAATGGGTCATCCTGTTCCGACTTATTCAACATCAATTTTTTTTTTTTTTTTTTTTTTTTTTTCAAATTCCTTTTTTGTTCTATAACTTCCCAATTTTTATATGCGAAAAGTGAACAAATTCTATAGTCCGTTACCTTCAAATTGCTCACTTTCCTCAGTTGTAATTCTGCAAATTTTCAAATGAATCCTTAAAACTTTGCTTAGTAAACAGAATAAAAATTAAAAGCTGGATGTAAACTTATTAATTCACGTGCACAAAGGTAACATAAAGAATCACTCTGCATATGTCAGCTTTCGTTTTTCCCTTCACCCTGGCTTCAGATCCTCATTCGTGTATATATACATATGTATATATATATATACGGCACGCATTTCATATATGTGTATATATATTTAAGTTCATACAAGATGCTTATGCGCACTCCCCAACTCTAGCGCATATAGAGGGATGTACACTTCAATTATACCACACATCTTTTGGTTACTCCAAATTGTTTTTATCACTTATAAAAAACAGAGAGATGTTTTGTACAAAGCGTTTGAGAATTCTTGAATTTGTCTTTTATATCATCCCATAACAATGGAGTATAATGTGACTCTGCAGTATGCGTACTCACTTCTATTAACAGTAAATGGTAAGGTCTGAGAAGAAAATTATAGCTGTGCCTGTCCGTTTAATGTTTTTCCTTATAGGTGCATATTGTATATGTGCATTACTGTGTTAAGCAGTACATATAAAGTTTATTACATATATATTTACTCATACTCATGTGTGCAAGTAAGTTCTACAATTTTTTCTTCTCTTATCTGCCTTGCATATTTTTTTAAATGCATCAAGTTTGTTTATTACAGAAAAAAAAAAAAAAAATAAAATAAATCAAAAAATACAAAGGTCGGAAATGCTTGATATTTGAAAGCAATAAAGTTATTAACAAAAGCTTGATTCTATTCACGTACATTATTTATGTGTATGTATATTTGTATGTGTATATGTGCATGTATATTTGTATGTGTATATGTGTATGTATATTTGTATGTGTATATGTGTATGTATATTTGTATGTGTATATGTGCATGTATATTTGTATCTGTATATGTGTATGTATATTTGTATGTGTATATGTGTATGCATTTTTTTTTTTTTTTTTTTTTTTTTTTACGAAGGCGAAAAATGTGAAATGCAAACAAGCATTTTTGCATTGACACACATTTTCGTTTTTTTTTTACTTGAATTGTTATCAAATGGCGGATGCAGAAAAGGCACATTAAAAAGGGAAAAGTGAAAAAGAGGGAACAATAAAGAAGTGTAATTTAAACAAAACATTAAATTTGTGGAGAGAAAAAAGCTATAATTATGTATTGTATGCATTTCCTTCCTATGCTCTTTCTCTTTTCTTTTTTGCAAAAAAAAGGATTAAGCTTATCTGTCTCACCTTGGATTGAAAACAAAATGAAGTAATATAAATAAATAATAATAATAAATTAAAGAAAATAAGGGAAAATAAAGAAAAACAGTATAAAACGAGCAAGTAGGGAAAAATATGCAAGATGAAACCCTTTATTACACTTTTTGTGGGCATCGTTATTAACTTTTCCTTAAGAATAATTCATCTGCATCGGCGTAAAAGATATATATATATATATATATATATATATATATAATAAGAATATGTGTATGTTAATATATGCACCTCCTTACACACGTATACATTTTCAATTTCCATTACTTTCCCCCATGCATACACACTTTTCCGCGAAAATTTGCAAAATAAAAAAAAAAAACATGTACCAATGTTGTTGTAAAAAGTACATTTTACGCATATAAATAGGTGTGCAAGGTGAGAGACACTTAAATTGAGGTGCCCGATGCTACTTCCCAGGTAGAATAATATTACTGTACATTAATCCACACATATACGTGTATATATCCACATGTCCGTGTTGCACTAATCTCCCAAGCACGAACCGCTGTTTTCACGTTAGGATTTTCCACCCTGTTTCAATATTTGTGCTCCACAAATGGAAATGCACACACCTGGGCGAGAGTAAACTTGTGGGCTGATCTACTCCTCATTATTTTATATTTTTTTTTTTTTGAAAATTCCTGAGGTATATCAGTAGGTATGGATATAAGAACTTTTTCGTTATTTTTCGCAAACTCTCTTTTGATGTAACCCTGCGCAATTCGCTTTTTGTAGACTGGGCTCCAAGTGCAGGAGGTTACGTATCCAATGGGTTGCTTATAAGGATAAGATAATATTTTGCAAGTCTTAAAAATTAATTCATTACATATAATACCAATACGTAAGAATTTAGGTTTTATACTATATTCCTTCAAAAGGTTTTGATATCCAAAAATAGTTTTTTCTTTAATTTTTTTATATTTTAATGTCCAAGCTAGGGAAGCACTAATAGGGGTAGTATTTTTAAAAATATCAATGCCATAAATGGGGAATCCAGATTCCATTCTCAACATATTTAACGCATATGCACCAGCTAATTTTACTTTTACATGACTTAGAAATAATTCAACATAATTATCACTTATGTTATTATCTACAATGAATTCATATCCATCTTCTCCTGTATCTCCACAATGGATGCAAAGAATTTCATATTGATTCAATTCGTCTTGAGAGTTTCTACTTGTGACAGTTTTTATATTATTTACTTTATTTTCCATATTCAATTTTTTGAAACTCATATATGGTATTTTAAAAAATTCCTTACTCTCCTGTTCTTCTCGTTTAAAGTACAAGGACCCCCTAACTTCATATTCTCTATCCATTTTTATAACATTTTTTAAGTACCTTATTGCTCTGTTGTTATCATCTTTCTCCATATTTGTTATATTATAATAATCCAATATGTCATTAAAAACTAGGCTACTCAGCGGCCCTTGTAAAGATAACACCCGCTTGTTAGTTTCAACTTGAATATGAACATCCATACCACTGTCTTTGCAAAATAAAATATAGTCACTTAAAAATTCGTACACCCCCTTTTTATAAAATCCTGAACTAACTAATATTATTTCATTTTCCAATTTTAGCACATAAGCCGTGTCTAATATATAAGATTTGTTATCCAGTATACAAGTGTAACAGATGTCGTAATTACTCATATCATATATATCACTAGAAATGAAATGGTTACATATATAAACACAATCCTTCCCCGTCAATTTTATTATTAATTGGTATGATTTATCAAATAAACTACAACCATTTCTTGTGTGAAAATATTCGCTCATTGTTCCTGTGGAGAACTTTGATGGAATTATACAATTATTATATAATATGAACGAAGCCCCATGACTGCTAAAAAGGGATCCCAGCTTTCTATTTCTATCTGCTGTGTTCAATGTCGTGAAGGTATCTAAGCAACTTATGTCTAACTCTTCTCCTTCATCTACGTAATTTAAAATGTCCTCAATGTACATCTTTTTCAAAATTTGATCCTCTGTGTCGTTTTCTACTTTACCAAGATCTGCTGTGTCATTTATGCCATGTAAATAGTTAGAAGGGGGAACAATGTCTAATTTTTTATTTACTTTTACATTTTCGTTTTTTATTTCCTCTTGTCCCTTGTCGTTCCCATTGTCATCACCATGTGTGCCAATATCTTCCCTCGAAATGCAGCTCTTTCCATCTAACAATATTTTTTGTAATATTTTATCATCCATGTTCCTTTTCCGTGTCTGTGTAATAACACTATCTGATTCATCTATCATTTGTTGTTCTTTCATTCTTCCACCTTTTTGTTGGGAATCATCCATTTGATTCTCTCCCTTCGTGTAAAGGATGTTAGCATCAGTTCCTAACTCTTCCCGTACAATTTTACACTTATCGAGGGTGTTCACCCTTGAGGTATTTCTCTTCTTCTTATGGAGATCTTTCAAATATGCTGGTACCTTCGGGTATGTAGTTACATTAGTATTATCGTGCAAATGGTTTATGTTACTATATTCGTTAACCAACTTTTTTATATGTGTGTCGACAAAATATTGTGGGTTTTCAATTTTGTTAATTATTTCTTTTTTTTTATCGATAAAATTTTCACATATGGAAAAAAGGTTTATATTTTTTGAAATGTCTTGGTAGTTTCTCCCCTGCTGCTGCTCCTGCTGCTCCCTCTCATCTTTCTTTCCCATATTACAAGAATAAATTTCCCTGTTTGCTATTTGTTTACGAATTTCTATAAGACTATTAATGCATTCCCTTTCTTCTGAACTTATCTCTTCTTCTACCTTTTGTTCGTATACAAAATTCTTACCATTGTTTTTGGTAACTTCCTTTAGGGGGTTATTTATCCACCCTCCTCTACTTCCCTTTTTTACTTTTGAGAATTTAGGTATGTTGTTAGGGTTATGTTTATATTTTTCTTCATAAAATTTTTCCCTCTGTTTTTGCCTTTTCCTTGTCACTGCTCCATATGTCCCAAATGTCCTCCCTCTGTTTATGCAGTTAAATATAGGCATACGTTCATGTGTTTTGACAAAAGTATGGGGGAGTGATAATACTGTTTTCTCACGGCATATTATTCTATTCATGAAAAGAGAGAATGTTTTTGTCATTTCACAAAATGGTGACAAGGATTATTCCAAAGGATGAAGTAAAAAAGGAAATTTACCTAACCCAGGGCATATCGAGTACGTACTTTTTATTATGTTATCGACAAAATAAGAAATAAGGGGGAAAACTCAAGCACTTGGTAAGTATTACATAGAAGTGCCACATATAGTCTACATTCTCACTTTGCACTGATAACAGTTTATAATAATATGGTTTTATCGCCCTGTTCTATAACTTTTTCTCATGACATGATAATAATGTATGTTCTTTCAAGTGATGGTATATATATATTTTTTTTTTATTCACTTTAGTTATAAATGTGGAATCAATATTTAATGGTAGCCTCCACATTGTGCTATTCTGTTAAAGAAAAATAAAATAAAATGTTAACTAATCCGTTCTTCTTTTTCTCCCACATGGGAAGCACACATTGGTATATAATTTTTGCCAATTCTTGACATCAAAATGGTCGCAGAAAAAAAAAAATGACTCATTTTTGCACTAATGAATGAGTAATTCTATCTGGTCCTTTCATACTGAATATGCACCTTCAATAAAAATATATATATATATATATATATATATATATATATATTCCTTTTTTTCCCCCTCTCACGAGAGAAAAGCCAAATTTGTAACTACGCCGCAGGTATATTGTGAGACTATATCCCACCCAACCCACATTTCATCATACTTTTCAAATCACCAATTTTAAAATATTTTGTTTAGCATATATATATTTTTTTCACAAATGCGTTAAATGAAAAAAATATCTATAAAGGGGTTATTTCTCCTCAACGTGGGAGTAATTTTTTAATTCTTTTTAAAATACTTAAAGCTGTTTTAATGAGTTGAAACAAGAAAAAATAAAAGAAAACAAAACAAAACAAAAAGAAAACAATATAAAAAGAGAACAAAATAAATAACTAGAACCAAATGCATACGTAAAGCAAAGTAAAAAAAGAAAAAGCTGCACACACGTGCCTCATATACATTACATTCATGTATTGAAACACATTTATACACATTCATATACATAATGTCGAAAGCAGTGAACAACAAAACAGCCTACGCATAGAAGCGCATGAAAATTCTTTTGGAGCAAATGGAATTCTTTAGAATAGAAGTTTTCTTACAGAGAAATTTGAACCCATATAAATAAAACAAAAAAAAAAGAGAAGAAAAGGAGAAAATATATAAAGTAAAATTTTTTTTAAAATAATAGACAACGGAGTCATGTGTGACCCACAAAAAAAAAAAAAAAAAAAAAAAAAAAAGGAGAAACACTTCGTGTACATATCAGCATATACTTCATTTTGATTCTACTAAACGATGCATGCGCAAAAGAACAAATAAATTGTTACTATTTCAAATTAGTAACTACCCCCCTCTGGAGAAATGGGTGGAGGGGATGCTAGGCTAATAACCAATTTTGCATTATATAATATTTCCATCATATATGTATTATCAATATAGCATGGTTTGAACTATGAAGCAGTTGGAATGAACATTATATTACGACGTTTGCATAACGATCTCACCCGATGTGAAGTTGCATTTGTGTTAAGACAAACTATCACAACAACATTCAATACAAAAATGAACTTGCGATACATAGCTTTTTGCATGTCACATTGTGGAATCAGAAAAAATGGGAGAGAATATTATCTTTCGGGAATTCAGTATTCTTATATAATTTCCAAGTCCTATCAAAAGAGGTGGATGATATGAAGTTTCCATCAGGGGATATATCAACATTCCTCACCTTATTATCATTATTGTATAAAATTTTGGTACAGTAAAAATTCACAGAATTCCATATTTTGATATACGTATCAAAAGAACTAGATGCTATGTATCTACCATATGTTGGTTCAAAAACTGCATCCGTTACAATTTTATTGTGTGCAAGTATATTGCAAGAAATTGTGAAATTTCGCATGTCAAATATTTTAATAGTATTATCAGCTGAACATGTACAAAACATGTTAGGCATAAAGGGATTAAAGTTTATATTCATTATACAATTATTATGAACCATTTTTTTTTTGTCAATATTTTTTCCTGTTCTTATGTCCCATAGCATTAACCCCCCTTTAGAATCGCCTGAGAGATATAAATTTCCATATGGATTAAACGTAGCTGTATATACTACCGTGTTATGACCTTCTTGATAAAACAATTCTTCTTGTGTTTCGATATCGAAAAATTTTATAGTTTCATCTTCTGAGCATGTTAATACATGTTTGTTTAACGGGTGAAATGATATTTTATTTATTCTATCATCGTGTGCTTTCACTTTACACAGCAAATGCTTGTTGCTGCTGTTATCCTTTTTTGTCTCTCCCTTCTGCTTATTATTACGATTTGTATTTTTGGAATCCTCGTCATTTTCATCCACTCGATCATTATCACTGTATTCATTTCCGGGTCGAGTATTTTTTTCTCCCTTTTTTCTTACGTCCGCCTGTGTACGAGAATCTTTATGTGAAATTGTTGTGTCATCAAGTTCATCTTTTGTGAAAGGTCTCCACAAACAGAAAGTCTTATCAGACGAACATGAAGCTAATATTAAATCCTTCTTTCTTACATCCTTATAATTGAATGTACTATAATAGGAATAATTATTGGGGTAGTTCCAATCTATACAATTTATCTTATCATCATGTCCATTTTTTAGAGTTTTCACAATATTATAATTATCATTTTGATAATTAAATATGTTTATATACGTATTATAACTACTCACTGCAAAGACACTATTGTCAGGTGAAAATTTCCCCATAGTTAATGGTCTATCATCCCCTAGTTGAGAGATATATAAATCAAATTCATTTTTCATATGTTCATTGTAAGATGAAATATACTTTTCAAAATCACCTTTTGAATATTTATTTTGGAATTTATTTATCATTTCTTTGTGTAATAATATTCTAGGCAGAGTTTTTAATGTTAAATCTAAACGAGCTATTTTAAGTTCTTCGGTACTCTCTGTGTAAAATTTTTCCTTTATTGTACTCCTTACACTAATACCTTTCGCCGCTATACTTTGCTGTTTCAATCGTTTAGTTCCTAGCTGTTCTTCCAATTCATTGATTTTTAAATATTCAGGTGAATTTACATCATACAATTTACTAAAATCTATGTAATACCTTTTTAAAATGTTTTTAAATTCTTCCACTTCATCAATGTTGTCGTTATATTTTTTTATAATATATTTATCATATTTTGTTACTAATACACTTTTTAACCTTTTTCTCTTATCATAGCTATCCTCACCAAATAAACAAATGGGTTCTTTTAGTAATCTCAAAATATTTCTAACATCTAAATCTTTCGTTGGTATCCCCAAACATACTTTTCTCATCTTACTTTTTATTTCGAATTCTTCCAACACATTGTCACTTACTACCATTTCCATCTTCCCTTTTTCTATGCCCAACCCCAAAGCATTTTTCTTTGCTTTCAAATTTTCATTTAATTTGGATTCATTAAGAATATCGCTGATTTTCATTTTGCAAAAAGAGTTTAGCTACCCAAACATGTAGAGGGTTATCTCTGCTCCTTTCTTCTCGTACATAAAATGTTGTATTTATGCATATATATGTAAATATATATATATATATATGTTCCTTATCTTTTCTTTAAAATAAATATGAAATCACCACTGCCAGAATTTACATACATACTATGTAAAAAACTTACTGCCTGTCATGGCACATATGAATCTTTTCTTTTTTTTTTCACAAATGTACAATTTTGAATCAAGAAGATGAACTTAAAAGAGGAATGTATAATATACTACATATTGGCAAAGAAGAGCTTTTTACATTTTCCCCCTCCTATATATCTATTCCTATATAACTTGACTCAGTAATTCAGGCACAGCATAAATGTGTAACTGTTTCTTCAATAGTTAACAAATTTTAAATGCTGAAAAAAATGGATGAATAAACTCAATAATGCGTATAAACAAAAAGGGGTAATATAAAAAGGGATAAGGAAAAAAAATAAAATAATATAAAAGATAAATGTGAAAACAATAATATAAAAAACACTGAAAAAAGGAAAAAGAAAATAGGAAAAAGTAAATAAGATAAAAGAGTCCAAAAAAAAAAAAAAAAAAAAAAGGTGATTTTTACAAGTATATCTTACATTTTGTCACCTCCATTTATTAATTCAACAAACCGAAAAAGTATTTTTTTGGAAAAAATTTGCCATTCATTTTTCGTCCACACAATTTATACAGGAGTTTCCATATATACATTATTAAAATGTTAAACTGTTAACGTGGAGTTGATAGAACAAAAATAAAATACAGAAAAATCGAGAAAATTATAAACAGGTTTTGATTTACATGTTTTGTAGGAGAATTTGCTAAACGTTGACACAATAGGAGAAAAAAAAAAAAAAAATGACATACATATGGAGACATTTGTATATATAATATATCTACTATAATATGCAACCAGCTAGCATTTCATTTATATCCAACTGATTCGGTGCGTATAGTTACACATTAAATAGGAATTTTTTTTTTTTTTTTTTATGTCAATGGCATGTATAAGAAATAGAGGATCTTTTTTCACATGATTTTTTAATATTTTGTTTTTTTTCTTCCAATAGTTGCAACACTTGTAACATTATCATATACTAATACGGTGTTCTATTTCTATGTCGTGTTTTTTGATTTCTGTGTACACAAAATTGTAAGACATTCTAAATGATTAGATGTTTACACGTATGAACACCTTTCTCTGCATGTTTAAAACATATACCTTTTTACGCGTTTATATCATAAGTCGATATATACATATATAATTATTTACACACATGTATATGTATGCGTAGGAATATAATATTATTAAGTAATGAATGTCATTTCTTCACATATTAAATAGTTTTTTATTGTTTATAAAACAATCTTTTTGTAAGGTCTTTTTTCTGTTAAAAAAATATTATCATTGCGCCGGTATGTGTAGATATATTTTGGGTGAGGGAAAAAAAAAAAAAAAAAAAAAAAAGAATGCTCAGTGATGATTCATACAATGGGGTTACTAAAAAAGTGAAAAAAATAAAAAAAGAATAAAAAAAAAAAAAAAAAAAAAAGGGATAACAAAATAGCATATAATAATTGGGATAGTCATTTTATCATTTTAATATACACTTTTTTTTTCATGTCCTACTTCTTTTTTCTCTTTCCTTTTCGCGATCATCATCCCTAACGCATTACATATTAACATCATTATCTGCAGAATGAGTAATTGTCATTGTGAGAGGCATTTTTATTTTTATTTATTTATTTATTTTTTTGTTGAATTTTTACCATTTAAAATTATCCGTACCAAAACACATAAAATATTAGCCAACAAGTAGTCTTTTTCCCCGTACCCTACGGTGTTGCATTATTTGTAAAAAAGGAAGTTCAGACACGACATTATAATAATGTATGTTCACAAATGATTTGAATACTTGAAAATATGGGAGCATACTTCTTCAAAAATGTGTGCGAAGTCATAGAAATGTAAAAATTAGTATGCATAATGTACTACATATATTGTATATACATATAATACACAAGTGAAATGATTCATTATACTTACAAATGTGCATATATAGTTTATTCTCCCTTTTACTTATGCATTTTGTCTCCTGTATGTATGTATATATATATATATATATGTGTATGTGATACCTGTTGGCAAGTTTGACGCTAAAAGATGTTCGCATATTTATATATATGTTCAAATTTTGTTGCATTCTTTTTCTCCCTTTTGCGTTAACAATTATTTGTTCTTACAACTTTTTTTTTTTTTTTTTTTTTTTTTTTTTTTGCTATGAGAAAAATAAGTGTGCATACAAAACATATGGATAAGTGAATGAAAATATAAAAATAAATACATATTAATAAACGGGTAAATATATGAATAGTTTATCATTTCTAAAGGGACAATTTAAAATACAAACAGAAGGTGGCAAGATCACTGCAACTAAGTATATAAAATACAAAACTCTTTTCATTTGCGAAGAGAAATGAAATACACGAGTTGTATAACTCAGTAAAATGCACAAACAACAAAAAGTTCGAACACAATGCAAATGGCAAGCGATGCAACAACTCAGTGAATTACACAAAATTTATGCTTTAAGGAAGTTGTTTTTGTAAATAAACACCATTTTCTTTCCTTTTGTTATTAAATTGTTGAAAGGTGTAGCAGATACAAAAATTGATATACCATTACCAAAAAAACGTACATGTATATATGTGTAATATACATCAGGGCGGATGTGCATGAGGAAGAGGGGGGAATGTTAGTTTTGTTCAATATTTTTTCACACATAATTTTGTTACATAAAAAGAAATTAGCAGATTTTTTCTTATTATGTGTATATAATTTTACGTATCCTCCAAAGTTTGCACAAGGCATAACGAACAAAATTTGTGCAAAAAAAAAAATAAAAATTCCATTTTTCTACCCAAGCACAGGAAGGGAATGGTATACCCCACACCGATTTTATGAAGGATGTTTCAGAAATTCCTTTCAGACATACTGAACAAGGTTTTGGGAAACTTTATTTATGGAATAAATGACGAGGAATTCGGGATAAGTGACCTACTAAGTGGGAAATTGGAACTAACAAATATCCACCTTAAGCAATCCATTATTGACTTGATTGATATACCATGTAGGCTAAACTTTGGATGTATTGGGTATTTTAAAATTAATTTACCCATTTTTTATTTTATGAAAAACCCTATCAATGTGTACATAGAAGATGTTATCATAGTCCTATCAACAATCCCGTCTAAATATTTTGATGATAAATTGTATAAGGAAAAATATATAGAAAATAAAAAGAACTTACTACTATCCTCAGAATATAGTGCTATCGTTTGTTCTATAGAAGGGGGAGTTATATGGCAAATGCTTCTGTCTCTAATAAATAACATAAATATATCGGTTAAAAATATACATATAAGAATAGAAGATTTTACAAGTAATCCATCTAACTGTTTTTCCTTCGGAATCAATATAGAAGAATTGTTTCTAAGTTTACCAAAAGATGGTTTACCTTTCAAAAGAGATGGATATTACACTAAAAAAAATGAACTTGTTAATAATACCATGATAAATATGATAACAGTTAAAAAATTGGGCTTCTACATGGATTACTTAGATATGAAAAAAATTATGAACAAAAAATACTATGATCAATGGGGAAACTTATTCATGAACGACTGTAATTCGTTCAATGTTGGTTCTTTTCAGGAGAAGGATCATAATGCAAAAGATAGGAAAAGAAAAAAAACAAAAAAAAAAAACAACAAAAAAGGGGGGAAAAAGTCTGGAAGAAATGGAAGTAATGAAATACCCATAAGAGGACAGAATAATATAAAACTCAAAAAAAACAAAAATATTAAATCTAATGAAGATAACTTAAAGGATTTTCAAAACGTTATAAAAAATATTAAGAATCGTTTTTCGGAAACACGAAGAAACGATTTTAATACAAAAAGTATGAGTAAGTTAAATCAGAAAATTCGTCAATTAAATGAAAATATAATAAATCAAACCAATCTTGAGGATATTAAAAAATCAAAAAAAAAAACTCTTATTGAAGGAAATTTGGAAGACACAAACGGTAGCCTTATTAATAATTGCATGGGGAAAAAGGATGGAAAATGTGCTCTAACTATCAGTAATTTATATAATTTTAATTTTTTTTCCAAAAAAGAAGAAAAAATACTACCTGTTATGCACAATCTAAATATCGATAATGATGTCAGCTGGGTTGCATGTATTACCCAATTTGCGAATTCATTAGAAAATCCAGTTCTTAAGGAAAAAAAATTCGAATTGATAAAACAGAAAAGGAAAAAAAAAAAAAATGTTCATAACCAAGGTGACCAAAGCGGTCAATCTGACAAATGGAATGACAACAATATGGATATCGATCAGCCGACAGAAAATATGAAGAATCAAAAGTTGAATAATCGCTTGCTGGGAAAGCAAAAAACGAATGTTTCAAAAGGAGAAGGTATAAACTACATAAACAAAGCTGTTTCATTTTTTTCCATTAGTTCCTTAACAAACGTTATTAATAAAAGTTTCACAAATCGAAATAGTAATGAAGGAAGAGATGAAGCCATGAGTAGTGCAAAGGAGTGTACTCCGAGTGATGGATATTTCACAACAAACGAAAAATTTTCTGATCAAGATCACGATGAAGATAAACGTCGAAAAGTTAAGAACTATGTTGATAGTGATAACATCCCTCAGAGGAACAGAAAAAAACAGAAAAAATATATTCTTGTACAGAATAAACGAACATATGGTGGTGAACAGTACCACGATGCTGTCGATGATTATAAGAAATTTACACACAATATGTACAGTTCCTCTCTTTTCAGAAATCATAATAATGGGGCCTGTCTAAATTCGATTAATGATCTAAAAAGAAAGAACAGTAGAAGAGGAATGCAACACCATAGTTCTCCTTACGTGAAAAAAGAATACCGAATTCGGAAGAATTACGAAAGGTATGTAGAAACAGAATCAAATATGGAAGACATGAATGAAGATGTAATCGAGAACGAAGAAAAGATGACAAAATATATAATCAAAAATGAAATAAAGGAAAAAATAAGGATAAGAAAAAGAAAAAAAATACATTCAGTCTATTTGATGTACGAAAAAACGTACAAAATAAACAAGGAAAAATTAAACACGTTCTATCTGTTTTTACAACTTATAAAGAATATAAAGCATGAATATGTTATAAATCCGAAATATTTTGAAGGGCATGGAGAAATATATCTAAGTTTAATTCCAACGGATCATGGACATCTTCCTTTTTCTCGATGTTTCTCAAGCTGGGGTATTCAAAGAAGAAGTGAAAAGGAGTTTGAAGAATGCCTACCAAAATTAAGTATCTTTGTCACTTTGAAAAATATTAAAATAATATTTTCAGATAAGCAAATATTAAATTTTGTAAATTGGATCAACTTAAATTTTTTTACCTACGCCATTTGGAAAGCCGGCATACTATCCCAGTTTGAGAAATCTAAGGCAGACAATAAAGACGAAGTTATGTATATAAACAAATGGGTTCTAAAGCTATTAGATACGCATAATTCCAAGGAGGAAAAATTAGATGCAGAAAATTTCTGTCAAGAATTTGAAAACAACCATTCGATAAACATAATTAATTTGTTGCGAAGTAAGGCCTTCTGCAAATTGCAAGAATTTAAAAAAGAGGTCGAAATCAAAGATAGCGATTCGGTAACGAAAAATGTAACATCTGAAGTTTCAAAGGACAAAAATAATTCGAATATTAAGGGTACCAATTGGTTTGAATCTAAGGGTGAAGAAACTCCTATAAATGAGGACAAGCAAATAATAGGTGGTATCAAAACAGATAACGAACTCAAACAAGTGGCTAACGAGAGTATACACGTCTTAAAAAATTTAATGAAAAATCAAAATGTATATAACAAAATAAAAAACTCATTTCGAGAAAAAATATTCACCATAGATATTTGCATAGATATTTGTATAATTAATAGTACCTGCTTATTAACTGTCGAAACATGTAAACAAGTAAACACAAAAACAGTAAATTTTGTTAAGACATATGCGTTGCTAATGCAATGTATCCATTACCATAATCAGATATCAAATACGCATGAATTGAAAAATTCAATAGATTTAGAATTATATCCACTAAGTTTGTTACTCATTATCAAAAATTTAGACAATAAGTACATAAAACCTGATATAAATGTGTTATATATATTAACAAATGAAAATATGAAAGATAATTATCAAAATTATCAAAATAAATTTTTATTCAATGTAGATAATTTCGAATTTTTAAAAAAGTATAATATATTAAAAAAAGAAAATATATACAAGAATGATGATATAAAATCAAGAGAACAAAGTGATACTGTAAATTTTGGTAGTATAAGACAAAAATTAAAATTTTTGGTGGAAGACAATTTTTTTTTTTTAAAAAGAGAAAATAATACATATTGTGAAGAATTAAATAATATCATATTATCAGATCCATCCATATATCTCAGATACGATAATCAGTCATACACCATATTAGAAAAACCTGATCATCGACTATTTTTACATAATTGTGCATATTCTATATTTAATATAAACGGAGAAATAGTGAATTCCTTTATTGATGATTATTTCCATTTTATTGATATGAGGGAAGTTTTATCCAAAAAAAAAAAACAAACTGTTTCATTTAAAAAAAAAGAATATTTTCTACAATTAGGAGCTAAATATTGTAACGATATTTTAGATACTTACACAAGATATTCTAACATTTTCTTGGATGTACAACTAGAAAAAATGCTATCATTTGTTATTACCAAGTCTGGAAAAGATTCAGAAGTACAGGGTTATAGTTTAAATCTTAATCCCATCAAAATAGTTAGCCAACTGACACAGAGAAGGGTATCATACGATAAATCTGTTACCACTAAAGATGTATATGACTCTTTCTATGTGCAATTTGATGGCATAAAGGTAAGAAGAATTCTTAACTGGGATCATGCTGCTAGAAATTATCAAACTTATCTGGATGCAAATTTTATAAGACCCTATAGAAATTTATTTAATCCAAAAAATGAAGCTTCTTTTGCACGAAAAAATGATGCCCCTGATAAATTTTCTTACAAATTAATTCAGATGAAGCATGCAGGAAAATATTCCTATAGAGAAAAAGGCAACCTGAGAAGAAGATCTAGGGCTGACAGTGACGGAATTTTTTGTAGCAACTCAAGTAACAACAATGATTGTACTCATCATTATGATCTCCTACAGCATAATCGAGATAATGATAACAGCCTCTATAATTGCAGTGATGGAAATAAGTCTGAAATATATAATTTGAAAAGAAATGTGAATTATCTCAATAGTGAATGTTCTTCTATTACAAATTATGAACAAAGGAAGAGTAATAAATCATTTAGATCTACAAGTTGCCCAACTGTGAAAAATGCAAAAGATGTTTCAATAGATAAAACAACTGTAGATGAGGAAAATGGAAAGAAAGGAACATCATATGATATTAACGTGCTTAAGGGAATGTACTGTGTTGACAAAAGACACAGTTCTTTTTTTTTCAAAACTTGTGCAAATGAATACCAAGAGGAAGAAGAAATACTTGAAAATCCATTATTATTTGAAACGTATAAAAAATCATGGAACTATGATACAAACTATGATAAAGGAATAAAAAATGTTCATTCCTATTTTAATAAAGATAATAAAAATAACGAAAACTTAAGCAATAAAAACTCGAATTATGTATTGTCCATGAGTGAAAGGGCATCATGCACAATTCATCTTTGTCATATAAAATTCAATCCAACTTTTCCCATGTTTATTGTAAAACTGAATGAAGAAAATTTATATATCAATATCTGCGATTATGATATTGAATTTTTCTTCCTAATTTTTTCAGACATATATGAGCATTACATTATGCAGAATATGGAAAATAAAAAAGAAAATATTCTCTTTTTAAAAAAAAAAATTAAATCTATATACAAATTGAATAAGAAGTATTATAAGTTCTACACCAATATGAATCATGGCAAAATGGATATACCTCAATTTAGAAAATATAACAGTGCTGAAATTAATCATAACGAAAAACTTTCTCGAGAGATGAAAAGCACACGCGATGTTACTATTGACAGTTCTGCTCCGGTTACTGATATTTCTCTTTCCATTTCTATTTCTAGCTGCAGTGAAAAAATAAGAAAAAAAAAAAAAAAAAAATTCAAAGCAGGAAAATTCAAGAAAAGAGAACACAACACCAACAGAGTGGTTTCGCAAGAGGAAATCACAATTCATGATAAAAAAAAGAAAAGTAAAAAAAATGAGAAAATTGCAATCCCCTTTCGGGAAAAGAAGTCTGCCGATCTGAAATTAACACGATATAAAAAATATCAATCAGAAGAACTCATTAAAAGTCCAAGCAAGAAATATACATTTGAAAAGACATATGGATGTCATAAGAAAAATACATATAGCACTTACCTAAGCGACAGTCAAGTAAGAACAACAAAAGAACTGTCGATATTAAAATTAGAAATCGATTTGGATAGAAAATATAGAGAGCATGACACTCACACTAGCTGGGAAGATTATTCAAATCACTATGAAAGCAAGGAGCGGGTGGGACAAAACAGATTTAATTCAATAAAGAAAAGATGGAAAGAGGGAAAAGAAATATGTAAAGATGAATTGGATGGAATAAACAAATGTTGCGAAGAAAAATGTCAGAATGTAAGCGAATTAGGATTTTCCTTCACAAAAATAAGTGAACAATCCAACCTCTCAAACTTCATGAATAACAGAAAAGATAGTAACGTGAAAGAAAATTACTATTCCAGTGCTACCTCACCTTCTTTTCCAAATAGACATGTCAGTACTCTAGAGAAGGAAAAACAAATGGAAGGGGGAAAAAATAAATTAGAAAAAGATAACAAAAAAAAAAAAAAAAAAAAAAAAAAAAAAAAAAAAAAAAAAAAAAAAAAAAAAAAAAAAAAAAAAAAAAAAAAAAAAAAAAAGGAAAAAAAAAAAAAAACAAAAAAAAGAAAAAAAAAAAGGAAGGGGAAAAAAAAAAAAAAAAAAAAAAAAAAAAAAAAAAAAAAAAAAAAAAAAAAAAAAAAAAAAAAGGAGGAAACAGATAAAATAGAACAAACGATGTATCATTACGGAAATGTTAAGGGAATGTACCTACACAAGGATATCTCATCAGATGATGATTCCTGGATTGACTTGTTGGAAGAATATGATAGTGACGAATCTATTGATGATAATGAGAAGACACAAGTGAAAAAAATGTTAATAGATATAGAGAATATTAAAAAAAGGTTATCTCATAACAATTTTACCATTACATGCAGTTTTTCACTTTCCATCAAAAATATATTTATTAGACTATGGAAAAGGAAAAGCCCTTTAAGAAGACAAAATAAATCGAATGGATTTAGAAGTTTTACCACATTTCATTTAGCAGAAAATGATAGATATATAGGGAATAAAAATTCCTCCATATATGGAAAAAATAAAAGTAAGGTAAAAAGGAGCATGAAGCAAGATGGTTATGTAGATGTTGAAGAAGGAGAGGATATGATGTATAATATAACCAGTTCATTAAGAGAACACAAAGTGAATATGTTTCAAAAAAAAGATAAACATAATATTATGATGGAAGTCGATGAAGACGATTCATTTTGTAATGAAAACTTCATTACGTTAAATGAAAATTTGCAAAAAAATATGTTCAACAATATGCAATATGCCATTCCTCTCTACACCTTCGTCCTTTCTGAAATATTTTTTGTTGCAAAAATGGAAAAAAATAATTTCACATATATTTTATATTCTATGAATGGTGTAGATGTAAGAGATGAGACCAACATTACCTTGCTAAGTATGAGTTCCATTTATCATAGCGAATCAAAATTCACTGATCATGGAGGGTTCACGGACAAGAGGTCCCAGATATTCACTAAGCCTAAATCAAGCAACTTTGCAAAAATCCACAATGAAGAAAATCAAAAGAAATTAGAAAAATTAAACGAATTGGAGAAGGTGGGAGACTTGCGTTACTCGGATAAATCTAGAAACCTAAAAACGGGAGGAGGCTCAAAAAATGGCACTGCCAAAGAAACAAAGATGAATGCACATAGAACAGAAAAAAATATCATGATTGAAACGGAGGACACCTTTTTAGATTATTCAATAAGTAGTGTAGATTTACCAGACCTGGAAAAGACACATCTTGTATTACTATACTTTGGCTACCTGTTTAAAAACAACCACACATTCAAATTCATCTTAAATGGAACAAAGGTCAAAATATTTTGGGAAATTATAGATGAGTTCTTAACATGGGTATTAAATATAAATGAACTTTTACCTAAAATAAACACAATTGAAGAAGATATAACTCGAAAATTGGACGAAAGTGAAGATATTCATTTGAACTTTTTGCAAAAGATACAACATATTAACTATGATATTATCTGTTTTAAGCATAGTAATACTATTGTTTCTGGAAAAGGTACTTACAAAATTGCTATTGGCAGTTTGATAAATTACTACAGTATGATGTTTCAATGCAATGAAATAGAAAATAATCAAAGTGATGAAATAAACGAAGCGTTTGGATATGCAAACGAACGAGATATATCATATATAGATACAGATGAGGATCCAACAGATAAATTTTACCTTATAACAGATGACAAATCACTATGCTGTAGTCAGTACAACACAATCATTAGTGATAGCAAGGATGATGTTCATGCCACTTTGAAAGAAATGCTATTTCATGAGAATTATTTTTTTAATTATATTTTTAATAAAATAAATAAAAAAAAAAATGTCGAAAAAATTTTGAAAGGTCACAGTGTAAAATATGATAATTACAACGAACTGAATAAAACAAACAAAGAGGGGGAAAAAATATATTATCAAAATAATCCCCAATCAGTAATCCATAGAAAATGTGGAAAAATACAAACTCCAAATGATCAACCATTAGAATGTGAAAACGATCCATATAATAATAACTATTTTCAAAATAGAGAAAAGGAAAATACACGAATTAACTACTTGGATGAATTGGAGGACAACTGTTACGAGTGCCTTCATTTGAAGAATCTAAATTACACTGCTTACACAAAAGAAGTATGTAAAAGTAAAGCATATCCATACGTTCATGTAGACATAGAAATTAATTACTTCGAATGTTGGGTATCTTTAGATCCTATTAGAATTCCACAAAAAATAAAAAATTCGCACCCATTAAACGTTAATGGGAATAAGATATATTACGACAACGGAAACAATATTAAAAGCAAACAATTGAAAAAAAATAGTATACCTTACAATATAAAAGAAGGAAAAAAGAGATCAATTACTAAGCGAAGAATAAAGGGTTATAATAAGGAAAAAATCAGGAGGAAGAAGAATATACCCTTCAGTAGCTATGAACAAAAAGAAAGTGATATTTACTATGGTGGAGAATATCCAGATGGCGAATGTGACATGAATTATGGTGAGGAGGAGAAAAAAAAAAAAAAATTCAAATTTCGAGAAAAGGTGAAATGGCACAAAAACACCAACATAGATAAGCCCTATGTTTTGGTCACAAAGGGGTGTCTAAAATCTGTGATATTCTTTTTATTATATAAGGAGTGTTTACAGGTGAAGGAGGAGAGTAGGAAGGAAGCAAAAACGGATACGTATGACTCTCGTGACTATCGTTATTGTGGTGATTATGGTGATCAGCGTGATTACCTTGGGTATGGGGAAAATTTCTTAACTGTTGAATGTGTTGGTGATAAGGACAGCTCTGAAAGTGAAATTCAATTGGCTGTCGACATGCACGAGCAGAGAAAACGATACACGAAGAAACTTCCCCCAAGCAGCATAACAAATCGAATGAGTCAAACAGTTAGCAACAATTCCAGCAATTCGGAAAGGAGGAATAATCTTAATGAACAAATGGAGGTATTAAGAAATAAAGTGATACATGTAATGGATCATTCAAATTTAAACAACGTCTTAGATGTGAACGATTTTCTAAGAACTAAATTTATGCAATGGATTAATCAGCTATCATCATATCTTCCATGCATAGTAAATATGAATATATTTCTTTCTCAAATTACTAGTGCTATTAGCAAACCAGTAACAAAAAACCCATTTTTAAAGGCCTACATCGATTGGAACAATGTGCCGTATAGTAACATTCTTCTACAACCTTGTAGAGTAAATTTAAATTTAGAAATGAAGATACCAAGTCCTGAAATATTGATAGAACGATTTTTAGGGATAAATAGAATAACAAGTTTAAAAATTGCAAAGAAGGATAATATTATTTATCAAAATGAAGTGGAAGGAATAAATATGAATTTTTCCTTCGAACCTATAATTTTGAATGTTGATTCAAATACATTAACCTTACTAAATCAGCTTGGTAACATTATGTTTGAGTTTTCAAATTATTTTATAAATTTATGTTCATCAAAGGAGAATGAAAAGGAGGAGGAGTTCTTACTAAGGGTTAACTCTTCTCATGATCATTTTTACGATAACGAATCTGAACACATGATCGATGATAGATTCTATTTCAACGTTATGAATACATCTACAAGTGCCATGTCTAGCGATTATTCTCTGGGAAGCATAGAATCACCAATTTCTAATCAGAACAATTTGAAAAAAAATTTTAGATCACTCAAAAAAGATGAACTTAGTAAACTCTTCGTTAGCTTCTGTTTAAATTCTGAAAATAAAAAAGGATCCAAACAATTCCACCAAATAAAACCATTAGGGGATGGGAATTGCCAAGGGGTGAATAGATTCGAAACCATAAAAAATGCAATAGCTAGGCAAAACGGAAAGGGCCAATATGACCAAAGGGATATGTGCAAAAGGAACGATGCTTCGAACGGGAAACCGAATGATGCACCGAGTGGGGAGCTGAATGATGCACTGAATGATGATCCGAATGATGCACTGAATGGTGATCCGTATAACGAACCGAATGATGCACCGAACGGTGAACCAAATGACGATCCGAATGATTATTCGAATATTACGACGAATACTGAAACGAATGTCGAATCGAATTGTAAGTCAAATGACGAAGAGTTTTTCCTGCATGATTCGAAAAAGAGCATTGTGAAAAACAAGAATGATCATTTTACACAGAAAACCATGCATGAGCAAACAAAAAGCCAAACTGAATATCTATTAGACACGAGTATCGTTAACATGCTAATGATGAATTTTATAGAAAATGTAAAAATAAATTGCAACGTCAATTTCGATGTTATCACATTACAGATATGGGATTCTAACACAGCTTACAATAGGTGTTCTTTAAATTTTGTTATTGAATACATCTATTTCCATATGTATTCTTTAAATGTTTATGAGCAAAATGTAGGAAAAGAAAAAATACAAATGTTTGACGAAAAAAAGGAAATCTCCTCCTATGGAAGTAGTCATAAGTACGGCACTTGGCCAAATGCCCTCTGTGTCAACACCGGTTTCTACAAGGAAAATCCTTCATATATCAGTATGGAGACCAATCAAAATTGTTCAAATCCTATTCGTAAAGAAAAAAATTCTCATAATGTTGTATCAAAATATGAAGAATTTGTTTTACGAGAAAAACCACAAAGTACATGGTTCCCAAGTACACAAAGTACAAAAGTTTTTTCCTTCGCTCCTAACATGAAGTGCACAAAAGAGATAAATAAAAGAGAAATGTTTTCTTATAGTAAAAGTGCTGTAGAATGTTTGAATAAAAAGGATTCAGAAAAATATAAGGGCATAGTAAGAAACGCAACAATGGTGCTGAACAATGTGGAAAATGCTAACCCTGATAATCAAGTTGAGGAAATACACCCAATCGTAAGGAATCAAAACTATGAAAGGAATTTTTTACCAGATTCAATCAAATACAAAGAAGAAGGAATTTCAAATAGGGTTAAGAAAGATCAGAGGGGATGGAAGAAATTATTCGATAGGAACAATTTTGTAAGAAATATAGAACAATTCAATGGAGAAATAAAAAAACTTTTGCATAAGATTTTTGTTAAAAAAAAAGCAGAGACAGAAATGGATCAAGATGAAAATAGATTAAAAAATAATTCTGCAATAGTAGAAAATAATAATAAAAAATATAAAAATGTTAATAACAGATTTGTAAATAATGAATTTATGTTTAATGATATAATAAATTACAATGAAAATAAAAAAAGTAAAAATGTGGAATGTAAAGTAGAATTTTTAGTATACTGTGAAAATTTTAATAAAAAAGAAAATTCATATCAAACTTTTATAGAACCTGTAGGAGTAGAAATAATAGCTGTAAAAAAGGATTTTACTTCACCAATACATTTATATTACTACTTTTCATGGATAAATATTAACTTCAATTTTAACTTTCTTGATAATATTCTGTCTCTCTGCTGCAGCATCATTTTTTCCATAATTACACAAAGAACACGTTTACTATTAGGAAGACATATAAACGAATTAGACAAAAAACAAAATCAAAGAAAAGTTCTTCAATCAGGAAAAAACGAAAAAAATGAGGATCTTTCATCTAAAAATGTGCATATAAATCATTTAATATATCAAACGGAATGTGATGAAAACAACACGGAAAAGAAATATGTAAGCGAAATGGATGACACACACACATCTATGTATTTTCCTAATTTTTATGGAACCATGAATGATGAAAAATACAAAGATGTAGCTATTTTGACAAATGATAACATCCTTTTTAGATATAACAAATTTAATGTTTTAAACAGTGTTAACAGATCCCTAGATACATACATATTTGGAGAATTCATTTTGGAAAAATTACTTCGAAATTACCAGTATTCTTGCCAATATCCAGGTGATTATTTAGCAAAATATGAAAATGAATTTAACGTGGATAGATCTGATGCCCCTTCGGAGCAACTACTTCACATTAAATTATTTAACTATATTAAGAGGAAAAAAAGACTTGAAATGAATAACATTTGCAAAATTAATAATTTGCTTGGTCAACCAATTGCTATATGCACCATACGTAAGAAAGGGGATCAGCACAATGATGATAGGGATAAAAATTATATGCATCCAAATAACAGCAGCATGATTGGAGAGAAACGATATTTTGATGCTAAGAACAATGTCTTATTAGGCACTATCGATAAGATATCAAAGAGGAATTTCATGAGAAAACGTCTTGATCAGAAAAACAATTTTACAAATTCCAGTATGAGAAGTAGCGATAAAGGATATTACACATCGGTACCCCAACATGCATCCTATGATAAGAAGAAAAAGAGTTGTAACTATAGCCATGTTGGAGAAGAAGAAAAAGAAAAGGAAGTCGAAAAGGAACAGGAACTTGAAGTAGAGAAGGATGCAGAGAATGAAGCAGAGAATGAAGCAGAGAATTCTTCCAATCACAATGATATGAAAGCAGAATACACAGACACATCTACAACGAATAGTAGAAATTCCCTCAAGTATCAATGGAAAATAATAGCCAATAATGAATCGCTAGATTTGCCAACGTACGATAATGGAAAAGTAATGTTCTTCCTAATTCGATTTAGATTACTTAACTATATTTATGATATTCCATCCAGTATACTTAACACAGAAAATGAAAATGAAGATGTCATCAGGTTAGTTATTCCAGAAAGAAGATTGCCACCAAATATAAATGAACAAGTAGAACAGGAACTATATAACGAACAGTTATTAGAAATGGAAAATACTTCCATTGATAGTAATTATCACACGATATATCCAAACAATTACATCTCACAAAATTATAATAATACAAATAAAGAAGAAAATTGGAAGTCTACGAATATACCTCAACCTAGGAACCATTTATTTATATTTTTTCGCACAAGTAGTAGAGTTAGTCATGAAGAAAAACAAGAGTATGATTTTTTTATATCATCCATAATAGCTGTTAAGAATAATACTGATTTTCCACTCTACATATTCAAATCTGTACCTGGAAATGCTCATAGAAATGGTATTTTTAAAGAATATTTTCATAAATACAACATGATACCTTCCCCTCCACCTACGTATACCTTAAAAATTGATAAGAAAATTGAAAAATTTATTGAACATACTATAACAGCTAATAACGTATTCAATGATGAAAAGAAGAAAAAGAAATCTATTAACAATTATGAGACACAAAATAACTTAGTACACAAAGTGAAAAACATACACAATAGCTCCTATCTTCATAGTGGAAATGAAAAAGAAAAAACAATTAACTATATTCAAAAAAAATCCTATTTATATGGAAGAAAATATATTAAAAATATATTTCCACTGATGAAATTATCTTCCGTAGAACATTACATTTCCGGGGATATCAAATTTAGTTCTTTAGCACCTTTGAAATATAAAAAAAAAAAAAAAAAAAGAGGAAAAAAAAGCAAGTTAAAGTATGAATTACAAAAAAAATTTATCAAAAAAAAAATTAAAGAAATATATCTAAAAAGGGTTTATAAAAAAACGAGACATAAAAAAATAAATAAATACGAAAATGGACAATTTCCTAGTGAAAAATTTTTGCACAACCATGGACGTGGAAATCCATACAGAAATATAATGTCCATAAATGATTCCTTTTTCAGTTTTGCGAAAAAATCTTCTACATTATCTGTCTCTTCTTCTACAAGATCTGTTTTATCACCCATTGGTAAGAAACTTACAAATGCATCGATAACAATTACTGATTTTTCGAACATTACTGTGTCATCATTGTCCAGTTCTATCTTTTCCATAGATAGCACACAAAGTAACAGTTCTGTATATGGAAATTCTTTATACGATTATGATAAGGACAATTCTGAGGAGCAAGGTTTACTAAACGAGTATTTTAAAAGTCAACAACTGAATCCACAAAATAGTTTGGATCTGATAAAAATACCAAATAATAGCAATAAATTAATTCCTATACCTTTATATTGGCTGGTAGCAGAAAATTCATTCATTTGGATATCAATACAGAATGAAAGAATTTATAAAAATGATTTATACGAATTTTTGAATGACAATAAGAATGCAGATCTTATATGTGCAAAAGGTACCTTAGATAATATGCTAAATTATCAATCTCCTTTTTTTGCTGATAAGTCGAAAGTATTCAAACCTTATTTAATTAAACTAAAAAATCATTTACAAAATGAAAATAAAATATTAACAAAAGGAGAAAATAAAAATAATGAAAATTTAATGAATAATTATAATTTAAATTATATTAATTTGAAAGAACTCTATTTCACTTCTACCATTATTAGTGTCTATAATCCCAATTATGTATTGCATAAAAAAGATGCTCATAATTTTTTCCAGATAAATATCGATCACGCATTAATGATTAATAATGGCTTACCAAGAACAATGTATTTAAATTATGAAATTATAGAAACCGAGTCTACAAAGATTCTAAAAAAGAGTTCAAGCATATATACAGATAATCCATCACAAGAAATATGTAACATTCAGAAGGTAGCACAATCATGTAATCAATCTTTATCAGTAGATGATTCCTGTCTTATAAAATCTGAAGACAATATATTTGATCAATGCTCTTGCATTCAGGAATTTACTTCTGGTGAAAATTTTATGTCTTGTGAACGACCCAACCCAAGTCAAGAGTGCACAATGGAACAAACATTTTCTTGCAATGAAGATGATACACAGGAAGGAAGGGAAATAAACTCAACACATGATAACCATGAAGGTGGAGATAATACTCAAGAAGAGGGGATGAGGGGAAAAGGTGAATTTTTTACACAGGGAGGCATGAAATATGAACAGAAATATGGACAGAAAAATGCGCAGAAATATGCGCAGAAAAATGATGGACAAAAAAGTAATGAACAAAGAAAAAGCATCATCTTTACAGAGGAGCCGAATAAGCAAAATGATAACAAAATAAAAAACACACTTGATGGAGAACTAAATTCAATGAATGATAAAGAAATATTACTCAAAGATCTAAATAATGACAAAAACGTGTTTATATATAAAAATAAAAAAAAAGAAAATAATAAAGATGAAGAAAATATCCAGGACATGTCTTACATAGAAAGAAACAATTTTATAGTTCAAATAAAAAAAAATGGGAATAAGATTATATACGAAATAAAGATTAATCCAGGACAAAGCATCAAACTTCCATTCACTCCCCATAATGTAAATATATCATTTGATGGCTATAATTCAAGAAATATATCAATTAATTATCCTCATAAAAAAGGAAGAGAAAAAATCATACTTGAAAAGCAGATAAGTAAAGATATGGCTTCTTTCTTCTCTCTTGACTATGAGACGGAAGTACATCATAAAATGGAAGATGAGGTAGAAATATCAAGACATGGGGTGTATTCTAAAAGTCCCCAAAACTACAATAGTGGAAGTAATAGTGATGGACACAATTTCGATACTCAGAGGACCAATAATTTAGGAGGAACACTAGGCGATGAAAACAAGAAGGAAAAAATACATATAGGGAAGGAAAATATAAATTCTTTAACTGTATCAAAAGAAGAAATAAAAGATATCACAAATGATTATGCCGTTGTAGACATGGTGGATTGGACAAATGATAAAATATTACAAAAACGTGAAAATTATAAAACATCAAAATTTGAAGAACAACAAAAACAATTAACCATATGGGCCATATTTAATGAATACTATGAAACAGGAAGAAATAGATATCAAGATATCTCATTAGAGAAAATTCACCATGGAACGTATGCAGTATCATGTACCTTCTTCGTTTCTGCTTGTGTAATTAATAGATTAAACTATCCTATTAGTTTAAAAGTAATAAACAATGATAATACAATACATATCGAGCCATATGTTCGGAAATTATTGCCTTGTGAATTTTCCTTAAGAAGAAATAAAGTCATAATATCATATGAAACATTGAAAAAAGTAAAAAATTGGGTTAATTATCCTTCAAAGAAATTTATGATTAGAAAAAATAAATTAAATAAATCCAGAAATATTATGAAGAAAAATAGTGAAAAAATAGGAACTAATAATCAAATAATGGAGTATAAGAAAATAAATTCTAAAGTCGTAGAGATTTCCAAGTCGGAAGAAATAAAAAGTAACACAAGAATGGTGAATACGAACAAAACAAATAATTATTATCCAAGGAAAAAAAGAAAAAATATTTGTCTTTTTTATCGAACTAATGTAAATAAACCTCTCGAATCAGAAGATTTTAGAATAACAGATTTGTCTGTTACCAGATTGACTTGTTCAAGCAAAAATAAAAATAATCCACAATTAAAATATAGCATATATATGTCTATTGCACCTATGCCATTTTTTAGAACCACCGTTATGGAAATTTTACCTTACATCGTCATAATAAATAACACAAAAATGAATATCGTTTTTCAGGAATTTATTAAAAATTATACATACTTTAAATATAACACTTTAAAGCCAGGGGCATACGTCGAATTTCATCCACAATCCAAAAAAAAAGCTATGCTAAAAATATGTGGAATTTTTCATAATAAATTCAGCTATATGATTGATGATTATTTACAAAAAGAGTTATACTTGGAAAATTTGGAAAAGGAAAATGTTCATGTGGTTAATGAAGACAGGAAAAGTAAATGCCTTTTCACTAGTCGTGGTACAGGATCGAGCTATAATGTTCCCATAAGTCACAAAACAGCAGATATCCACTCTTTTACTTTAAAGAATAACATATCAAACATATCAAAAAAACTGAGTGTTCTTATGGATAAAGAGAAAGCAAAAAATCATATGATCAAGCAAGAGTTTTCTTCGAATAGCTTGTGCAGAACAGATGTTCAAAATTCAATTGATAAGGATCAAGCGGGAGAAGCACAAGTTGGAGAAGCAGAAGTAGGAGAAGTGGAATCAGGAGAAGCAGAATCAGGAGAAGTGGAATCAGGAGAAGCAGAATCAGGAGAAGCAGAAGTAGAAGAAGCAGAAGTAGAAGAAATATTAACGAATCTAAACTCCATTAAGAAAAATAATGTTTTGAAAAAATATAAAAAATTGGATGATTTTAAATTTTTATATTGGTCTGAAGTGCTCGACTTAACTAGGGTTAGTATGATCTATTTTCGTCATCCGGTTGTATCAGATGATAATTTCATAAAGGAAGAAAAGAAACTTAAAAAACTTAATCAACTTTTGAAAATATATGGTAAAAATGATATTACCTATTTAAATATGTCGAATGAAATATTTAAGGAGAATATTACACCATATGAATACACATGTTGCTCAATGGAAATATCAACCTATAAGGGATGCAAATTTGTGCGATTTCAAGATATAGATGTTGTTCCATATTATTTATTAAATTTAACCAAGTACAATATCAAATTGAGACAGTTGGGTATATATGAACATTCTGAAGTCTTACAAAGAATTCAAAAAAAAAAAAAAAAGTCTTTTGATGAGATATTTAAAAATTATGCATTCAACTTTTCATTCTATAACCCCTACAAGGACCCCAAATTAAAGATCAGCATATATGTGTCAAATAAAAAAAAGGAAAAAAATAAAAAAAAAAAGAAAAGCACAAAAAAGAATAATAAAAATAATAATTTGAAATATACAAAAACGCTAAAGATAAATTTAAAGAATGAATTAAATTATCTAAGTTTATTGGCTACCAATTACCTGAAGGACAATGAATATACAAAAATAATAAAGGAGAAAATCTTCCATTTAAAAAGATTTTCAGAACATGTAGAAAACTTAAATGATAGAAATGTTAATATAATAGATTTAGCCAACTCAAGTAATGTAACTCTGTTAAAATTGAAGCATGGAGATACATTTGTTTACATATTATGCACAAAGAAAACGTACAATGGGAAAACTATTTTTTCGTTCGAAAATTATGACGATTTGATAAGTAAAGTTTTGAATTTCAGAAAGGCATCCTTTAACCAAAAGAAAAATTACAATTTTTTAAAGTCATTCCACATGCTCATTCCAAAAAAAAAGAACGCAAAAGTGAGAAGTAGAAAAAGGAAACAGAAAAAGAAAATGAAAAGCAAAAACGAGAAAAATACAGAAAAGGAACATCATTTTTTCAGTCTGTCGAACCGCGAAGAAATGAAGAAGAGAAGATTAATTCCAAATGGTTGGCAACTACTTAACCTATTTAGAAAAAAAAGTACAACACGTTCGATCGAAAATGGACCAAGAGTAACCCAAATTATTAGAGAATTATATGAGAAAAGAATGATGAATAGACAGGAAAAAAAAAAAAGTTCACTGAATTTAAACATATTTGCACATTTTATATTCAAAGGATTAGGATTGAGTATTAACAAGCACAATTTAGAAGAAATTTTATATTTTTCCATGGAATATATATTAATAGTTTATAAACAAATAACTGACAAGGATTTATTTCATATAAATATTGGATGGCTGCAAATAGACAATCATACCAAGAACACAGATTATAAAAATGTTTTATTACCAATTGTAGATATGAAGAAAAGTAATCAAGAACAAAATTCTACTTATAATGAGGAAAATAATTTCTCATATAACAAACATGGCACATTTGAGAAAAAAATATCTAAAGAAGATATCACTACTGTTTACAGCGCGAATATGAGTAATTCAAATGATATTTTTTCTCAAGATATTAGAAATGAAAATAAATTGTCAAAAATTAATTCAAGATATACATTAACCCCATTAGAACATAATAAAAGTAAATCATATGATGATTACTCCTATTTCGAAAAAGAGAATCTGTTAATCAATCCAAATATGAATAACCCTTTATCTAATTCTTATAAATTCTTTGTTCCATCCTTTTTCTATTCACAACATAATTCTGTGTTGAATATAACTATAATTAAACAGAAAAGAGGGAATATGAAAAATTTTTTGGAATTATCGGAAGTCAACATAAAATTTTCTCCTATGAGTATAAATGTTGATTCTTATTTTATTATTGAAATTTTGAAAATATTTGATGAATTATTAAAAATTCTAGAATTTGATCTAAGTAATTATAATTCTCTCAATTTGGAAAAAAACATAGAACTACGTGATACAGATTATGATAGTTTGGAGTACAAGCAAAACATAGGTCCAATAGAAGAGTTAATAAAGCATTATATTTTAAAAGATTATTATTTATATGAACAAATAGCCAACTTCAAATTTAATATTATGAAGAATGATGAAGAGAAATCAAAAGGTATTCCTACTGATGGTAGCAATGGAAATACCATATTTACTCCAAAAGAATGCTGCAACAAATCGGACTTGGATATGCCAGATGTGAAAACTTACCTCACGATGATAAATGAATACAAAAATTGGAAACACCAAGGAGATAATTATGCCCTTGTGAACAATAAAGAAAGGGCTAATTTAGATCTTCTTTTTGGACAATTATATGAAAAGAACGTGGAAATTTTGGGAATCCCTGAAAATGAGGAAAATGTAGAAAATGAGGAAAACGATCGAATTAAGCATATCGAAAAAAATGTTGTATTCAGTTCGAATCACCACGACTCGTTGCGCAAGATTGAGCCAGAAAAATCCATATCAGGAGAAGAAAAATTGAATTTCCAAATCACCAATGTTTCTAAACCACAATTTGCAGATAGACACAGTGAGGAAAAAATAGTATCGAAGAAACATATATTAGCTAATAGTAAAAAAAAAAATATCGTAAAAAAAAATTACAATATTTATTTTTTTAACGAAGAAAAGCTGAAGTATCTACAGAGCTGTGAAAAGTATTACAAGAAGATATTAAATAATAGAAAACGAGTTTTAAAAAAAATTCAGAATATTAATTTAAAAAATAATTTAATAAGTTTTGATAAAATGTTTATATCCAAATTAGAAATTGATGAAATTAAATTAATTATTAATATAAAAAATAGAAGTTTAAGTTATGACAAAAAAAGTGAAATAATAGAATCAAATGTAATGAACGCCTTGATTGTTCTTATCATGAATATACCCAACATTAGCGATGCACATTTACATTTTGAAAAAGAGATTAAAAAAAATATGTGTGGTTCTTTGCATGGCTTAATATTTAATGAAATTATGAATGATTACATAAATCCAGGAATGAATCAAATGTTTAACGTTTTAGGTGCTGTGGATTTTATTGGAAACCCATTAATAATTTATAAACATTGGAAAAAAGGATACAACACTTTTATTAAAGATTTAAAGAAAAGTTTTGATTCATGTTCTTTTCCTTTTCTATTTTGTATATTATTACTAAACATACTTGGTCGGTTTGGAAAAAGTTTATTATCAGGAATACTCGAAGGTGTAAGCAGATTATGTGGTAGTTGGAGTACCTGCTTAGAAAGATTTTCAAGAAATGCAGATAATTTTAGTATCGTTACAAATAGTAACATTTTACAAAATGAAATTCTAGACCAACCATCCAACTGTGCTGAAGGAATAGGCTATGGCTGTCAATCATTTGTAAATATTTTAACTATCAGCTGTGTCAATACAATTTATAAACCCTTGATTGCTATAAAAAAAAGTAGAGATTTTCGAAAAAATGAAAAAGACAAGTTTAAGATATTCCTGTTATCCATGAAACTTATATTATACGGACTTTTCAGCGGATTTAGTAGCTTATTTTTCGGATTTTTCAATAGTATTCTTTCCTTTTTTACTTTTTTGTTTATGGGCACATTAAATCAAATACAAACATTAGCTATGAAATCTGTTGTAAGACCAAAAAAAATGAGCATAGTTAAGGAATATGCAAAATTTGTTAACTATGAATATCCACTATCATTTTCTTATCACATCATAAATGAAAAAAAAAAAAAAAAAGAATTTTTAAAAAAAAATATTATAGCTATTATCCCTTTATATTCTATCAAAGACAATAATCCTTGTAATGTAAAAAGCTTTCTTTGGGTTAATAATAAAGAAGTGGGATATTCTCAGAAGGATAAATTATTATGGTCTCTATACATTAATTACATCATTAAAATTGACATTCTGCTAATTCAGATGGATAATGGACAGGGCAAAAAAAAAAAATCCATATTAAATCGAAATAAAAACAAAATAAAAAGTAAACATTCAAATTTCAGCACTAATTCAAATGCAAAGGAAGAAGATCATCAAATTAAGAGCAGATGGAATTTTCAAAGTATTTTCAACGCGCAAAAATATAGGCAATTAGGTGAATTAAAACCTTCATATTACATAAGGATACTTTACAGATCCGTGTATAAGGTAAAAAGAACACATCGAAAATCAAAATTGAAGCACTTCTCCTTAAGGAAAAAGGACGATTCGAACCACAGAATGAAGAAAATATTGAGAAAAAATACTTATGAAAAATATTTCGAAAAGGAATTCAAGAATGAGCAACTAATCAACCACGATGCTGATCAGAGCGATGATTACTGCAGTGACGATAATCCTAAAGCTGGTCATAAGGATTGTCATAAATATAGTCATAAAAATGATAACATTTGCACGGATAAGCAATGTGATCATGGGAGACCTTCGAAATTGAAGGAGAAAGACAAGATGTACCACAAAAACAATGCCTATGACATGAAAAAAGATGAGAAAAGGTCCAAAAGAACAAATACCAATAAAGGAAATCGTGAAGGAGGGAATACACAATGTGATAGATATAATGACCATGAGATAGAAAAAAATTACCCAAAAGGATGTCGAAGTGAACGTAGGGGAAAATTGCAAAATATTGGTGATTATACATTATCAAATGATGAAATAAGAAAAAAAAGGGATTTAAAAAGAAAAGGAATTTATCCATATCAACAAGATGCTGTGAACATTAATGATGATTCTAGAAATATAAATAAATTAAAACATAAGAAAATGCACGCAAAAAAGCATCATGTACATAAAAAGAAAAAATATTTATATATTTCAAAATTGGTTAAATGCGAATCGAAGGAAATTGCTCTTCATGCTTTTTCTCTTCTTCTATCATTTTTAATACATAAATCTCCATATTATTTAAAAACTGCAAATTAGACGCACGAACAAAATTGTACACTTCGCACATACCTTAGCATCTCAGAATTTGGACTTATAAAATTGGTATATATAAAAACTTAAAGAGAAAGAGATATATCTCGAGGATGTCAGATTATCACATCCTTGAGATGTACAAGAATTATATTTTAATGTATAATTCACAGGATATCGAATAACTGAGTTGTGCAAAAATGAACATTGCATTCAAATTACCACCTTTTCGGTGTTGACACTTTTGATTATTTTTATTTTTATTTTTCCATATTGAGCTGCAATTTAACATGCTAAATTTTATCTTTTTATTTTTAAACAATCTTCTATTTAGAACACATTCTGGAAAGAATGAAGAAAATGTGTTATTTTTACGTTTCATTATACAAGTATATATATATATATATATATATATGTATATGCATACATATACGTTTTGTCCATTTCGCATTTTTTTTTTTTTTTTTCAAATACTTGTCCGCTTAGCAGACTAGTTTCGGTTCATATTTTTAATCCTTTTATGAGTTTTCAAACTTTGTTATTTCATATAATAGACGTATAACTCTCCTATTCGTCAAACTCTTCATTTCAAAACAACTTAATTTGTGAACATTGTCAATGGTGAATTATTTTTTTCCTTGTTTTCTTTGTTATCTTTGTTAATTTTATTTCTACGTTATTTTAGAAAAGCTTTACTTAGCACATTATTTTAAAAGTTACATAAATTGTATTTTTTATTCGTATATGTTTTGCAATTAATAAATAGCCGACAAAAATTTAAATATTTTTAAAAATTTGCTTCACTTATCCTTCTATAGAAGTGGATAATGTGTGTAAGCTTCATGTTATTTTCAAGCTTTATTCGCACATCTTCATCCAACGAGGTATATATGACGAGAATATAAAACAAAATAGCCATAAATAACAAAAAAAAGAAAAGAATATCCCAGTTAGGTATTGCTAGTAGATCATTATAGTACAAAATGATATAAATCTTTTCATGTATTTGCCAAATTTTTGTAAACGGTGCAATACAAAGGGGAGAATATCACTTATATACATATTTTCTTTTTAAAGATCCATACACATTCATACTTTTAATATTATGAATACTTTTATGAAAAAAAAAAAAAAAAAAAAAAAAAAAAAATTAAAGCCATTCACAAGTAAGAGTTTCATTTTAAATTAAGCTTATTTTTTTCTCTACTTATTATTATTCTTCATATTAAGTACACTAAGGTATCATTTTTTAACCTATAGATGGTGTGTTTCTTTTACCCGACTTGTCTTATATTGTAAGGAAAAACATTAGTAAACCATTATTTACTTAAACCTTGTTTAATGAATATTTCTTAAGAGATAATTTAAGCTTTCTATACAACCCAGAACAAATTCATTCTTAAAAGAGTCTTTTATTTTATTTTTTTTTAAAATGTCAAGTGCTTAAAGAATTCAAAACTTTCAATAAAACTTTTGCACGAGGTAAAGAGAAGAAGAAAAAAAAAAAAAAAATAGGACAATAGGATAGGATGTTTCCAAGAATTATAAAAAAATATATGAAAGCATAATTTAATATATAAACAATGTGTATATAAGTGTTTATTTTATTTTATTTTAAAAAAAAAAAAAAAAAAAAACATAAAATGTGTACTAAGATATTTATTATGTATATATGTATATAATATACACACCATGAAATTGTGTTATTTGTGTATATATATTTCTGAACTGCAATAACTTTACATATAATGGGGGTTGTAGTTCCCACTTTTCAGTAAATTATTTTCTTAAGCAGATAAAAATGATACAGAACCACTGCTCTTATTGTTCATTCGTATAATTTCACTACTATTAAGTAACAAAGTTGTTTTGTTGCCTAAAGACAGTTAGGCAACTATGCATACGTTTTATAGTGGTTAAAACATTACACATATTTCTGCTGTTCATAAGAATAGTAAATGAAAATTGAAAACTCATTGTTCACCAAATGGGGGTTGTTAGCATGTACAACTAAATTCAGACATGTGTATATGAGTGCATTTTTATGCATATATTTATGCGTGCATTTTTACACATATATTTTTATACGTTTGTTTTTATATGTTCATTTATTCATTCACTTTTAATACATCCATTTATACATAATTAAAGGTATTCCTTTAATGCTTCCTTTTTAACATCTTTTTATTTTTCTTCTTTTTTCTTTTTTTTTTCCCATCTTACTATCCAAATTTATATAAAAAGTTCAAAATTTCTTAATTGGACGAATTAAAAAAGGGTAATTAGGGGCAACAACTTTCATTAAATAATTATTGCAAGGTGAAACAAAAGGTAAATCATAAATCAAAAAAAAAAAAAAAAAAAAAAAAAAAAAAAAATCCAGAAAACCAAAGCGAATGCAAAAACGAAAAAACCGTTGCTATTACTCCATAACACTACATTATTCATAAAATTCTCAAAAAAATGCACAGTTTTTTAAAAAAAAATTCCCTGCTGTATATTGATTATATCTACTTTTCTTCTTTTTACCTTCAAAACATGAAAAAAAACTTATTGCAATAGAATTGTGGTATATGAAAAAAAAATTTGACACAAATTTATATATCGTTTGTGACATTCTGTTAAACCTTGTAATTAATTGGGTGACTTTTTTAGTATTTTATTTTTTCATAAATATGACATGATTTTAAAATCATACCTTCGTTGCGGTTATATGCGACAATTTAATAATTTTTTTTTTAAAGGATTAAAAAAAAATTTTTTTTTTCTCCTTTTCGGAATAAATGCTATACATATATATATGTATACCTGCTATTTGTTAGTACTATTTATAATATATATACCAAAAGCCCATACCTCTTTTTTTTTTTTTGTCTTATATTATACGAATTGATGATTTATTATATGTACAAATATCAAAATACCACCATCACCAAAAAAACATTATTTTGTTGCAAAAGTATATACAATATAAATTTTCTAATTTTGCATTTAATTTTATCTTTTTTTTTTTTTTTTTTAAATACTTTTATTATAAAACGATAACATGCATATTTTTTTGACAAAATTATATAAAGAACATTAATTAATGGCATTTACTGTTAATGTTTTGAAAGTTCTATTTTTTTCAAATTCATTTTATACATTAAGAAAAGGTATGAAATGGGATGCATATACATATATTATACCCCCATTTATATGCTGTTTTTTTTTTTTTTTATTTATTTTTTTGCGTAATTGTTCATACCTGCGTTAACATTACTTATAATATGTTTTGTTATAACGCATTTACTATAGATTTTATGTAATGTATAAAAGTTATATATTTGAAGAATAAAGCCTATGAGGAAAAATCTTGTTTTTGTTTCTTCCTTTATATTTACATTTACATGATGGGCGTGCATTACTCTACATTTATACCTTTTTAGTGTTCCTATAATACAAAATATTACTACAACACATCAATCAATTTGACATTTTAGCTTTTGTGTTTTTGATTTTTCATAAATCATACGTGTTCTATGTATTTTTCTATACGCGTCTATACGCTTACTTAATCAGAAGGAAAAGAATTATTAAACTTTACTTGCCCTTCTCAGAATAAAGAAGTTACGAGTTTTATATCTCCTTTTTTTTTTTTTTTTTTTTTTTTTCATATAACAATTTGTAAAACCTATTTGTATATAATCATTAATGTGTCCCTTAACAAATTAATGTTCATAGTTTTATTTAACCTCTTCGATTTGTATATTTACCCATTTTATGAACCCATATACTTTTTGTGAATTTTTTTAAGTAATTGACCAAGTCAATCAATCCCAAGAAATAGAAAAAGACATAGTAATGAACAGAGTTTTAAATAAGTTTATCTAATGTCATTAACAGAATTACTAATGAATCTTCACATATGTAAATGGTAACACAAAATAAAAAATGGAAGGTGAAAAAATAAAATCAAATAGTGTTTCCAATTTTTCTATAACATATGAAAGAGAATCAGGGGCCAACAGCGACAGTGATGATAAAAGCTTAAGAAGTAGCGATAATGAATCAAACTCATTTATGAATTTGACTAGCGATAAAAATGAGAAAGCAGAGAACAATAGTTTTATTTTAAATAATAGTAGTTTTGCAAATATGAAAGATAGTTTGCTAGAATCTATAGATTTGAGTGTATTAGACTCAAACTTTGATTCCAAGAAAGATTTTTTATCCAGTAATTTATCAAAAAATTTTAACAGTTTATCGAAAGAACACCTGAGTAGTAAGTATTTAAATAAACTTTTAAATAAAAGTGATTCTATATTTATGTCTAAGAATAAAGACATGCATTTAATGGAAAATAATGTTGGTAGTAATAATATTCCTGTAAAAAATAACAACAAAAAGGAAGGATTTATGGATTCAACAACCCCTGTAAATGTGAACGAAGATAATGCAATAAATAATCTAAAAAAATATAGCAATGCTAATAATATAAATAATACATATGAAAAAAAAATAATCGAAACGGAATTAAGTGATTCAAGCGATTTTGAAAACATGGTAGGGGATCTAAGAATTACCTTTATTAATTGGTTAAAAAAAACGCAAATGAATTTTATCAGAGAAAAGGATAAGCTATTTAAGGATAAAAAGGAATTAGAGATGGAAAGAATAAGATTGTACAAAGAAATTGAAAATAGAAAATCCATAGAAGAACAGAAACTACAAGATGAAAGAAAAAAATTAGATATAGACATATCAAACGGATATAAACAAATTAAGAAAGAAAAAGAAGAACACAGAAAAAGATTTGATGAAGAAAGGCTAAGATTTTTACAAGAAATAGATAAAATAAAGCTAGTTTTATATTTAGAAAAAGAAAAATATTTTCAAGAATATAAAAATTTTGAAAATGATAAAAAGAAAATTGTTGATGCAAATATTGCAACAGAAACTATGATTGATATAAATGTAGGAGGTGCTGTTTTTGAAACATCTAGACACACCTTAACACAGCAAAAGGATTCTTTTATAGAAAAATTACTAAGTGGAAGATATCATGTGACTAGAGACAAGCAGGGTAGAATATTTTTAGATCGAGATAGTGAATTATTTAGAATCATATTAAACTTTTTAAGAAATCCATTGACAGTTCCTATACCTAAAGATTTAAGCGAAAGTGAAGCATTACTTAAAGAAGCAGAATTTTATGGCATCAAATTTTTACCATTTCCATTAGTTTTCTGTATGGGTGGTTTTGATGGAGTAGAGTATTTAAATTCTATGGAATTATTAGACATTAGTCAGCAATGTTGGCGTATGTGTACACCTATGTCAACTAAGAAGGCCTATTTCGGTAGTGCCGTTTTGAATAATTTTTTATATGTATTTGGAGGAAATAATTATGATTATAAAGCTTTATTTGAAACAGAGGTGTATGATCGTTTAAGAGACACATGGTTTGTTTCTAGTAACTTAAATATACCCAGAAGAAATAATTGTGGAATTACATCAAATGGAAGAATATACTGTATTGGTGGTTATGATGGTTCATCTATTATACCAAATGTTGAAGCCTATGATCATAGGATGAAAGCATGGGTCGAAGTTGCACCACTTAATACTCCAAGATCTTCATGTATGTGTGTAGCTTTTGATAGTAAAATATATGTTATTGGAGGAACAAATGGAGAAAGATTAAATTCAATAGAGGTATATGATGAAAAAATGAATAAATGGGAACAGTTTCCCTATGCTTTGCTAGAAGCAAGAAGCTCCGGTGCTGCCTTTAATTATTTAAATCAAATATATGTTGTTGGAGGTATTGATAATGAACATAACATTTTAGACTCCGTTGAACAGTATCAACCTTTTAATAAAAGATGGCAATTTTTGAATGGTGTTCCAGAAAAAAAAATGAATTTTGGTGCATCCACATTATCTGATTCCTATATAATTACAGGTGGTGAAAATGGAGATGTTTTAAATTCATGTCATTTTTTCTCACCAGATACGAATGAGTGGCAAATAGGACCACCACTACTTGTTCCCAGATTTGGGCATTCTGTACTAATTGCAAATATATGAATGTCATAAAAGAATTAAATAAAAAAAAGTGTTGGTTGTGTGTGTATGTTATACCATATCTTGGTTATTATAACACACTTTGTTTGACACGCATATCACTCCATATGTTTTTTTTTACCTATACAAACACACACACACACACACAGTTGTGCTTATTGATACATCAGATGGCAAATAAATATCATAGCATAAGGAACGACTTAAGAAATGGCGAATGATGATAATGCCTCATATAAGTATAGTAGAGAATATTTAATATATCCCCTTGCTGTTGAGAAAAGAAATGTCTGATTTTTACAGCTAGCAAACCGTAGATTGCACAGGTGTATATGTATACACTAGATACATAGATGGATGAACATGGAATGATGAAATTTTATTTATTTATTATTGTTTTTTTTTTTTTACTTTTTTATTTTATTTTCATTCATTTTTACTATAAAATTATGGCATGTATGTGTTACACGTATGTTTTACATGTACATGTTACGCGTATACCTTATATATTTTGATTTTTTTTTTTTTTTTAAATATACCTCATCAGTTTACCATCTCGTAATTATCTATAATGCATGACTATTAATTTTTTTTTTTTTTTTTTTTTTTTTAATTCCTTTTCTTCTCCCATCACTACTTCATACGATATTTTTCTCGTATGTCATGTTTCAAATTTCTCGTTTCTTGGTAAATTCGTAACCCCACTCGACTATTTTATATGAACCCCTTTTCGTTTTTAAGACTATGCACTTAAAGATATGTAATTATACGTACGTGCACGTACGTATCGATGCAAACATGTGCTCTGTATACTCATTATGTACTCATGCATGTATGTATGCATGTATGTATGCATGTATGTATGTATATATTCATGTACGTATGCTTGTATGTATAATACAGACATACATGGGCTACACACACAAATATTATATACATTTTTTTCCTCCACCCTACTTTTCGATGCCCCTTGAACTTTTTTTTTTATTACCCAGGAACATTTAATTTTTTTTTAGAAAAGCATTTTATTTAATTTTTTTTTAACGTTGTCAAAGTTTTTATTTTTTATTCATATATACATGTATACACAGATATATGCACGTACATAAATATATATATATGCTATTTAAAACCTGTCAATCGCATTTCCTTTGCTCTTCCTTTATTTTGATGAAATAAAGAAACACGAAAAGGAACAAGAAAATACATACCTTGAAGGGAAAAAAAAAAAAAAAAAACAAAGATCTCTCAAAATTGATATACGTAATAATGAATAACAACGGAAGGCATGAATTAATATTTTTTTATAGAATTCAGTTGCAACGTTTATATTTTGGATGCTACTCTGGGTTCCCCAATTTTGTAACGGAAGGACCGTGATTTTTTTTTTTTTTTTTTTACGTATCCAATTGCTTGTTCCTGCAAACAACTGCAATTAATATTTGTCACAGTTTCACTCTTGGATCTTGCGCGACAAATTTGTAAAGGGGCATATGCAGAAATGAGTTTAATACACACAATGTAAATAGATTGCACATATATACATACAATGATATATGAATATATATGCTAGTTCGTGTATGTCGTATGACATGGGCAAATATTTTAATTCTCTAGGACTATAGTCATATACCATTCATGCTACTTTTCCTCCATATTGACATTCCACTTATCTGATGGATGGCATTTTGAATTTACTTACGGAACAAAACCAGTTATTGCTGCACGAATATTTGAAGCAACGCAACCAAGAGAGTTTTACCAATTTGAATATAAACCATTTAGAATTTTTTTTAAACAAATTGAGCGAAATAAAGAATACACTAAATGAAAGAGAGAAAGATGAATATGTAGTAGAAGCTCCTCCAACTGTTGACATCAATAGTATCCATGAGTGCAATGTGAAACCACCCAATGGTGCCATATTTATTGAGAATTATAAAAAAAAAAATTTAATGAACGAATTAAAACATATAGGATTAGAAATTGTTAAACGTAGTGAAGTTGCCGTTTTGTTTTTAGCTGGTGGTCTAGGATCGAGACTTGGGATTGATAAGCCAAAGGGATTGTTGGAAATCACACCTATACATAATAAAACATTTTTTCAGTTTTATTTTGAGCAAATTAAATTTTTGGAAGAGTTCTCTATGACAATTGACACTGCTAGAAGCAATGCTAATATAAGAAATAAATTCAACTGTTACTACCCAGAGGTAGGAATCACAAGTTGCAACAGCAATTACAGTAATGATGATCTCCCCAATGTGTTTAGAAGTTGTGATAATGTAAATCGAAAAGGTAACATGGCTTATGCAAGCTCCTCAAATCCAAATTTATTGCACGCGTCCACCCCAATAACAGAAGTTAAAGAAACAACAATTTACATTTACATAATGACATCGAGCTACACACATGAAAAAACTGTTAATTTTTTAGAAGAGAACAAATTTTTTGGATTAAAAAAGGAAAATATAATTTTTTTTAAACAATGTGATAATTACTCCACCGATTTTAATTTTAATATTCTCCTGTCCAATCAGAACACATTGTTGACATTCCCAGGTGGTAATGGAGCTCTCTTTAGTGCACTAGACAGAAATGAAATAATTGATGATATGATCCAAAAAAATATAAAATATGTTCAAATTGTAAGTGTTGATAATGTGTTAAATAAAATATCGGATCCAGTATTAATCGGTTTTTGTTCCTTTTTTCAATGTGATATTGCTAATAAGGCAGTTAAAATGGAGGAAGTAGGATCGGTGGGTATCTTTTGCTTAAAAGGGAATGAAAAAAAACTAACGCATGATGAACATAATAATTTTTCTGTATGTGAATATACAGAATTAAATAAATATATTTTAAAAAATCCAGAAGTTTTTAAATATGGAAATATTTGTCACCATGTATTTTCACTAAACTTCTTACATCATATTGTAAAGAATAAACTTTATAATAATATGAAATTACACAAAATTTCGAGAAAAAAAGAATACTACGATTTTAGTGTATATCCAAATGAGAAAAGTTCTATGTCTAGTTCTACTGTGTATTGCTACGAATATTTTATATTTGATATTTTCAAGTATGCCAAAAACATATTATCATTTGAAGTTTCGAGAGATGAAGAATTTTATCCAATAAAAAATAATAACAATGGAAATACTATATTGAATGCACATACAAAATTAAGTATGTTACATAAATCATGGCTTGAAAACATGAAATTTAATATTATTCCTAACCCTATGGAGCATCTTAACATGTGTGAAATATCTCCCCTTGTCTCTTATGATGGAGCTTTTTTTTTTCATTTACCTAAACGTAAAGATGTGCATCTCCCGTTTTCCCTTGATTTGGGTTCATCGCCTTAGCTTCTATTCGGAATTTAGTGTTTTTATAAATTTTATTTTATTGATATTGTTATTATTTTATTTTACTATTTATTTTATTATACTGTTTTACTATTTTACTATTTACCTTATTACACTATTTTACTATCTTACTATTTACTTTATTTTTTTTGGCTTTTTTTGTAAAAATTTGAAAATAAAGTTCCTTCTTGTAGTCTCACTTAGGGTTTAAGACGAGAAAAAATTATCCAGAAATACAAAATATATTGTAAGCAAGAGAACCTGTTGCAATTCTGCCACACAGAAAAAACACACAATTGTAACAAATATGTCTATTGTTCGATTGTGGATGTACTCATGCCATTGCTTCTTATGGAATTTTTCGTCCATCTGGTAGTACTAATGGGTCCCTAATTTTTTTGGGTTTAGCAAAATGATTATCGAACAATATCTTCTTTTGTTTTTCGTTAATAACAGGGAATTTATCGCCAATCTGGAAAAGAAAAGGTCGGGAAGCAAAGGTTAACTGGTAGAAAAAATAAAAAAAAATAAGGCAAAATGGTCGCAATATTTTAAAACGTGATCAACTCCATTTCCGTTGCTTTTGTTTATACCTTTAAGTTATGTTCCTTAGCGTGTCTTGGCTGCGAATAATTTTTAATGCAGGGAAGAAAAAATTTGCATGCAAAAGATTAATCAAATGATGGGACATTGCATCATGCACTGCTCATACGATTGCAAAATATATACACATATATATGTTTATATATATATATATATATATATATAAACATATATATGCGTATTCCCTTAATGTGATATTGCACAGAAAATGGGGGCTACATGAAGGGAAGGAAATAATAGGGGAAAAGGATTCATAAATAATTGCAGTTCTTTTTTTTTTATCTCACCGGTGTCATTATGACAAATCTAGGTTCCTTGTTTCGTTCACTTTCTTCTAGTTTTTTGTCGTATGGGGGTCTTTCCTCCTGCAACCACGGGCCATTGTAAATGCGTATAAAATTAGACGTGTGGATAGGGATGCATGTGCTAATAATTTTTGAAGCATAGTTTGCAAGGAATATATTTGTCTTAGTATAATTATATATGCAAATTGGTATACACGTATAATATGTAATTATACAAAGAAATGCTTTGGAAATACTTTTTATTCCTGAGCTAATACCCTCTCTCGATGTAAAGGGTTCGTGTCTTTTACACTTCAACCGTTTTTTTTTTTTTTTTTTTTTTTATTTTCTCTAAATTTGCACTTACCTCTATATTCATTATTGTTCCATCAGAGTGCACGTAAAAAATATCGCACTTAAAGGAGTCATAATCGATCCGTTTTTCTGGTGGAACCCTTTTGTTATAATTTTCAATAATTTTTCTTGAATTAGCAAATTTATTTGGGTCTCTATATAGTATGCTTTTTAATTTTTTCCTTCTATAAAAATGCATGTTAGTTGATGGATCTCCATCTCTTATTATTTCATCCAAAGATGGGAAAATATTTGATTCACTTTTTTCATTTTCATATTGAAACCCTTCTTCCCTTAATTTCTTTTTTACATCAATATCCACAGGTTCAAAACTGTTTATTATATTTTTGAAAGGAGAAAAATAAAATAAATTTGACATAGGACTTGCTGGTTTCTTTGCATATTTTTCGAATTTCTTATCATTTCTTATATTTAATTCATAACATTCTAATTTCCTTTCTGGTCGATCCACCTTGTCCGATTCATACAATTTATTTCTTATCTTTTTTATGCTCTTTTTATTACATGTTTTATATTTAACAAAGTGCTGTGGACGTCTCAAGATTTTTCGTCCATTTGTAATATTGCCTCCTTTCAACTGAATGATAGTCTTGACGTTACCCTCTTTACATATAAGTGCTCTTAAGTGTATGTAAGCCAAGAAAAAAATTATGCTAAGCAGAGAATTTCCATTTGTTAAGATGCACATTTATGTGATATAGAAGGATTACAAACATAAGCGAAAGAGGAGATGGGTGAGATATATGTTCCAACACAGTCTCAAAAAAAAAAAAAAAAAAAAAACTACAGAAGTGAAATCAAGCAAGAGAAATACTTGGGGTTGGGGGGAAAGAAAGGTGTTGCTTTATTCGTAAGGACACTAAATATATATTTCTCCTCTTAAAGTAATTCCAACACATTTCAAATTTCATCAATTAAAAATTTCCCTAACATTTTTGCTCGGTAGAACTGTCAGTTTGGCATGTTCAGGAATGTAAATAATTTGTTACTCGTGTAAGCATCATTTCTCAAAATTTCATACTTGCGTTTTTATTTATTCTTTTATCTTTTTTATTTGTTTTTTTTCTCTTCAAATCTTAATTTTCACACTTGCGTATTTTTCCCAAGAAATTGAAACAAGTTCGACAACAGTACATCATATATATAATCTTTTGTGAGAGCTTCTTTCATCTCCCTCTTTAAGTGACTTTCATATATGCACTAACGAAATGTTAGGCACACAAAATTGGATAATATAAAGTTACATAAAATATGCGTTATGATAAAAATACTTAAAAAGATTATCAGTTTGACATAAAATGGATCAAAATTTAAAAATGAAAAAATTTATTATACACACAGATTGTTAAATGAATAATTTATGCCAAAAAAAAAAAAAAAAAAAAAAAAAAAGTTAACGCACAATTAGGCGAAATTAGCTATTTTTCGAAAACGAAAAAATAAAGACTATTCTTCAGTAAAATAAGAATGAATTAATAATATAACCATTAGTAATAACCAATTAACGTCGTGGAAAAATGGCAGTGGCGGTAGGGAAACTTCTAAGAAAGATTATTTTCCGTGTCACATGTAAATATATGATAAAGGAGATGGTGAATTATAAGGCTGTTAAAAAAAAAATATATTTTATAATGTGCCAGGTGTCATAATTATATATACGAATATGCAAAGGGCGCAGCTGCATTGGGCTCATTGAGGGGAGTTCATATACGTACATATTTGCACAAGTACATATATTCTCTTTCTCCATAGGCACCCTTTAAAACTTTCCTTTTTTTCTCACGTTCTGCGTGTGTATGCAATTGTTCTTCTACACAGTTAAACGTTTGAGGCTCTTTATATATAAAACACCTAAAATATAGGCAGTTGTATATATATTTTGCATTCATTTGTCTTTTTAAGCGGTCCTTATGAGGAATAAAAAAAAAAATTCTGGATCTGAGTTTTCGTCTGTGTCTGTCTGTGCTTGCAACTTTTTTTTTTATTTTTTTTACTCCTCCGCGTTCCAATCCTTGAACATCAAGATGAAGTCATCCATTCCCAATTTCTGTTGTGCAAACTTCATTTCTGTATTTATTTTATTTCCCTCCTGTGCTAAGATTTGATTAGCTGTATACTGTTTGCTTTGATGAATTTGTAGAATTCTTTCTTCAACAGTTTTTTCTAAAACAAACTTGTAAATGCTTACATCTTTTAGTTGTCCTATTCTGTGTACTCGTTCGAACGCCTGATCTTCTATGGCTGGATTCCACCACAAATCCATTAAGTACACTTTTGATGAAACGGTTAAATTGAGACCTACACCTCCCGCTTTCAAAGAACATAATAGTACTTTCCCTGCAGTATTTTCCACAGGTACATTCGTGGATGTATTTGTAAATCCAATTCCAGGTTGGTATAATTTTCCCTTTTGTACATTGAACCAAAAAAGAGTTGTTTTTCTTTCTTCATATGTTAAAGAACCGTCATATATTTTATTTGGGATGTTATGTAACGTCAATAACTTTTCAATAATTTTAAGAAAACCTATCCACTGTGAAAATACAACAATGTGTAATTCATTTTTCATATCATTTTGTATATGATCAAATAGCTGTTTTAATTTTGTTGAATAAACAAAATTTTCTTTTTTCATTTTTTTTAACAATTCATCAAGTGGGGATTTATTCTCTTGTAGCGTTTTTAATGATTTTAAACTTATATATTGGTCACACTCTGGGCATTTCTTATCAGCTATTTGAGTTAAATGAAAATAATCATCAGCACATTTTTTACAAATAATATGTAAACATTTGCTAATTAGTGGAAATACAGCATCTTCTAAACATATTACACATTGCATTGCATTCCCTCTTTTTAACAAATCTATCATTTGGATATAATCTTCCTCCAGTTTATTTGAATGTGTTTGACCCAGCATAAAATTGTATATTAGATTTTCCCCTCCATTTTCTGATTCCACCCCGTTATCCTTGTCATGGGTAATAATGAGATGAGTACTATCACACGGATCACTTTCATTAACGCTTGCGAAATTTTTTTTGCCTTTGTATCCACTATGACATTTATCAGTACGTATTTCACCAACATTTCGAACATCATTCGACACGTCTTCCTTCTTCTGTTGAATGTTATTTATGTCTCCCTTATTCCACTCTTCAAAAAAGGGCTTTGAAAACAAAAGCAAAGGGTGCGAACAGCATTGCCTTAGCCTGAGCAATAATTGTAAAACGTGAGAATAGTGACTTAACACATTTCCATCATGCATGTACGTATCGAATTTTGTTTTACTTCTATAAAATACAGCTCTATAGAAATCTTCCTCCTCCATTGAAAATTTCAGTTTCAATAAATGTATATTTTTTTGGGGAAGGGATATTATATAATCTCCATTTTTTGTTCTTGATTTTTTTGTTCTCCTTAACAATATTGGGGATGATATTTTTCTTACAACATCCAAAGCTAAATTTAATTTATTTTTATTTACATAATCTACAATTTCTTTATTCCACCATTCAATTGTTCCATATGGCTTAATTCCTAAAAATCTCAGCAATGGAAAAATATCAAATATAGAATTCTGTATAGGTGTTCCTGTTAAACACCAATTTCTTTCTCCACGTAATTTCCAAACAGCAACAGATTGAATAGAATTTTTGTTTTTAATCACATGTGCTTCATCTATTATTATTCTCCTCCATGTTATTTTATATAAGGGACATTCTTTTCGGGGTTTCACTTCTTTTATATTTTTCTTATCTTCATTACTCTTTAGTGCATAATTATTCATCATTTCCATTTTCGTGCCCAAAACAGTTTTCATAAAAAAATTGTTTAATTTTTTTTTTTCTTCATTAATTCCATTATGTGGGTCATTTTTAAGGAAAATGCTTTTTCTTTCACCTTTTGTCTTACCTCTAGAAACTTCTCTTTTTTTTATCTCTTTGGTGAGTTTGTGATCTCTATCTATGCACTCACTTTTATCTGTATCAGCATTATTGTGCATACTTTTGTTGTTATCTTCATCAATACTACTTCTTTTCTTAATTAATGTGTTCTTATATTCAGAAACTAAAGTAGAATACGTTGTGAGAACAACAGAATATTTAGATAATTCTTCGCTAGTTACATCTTTAGAACTTCCATAGTAAATATATGATGTCATAAATCCTTCTTTCGTATGTCTCTCTATTTCCTGTTTCCATTGGTATATCAAAGCCAAAGGAGCAATAATTAAGGTCCCTCCTTTTTTGAAATTAAATCCTTTGATGGTATTCTCTATCAAGTAAGTAAGATTATTCTTATTTTCATTATTCTTATTTTGTATGTGTAAATTATTGTGATAAATATCATGTGCTATCAATCCAATACTCTGAATTGTTTTACCTAATCCCATTTCATCTGCTAAAATCCCACCTCTAAATGGGGGAACATACTGAGGATACGTGAGTGAAAAGCATCCTGTTAATTTGTTTACATAAAAATATTTCAATACACACACAAGTTTGCTTTTTTCGTATATTTTTATATTAGGGATAAATGCGTGCTCCTCCCATAAAGGGTTCAGGGGTTGCTTGTTTCTGATATCATCATCATCCTCCTCACTGTTATTATTTTCTTCTTCTCCTTCTTCTTCAACTTTTGATTCTTTTTCGCAGTCTGATTTGTTCTTCTCTTGCATGATTGAATAATCATTCTGTTTTCCTTGCCCTTGTGGAGGCTCCCTATAAGCCTGCTCCGTCTTGCATCGTGAGGTATTGTCAACTAGCTCCGTCTTGCACCGAGGGGCACTATCAACCTGCTCCATCTTACATTCAGACACGCTGTGAGTCTCCTTCTCGATGGGTGTAACAATAGCGGTGTGATGCAAATTTCGAGCGATTTTTTCATTTAATGTGGAAATGACTTGCATCTTATTCTTTTGTTCATTGTCAGAATAACTGTTAACCTTAATAACTTCATCAATTACAATTTCTTTTATATTGTCATTTTTTTTGTTTTGACTTTTAAAATAATCTGGGGGATTTTCTTTCGTGTACATCCACCACACTCCTTCCGCTTGGTACGTTTTTAACTTGGGTTTAAAGTAAAATTTGTTCGGATGAATTTGATCAAACTCTTCTAGCAAGTATCCTCCTCGATATTTTTCTTCAACAAAAACTAAGTTCGTAGCTTCTTCATTTTTTTCCTCAATTTCATTTTCACTCATGGAATCCAAAATTTCTTCGTCCTCCCTAGACATACTTAGATTGGACTGATCTAAAGGCAGTGTGGGTAGAGAAGCATATGTAGTGCTTACTAACAAGAGACAATCATACGATTGCTCGTATGGGGGGGGGGATTGCTCGAGTGGGGGGGGGGGGGGGGTATGCAAAATAGATGGAGGGGCACTCTACTCTTGTGTGTATTTATCACACAAATATTCACCATGTATTGGACAATTTACATCCATATATGTGCTATTAAAATGATTTCGTTTTAGCACATTCTTTTCATTTTTTGCTTTTCATTTTTTGCTTTTCATTTTTTGCTTTTCATTTTTTGCTTTTCATTTTTCGCTTTTCATTTTTTGCTTTTCATTTTTTGCTTTTCATTTTTTGCTTTTCATTTTTTGCTTTTCATTTTTTGACTTCCTCATTTTTTGCTTTTCATTTTTTGCTTTTCATTTTTCGCTTTTCATTTTTTGACTTCCTCATTTTATTTTATACCTATGACTGACTTCCTCGAAGTAGCGCCTATTCCTAGCGCTTTGTAAGGTGTGCTGAACCCAAAGGAATTTTCACCGCTGCTATTTGAACCCTTATCTTTCTTAGAATACATAAATGTGTCACTCTTAGGAACGCTGTTAGACGATAATAATAAACTTTCCTTATTTATTTTAATATGAGTACTATCAAAAGAATCCATGTCGACATTTTTCGCTAGTCGTAGAGGAGTTATTCTTAACTCTTTGAATAAGTTATCAACACTGCACTTTATTAAGGAGTTATATTCATGAAATTTATGTGAATCTATTTTAAACGAATCGGGATATAAAATAACATGAATAAATGTTCTTAAGCTACCCCCAAATTTTAAATCACATAAGGAAACTTTTTCTAATTTTATTTCTATCCTTATTGCATTCAAAACTAAAAGTACACATAAAGTTTTCGATAAAAGACTCTTAATTTTTGAAATGTCTCGGTTATTATGATGCTTAATTCTTATGCATGGATAACCCTCGTTAATGTCTTTTAAAACTTCACTTTTGCATTTATCATATTCAATGAATTTTTTATCAGCTGATAAAATTTTATTTGAATCAAAATGAAATTCAGAATACTCTTCATTACATAATTGTGAATTGTTATCTTTTTTTGTTAATATTTTTTTTTTTTTTATTTTTTTGTTATTTGTAGGTATATTTCTTCCTATTATCTTGATGTAATCATTAGACATAACATAATTTTTATTTACTTTTAACATGTACGTAGGAGAATATGATCTTTTTGTTGATTTAGGTGTTATCTCATAACTTATTTCTATATCTTTATCACTTTTCACATCACATATTTCGCTTGACAAAATTATTGAATCTGTTTCTATGCATCCTAAATAATATTCAAAAAAAACACCTTTATCTCTTACCAATTCTCCTTTTTTATTTGATGCTTCCAATTCTTTCATCTTCGCCAATTTTATTTGTTCGTAGTTATACATGTTTATATCCTCGATAATTTCGACTATATCAGATAAGGAACGGGAATGTGTGTGTAATAGGTAATGGAAGTATGTATATAAAGGAACACATAAAATGGACTTGCCAAAACAGAGAAATGTGCATAGAGTGACAACTCCTCATAATGTTCACAATAACAAAAGGTTATTCGAAACGGAAGTAAAATCGGCTTAAAATGGGATAGAAAAAAAAATTACACCCAGTTGTCAACTGTCTCCCATGAAATGTATACTTACTGTCACTAGTTGTCTCCATCGATGTGCAGTAATTATTACTTCCCAAATGCACCCTCCCAGGGTTGTTGAAACCCGATACCGTGGTGCATTTGGATTCATTATCATTTAAACTTATAATTTCAATGACATCACTATCATAGCTATCCACTCCCAACTCGTTATATGATTTTTTAAAATCTTTTGTTTCATTCTTAAAATAATTTGAGCTACTCATTTAAGACAAAAATCTTCATTTAAAGTTTCACACACAAAAAAAAAAAAAAAAAAAAAAAGAAGAAGAAATTTTAATTAAAAAAAAGACATTAAAATTCGGTAAATCACATATAAATACATATATGTTTTTTCTGAGTGGGATTACAAAACTTTTTTCAAATGAAATTATGTGTATTGTGAAATTATCCGAAGAACGGGAAAGATGATATATAAATTCGGCTTCTTTTTCGACCTTATGTCTTATATCTCCACATAAGTACACTGCACATATACTTCTGTGCATGCAACAAAAAAAAAAAAAAAAAAAAAAAAAAAAAAAGAATGTTCCTCAAGACGCGATATCCTATTTGTCCTTATTACACCTTTGTTTAGCTTCATTATATTTACGTATAAGCACGTAAACATAATTATTTTATGAACAAATATGGGTAGGGGGAAAAAATATGTTAAACAGCAAAGGCGTGATGATATGTACGCAAATGTCAGAAGACTCAAAAAATATTAAGCATATTACATACCTCTTTTTTTTCCTTGTGAAATGAAAGTAAATTGTATTCTCATATAAGGCATTATTTATTCAATACTATAAAAATGATTTTAGTAACACAGAAAAAAAAAAAAAAAAAAAAAAAAAAGGCAAATGCAAAGAAAACGGAAAAGTCAAAAAATTTCAATTCAAATGCTTATATTATAAAACAAAAAAAACTAAAACAAATGGGCAGATATGGGCAGTGATGTGTGGAAAAGTATTCATAATAATATATCGAAATTCATGCAAAAGGATATATTCAAAAATAAACGGAACATCAAGTAATCGAGGGGGTACAAAAAGGCATACATATGTATTTGTATACATAAAACCATAACATGAATGGTTTTTCGTCTTTGCGATCGGTTGTGTGAAATGGAAAATAGGGTTACATCAAGTACTTATGAACATGCATATATATAACCTCCCTGTTATTACATATTCCCCCATATTTTCGTAAAAATATAATATATATACTCTTAAATAATGCAAGCCTTTTGGCAATTTGGCACTATTAAATTGTATAAATTTTGTACTAGTAGTAACAGTTGGGGGAATATATTTAATGCCGTCAAAAAAAAAAAAAAAAAAAAAAAATTCTATTTAATTACAATTATTCAAATTATCCTATTAATTCCGAATTTATGCGAATCATTTGTATTTGAAATTGGAATATGCATATCGCTACATCTAACGATCTCTTGTTTTTTTCTTATTCACTTAATCATTTTTTTCCGTGAGAAAACAAGTTATTCAGTTCTTTTAGCGCGTTAATATGTATATATATAAAGGAGAACGAGATGGGGAAATGTTAAGATGGAATGGGGGAAAACAAAATTAAGGAAGCTAGGGAATGATAACCGAACGCAGAAAAACGATAGGGGCAAAGGAGAGGGGAAAAAATCATAAGATAACGATAAAAAGCACCAATCCAAATTCGTTTACAAAGTTGCAAGTTAACATGATGCTTTTATTTATAAGGAAAAATACTTTAAGATTTTAATTTAATAAACTCCTTATCTTGAATGTACCATATTATGAATGAGGCATTTAGAAAGTTTTTTTTTTTTGAGTTTTACAAATATCATACGTTTTTATTTTTGCCATTTTACATGCTACACATTTTTTTTTTTTTTTTTTTTTTTTAAATTATATCGCATACTTTTCTGAAAAAAATGATAAAAAACTAGTTTATATTTTCTTGTGTTGTGTGCGAATTAAGTTAAAGCACTTGCTACATGTAGATATGATAAGTCTGTTAATTTTGCCATTTTTGGGAAAAAATAAACTTATGCATTTTCCCATTGCTACTGGTTGTGGTGGGGAAATTAAAGTGTAAACTGGAATTTTATTGTATCAATATGTTTTCAAAGCATATCCAATAATGTCTAAGCGTTTGACCAAAATTCCCTATACATTTTTATCACACACTTAAGTAAAATTTTGCGAAAATGGAAAAATAAAATAAAAATGAAATAAATATAATAATAAAAATGAAATAAAAATAATAATAAAAATGAAATAAAAATAATAATAAAAATAAAATAAAAATAATAAAAAAAAGGAATAAAAATAATAGTAAAAATAAAAATAAAATAAATATGCAATTAAAAGGGACACATTTTTAAGCACCAAGCTCGAAATGTACACATTTTCCGTATAATAAAAGACATTGCCACTCAACTTCCACTCATATGTTTCTCTTAACATTATTTAAACCAAGTAAACAAAAAAAAAAAAAAAAAAAAAAAATTAACTTACCTCCTTAAAAATAGAGCTCTCATTCATTTTGTCATTTTGTTTCTGGGAAAAAAATATATGAACATTGAAAAAACAAGTGTCCTTACTCATATCTTTTAATTAGTGTAAATTTGATTATCATTTGATAATATAACTCCCACTCCTGCATGATGATAAAAACTGTATGTGTATTCCCAATTATTACATATATGTTAGGTATTTATTGTGCAATGCATATTGCATTCATTCAAAGATATGAGGTGTGCCTTTTTTTTTTTTTTTTTTTTTTTTTTTTTAGTGATTAAGTTTTACTTTTACACGATAAAAAATATTAGCAACGCAGCTATAAAATTAATATAACACATTTTTTTTTTTATTATATTTTTTTGGTGTAGAGAAGGAATAAATGCATTTTGCGTTCACATTTTTTTTTAAATAAAACATACAAACTTCGTGCATATATGAATAAAAGTATTTATGAATATTTACCCACGCAAGTCTGTACAAATGCTTATTCGTGAGTGCAAACATACATTTGTGCGTACAGGCAAACATTCGTGAGTACATGCGGATATATACACAACGAGGCACATCATTTTCCAGCGTGCAAACTGTGAAAAGTAAATAATGCAATATCATGTGAATTGTTTAATTTTCATTTATTCATCGTTAGCTATGTAAAAAGGCATTAAAATAGTAAAAAAAAAAAAAAAAAAAAAAGAAAAAATTATTTTTGATTGCTGAGAATATTTGCTCCTTCTCCCTATTAACAGGTTTACATTTTTAAGCATAAAAATTATGCATATTTTTAATTTAATTACTTTTATAAATTAAAAAAAAAAAAAAAAAAAAATGCGCGTGGCAGATATTTATGCTTTTTTCAGTACCTGATTTGTAGCACATGGGTATATACATAAAGCTATATATATACATGTTTACATTTTTCCAGAAATATAAATCCCAGTAATACACTAGCTTACGTAAGAATTACACGTAAATTTTTTCGCCTAAACCTTGCCCACAACATTACGTGAAAAATTGCGTGGAGCAAAAATACGCAGAAAAAATGCGCCAAAAAAAATTGCACAATAATTATGCCTAATATTCCCTGTTACGAATAAATACAGAGAAAAAAAAACATATCGCGGAAAATTGATTAAAGAGGTGGGAAATACACATTTAGAAACGCACATTTGCAAAAAAAAAAAAAAAAAAAAAAAAAAAAAAATCGAACTTTTCGAACGCGTGTAACATTTGCAACCAACGAAAACACGAACGAATCTCTGTGTTTAGAAAGGAAAGAGGAACATGCAAATAGTTACGAACTTCTATACATGAACAAAATACCAGAAATAATATCCACTACATTATCATTTATCAATTTGAAAAATTTCCAAATGGATTACGAAGGAGATATTATTGACGAGGATAGTATGACTCCTAGAATTTTCGACAGAACGAAAAAAAGTATGGGGATGAAAAGTTTTGATATGAATAACAATGGAGAAGAAAATACTCCAAAGAAAAAACAAGGAAATAAAAAAAAGCCCCGAAATTTTAATAATGAAGAAAGTGATAGATCCATTAGTAAAATAAAAAAAGTAAAAAAAGACATTGGTAAAGCAAGTTACGATTATACCAACATTCAAAAGATGGATGGAATGTATAAAAATGACACCACTGATGGTGTAAGAGATAAAACGGATAATAGTATCGATGATAACACAGATAATAATGATTTGTTCACAGACAATGTAATAAAAAAAAACGAATCATCCTTTATGAATAACAATTGGCAAACACCAAAAAAAAGTAATGTAGGCTCGTACTATTCAGGTATTGATAATCCATCGACATTGAAGAAATATAAAACGCCATGCGAAATGGATATGTTACATCCTGATGAAAGCTTAATAGGTAACAAATGTATAACTATTAATAATTATGTTAATCCACCAAAATATGTAGCCCCTGTTGTTACTCCGAGCAAATTCCCGTTATCAGGAGAAAGTAATCCTCATATGACATATGACGATTTTCGATGCCTTTTTAAGCACAAAGCATGTATCATAAGTGAACATGAATTTAATAGTAAAAAAAATTCAAATAAAATTGATAATTTTGAAAACAAATATGATGAATGCTTCTCGTCCAACTATGAAAATAACTCGTGGCCAAATAAAAAGGAGGTGGTTTCTCCATCCACAAATAAAATAAATACCAAAATCATGAACACGAATAAAGATTCTCCTAGAACTAAAAAGAGGAAAGTAGAAAATGGATCATGCATAAACACCAAGAAGCTTCTCAGCGCTTTAGATGCATGCGATAAAAATAAGCATCATAGGGAAAATAGTGCCAATAGTGGTAAAAGTGGCAACAGCGGTAACAGCGGCAAAAGTGTCAATAGTGGCAAAAGTGTCAATAGTGGTAAAAGTGCCAATAGTGGTAAAAGTGCCAATAGTGGTAAAAGTGCAGACAGCACGAATAGTAACGGTCCCATTAATAGCACGCCAAAATATATAGGAGAAAATTTGGAAAGAGAAAAAGGGGGTAACAAAAACAGCAAATCAGAACTGATCGATTATGAAGTAAACCCTGTTATTGTGAAGGGAAATAATAAAAAAGGAAATGAAACTCTATCAATGAATCAAATGTCCAAACATAAACAGAACCCGTTAACTCCAATTTATGAACCGTATTCAAAAGATTTAGATGTTATATTTGATATGAATGTTTTAGAAACTCCATCTATCTTATTAGGCATATACCGATGTTTGTTAGTGGCTATGGCGAGGCGTAATCAAATAAATGAACCCATTTTTTATCAATTAGTGAAACAAGAAGTAATAAATTTAAGTACATATCGATGTTTTACGATAGAATCACTCAAACAACTTGCATGGTTAGCACCCAATTTAATTCAACTAAATAAGGTAATCATTACAAAAGAAATATTTGAAGCGAATCAGCAGGCATACCCCGATTTTGTCACAGGAAAAAAAATAGAAGATATACAAATAAGGGAACATACAGAAGCTTGTGAAAATATATATAAATATAGTCAATCGGACAAATTAGAAATGTGTAAAAGAATTATTATTAATTGGGCCAATGTAAAACATAATGAATTGCTAAGAAAAATGAACCCTGATTTTTATTGCCCTAAATACTCGGAACTGAAAAGATGGCATTCAAAGTTTAATTTTCACGATATTATATTTCCATCTGTTACGTTGGAAGAAAATAAAATATTGGCTCAATTAGCTCAAACACCTCAGGAGAGTAATGCAGATGATTTTATTGTTATTCAGGATAGTCCAATTAAATGTGCAACTAATGATTTGCGAAAAAGTGGAACATTTATTAAAGAAATGGAAAAAGAAAAAACCAGAACCCCGTTAGGTAGAAATAGAAGAAGATCAAATTTTATGGGGAGTCCTTACGCTAATGTGTTTAATAACAGTAATATGGAAGAATCACCCCAAAAAAGAGAAACATGTACCATGAGACAAATAAGAGAAGAAGCCAATAAAAAAAATATGATGAAAGAAATTAAAATCGAATTTGATAAAGAACATGAAACTATATTAGATGAAAAAAGAAAATTAGAAAATGCTAAATGGATTGCAGAAATTATTCACGAAAAATTTATAGTTCAGGGTATACGTAATGTAATGGAAGTAAATGCACTTTCAAAAGAAATAGCTGATCAGTATAAAAGCAATAAAAACTTTCAAATGGATGAGGCACATATATCACACCTTATAGAAATGTTACCACAGTATATTACCCACATTAATATAAAACCAAGCATAATCGATAAAACCAAAATGACATTGTCAGTCCAAACAAAGAAAAATATTATCAGTTTCTTAGAACCACTTACCATAAAAGTTAATGATCTTACCAAAAAGTATCAGGAACTAAAAAGAAATAAAGAGACAAGATTAATAGAATTATGGAAAAAGTACAATGTAAAATTTCAGCTCACAGACAGAATTAAGAAGTACTTTTTGAATCCAGGTTCAATATGCTTGTCAGAATTGTAGCATGATATGGTACCTTGGTGTAATGTACTGTATTTTCCGTATATGCCACTCGAGTGTGTTGGTCGTGTGCCTTATATACATTAATTGTACACATTAGATGAATAATTTAAACACACCTTTGAATGGTGTGTGTGTGTGTGTGCTGATCACACCATCATTCCCCCATTCGTTGTGTACACCACAATATTGCATACACATTCTGACTGTTCAATTTTTTGTAATACTCGAACGAATTACATGGGTGCATGCGTTTGCATGTACATATATATATATATATATATATAAACACATGTGCACATGTAAATGTATACATTTTTGCTCGTTGGAGGATATACGAGTTTCCCCCATAAGTTATCCACAATTAACATCTCATAATTTTATGTATAATTCGTTCAACTTAAACAAGTGTATGTGCATCCGTTTGTGTATGCATTTGTACACATAATATGTGAGCATGTCATGATATTCTGTAATTGCCCCCTCACTTCTTTTTTTTTTTTTTTTTTTCTTTTTTTTTGCAGTCTTCTCTACATATTATTCATAAAGCAAAATGTAATAATATTTGTGTAGAACTTTCAAGTTATAGCTGTTTGTTTTACATACCTATATATACCCCTTATTCCTAGGCCCTAGTACACATCACTGAATACATTATTTGCACCCATTCTTGCATCGTACTTTTACATTACTCCCTTATTTATATATACACAAATGTACATATTCGAAATGTGCGATGTAATATGTTTATTTTTTGAAAGAGGGACCTTTGCATAATTTTTCCCATTTTGTGGTTTTGAGAAATAATCACATTTGTTTCATCTCTCTGTGTATATTTCTCATTCCCTTCATGTATACACACAATTGGAGGATTTTTTTTTTTTTTTTAGCAAAAATATGTTGCATAACAAATGCATATATTTATGCTTTTCGCACAGTGTCATAAGGACGTTGTGATGTCTTATCTTTTTATATTATTCAAATATTATATCGCTAAAGTACATAGCGAACAAATTACATTCGTTTAATTAGGGGCATGTATGTGTGTAAATAGCTGTTCTTGCTTATGTCGATATATATGCATATGTATATGTATGTATATATATATATATATGTATATATATATATATGTACATTTATGAATGCATGAATCTGAACATACGGAGGCGCGAATATGCATTCTTATGTAGTAAGATTTGTGCAGTACGCATGTCTTTCCCAAGTTTTTAGTAAAAATTCACATTTCATGTAATTGCTCGTTATTTTTCAGATTCCATAATGGGGATTTTATGCATTTAACTCGAAATTAGCAGAGATGCATTTGCTTACATCATTACTGCTGTTTTTTGTGTGCCTTCATATTCCTTCATATAATTACACAAAAAATGCATTTATTTATATTTTTTTTTTTTTTTTTTGCATACTGTACATTGTGACATTATACTTAAATAACCCAACATTCCATATATATATTGGCAACCGTTGCAATGTTATTAACTTTTTTTTTTTTTTTTTTTTTTTGTTTGTAAGCACAATATAAAAAAAAAATATATATACATTTATACATATGTCTGTAATCTGTAACCAGAAAGGGTGTAATTACGTTTACATTTTTTTATATCCTTTTAATTGTTTCAATAATTATTTATTTTTTATTTTTTTTTTTTTTACCCCTTTTTATCTTTATTTTTCTTGCACAACAATGTTCTTTCCAAGAGTATAAATAAACTTTAGTCACAATTAACTCATAGAAAAGTATTTCCAATTTCGCAATTTTTTTTTATTACTTTAATAAGTATTTAAATCAACATCAAGTGCCAATGTAAAGGATAAAAATGGAAACTTTATTATAAAAAATTGTATACCAACACAAGCATCGTCTATTATGATTAATAATATATACTAAATTGTTCTTACTGTAAAAAGAAAAAAAAAAAAGTGTCAATTTATGGATGGAACAATAGTATGTATGTGTATGAGAGAAATTAAATTGTTCCTTTTATTTTATTCTATTTTATTTACTTTTCATTTTATTTTATTTTTTTTTTTTTTACATTTATTATTCTTATTCTTTTATTTTTTACTTATTTTTTTTGGAATTTTTCATTCTACTTTTGTTACGTTTTTTTTTTTTTTTTTTTTTTTTTAAAAGAGAAAATTGTAGATACTTTAAAATGATAACGCAAACACGAAAAGTCATTATGCCAAATGTGTTGATTTCCTTGTATGAAATTCGATAATTTTAAAACAAATAAGCATAGCTACGTACGTATGTATCTGTGTACTGCATTATATGTGTGCGTGTTTTCGTGCATGCACACATTTACATGTAAAAATATTGATGCACGCAATTTTTAACAAAATCCTAGACAAAAATGTAAATGTGCCCTTGCACTGTGCAAAAGACGCACATAAGCAACTCTTAATTAATTTTAATTTTATGTATGTGAAAAAAAAAAAAAAAGCAAAATTACGAGAGATGATACAAAAAAAGGGGGAATGAGAAATGCAACACAAATATATAGGACAAATACAATAAAAATATATTACACGTCAGTTATGCAAATATATCCGTTCTTCATATATAAAATGCAAAGGAATTTTTCCCTCAGACAGTCTTCTTTTGTGTGTACATATTTTAGAGTTGGGATGAAAAAAAAAAAAAAAAAAAAAAAAAAAAACACTACAGCCTGCACATGTTAAATCCGTGAGACGTGGTATATACCTCCACCACCACCCATCTCCTTCCCCAACATGCACACCTTCTCCCCTTGGTTTCTACTCACACATAGGAAAATCACTAAGAAACAAAGGAGAATATTGATGGAATTAATTTGAATAGATCCTAGGCTTCCTTTGCATGGAAACTATGAGTCTTCCAGTACATGAAGTAAACGTTTGCATGTCGTATGAGATGAGATAAAAATCTTCATGTTTTAATAAGGAGACTTCTTCTTCTAAATTATCCAACTGAACTGGCAGTAAAAAAACCAGCATACCGTTATCAACCAATGTAATAGATGCAATATTTAATAAATCTTTCACAGCAGCAGTACAACTGTAAGTAACCGTTTTTGTCGTCATAAATGATTTTATTCTTTTCCCCTCCACATTATTGCAAGTAGTTAAAATGTCATGCTTTTGTGTGCATTGGGAGATGTCGTTGGTCTCTTCTTCCTTATCTCCATTAGGGTCATTACAGTAATAAGAATTATTTCCATTATGATCATTATTTGTATTATTTCCATCATAGCTTCTGTGGAGTGTTGATGCATTTGTGGTGGGTTGTGCATTTACAGGGTTGTCCTTTTTTTGCGCATTCTTTAAGCATATCCGAACTGTTGCTCTATTTCCATATGGTGGATCCGTAACGATAGCATCTACCCATGGTTTATGAAAGGAGTTCCAAATGGGTTTCGAATTATCCGAGACTATAATCTCAGGGAGATTCAAATTATAGTGCAGAAAATTTTGAAAAATATTTTTTTTATCACTTTTGTGTTTCATATGTGGGTTTAAATATGCTATTTTGTGGCCTTTGAGTAACCTTATATCTATATCGTTACCTAAGCATATGGCATTAAATATAGACGATGTAATTAATAACCCTCCAGACCCCACAAATGGATCTAATACAATATCCCCCGCCTTTATTTTTGCTATATTACACATTATAAATGCTAATTCATTATCAGTTGTCGTGGGTCCTAGAACAGGTCTTTTATTTAAAGAGTAATTTATCCACCATGCGAGCTTCGATTTTTTCGTTCTTTCAAGATTATTCGGGTCCATATCAACATTTCTTTTATAAACTAACACTTTATTATTTTTCCTTAAAGCAATACATTTTCCAAAATAAATTTTTTTTAAAATTCCTAAATTAGTTTGATCATACTCCTCTAGTAGGCTTAATTCGACCTGAGGGTTTGATAAATTCACATTTGGGTATTTATCAAGTATGGTTTTAAAATGATCCATTTTTCTTACTTTTTCATCTTGAATTACTATTTTTCCGAATGAATTAAAATGAAAACGCCATCTTTTACCATCTAAATTATTTTCAAACAAGTATTTTTTCTTTAACAAATCGTTTAATACATCATCATATGTCGATCCTTCACTCCAGATTTCAATAATTCCTTTTATTAAAACACTTCGTGATATTACATTCTTCCATTCTATTTCTTCTGATAAGTTTATTTTTATGAATACTTCTCCTTTGTATTTGTTTGTATTCCTATCACTTAATAATATTTCAATATCATTCTTGTATCCAAAAATTTGCAAAAGCGATTTTAATTCTGTGATTTTACATTCATCATATTTATTATGATTGCTGAACCATATGAGATACAACATGCTTTTTTTTTCTTCTATTTTTTTTTTATATTTTATTTGTAAAATTAATAACTTTTCTGGAGTACTACTATGTATTACACAGTTAGCAAATGCAGCTAATAATAAATTTTTTTTCTCTCATAAGCATCATAAGTGTAGCCACACACAAAGAAGATGCGGGGGAGGACGAGCTTGTGTGGATGAAAATGAGAAGTGAAATTAGAGCAATGTCGAATTAGTATAATCGGACACCTACATGTGCACTGTGAACCGTGTATATATATATATATATATATATATAACTTAAATGAGAAAACGGTTTTAATTAATCAAAGTGTGGGAACACAAATAGAACTAATTAGTTAACATATATAACGGTGTTACATAAGGCGATGTAAATACATATATTTATAAAATGAATTCACAAAGGGCCAATTCGTTGGAGGAATTTCATTAAAAGCGGTATGTAGTATAAAAAGTGACATTCAAAAATAGGCAATTCATAAAAAAATAAAGACGATATTATAATATACCTTTGGTTAAAAACAAAAAAAAAAAAATTAATTAAAAAAGCACTTATTTGTATAATATTTGTTTATCAATACTTTTATACGAGTATATTAACCATGTATTCGTGTACATAATGCTATGAATATATATGTAAAAAGCACAAGCTTCTCTTCCCTTGCGCGTACAGTTGTAACGGGTTAAAGTTTGAACTCTTGCAATCCCATATATACATTCCTTGCGATACAAAAAAAAAAAAAAAAAAAAAAAAAACCACTCCCACCATTGCATATGGCTAAAGTGCCATTAACATTTTAGCAATTGAATACTAACGCTTTTTTGTTCATTCGTAAGTGCTTAAGGCAGTGGCGTATGTTAGTGCTTAAAAAGTACCTCACATGTACATATTTTACATGTAAAATACATTTTATATATGCGTGGCTAATGTGTACAGGGCCTTAGTAGCCTTGTACACAATGCACGCGCGATGTGCTTCATTGCTTGTGGAATAAAAATATGTCTCTCGACATGCTGATAATTTTTAATTTATTTCCATGCTTCGTTATGCTTAAGGGCTTGTGAATTATTTCATTTTAGTTTTTTTTTTTTTTTTTTTTTTTTTTTTTTTTTTTTTTTTTTTTTTTTTTTTTTTTTTTTTTTTTTTTTTGCTTCTTTTTATTTTCTTTTTCTGCTTTTTTTTTTTTTTTCTTCTTTCCATTGCATTCCTTGCTTTTTCATTTTTTAATTTGTTCGTACCCTTTTTGTGTTGTTAGTGGAAAAGGATCAGTTAAACTAATGCACACGTGCATTTTGCGAAGAAAAAACTAAATAAAAAAGCATGAGCAAGAAACAAGGGTTAGAAATGTTATGTCAATTTGTTATTGAGGGAAGGGTGTGGAAAATCCCTATGCCCTATTTTTTGATGAACACATAATGAAACAAGAGTGTAATATGTGCTGACAATGTAGGCCAATTTATGTGTACCAATCATTTGTTCTCATCACGATGCCCAAACTTGTATATCCAAGCAATATACATTTTCACCCAAATGTATGTGTGACAAAAAAAAAAAAAAATAAATATATAAAAGAATATATATGTATGTACATATATATATTTTTTTACCGGTATAAACATTTTTAACACTTTGTAATTCAATATGAACAAAAATAAATTTTGACATGCTTACGAACATACAAATTTTATGTTTACATTGTTGGATTAAATTAAATGCCCATTATCCAGAGAGAGAGAGGGAGGGAGATAATTATGATGAAACAAGAAAGAAAAATGTTCACAAGAGCCTTTTAAACACATACTCATTTATTTGTGTACATATATATACGCCTAAGTACGCAACTAGTTAAAAATACAAACGACTAACACACAAATGATTTACACACATGTGATTGACACACACGTGATTAATACACACGTGATTGACACAATTGATTAACACACAATTGATTAAACATACAAATGCCCATTTGGATGAGTGAAAAATTTCATAAAGTTGCAATTATACGTATACTCTAATGCACAATCGCCGTAGTACACATCCAAATTAACATACATCCGAGTTTACAAATGCCCTTCCTATATATACCACTAAAGAGTAAGGTGTAATGTAAAAACAAAAAGAGTTTGCACATATGATACCATCTATGAGTATTTGTGACTGTAATGCATATTAGTGAAATAAAAAAAAAAAAATAAATAAAGAGCATTGTTATATATGCTGCTAAAGAGTTGTATATGATTGATTGAACAAATGTTGCCAACGTTGCTTCATTGAAAGTGTCTGTACATAACTTCATCATATGAAGATTTGCTTTCCAATTTTTGTTTACATATTTTTGGCATATCCCTATTCCCACAAGTTTTTTTTTTTTTTTTTTTTTTTTTTTTTTTTTTTTTTTTTTTTCCAATTTTTTTTTTTTTTTTTTTTTTTTTTTTTTTTTTTTTTTTTGTTTGTTTGTCCAATGATGTTATCATAAAATTTAATCATTGTTTATGTATGTTTGTTTACATAATTAACACACTTTTATTTTTTTTTTTTGCATTTTAAAAAAATTTGTATTTAAGGGGAATCCTAATCGCAACCACCACCCCACTCACAACACATTGAAACACAAATATAACATAACATTGTTTTTAATTACACACTGTTTAAATTCGTATGCATCTTTTTCCCTACTGCCCTTTCAATTTTTCCGGCCCTCATTTTTTTTTTTTTTTTTTTTTTTTTTTTTGTTTAATTATATAGTATGTCGTAATTCCCCACATTTGAAGCCACAGTTTCTTAAAACATAAACAGACGAGAACAAATTACGTGAATACTTCATCGAAGAAACTCTTACATAACTACGTATGCATTTCATATTCATTTCGAACGTTTTTTCATGTGTATTTCCAGAGTACACTAACACATTCGTGAAAATCTCACATATGCATTTTTGTGAAGATACTTTCCATTACGTAATTGTATGCATATGATATCTGCATACCTTCTATCACAAGCATGTATGATTGTAAGCACTAATAAGTATGCATACGTGCATATATTCAGCTCTATTTTATGCACGTACACATAAATACATATAAGCGAATATTTATGTACCACTCGTTTGCCATTGCATACACATGCATTTCTAATCGAATACATATGCATATTTGTATGTGTATCCTAGTGCATACTTACATTATTACATCAACTCGTGCACAAGTGCTTGTTCGAATATGTATGAATATGACAGTGCATATCAGTGTACTTATACGAAGGAATACATTCTCTTGTTTATGTGCAATTGCATCCACATGTTTATGCCAAAGCATACTTGTACTTTTATGTGAATGCATACTTCATAAGTGTAACTGTATGCATATTTTACAAGTGTAATTGTATGCATACTTCAAAAGTGTAATTGTATGCATACTTCAAAAGTGTAATTGTATGCATACTTCAAAAGTGTAATTGTATGCATACTTCAAGAGTGTAATTGTATATATACTTCACAAGTGAATATACACCTCGCCCTCCTGTGTGTGTATGCAAAATCATAAGCACATTAATTTGTACACGTGTGCCTCCAATTTGAAGTGCTGAAAACACTTGCACCAAGTACAAACTACGTATGCATTTCTAAATTTTATTGTCATATTAAGCGCAGAAACGTGAAGCAAAAAAAAAAAAAAAAAAAAAAAAATAGAAAAATCGAAGAGGACGAAAAAACAAATCAGGTCAAAACCAAACTATTACATATTCATTTGTGTTCTTTTTTTTTTCATTTTTTTTTTTTTTTTATGAAAATATATAAAATAAAAAGAAAATACACGATATAATACTTTTGTTTAAACTTGCACCCTTTTATAAATAATAAATTTTCATATATATATATATATGCATATTTATGAATTAAGTATATGTTTTCATATCTGATCTTTTCTTTATCTTTATCTTTTTTTTTTTAAGATATTTTCTTTTTAAAAGTCAGAAATGTGTACACGACACGATTTGAAAATAGTAACATATTTGTTGTTTTAAATTGTGATTTACCTTTTGTCCAAACAGCTCAGATGTTGCTTCATTCCTTATTTTTCATGCATTACAAATGTATTTTCTCCTGTGCTTTTCATTTAAATTTCGTACATTTTGCTTAAATTATCCATATAGCTTTCATTTTTACGTTTGACGTTGCAATGACTTTCCATTACATACCTGCTCCCCTCTTAATTTATTAAAGAGCTTAAATAAGCAATAACGTATTTTTTAAATTACATATATTCCCTGAGTTTATAGTTATTTTTATCTCAGCGTTTAAAACGTAAGTTCTGGCATCTAAACGTACATGGGAGTATATATTAATGCATTTCGAAAGCTTATCTAATTGAAGTGCGAGGGGAGTGCAAATGTATTCATATTCACACGTACGCAAGCACACAATCTTGTCACACGTGTATGTGTTCATCCTGACGTACATTTAATACATAAATCATATTCTCACACAAACTTATGGCCAAATATAAAGCATAATTTATACCAACCATTAACATCCTGCATATTCTTACACACGCGTGTTAACCATTTGTTTTTATGTGTAATTTTTAATTTAAATAAAAAAACAAAAAGTTAAAAGAGAAACAAAAAGAGGAAAAAAAAGGAGAAAAGAGAAGGGAAAAAAAAAAAAAAAAAAAAAAAAAAAAAAAAAAAAACTTGTGTATATCTTCCCCAATTTTCTTTAATATTTTTCTTCGTGTGACGACAGCCCATTGTTTCTTCATCATTTCCTTTGACAATTCTATTTCAGTTATATGTGCTCAGCACTTATGTAAACATTTTTCACAGGCAGAAATTTATGATCAGTAATTACAACACATGAACAGTTGTAACTACATATGATCAGTAGTGATAATACATGAATGGTTAAGACTGCACGTGAACAGTTTGTGTAACCGTATATAGAATTAGATGTGATTTCTTATGACTCATTATAACTACGTACATAATTGCGTGTACCTGTAAACGAATTTCCCGACAAGTGTATAATTCCAAAAGGTATTCTTTGCCTTATCTTGTCATTTTAATTTTTCTTGCTTCTCATTTTTACCACCCGCATTCGTGGAAGCGAATTAATTAAAAAGGAATAAAATGAATAATAATTTTAAAAATGAAAATTTCAAAGAAGACAATTATATTAAGGCCTGGATTAAGCAATCGGAAAACCCGGAGCTTTATAAGAATTGGAATGACATAGATGATCAAACTTACCCAAACGAATTGGTAAAAGTTGTTGACTTCAACAATTTCAATAGTAACCTTATAAATACAATTATGACAGAACATTCTCCTGATATATCAAAAAAAAAAAAAAAAAGGAAAGCATACAGTTTATTTTATAGTAATGAAATATATCCAGAAAGTAATAACCACTCATGTAATGAAGAAAATAATAATTATTACCATGGTATGTATCCAACTTGTGATGATAGCGATGGTAGTGATGATAGATATTTTACTTCATTGGATAAAACTCCTGTAGAAGGTAATGTGGATGATAAACTTAAGTTACAATGTAAAGATGAAAAAAGACGTATTTCAATTAAAAAGGTGAAAAGAGAAAACGTTTTTTCTGAAAATAATTATAATGAAATGATGTGTGGTAATTTTATCAATTCATCACCAATTATAAAATTAAAGGAGTTTACAAAACCAAGTTATGGAAGTGAAAGTACGAGTGAATTTTTTAATAATTATGATTTTGAAACCCCAGTTAAAATGCTAAATTCTAAAAAAAAGACATATCATTATAAAACTAAAAAAGACAATAGTACAACAAACACAACAAAAGAAAACTCCTCGCAGGAAAATGTTTCATCCAATAATAGTGAAACCAAACGTATTATCAACTTTTCAAATAAAACAGAAGATTTTAATGATTTGCATTATAATTCAGAAAACGATTTCTTAACTTCATCAGAATATGTGGATGATGATGATTCATCAAGATGTTCTAACAAGAAACAAAGTGAAGTTAACTTTCTCGGACAGAGATTAGACTATAAGGTAGTAGGAAATGTCATAAATATTTCCAAAGATCATCCGCATTTTACTATGCTGTGAAGAGGAAACAGGGAGGGATGAAATAGTTTTTAGTGTCACACATACGAATTAGTTCTTATCATTTTTGTTATTCAAAATGTTTTTTTTTTTTTTTTTTTTTTTTTTTCCCATTCGATGGAATTTCCAAAATCAATTTCCTACAGGGTAGAACGAAATACACAGAATTATGTATGATGTGAGCATTTATGAATGAAAAAAAAAAAAAAAAAAAAAAAAAATCTTTGTAAGTTTAAACACATCTCAGATTTACAACAATTAATTGTTTTTACCTTATTGCTAAGTAATTGTATTCAAGTTCAAAAATGTTATTGTAAATTTTTTGATATCAAAATGGGATATAATATGTATATGTACACACACATACATATACACGTTTACAATATACAACATTTATTTCTTTCTTTCTTTCCATTTTCATTTCCTCCCTCTCCTTTATTTTTTTTTTTTTTTTTTTTTTTTTTTTACGTTAACAATTTATTTATGCCCATATAATAATGATAAAACAAATTAAATTATAAAATCTGTATGTCATAATTTATAATAGGAAAGGATATGACATGTATTTTTTTTTTTATTTTATTTTTTTTTTTCTTGCAATTTCTTTCAGTAAATTAGGATATAAACCCATTTGTCACTTTTTTTTTTTTTTTTTTCTTATTTCTATATAAGTTCCCATCAATTTAGAAAAAAGCAAAAACTTTCATAAAATGATTTTTTTTTCATTTATATGTAGTCTCAACAATGAGCATAATTTAATTATATGCATATTTATTTGTATATATATATGTACCCTTTTTTTTATTTTTTTTAAAATATGACTTTTAAGCATTAAAAAAGTCTATATAGCTATTTATGATTGTTTTATGTGTATGACGGATATACAAACGTGAGGAAATGGTAATAGGTGGAAAGGATTGATTTTAACTAGTTCCTATTTCGAAATGCTCAAGTTAGGTTACTTGTGACAATTTCGTATGATATCTTTTTGCTTGTTGTTTCTTTTAAACTTACAAAATATATTATTAATTTCCAAAAAAAAGTAAAGGATTGATCAAAATGTTCCTATGGTATATGTATCATATGTGTACCCCTTTTCATTGCAAATGCACACAAGTCCGCATATACATGACTTTTTGTCTATGCTAATTTTTTGAGAACAGTTTTTCTATAACTATTGTATAAAAAAAAGGTGTGCTTTTAATTTGGTCTTCTGTTACACATGCCACATCCAATGAGTGTATTCTTATAGTCTTTTTTTTTTTTTTTTTATTATTATTCACTCTCTTGGAAGTTTGTTAAACATTGCTTTGCGTTTTTTTTTCTTTTTTGTATTTTTTTTTTGTTTTCATTTTCATGCAACATCAACATGATGAAAGGGTAAAGGCGTAAGGTAAATTAAATTTAACATAAATTCACAAACTGATGCTGTGGCACATATGTGCACTCTGACATTGCCACATAAATAAAAAAAAAAAAAATTAGTTTTTATGCAATTTTATTGCGCAAAATGGCTATACCCACTTAATTTCACAAATGGACATAACAAACTTAATTGCACACAATATGACGCTGCCACTACACTACGCAAGAGGAATGCACAACAATTGAGTAAATGAATTAATCCAATTGGAAAGATACCCAATTGTGATAATGAAGCCACATAATAAAAATCAGTCTGCAACTGTAAAAACCGCTGAATTTATTTATTTAATTTTTTCTCTCTGTCTCAACAATACATTTGGTTATAAACCTCGCAGAGCGGTGGCTTATAACACTGCCCCTGTAATATTTATGAGCCCTAAAATGTGTATTTAATAAGGACGCGCACAAAAACATATATACAAAACAAGGTGTGTAACATAATACATGTGCCTCATGCGTCTTTGTACGTAAAAACAAACACACGTAAAATGGACTAAAGTGTCCCCATATAAGGTGGTGACATATATGTTTTATACATATATGTATGTGCCTTTATTTAAACGCAAACATATTTCAAGACTCTACTGATAATAATATGAGAGGCATATATTGTAAAGAAAAATTAAAAAATGAAAAGGAAAATAAAGGAAAAAAATGAAAAGGAGAAAAAAGGAAAAAATTAAAAAATATCAAAATGTGTTTTTTTTTCTTTTTTTTTCCTTAGTAATAATAGTGGGGAAAAAATAACTTCCCTATTCGTAATATAACAAATGGCTGTAATAGGACTTCGTTAATTATTCCCAACAAATCACAACCTCCTTTTTTTTTTTTTTTTTTTTTTTTTTTTTTTCCCTATATTGATAATTTTGATCATTTAAAAAAAAAAAAAAAATTACCCATTTGTGAGCTCTCTTCAATAGTGATTTTTTTTTTTTTTTTTTTTTTTCCCCCCCCTCTGTAATGATTAGTTTTTACATTATATCATCTTCTGGGCTTTGAAGTAACCCCACTTTTGCAAATCCCTTTTGGTGTCTTTAATTTTTCTTGTCCACCCATTTTTCAAAGAATCAAATTCTTTTAAAGAATATTTCTTTAAGAATTCATCTTTTTTTTCTTCTAATTTATTAAGCTCTAATTGTAATAACTCGAGCCAGTAGTCACTCATATCTTTTACCTCTACATTTTTGAAATTACAAGATTTAATCAAATCACCATATTCCTGAATAGGCAGCAGGGTGTATTTTCTGTTGTTAACATACTCTTTAAATTCTTCATCCCATTTTTCTATTTTATCAGCACAATAATCTGTTATCAAAAGTATTCCATTTGGCTTTATCCACTTATAGCATTTTTCAAATAATAATTTCTTATTAGCGAATGATAAATGTAAAATAGAATCTCTGCTATATATCATGTCGAAAGTGTTTTCAGGAAAATCTTTCTTAAGAATATCTATAGCTTCAAATTCGATATTAGCTTTATCTTTATTCCTTAGTTTTGCAATGGTAACCATCTTTTGGCATATATCAACGCCATAAACATGTGATCCGTATTTCATATTTATGTATTTGCAACCTCCTCCTAGGCCTGATCCTATGTCTATGGGATCATAAAATGGTTTTGCATAAATTAGTACAGGGGGATAAAAATTGATGCAAATGCAATACAAATTCGGATAAATGAAAATGGAAAAAAAAAAAAAAAAAAAAGGGGGCGCAAAAAAATCAAGCCACAGAACGCATGTACATAATGCAAAACCTACAGAAGAAGCGTTTCTAAATATCATTTCATTACCTAATACTTTCGAATTTGCTTCCAAATGAATGTCGCTTAAAATTTTCTTTGTAGCGGTTAATCCTCCTGAGGAAATATAATCCCTGTAAAGACAAAGAGAGGACTGATAAAGTAAGTTTGCGAAAATCATATGATGCACTCACCCATGGGGTCTCATGCGTGTACAGACACACGTTGACATGACATTTGGAGGTGTGTGTAAAGTAAAGAGGAGTTAATAAAAAAAAGGATCTTCAGTAAATCTCTCATCTTTATTCCAGTTTATTCCATTTATTACTCTCCAAATATAAATTCATAGGCCTTTATTCCTATACGTTTAAACATAAGGGTGGGGAGAGGGGAAAAAAAAAAAGAAAAAGATAAATGTAAATATTTAGTTGTTTCCTTATAATAACATTTGCACGCTTAATAACATACGAAATGATTGTAGAGGTTCATATTATAATTACCTTCATCAGAGTATTGGTTATTCTCTAGGTATTTGATATCTACAGATTCGTTAATCATTTTTCTCAATACAGGTAAAAATAAAATCAAAAAAAAATTAAAAAGTAGTACTTTTTTGTATTAAGCGTGAGTGATTAGTGCTGATATGATAAACAATAACGACTGATTTTACAAATGCAGGAAAATGAATACGAAGAAAAAAAAAGCAAAAAACATCGAAATAAAAAAAAAATAAGAAAAAAATAAGAAAAAAATATATTTTTATTCTTCTTAATCTTGAAAAGTAACACTTTATAATTATTTTTCGTTTTCAAAAATTTTCTTATAATGTGTTAACTTTTGTGAAATACGTTTAAAAACAAGCAAAAAAATAAAAAGTGTGTTATATTTTGGGCAATGTATTTAAAAATATATTCTAATTCAAAAAATTTTTCTTATTAAAATGACTTTGCTTATTAAAATATTATTTTTCACATGAAAAATTTTTTTTTCCTTAAAATTTATTTTTAATTCAAAGCAACACTTTTTCATTTCTTTTTAATGTTCTTCCAAATGCATGCATGTGTTTCGTAGGGATTAAAATAAAAAAGATTTTGTCGAGGGCATGTAGTTTTACACCATTTTTGCGTGCTTAACAAAAATATGTGCTAAGAATTACACTCATAAGATTGAGTTCATAAATAATTTTTTTTTTATTTCTTACTTCACATACACATATAGATGGTACATTCGTACAAACAAAGCATATACTTTATGCATACATATGCATATATTTTATATATATACACATATGTGCATCCAACAGGGTCTGGATGCTTATCCCCCCCTCCCATATCTTCACAAACGTGAACATGAATTTACTTTTGCGAAATTTAAAGTAAAATGTTGACGAGCAAGTACATGTCTCTTTGAGTCCACAAGCCTTCACCAATCTTCATCGACTGAAAGTAACTTTGTGGTACACTTGCGTGACAAGGAACACACACTTTTTTTCCTTACCAAAGCAGTTTCTTAATTCGAAAATATACATATTATATATATGTATATATATAAGAATATATATATAAGCAAAAGCATATATATATATGTGAACATCCATAGATTTACAGGTGCATGCCCTTGCGTTCCACATATGCAAAGCTTAAACTTTTGTGTGAACCATTGTTGAAAAACACGTGAAAGTGAAAAAAAAAAAAAAAAATCTTTGCTCTTTTTTTCTACAAACCTTAATCTCTCTGGGTCATTAGGAAATGGATATGACGTGGAAAGAGGCTACTGTGTTGCGGAAACGTGGCCAAACGACTTTTTAAATAACAATTTTTGCCGCAAAAAAAAGGGATAAAAAAAAAAAAAAAAAAAAAAATTTTTTTTTTTTTACCTAGATCGATAATAAAAAAATAGGATCTTTCTTTTTAGACACACCACCCTTCTCTCTAAAATGGCAAAAAAAAGGGAGATATATATAACGAAAAAAAAAAAAAAAAAAATCCTCTTTTTTTTACATAGGATAAGAAACAATTAGTAAATATCTCTTTTTTTTCTGTACCCCTTTTTTTTTTTTTTTTGGAAACACTTTTTTAAAAAATAAGGATTTTCATAGTTGAATATAAAATTCCACTGTTCATTTTTGGCCCTTTGGAATATTTTTGGGACACACAAAAAAAAAATTTTCCTTATATAAACATAGTACACTATAGGACGAACCTGCAATTTTAAATCTCCACTAAGTTATACATATGTATAACAATATCATTCATGTATGCATGCACTTGTTTGCTCACCCATGAATTTTCATTATATATATAAATATGTTAAAACATGCAATCCCTTACTCATATGTTCATAAATGTCCAGATTTACGCAGATAGATAAATAAAAAAAAAAGAGAAAAGGAGGATCTCTCCCCATATCAACGTACAAATGAGTTTCACACCAGCAACTAAAAACATTTGCATGTAAGAGGTTGAATGTACCTATATGTCATGCATACGTTTATTTATATGTATTATATGTATGCGTTAAAATATTTTTTTCGACTAGTGTTTAAACCCCTGTTCCGTCGCTACTATATGCAACCTCATTCTTATGAAACACTTAAATTTTATTTGCATCAGTTTACTGAATATTGAAAAGGTTAAGTAGGTTAAAAAAAAAATTTGTCCCTCCAAAAACGCACGTGATTTTATATAAGAACCTACTAACGGGATTTACAGAACAGTTTCAGCGCAGTTTCGAGGGAAAAAAAAAAAAAAAAAAAAAAAAAAATACAAGTTCTAATAAATGCGTACAATAACCCATATATAAATATTATATAGAATATTATAAGCATCATTGGATACGTAATAACTCTGAAGCATGTATTTATTATATATCCTTCTGCCTCCAAATCAGGTGACTCTATATTTATGAGGAGGGGAAAATGGTTTTGATGCCCTGCATGCTTTCATAAAATTTTATTTCTCACTTTTTTCATTCAAAGAAAATCTTTGCGTTTTATTTTTATACATTTAACTTTGATTTCTCGAATGTACATATATTTATGTATATATATATAGTTTGAAATACATATTTATTTGCAAATAATTCCCTTTTTTCACAAAAAAAAATATATATATATATATATATATATATATATTAAACCACAATTTTGAGAACAAAGGGGAAGAAAATTAAAAAAAAAAATAAAATCACTTTTCACAAGAACAAAAAATACATTACATAGTACATTCAATTTAATAAGTGTTTTTTTGTTTCCACAAATTTTATATCATTTAATGCTTTCTTTTTTTTTTTTTTTTTTAAGTTTTGTTTTTTTCCCCTCTTTAATAAAAATTCAGGAGAGACATCAAACTTGTGATGCTTAATCCTTGAATTCAGCTAAGGGGAAAAAAGTGGCATATATATATATATATATATTATTTCCATATCCGTAACTATATCCAAGTACATATATATAACTACACATTTATACGTCTATCTGAGTAAGAAATAATATATTTATAGAAAACAAGCAACAGTGACAAAAAAGAAAAGTCTCCATTTTATTTAGAGACAATTTTGCGCAAAAAAGTGTGCAGAATGTTTTTGTAAAAAGCATGGTCAGTTAAGAGCAAAAAAGAAACAACCAATTCGTGTGGCACGTAACTCAAAATATTTTACAAAATTGTAGACATCACCACTGTACTTAGTCTCCTCATTAAGTACCTCCCCATTTTACCCATTTTGAAAGGGGGTAAAATAGTAAGTAAAGGAACTGGGGTAAGGTCTCACATGTGACAGAAACAAAAAGAGTTGTAAAAAAAGATAAACGAAAGAGAAAAAAAAAAAAAAATTTTTGCAGACAAACAAAGCAAACATTTACCACACATACCAAACAGACATATAGAACGATAATTTAACAGCATTGGTATATTCTACATATGTATTTATTCGTACATATACCAACAAAATAAAGATAATGATTTCAACGAGTATAAAGAGAAAAACAAGGAAAAAAAAATGAATGAAAAATTAAACGAAACGAAAGAAGAAAATACACAAAATGAGGAAGGGGTGTATGCAAATTTGACCCATAAGGGAGATAATATTTTTGTACCCACATGCTTTGATGAAAACTATCTAAATATTAACAATCGTATAGCGGATAAAAATTGTCTTTTTTTATCACATTTACATGATAAAAGAAACAATCCCGATTGTTATTTAGGGAATGTTTCGAATGTAAATATGAGAAATACATATGACACCACAAAATGCACCATAAATAATTTCATTAATGAAGGGGAATGTAGAACCCCTCGAGGAGATAGAAAATATGTTTTGGTTATGGATCATAAGACGAATAACGCCAAGAATATATCAAATATTTTAGTTAACAATCAAGAAATTTTTAATCAAAACGATGATAGTTGTTCGTACGATGCAAATTCCAATATGGGAATTCCAGATAAGAAGGAAAATCAAAAGAATTACGTAAACAATTACACAAATTTGAATAGTAACAGTTACACTAACGTGAATGGTAATAGTTACACCAACGTGAATGGTAACAGTTACACCAACGTGAATGATAACACTTACACAAATGTGAATGGTAACAGTAACACCAACGTGAATGATAATAATTACTCGGTACCCACATTATGCAGTAATTACAATGATTTAATTTTTCACAAAAATGACTTGTGTAATGGTGAAATAAATAATATTATTTTGGAAGAAACACAGGTAGGGAACAGTAATTTACAATGCAGCCACATGAATATTATACCAGAGCCGTGCAGTGACAATATGGTAATTTATCCGAATCATATTAATAATATGGAACAGGATCGTATAATTAATACCAAAGTCGAAATTCCAAATTTCTATAATCGTAATAATAACAATGCAACTCTTGTGAATTACTTAATCGAAAACAGTGATCAGAAGTATATACAAAATAATTTAATGAGCTATGAATCTGTCTGGAGAGGTAGGAACGATTTGAGGAGTAATAATCTGTGTAATAACAATCTGAGTGGTAGCGGAGCCCAAGGCAGTGCTCAAAATAGAAACGAGCACATTGCAAAGTGTGGTAACATGGTGCATTACAATCAAGATTGCACGTCGTTGCCATATAATGAATATGCATATTTAAACCACCATTTCAGCAAGAATGATACAAAGAACAGTATAAATATTACCAGTGATGCATATTTTAATAACAATCCAAGAAATAATTTAATATATAATCAAAATTTATACCCGAATTATGGTGGTGACATTGGCGATGGTGCTAATAATGGAATCTATCCTAACGAAGACATAATGATAGCACCAGTTACTGAAGAATCACATTTAATTTCTGAAAAGACATGTATAACTAAAAATGATAATTACAACATTAGTAATGACCACCACACAACAACGCCTCATGGTGTTATGACTAATCAAATGACTCCCATGAATAACACAGAATCATCATTACCCACAAATGAATGGAATAATAACGATCTTAACAACACACATATGAATACTTTAAATTATCGAATTGGGAAGAAGTATAACATTTTGCATAATAACGAACAACACCCGATAGGTAACAGTGCTTATATGCAAATTAACCACGATCATCAGCAGAAGCAAATGTTTCTAAGCAATAATCTATCTTTGAGTAGAAATGAATTTTCATCCCATGATTTCATGAACGGCAATTCTATGCATCTACACAACACTTATGTTACTTATCCAGTGAGTAATGAACAACCAGGGGGAGCAAGTTTTAGTAATCATGTTTGCACCAAGACGGATGGCATTTCCAATTCTGCTGATCCTATCCCTTTTCACAATCTTGGTCGTAATTGTGGCGATAATTATGATCATAACTGTGGCTGTAACTATGGAAGTAACCAAGTGAACAATGATATACGTATCTATGAGTTCAAACATACCAATAATCATAGCAGTAACAATAATAGAGATCACATATCACACGAAGAAGGAGGAAATCCAATGGAGAGTGAACAAGTACCAATTCAATTTGATCAACAAACGAATACTATTAAAAATGAACGAATTCATGACGAGGAAAGAAGAATTAAGCACCCATTAACATTGAATCAATATGTACATGCCAATAGTTGTATCCCATTGATCAACAGAAACGCAAAAAGTAATTTTTTCCCCACTTTTGTAAATAATAAAATCGAAGATTGTAAATATTCAGGGGAAGAGGGAGAAATACCAATGAATGTTAACTATTACGTTAACAACTCAGAAAAAAGTGGATACCCCATTGATGATAATCATATGGAAAATCGTGGAAGGCAGGTGAAATGGGACAAAAGCAACAAAATTCTTGGTGAGAACAGTGAGTTGACACCAGCGTGGTTAACACAAGGGAGCTACCACGAGGAGATTATGAATGGCCCGATGAATGGCCCGATGAATGGCCCGATGAATGGCCCGATGAATAGCCCGATGAATGGCCCGATGAATAGCCCGATGAATGGCCCGATGAATAGCCCGATGAATGGCCCGATGAATGACCCGATGAATGGCCCGATGAATGACCCGATGAATGACCCGATGAATGGCCCGATGAATGACCCGATGAATGACCCGATGAATGGCGAGAAAATGAGTCAAAAGAGTATAATTCAAACCAATGACAATTGCTATAACACTTTCATTACTCGTAACTCCCCTATTAATAATAACGCTTTGGAAAGTTCAAGTATCATGGCGGAGAGAAATATAAGTAGTAGTAATTCTCACTTGCTGAGGTTGTCGAACACACAAAATGGAATTAATAATGAAAGTAAAGAAATTTTACAGCAGATAATGATGTATAATTTGTACATGCAGTCGTTATTAAATAATCCCAATGGTGTAATTGAGATGAATCCACATGTTAATGAAAAAAAGGATCAATTAATATTATTTAATTTAAAAAATATGCAAAATAAAATATCTAAAAAAATTCCACAAATAAGTAATAATTATTTAGCATATTTAGATTATTATATAGGTTCATTGAGACTATTATACAATAAAGTGTTAAGTAACAGAAATTTGATATTTATATTGGCAAAAGAAATATTTTCTAAAAAAACAAAAAATGATAAAATAATATACAATAATGATAATAACTCCTCCACATTTGACTCCAAACATTCATATGTTCAAGAATTATTAACAGCACTTTTACCGAAACCTCCCATTTTCCCACCATTCGAAATTTGGATTTATATGGGGAAAAAAAATGCTAGTCATTTACATAAACTTCATTTAACTATATATATAATTTATCAGAAAATAATTTGTAACATATCAAATATATTGCTAAAAATAAATAACGACATGGTGAATTACACAAGTAAGAATAAATTTAGCAAAAGAAATGGAACCGATTCGATTAATGACTATGTGCATGACCATGCAGAGAGAATAAAACGACCGGACTTCCCATTTTTAGGAAATGGTATCAGTGACAACATTTCCAAGGAGGAAATTTCTGACAATCTGGACTACCCCATCGATCCTTCTTCCGTTGATCATATGGAAATGGCGAATCATGCACCAGATGTGAATGTCGTCATACCAGGTGTGAATGTCGTCATACCAGATGTGAATGCCATACCAGATGTGAATGCCATACCAGATATGAACGCCATACCAGATGTGAATGCCATACCAGATGTGAATGCCATACCAGATGTGAATGCCATACCTGATGTGAATAACACATCAGATGATCCTAATACACATGATGACAAATGCTTAGCAGCCAATGCAGCATGTGTCCCCATGGAGGAAGAAGGGATGGAAAATCATGAGAACTACACGTATAGCAAAGATGGTGAAAGGAATTACAAACAAATGGACATACCGAAAAAATGCTTATTCAGAATTGACCAGAAGTTAGAGAATATAATGGATTCAATTAATAACATAAGTGAAATGATGAACATGTGGAAAGAATCAAAAATTCCTAACGAAGAACGCCACATAATTTCTGAGGTTAACGAAATAGAAAACAGGAGTAGTAGCGGTAAGAGGAAGCCATCAGTTGAACACACGGATGAGGAAAGTGACCAACCAAACTTGTTACAGAAAGAAGAACATAAAGGTGTTGCATGTGAAGAGGGGGATGGAAACGAATATAATGATAAGAATCAAGTTGAAAATGAAGGGGAAGCTATTGCTAAACATGTGCAAAATATAAGTGAATCTATTACCATAGAGGAAACCCTCGAAGGAGAGGAAGGAGAGACAGAACATGCAGCAGAGGCAGCACATGTGGTTAACCCGAAGGATAGACAAATAGTTGCATACGATGATTTAAAAAATAGTGATAAATCCTTTTTTGAAAAAGTGTCCAAGATAAAATTGGATTATAGAAATTCCGTAGGCAAAGATTGTCCTTTAAAATTGTTAAACGAATTGAAAAATGAATTGCAAAATGTGTATAAGGAAATACGAACTTTAAAAAAATATGGTAATTACATATCCAGTAGTAGTAACAAGGAGAATAGAAACTCCTTAGAATTGGTGAATCCAAAGAATATCTACGTCTCCACCACTGCAACTTCGAATGATGACTGTGATGTAGATTCTGATGTGAATCTAAAAACACCAGATGAGACATTCTATTTGAAGAGCTTGTTATGTAGCGAAAATATAAATTCGAATTTTCCCATAAGTTCATGCACGAATGATTTTTACAACTTTTCGAATAACAAAAATGGAAGTAAGGAAAAATTGAAAAAACAAAACAAATTGCTAAACAGTCTCATAAATAGTACTATATGTTCTAAAGAAAATATGAATAATGATGTAATATATGATTTAAATTATAACGATGATATTTTTAAAAAACTTATATTTTTATCACGAAATTTTTATAATAATATATCCGAATATGATAGTTATTCCCTTGATTCATATGACAAAAATTCAGTCAAGTTAACAAATATTACTGAATTGAACAAATTTAGCTACTGTATGAATAATGAGAAATTAGTTTCCAATAAACCATTACTCCCCAGTGGTGAAGTATACCATGATAATTTCATACAATTGAATAAAGATGAACTTACAACCCTGAACCCTGAACCAGTAGAAATACCCAGGCCTATAAGCAACGAGAATTGTGAAATTTATATTTATACTAATGAGAATCAAGGTTCTTCTTCTCCTCCTGTCAAATTGGATAGAACCCTCTACAACTGTATCCCAAATTTAGACACATGCAATGGGAGAGGACTTAGCACAGGGGTGGTACTATCCAATAGTAATCTTGTACAAAAAATGAATTACAAAAATACAAATTTGCAAAACAGTTGTGAGTTCAATATTCCTGAAAATTCAACTTTTAATAATCACAACAATGAGAAGGGTAAAAATAATTCCCTTTTGGTACAACCTGTTGAGGAAAAAGAAGATAAGGAAAATGTGCACAAAATGGATTCACCTTTAACTGATAATGTTGTGCTATCGAAAAATAACGAAATAGTACCTCTAATTGATGACATTAAACTTTGTAATAACACCATAGGGCATGATTACACGGTTTCACCAATGAGAATTTGTATGAACAGTAACAAAGAAATCTTTTTGAATAGGAACAATGAGAGCTACATAGTAGGTAATCCATCAAATCATAATGACCAAGCCCTATTTAATGACAGTTCAGAGTTCAAAAATGAATTTAGGGAAAATTCTCAAACGATGGTTTCACAGAATAGTGTAAACAAAAAACATAACTATGCATCTGATGGATCCTCGGATAGTAGAAAAAATGGCGTAAATTATAGCAACTTTTATTTAAATTCTAATAATGGAGATTATGAACAATTGAAAACACATTGTAGAAGTTCATTGGCGAGAAGTGACAACAACAATAGTGGTGTTCAAAGTCAAAAGGAAATTCCCCTTAGCGATGCACAAAATGGGCTTCATAATATGAGCCATAGCAACCAATTTAATCACCTGAATCGGGACATTGAACAGATTCATGACGGCCTTGCTTCTGCTTCTGCGGAAGATGTGGAAAACGCGCATCATAGAGAGAATATCCCCTTTATGAAGGAAAAAAATACGTACGTACATGACTCAGGGGTGCCTGATGCATTTATCAGGAATAAGAATAATCAATTTGTATATTCAAAAAATGAAGAACTAATAAAACAAGGAGGAAACCTAATGAACAATTATTACTGGGAGAATGAAATAGCCAAAACTGAAAATTCTAATTATCCATTGAACAATAGACAAAATATGTATTACACGAATGGAGAAAATTTATCAACATACATTATAAACGAAAAGGGATTAATTAGTAATAACAATATAGAAAAATATGAATCCTGTAATCCAAGAGCATATGAAACTAACATGAATGGAAACATGAGTAATAATGGTTCCTTTCAGGGATTCAATGCACCATTAGCTTATGTGCATGATAATGAAAATTACATTAACAATAATTTAACAGGAAATGAACAGAATTATAATATACTTATATCCCCTTATGATAAAAATCAAGAATTTGGTATTATTAATTGTATGCCTCTGCATGAATGCACGTCGAATGAGTGTGTTTCACGTGATTGTACAACAGGTGGACATGCATTAAATGAAACAAATTTGCTAAATCATAAAGAAATAAACAATAATGTAAATTATTTCATTGATGAGAATTCAATTTCGAACATGTTCAACAGTTCAAGTATGCAAAATGAAGTTCATAATAGAATTTTTGAAAAAGAAATGAAAAGGAACAAATTCACAACAAATGAAATGATGGCCCATAATGCCAGGAATCAATTGGCTATTAATCAATATACAAAATGTGAAGATCAAGGGTGGAATGTGAACTATACAGATAAAGAACCAACAAAAATGACAAATGCTACAAGCACAGGTGAGGTAAACATGTTTAAAGGTGGAAATAAGGAAGATGAAATTGTCATAGAAAAAAGGAATAAAAATAATATGAAATACTTAAATAACATCGAGTTAAGGGACACAACAGATGATGTATCAGATTGTGAAATAAACAATGGTGATATTTACAACCTAGGAGATGACGATGATGAAAATACTCTTGAAGAAGCTGCTTCTAATATAATAAAAAATGACCTTGTCACGAATGACGTATCAGAATGTTTGAAGATCACCCAAAATGGGCTAAACGGCGCAAACTGCGCAAATACAGAATTGTGGACCGAAGAAGACATAAATTTATGTAATTTAAAAAGTGATGAAATGATGATGAACAAAAAGAAGAACCCCCTGCATAAGAGTGTATCCACTGGATCACCCAATGATCATTCTGAAATTCAAAACCAGAAAGGAGAAAATTTAGCAAATGATATAAATAAAATAAAATTAAAGAAAATGCTTGAAATTACTGATAAATTAATAGGGAAAAAATACAGAGGTATATCATATGATCCTACAAGAAATGGATGGTCAACCTTTGTATATAAAGATGGAGTTCGACATAAAAAATTTTTTTCTTCCTATAAATATGGAAACTTATTAGCAAAAAAAAAATCTATAGAATGGAGATTAAAAAATTTAAGCCCAGATTCTCATGCATATGCATTTTCATTAAAAGCTAAAGAAGAATTCAATGCCATTCTAAATGATGATTATGAAAATGTTAGTGATATGAATTATGACAATAGAGAAGGGAGTAATTTGGACAACTCAAATAACAGGGATATATTATATGTAAATGCTTTTCTCAACCTTTTTAACAATGAACATGAAGAGAAGAAAGGATCATCTGATGAAGAAGCATTATGTAAAATGAGAAAATCGAACAAGAGTGAATTAACAAGAAATTCATCCAGAAAAAATAAAAAGAACAGAGGAAAAGCAGGTGCAGTACCGGGATGTGGTGGGCTTGTCCATTCTATGGGGAAAAATAACGACAGAGTTAAAGAAAAATCGGAGGAATCCAAACTTTTCAATGGAGTTAGTATAATTGCAAAGGATGATGATGATGATGATAACCACCAGGAGGATATTGTGACAAGCCCAAATGGGAACAATAAAGATGGGAGTAGCAACAACAATGGACGTACAAATGAATGTGCACATGGAAGCGCACGTCAAAATGGATATGAAAAAGAAAATTGTAAAGAAAATAAACTAGCAGAGCAAAATACTAATATAATCAGCCAGACATGTGATAAGGATAACGTCGTATTACCTTACAATGACGATTTGTTTGTTTACAAAGATTATTGCATGAGACCACTAAATGTGGGGGAGGAGAAGAAGAATATGAATTCAACAAATTCCCAAAATGGAAAGGAAGCAAAAAATGGATCTCATTGTGAAATTAATAAATTAATTACTAATGAGCAAGGGAAATCAATGCAAGAAGAAAAGTTTTATGAACAACAATCAGCATATTACCAAAATGGAAATAGTGAAAACACGAATCTAATAGATGATTGTCTCAATTCAAATAAGTTATCACTTCCAAACTGTGATTTCATCGTCCCAAATGGTAAAAAAGTAGACACATTATTTGTAAATGAAAATAATTGCTCATTTATCCGATGGGGTGAAGGAAATGGAAAAAAGAGAAAAAGGAGCCATATCACAAAAGATGGAGAAATTTCTAGCAGAACAAGTGAGGGAAGTAGAAGTAATAGTAGTAGTAGTAGTACAGTAAGGAATGGAAAAATTAATTCTGTATGCACACGTGAAACATTGAATAATAGTGTGTATTCCCAACACGATGCTGCGTTGGGTGATTGTAGCGAAAATACCATCTGTGATGATTTCAGTAGTTATGAATTAGGAAATTGTAATAATGGCAGAGATTATCCAAGTGATGGAAACGATAAGGATATGCCACAAAAGGAGCTGAAATTCACGCAGGTGCATTCTATAAATGGAAATTGTTCCATTAATAATGACATTATATATACAAATGAAAGAAACACGCGTAGGAATGATAACTGCATAAACGAGAATATTCTTGAATTCACTAAAAATGGGGAGTTGAAAAATGAAAATTTTAAAATTTCCTCTTGTTATAGCAGTGAAATAAATAGCAACAATAATTTTGCACTATTAAATAATAGCACAGTTTATTATTCAAATGAAAATTGTGTAACTAATGGACATATTGCACGAAACAGTATGATGGTCACCACTTCCGATGAAATGAAAATTATGGATACATTAAATCCCGCACAATGTGATAATATTGACCTAGAACAAATGAAAGAATGGACTACCAAGCAAATAAAATCGTCTGGATGTCATGAACAGAACAAAAATAATTGGTGTTATGAGAATAGAACCAATTTTGGTCAACTTAATCAAGAAATAACAAAAAATGTAAGTATTCAAAATGATCAAATTGGGAGAGAGGAGTTCTTGCATTCTCAGGATCATAGCAGCAGAAATAAGAGAGATGAACTTGGGGATGAAATTTTTAACGAAAATGGAACAACTGACATACCTGCACGAGCAAATGGGAATAAGCAAAATATGTTTTTCGAAAATAAATATGCAAATGATGAAAATTATTTTCTCTATAAAGACACCCTGTTGAAGTATATGAACGAATGTACGTGCACAAGGGAAGAGGAAAAAGTGGTTTTCCTTAAATTCTTGAAATTAAACACCGAATGGATTTTACTAGAACTGGAAGATTTGGAGGAGATGTACCACTCCTATTTCAGGTCAAAAATTGAGGCATTCTACAAGACATACTTGACAAAAATTGGCAATGCTAACAGTTTTAGAAACGACACAGTTGGATCAGCTGTAGCAGAAGTGAAAGCAGGGAGAGATACCAAAACAAACGTCAGAACAAAGCCAATGACACCAATTAGCCAATCTAGTGTTATCCCATCGAGACGCAGTGAACACATACGAGATCTGCAACTGATTTTTGAGAAGAAGCTGAACACACCATGGATGTGCATGGTTTTCCCTATATACTTCCTCTACACATTGAACTATAAAATTTACAGTATCCTGAAAAGTATGAAGAAGAAAAAAGTGAAAAGCACGAACAATGATAAAGACAAGCATTTGAAATGCAAATTGAAAGGAGTAAATTTTATTAAGTATAAAAAGGCATGGTGTTTTACCTATGTGGACGTAGATGATAAGAAGAAGAAAAAACTTTTCCCGATAAGTGATTATGGATTTATGGAATCAAAAACTTTGTCCATATTGTATAGAAAAAGCTTCGTTTTTCACTTAACAAAAATGTACACTTTTTTAAAAAATGTTATATTCAAGAGTAAAATGGGAGAAAATGGAGGATCAGTAGGAACTCTAAATAAATTCTTAAAACCCCAATATATAAATGACTATATTGATTATTTTAAAAAGTATGAAGAATTTCTAGTATGTTATGGCAAAATTATATATTTCAATGAAACAAAAAAGATATATCATACAACAAATAATAAGCAAGATGCTTTGAATTATGTACCATTTGAAATAAGACACAAAATACCTGAAGAAATAGAACCAATAAATTTATTAACAGCAACGAGAAATTACTTTTCCAAAAAATCACAAATGATGAAATTCCCAAAAGGTATTGTATATCTATCTGGCTACTTCTTATGGGTTCTATTATTTCTAAATAAAAATAATAAAGAAGTTATTATCTCATTTTCTGTTCGAAAATATTCGTTCGAAATAGCAAAAACTAAATGCATCGAATGTTATTATTGTTTGTTGTATAAGTATAAATTTCGTCCAGTTAACATATCAGGGGTTGTTGATTTAGTGCTAGAGAGTGATTTGGAATGTAAAAGTTATAACTTGCTGGATTATGAAACAGAAGATATAATGTCATTAGATTATTTATTTTACTTATTTGCACCATCGAATTATGTACTTCAGCATGAGACCATATATAAAAAATTTACACTTAACCATCATCAACATGACAATAATCTGCGTATGCAGAAGGAATATGATCAATTTTTTCCAAACGAGTATGTATCTTTAGAGACTTATCAGACTTACCAGATTGAAGATGACCATCCTGTGGTAGCAAATGAATTCAACTCCAAAAAAATACACGCCACAAGTGTTGAATCCTCATTATTTGAGTTTTTACCAATGCATTATTGCCAGACGGATATAAATACACGCAATCAAAGAGAATATGGAGAGGAAAACGAATGTACATCCAAAAATTGTTTCCAATCGACAAACGATTTGCTTCTTCATCTTGAGAAGGAACAAGAGAAGAAAGATATTCCACTTTATTTTACAGATGACGAGAAGGGGAAAAATGTTATCATGAAAAAAAGGGATATTTATATGGAGCAAAGTTTTAAAAGAGGATATGAATATGATGTGAACTTAAAGGAATCAAAAGAAGAGACAAAATCTGACAATTGCTGGAAGTACAATAATTATCACACCCTTCATAGAAATAGTGAAACTGACGATGATGATGATGATGATGATGACAGTGATGGCGACAATTCACATGAACAAAAGGATACAACTACACAATGGATATACAACTCTGACGGAAAACCAAAGGAGAATAATAAAACCCCTCCCGGTGATGAGAATAAGGAGAGAGATATTTCCATAGTACATGATACAAATATAAAGGATTCAAAAGAAGAAGAAAAATTGACAAGTTATAATAAAGGTAATAACGACGAAGGAAGAAGTAATAATGACGATTTGGAAAAATGTGGAGAAGAAAAAGAGCAGCTGAATGGGAACAGTTTATTCACAAAGGAGGACAACAACTGTAAGCAGAATTCCAAAAGCAGTGATAAAACATTTACAAATAATACAGAGTATTATAAAGACATTTTGAATAAAAATATATTTCACTTTTTTGATAACAATATACAAGATGATTATTTAAAAAAGAATTATGATGAATTATTTAACAATAAAGAAGAAACAAATATTTTGTTTAAAAAGATTAACCAAAAAGAAGAACACTTAGGAATTTTTATGCTACTTAATTGTCAATGGCTTTCAGATTCATTCGTAAATAATATAAATCAAATTGAAACAAAATATGCCGACATTTACTCTTTTGAAAATTATAGAAATACTCGTGAAGAAGTTTTGAATTGGAAATGTAAAAAAAATTTTATTAAAGATTGCGCAGATATCGCAAAAAAATTTCCACGAGTTGTTGGAGTTCATTATGATTCCTATGCCCATGCATGGGTTGTCAATTGTACCTTTAAGGGAAAAAGAAGGGACAAAAAATTTTTGGTTAAAACATTTGGATTTTTGCAAGCGAGGAAATTGGCCATCGAGCATAGGGAAAAATGGCAAAAAATGCGAGCCTTGTCAACTGAGAAGAAAAACTGAAAGGAAAAAACGGACGCACAATTTGGATTCGTTCTAGCCAAGTGCAGAACATATGTAGAAATATGGAGGACTGCTTAGAAATATGGAGATATGTATAGAAAATAACATAACCCATTTCCTTTAATCTGTATGCATTGTGAAGAGAATGCTGTTAAAATGTTATAGGGAATGAATAAGGTAAAATAAGACAGGGTAAGATAATATAAAAAAACGCATTGCATAAAATTGTAACCCCACAAAAAACACCACCTACGAAATAGTGAATTACTTTTCTCCTTTATTTATGCATGCCAATTGATTCTTTACTCCACTTTGCTTAGTTAGATTGAAATAATAATAAACACGTGCTTGTACATGGTATTCATGTACATATGTATTGTGTTGCAGATCTTTCGTCAGCTTGAAAAGAAGGCCTATTTTATTATTTTTTTAATTTTTTTTATTTTATTTTTTTTTTATTTTTTTATTTTATTTTTTTAATTTTTTTTATTTTATTTTTTTTTATTTTTTTATATTTTTTCACTTTCCGCATATTTATGCCACATGTGTTATGTTTCACTGTGCACACGTTTTCATTTTTTTTTTTTTTTTTTAAACAAATGTGTTCTTATCTTTTCCCCAATTTGTTTGTAACTGTTGTCTTATAATTTGTACTAACCCCAAATGCAAATTCAAAATGGATATATACTTTTTTTTCGGAGTAATTTACATGAATTTAATTACTTCAAGTATCGTATTAATTTTCGTGGGGGAATTTGTTTCCTCCCTAAATTAGTTTTAGGATGGGTAAAATGATACATACTATGAAAAATGGATATACTGTGATAAGCGCATATGTGTGTGATGCTTCGTTCCTTCACGTGCTAACGAATGCAAATTGTTCGTAAATTTTTTTTTTTTTTTTTTTTGTTTTTACACAAGGTGTACAAGTGAAGACTGGGGTGTGTGGGGGTCGGTCCATGTATTATCCTTCTCCCCCTCTGGGGTATGGGTATACTTTTCGTGGAACACACATTTGTATATATATATGTATATATTTACAACGAATTATCATGTAAGGCTGAATGAATGGTACATGGTGTATAGCTGCAGATGAGAATATCTCCTTTGTATAGAAAAAAAATCCCCAAACGAGCATAAAGAGTGGTAAGAATGGAGTAGGAAATTTTACAAAATATGGGGGAAAAAATGAGAAAAAAAAAGTGCGTTAAAAAAAAAAAAAAATGAGCAATGCAATTCTGACGACGCGACGGACAAAATCTCGTTCCGGGTAATTCGTTTGAGATTCTATATTCGTGCACAATTCTTACAAGTGTTTCGAGAAAAAAAAAAAAAAAAAAAAAAAACATGTATGATTTGCATGTAGATTATATGGAAAAACAAATCGTGAGGTAACCCCTCCCCACCTTTTTTGTGTTTGTATTTTTTGTGACATTCCTTAGAGAGTAGGTCCCCCAGAAAATATTTCTGGTCCCGCCTTGTCGGAGAATAAGGTGAAATTTGTAATAAATTCTTTGGCTAGATGTTTAAGATTTGTCATGTAATCTTCTTTATCTTTCCATCCAATAAGTGGATCGAGAACTTCATCTGGAATACCATCCAAATGAGATGGTATATTAAAATTAAAAATGGGCGTTTTTTTATATTCAATATTAAGTAGTTTATTGTCATGTATATAATCTACAAGCATACGAGTATACTTCAAAGGTATTCGTTGTCCATTTTCTGAACCATAGGAACCATAAATCCAGCCAGTATTTAATAACCATACATTTGCCTTATGCTTCTGATATTTCTCTGCTAACATATTTGCATACACCATTGGATGATGAGCTAAAAATGGAGCAGCATAACATGAAGAGAATGTAGCTGTTGGTTTTAAGACATCACTTTCTGTTCCTGCCATTTTACTAGTATAACCACTTACAAAATGATACATCATTTGATAAACATCCAATTTAGATAATGGTGGTATAACACCAAAAGCATCACATGTTAAAAGAATAATATTCTGCGGATGTGCATGTACATATGCAGGTATTTTTGCATTTTCAATATACGACAATGGGTAAGCACATCGTGTATTTTCTGTTATGGAACAATTATTATAATCTACCTCTCTAGTAACTGGATCCATAACAACATTTTCTAAAATAGAACCAAATTTTATAGCTTTATAAATTTCGGGTTCTTGTCTTTTGGATAATCCTTTACATTTAGCATAACATCCACCTTCTATATTGAATATCCCATCCTCAGTCCATACATGTTCGTCATCTCCAATAAGGTATCTATTTGCATCAGCAGATAGGGTTGTTTTCCCTGTACCAGATAAACCAAAAAATAATGTTACATCATTATTCTTTCCAATATTACATGATGAATGTAGGGGTAATTTTCCCTCCTTTGGCATTTTATACATAAATAATGTTAAAATTCCTTTTTTCATTTCACCAGCATATTGAGTTCCTAATATAATCATATTCATTGCACCAAAATTTATAATTACAGATGTCTTACTTGACATTCCATCTGTTAATCTGTTAGATGGAAAATCACCAGCATTGTATATGATAAAATCTGGTATAAAATTTTCTATTTCTTCTACATTTTTTGGAGGTATAAGCATATTTAACATGTACAGTGCATGATAAGCCCTAGATGTAATAACTCTAATTTTTATTCGACAATTTTCATCCCAGCCTGCATATGCATCTATTACATATAAATTTGGTTGTAAATTCAAATAATCTATTGCTCTCCCTTTATTTATTTCATATGATTTTTCTTTTAATGGAATATTTACCTTACCCCACCAAATATCATCTTCTGATGTTTTTTCCTTAACAATTCTTTTATCCGATGGCGATCTCCCTGTTTTCTCTCCTGAAATACAACATAATGCACCAGTGCTAGTTATAAATGAATTCGATTCATATTTCAATGCCATTTCGTATAAAAAAGCGGGGGTGGAATTATGATGTATGCTATTTACATGTAATCCCAATTCGTGCACTGTTTCGTTAAATTTTCTTTCCTGTTCTTGGCTCAATGTTAAAATATCCTTTGAACTCATTATAGGTCCAACTGGTTTGTTATACACTAAGTTCCTGCGCACTTCTTCGATTATTACTTTTTTCATGTTTTCCATTTTTTCTGCCAAGTCGTAATCGGATGACTGATCTATCGACTTTACCAATGTATTTTCCATCACTTCTGAAACTACGTTTTCCATCATTTTGTCACGGCTATATGCCTGCTCTATTTTTGCTCTATTTGTACTCTATTTATGCTCTATTTCTATTCTATGCGATGTCTTTTTTTGTTGCTTTTTTTTTTTTTTTTTTCCACCTTCTTCAACTGTGAAAAAGCAAAACTATATGAAAACCCTACAGGGCGAATGGTACAAAGTGAAGCAATTTATATTTAAACGTCCAAAGATCCTTATATATTATGGACATACACATGTAGGTTGCGAGAATAGGTACTTAAGTGTATACACGTAATCTCTCAAAAAGAGGTTTGATAACTGCGCTAGATTTGGAATCTAGCATAATACTTTACAGTGAATTGGAAAGAGAACACATGATGATGTATCATTTAAGGGGTTATTACCATTCATATACAAGCAAAATAAAGGAAAAAAAAAAAAAAAAAAAAAAAAAACAGAATTGGTGGCGCAAAATGAAGAAATAATAAGTGCATTCCTACAAATATGCACTTTTCTATAGTAACTCTATAACCTCATTGTTACATATTGATGAAAATTATTGTTATAAAAAAAAAAAAAAAATACATATATATATATATTTGTAAGAAGGGGTCAAATTTGTTACATATTTTAAAAATTTAAATAAAATATTTTTTCGCATTTATTTCATTTTTCTTAACCATTCTTTTTGAAAAATATTCACTTCAAAATTGTGCACTTTCATTTTTTCCACCAATGTTGCGATTTTAAAAAGGCACAACAAAAAAAAAAAAAAAAAAAAAAAAAAAACAACCCCCATATTTTTTGTGAGACGACGACAATTATTTTCCGTTGACAACATAAATTACTTATAAGTTAATGTTCCTATATATACCCCACTCCTCACCCATCCACCGTAAATAATAGTAGTAGAGTACCCTTATTCATGTGCAGTGTTGCAAGGACCTCATAATATATATATATATATACATATATATATTGGATATAATACATATAGATATATTTTACACAATTGTATATACGTATTTTTTTTTCTTAATATACATTTTTTTAAATAATACAACCCCACTCACAACTACTGTTCGTGCCGAATATTTTTTTTTTTTTTTCCGCACCAAGCGAAAATTATTACTATATGCGTGCACTTTTACATTTGTGCTATATAATTATATGAATATACATGTATGCTTACTATAAAAGTGGTGGAAATATTGATACCTTTATATATTATAGAAACATTTCTTTTTCTTTTTTTCTTTATTTTTTTCTATTAATATATGTTGAATACATTTTAAACCGGAACACAGGTGTCACATTTGCAACGCATGTATATAAATCCCCCGTTGCAGTTAAGGAATATTGGGTTAAGGGTTGATATTATACATTTTATAATGCCTAATTTGTCCAAAAGAAGAAAATATATATATATATATATATATATATATATATATATATATAAAATTCATCAATCGCATTGAAAATTTAAAAAGTTTTTGTTTTGCCTTATCTATTGTTACTGAAAAATTATAATTTTTTAAAATTGCAAAATAAGCATGTTTTTTAATTTTTTTTTTTTTTTTTTTCCCCAAATAAAAAAAGAAAGAAAATAAGATATTAAAAGAGGAAAAAAAAAAAAAAAAAGGAAGAGGTAACATTTACAGTTGCATAATGTAATAGTTTTAAGGTTTACATTTGCTAACGAGTTCAGATCATTATTTCCCCCTTTCCTTGCTACTACATCTTGATCAAAAAAATTTTTATATAATATATCCAAAATATAAAAAGAAGATTTTCATCTATAAAATATAAGCAATATTAAATTTACAAGTTTTGAATTGAGAATTTATACCAATTTCTATACCTTGCGAATACTCCTCCCACCCCCCACAAAAAGGAAAAAGTCTGTATCACCCACTGAATTTGTTAAAGAACAAAATGTATATAAGAGAACAAGATGAAGATATATCAACGGAACCTGTTGTTTATATATGTGGAGGTATGTTCCTTAGAGATTGTTTAAAATGATGCACACGATATGGTTTTTCCTATTGGCTTTCCATTTGTTTGTACGCTTTTTGTAGTGTATATAAATTCTTAAGCATAAAATGATATGCATATTGCATACGCATAACCGTTTAAATTTCATTCTTATTTTATTATAATTTTTTTTTTTACTACTTTATTGTTACTTTATTATTACATTACTTTTTTATCCTCCATGTTTTATCAGAATGCGGAATAGACACAGTGATAGCACCCAATGCTTCTCTGCGATGCAAAAATTGTGGATCGAAAATTTTCTTCAAAAAAAGAAGTAGAAGAGGTAATTATACCATATCCCATAAAATTTTTCATTAACTGTCTTTTTTTTTTTTTTTTTTTTTTTTTTTTTTGTTTTCTAATGCCCCAACCTTTTGTAAATTCCTCTTTTTTTTCCTACTTCATTTATAGTTATGCAATATGAAGCTCGATAAAAGGATAGCATAGATTAATTCTATTTCACCACGATGATACCGCACCACCCATTTTTCTTATTTTTTTGGTTTCCATTTTTATACACATTTATAACATTATACATTTTAAGCACAACCATGTTGTGAACACATTTTTATAAATTATTAGATGAATAAAGTTTGACCATTAAAAGAAACGTGCTCAAATAAATTTTTTTTTTTGTTGTTTTGTTTTCTTTTCTTTTTTATATTTTTTTAACAACACTTTATATCTTTGTACACAAAAAAAAAAAAAAAGGAAAACTTTAAGTTATATATATATATATATATATATATATATACATATGTAAAAAATACTTAAAAATATATGTAAACATACTTTTTCTATACATATATATGATCGGATAAAAATTATATTTACATATGTAATATGTATATACTATCTGCACATTTAAAAGTATGCACGATGCTTAATTTAATCAAGTAATTCTCATTTGTCATATGCATATTTATGTATATCCATTCACATATACACATTTTGGAGATGTGGAGAAAAATATATGCACCAAATAGAGGTGCATGAAAAAGAATACACCAACTTGTATGGGTGTATAAAATAGCTAAAGGGAAATAATTTAGGGGTAAAACAAAAATCAAGGAAAAAAATATTTGCGTAATATATATATATACTACATTAGAGGAAAAACTAGTTCAAAAGCAGAATAAAAATGTTAAGTCCATAAACGGAGTAAAATGCAAATAAAAGTGCATGAAACAAAAACATATTATCCTTCTATACGAAAAAAATATTCGTATAAATTACGGTTATATTATGCGATGCCTCCCTCTTTCCCTTTTTTTTTTTTTTTCGATAATAGAGATGATACATGTATTATATTTTAGGTTTCACGAATTTGCTTTCACACTTAAGTTCATTTTTTACACAGCTTGTCTTTTTCTAATGTGTGCTTGAACTCGCATTAGAGATGGGACATTTTCATTAAGCTTATGCTTGTACTTGTGCTTGATGATAGCAGCTTCGATTACGCTCACGCAATTTTCCCACTCAACAAGTTTTTCTCTCTGTATGGTTGACAACAATTTTGCACCTTCTTGTTTCAGAAATACCATTGTCTTTCCAATTTTTTGTATGTCCTGAGAAATTCCTGAACACTGTAACAATTTTTCACATTTAGATCTAGCATCCAAGGAAGAATTTTCAGCAACTGAAATATCCACAAATTTGTACTGATATAAAAAGTCTTCAAATGTTCTTCGATACGAATAGCCTAATTGACGTAATACCAAGGCCTCTAAAATAGATAAAGCATGGAGTTGGATTAAAATTTTAGGTTCACACCATTCCAAAGGTTTCTTATTTTCATTTGGTTTAATACAGCGAATGAAATGCGGTTCTGTGCTATTTATTAATGCCATTAATGCTGTCAACTGGTTTAAAAATTGAGAGCCTATTAATGAACCCTTTGCTATTTTACCCTTTTCTATAACTTGACCTTCAAACAAATCTTTTACTATTTCATTTGATGAATCTTTAATAACTTCTACTAGTTCACCTCTTAAGACGTCTTTATTTTTGAGTAAAAAGTTCTCAGAGCAATATTGAATCGGTCCAATAGTGTGCTGAATTACAAAATTTTTGTTAGATGCAACTTTTGCTGGTGTAAATCTGTCATTATTCTTCAAATTTGTAATACAAGCACTTACAAACTTCTCGTCTGATCCACCTGGGGCAAGGCATTGATCTTCCAAATAAGAAAGAATGGATTTTCCTCTTTCACATAGTAAGTCAATAACTGGCTTGTTACTTGTGTAATTCAATACAGATGTTGATATTCCTTCTTCTATGTATAATTTAGATTCCCTTTCAAACACGATATCAATAAAGTTTTTCTGAAGCATTTCATTTGTGATGTTAATGAATAATTGTTCAAGTGAATTGTTTTTAAATACCTCAAAGCCGAAAATATCCAACATACCCATAAACGCTTTGAATCCACCTTCAGGTTCAATCCTACTATTTAAATTCTTGATTATCCATAAAAATAATTTTTCATACATAGCTTTACAAAGAGACAATTGTAACACTTCTGCATCATTTTTATTCCATCTACCTTCAATTTTGTTTCCTCCAGCAATGGTAACTTTAATTAATAATTCTCTCTTAACTGATTCTGGATCTAAAAACATTAATTCACAAGCTCTGTTAAAGATATCCATGTCAGCATCATGAATAGCTGCTGCATCATTTAATCCCGCTTCTGCTTTTTCTACTAATCTAACATTTCCCAATGTTAATATACCAGCTACTATAGAAAATATAACTTCAATCTGATTTTCCGTCAATTGCATATTTTGTAATGATTCCATTACTTCTTCAAAATCTTTTACATCATCTACACCATTTACATCAGTTGAATTAGGATTCAATAATTTGTAATGTTTCACATCTTTCAATCCGAATTTCTCTCTCATACTTTTACTTGCACCCTTGAGAAACTGATAAAATATGTGATATGATCTTTCATTATCATCTTGGGTTATAATTCTAGATTTTTCTAACAAAAAAGCAACAACTGATCCATTCCTAATACCTCCCTCATGAGATATAACCAACTGCATAAAACGACCAAAACGTGATGAATTGTTATTTCTAAGTGTTTTTGCATTACCAAAAGCTTCGAGAACTGGGTTAGCTGCCATAATCGCTGTTTGGATTCTTAGGTCCATATTTCCACTTTTCGATGAAGCAAAATATCTCATAATTTGCTTAGTTGCTTCAGTTTTTCCTGCACCAGATTCACCAGAAACAATGATTGTTTGGCTTTTATTCACACCATGAAGATTTGAAAGAGCTTCCCTTGCACATGAAAAAATATGTGGTGGTAGTCTTGTATGATCAGCAGCATCACGATACTTTCGAATCCATTCAGCAGTTGTGTTCCCTAAATCTTTGTATGGATTTATAGCAACAATAAGGGGAGTAGCAGTGGTGTATATCTGATTCTTGAAATATCTATGCTTCAGGAAATCAAGTACACAAGGGATGTTGGTGTGGTTTAGCAAACCGATATCACCAAACGACATAGGATCTATTTGTGAATTACAATTCCATGCGTGATTGATATCAATTTCGTATGCCTAGGGGGGAAATGAATGGAGGGGGGGGGGAATGTATACATCTGTGCATGTACATATGTGTGTAGGTGTGTATGTACGTGTTTTTGTAGGTATGCACACATTAGCAACAAAAGTCACCCATCCATGAATGCATGTTTTCTCATTACAAATAAACACTATAAATTTTTCATTATGTATAAGCGTATAAATTATGATGATAATTTTTTTTTTTATTATTTACAGATCCTGATCCTGGTGGGTCAATTTGCACAACGTTTAGTTTTTCTCTATTAGATCCTTGCTGAACAACACATTTTACAAACATAATATTTGGATTTTCCTCTATTGTCGGAGATATATCCGTCCATATTTGATATCCCTGTATAAAAAAAAGTAAAAAAAAAAAAAAAAAATTGTTTAAAGAAATGAAAAATTTAGAAATCTCTAATGGGGTATGTATGTTTCAAATACAGGAGAAAAATTTTCAATATTTACGAGAATTTTTTACTTTAAATACAGTTCCAGATTTATCAAAAGCCTCAATATTTGATACTCTTCTTACAATTTTGCTGGCAGTTTTTATTTCCTCATTTGTAATAGCCATTTTTTAAGCAAAAATTGGGATAAAATAATAATATAAAAATAAAAATAATACAGTAAAAATAAGCACCTTAAATTAGGCAAACTACAGGTTCTTGTAATATGTGTTGTAAAACAACAAAAAAAAAAAAAAAATTTAAGTAAATATAAAGAACCAAAAAAAAAAAAAAAAAAAAAAAAAAAAAAAAAAAAAAAAAAAAAAAAAAAAAAAAAAAAAAAAAAAAAAAAAAAATTTTTTTTAAAAAAAAAAAAAAAAAAAAAAAAAACTTTTTTTTTAAAAAATAAAAAAAAAAAAAAAAAAAAAAAAAAAAAAAAAAAAAAAAAAAAAAAAAAAAAGCTATGTACAATAAAATTAAAAGTGTGTCACAAAAAAAAAAAAAAAATATATATATATATATACATTTATATGTAGAAAGTCTAACAAATCAATATGACATATATATAAGCATGAAAACATAACTGTAACAATTTATAGAAACTAATATAACACAATTTACACCAAGTAGTTTTTACATTTTTAGGAATTATAAATAACGTTTTTTGAAGGCCTTTTTAGTTCTTAACGCTTTAAGAGAACACTAAGCACAGGAAGAAAATGGGCCTTTATGAAAACGTTGTTCTTAAAAATAGAGCTGGGTCGTTTTTCCAAATAATTTTACTGTACATGCATGTAAATATGTGTATATGATTAAATATTTGCCTTATGGGTGATTTTTAGCCCTTCGTATTACTAGAAAACTTCTACATTTTTCGAAACATATATATTTACACATATATACATACGAGTAGATAAATACGTGCACGTATACATGTATATATGCGCATGAATATTTTTTGCGTGTATAATGAAAGTAAAAAAAAAAAAAAAAAAAAAAAAACATAAACATAAACATAAATATAAACATAAACATAAATATAAACATAAACATAAACATAAACATAAATATAAACATAAACATTCATTCTGAATTTATTTTAGCTCAAAACAAACTGAGAACACAACACATTAGAGTGATAAGTTGTTTTTTTTTTAGCTTAAAAAAGTGCATTTCTTTAGGGAGAAATAAGCTTTACTAAGGATTTCATATAAGATTTGACCCTTCAGGTTTCATTTCCTTACATATAATTACTTGCCTGCAGTTTGAGGATTATGTGCGTGTTGTTTTTTCCAGCTGTTTAGAGGTGTATATATATGCAAATATATATATATATGTACAAAATTTAATTACGTGTTGCCATATTTGACGAACTATAAAATTGGGAATAGGGAAAAACATAACCTTTAGAATACCCCATGCTGAGTTAAGCCATACTGTATATACATATATATAAAAATCTGTATACGTATTTATATTTACGCATGTGAGGGCATATATCTACACCAAAATTTCGATCGTATGAAGAATAATCGAGTAGAAAACAGTTTTTTTCTACAGGATCAAACTTTTCAAAAAGGTGTTTGTTTAGAGGTATAAAAACACGTTACCCTTAGACAATTGCTCTCTTCAGCTGCTTTTAGGATGCGGCTTATTTTTAAAGATAAAGGACCTGATTATTTAAAAATATATATATATATATATTGTGTTTTTCATAAATAACACGTTCTGATTGCATATGATGATTTCCACTACTGAACAAATAAGGAAGGTTATAATTTTTTTTTTTCTAAAGGCAGAAAAGGCAAAATTTTTAAAAGGTGTGATTTTATTTCTATTACGTGTAAATTGTTGCCTTACGAAAAATATTAAGTAACAATTCTGAAAATATGAAGGTACTTAATTCGCATGAACGTTTTTTTTTTTTTTTTTGTACGTTAACCAAAAAATTTGACGGTTATGAAAATTTTGTTCTGATATATTTTATTTCTCAATTTACAAAATTTCGCTATAAAAGGTATTAAATATGTATATATGTAGACGAATGTTGTGCTTAATTACCGCTTTCGTGTATAATTCCAGATGCATTTTTTAACAGCTATGGAAATGGGACTGTATTAGTGAGTTTTTACGGATTTAATTTTTTTTTTTTTTTTTTTTTTTTGCATGTCTATAATATTTACTCGCAAAAGTGCTCACTGAGCCTTTTGTTTGGTCATCCTCTTTTTCACAGTTGTATGGTAAACCAGAATTGTTGTAAATGCGTAGGTTCTTTTTAAAAATTTGTCTTTCAAAAATTTCGCAGTAAGTCTTATATTTGCATGTATTAAAAAGAGAAAATTAAAACCCATCATTTTAGTCATATTCAGGACATTCATTTTTTTTTTTTTTTTTTTTTTTTTTTCTTTTCATTCCTCATAAAATAAAAACTTTTATGAAAATTTAGTCCTATTAATTAAAATAATTTTTATTATGATGCAACTTCGTTTCCTCTGAGTTGTTTCTTTTAAATTGACAAACTGTTTCACGTTGCATCGCGTACACACATATGTATACTTGTATGTTTAAATATGCATATAAATATATCTTGGTATATGTACACGCTTGCACACATTTATATTATTTTGCGTTCACAACTTTGCTCCTATGAACACAAGCAAACAATTTTTAAGGGGAGAAACAGTCCAAGTGTAGACATACTATTTTCTCTTCATTAAAATATTACCAAAAGTTAAAGAAAATGGAATTATTTACATACTTTTTATTCCTTTTAAGCATTTTGAAATGTGTGCTTTCGTCTGAAGAAAGTAAAATATTATTATATGTGTAACAAATATCTAATGTCTTTTCTCATTTTGCAAAAAAAAAAAAAAAAAAAAAAAAAAAAAAAAAAAAATGCACCATTTAAAAGGTTACATATGTTAACAGTTATAACTGAAAAATTATCATTTTTTTTTTTTTTTTTTTTTTTGTTTAGAAAATGTACTGTCGCACGATAATAATTTTTCCGTGAAGGCATATATTAAAAAGGACACTAATGAAAACAACAGGAAGATCCAGGTATGTAATTTTTCGTAATATAGACATTACAACAAAAAAATAGAGAGACAAATATAACAAATCCTTGTTTTACCCCACTTTTTCCCTTATTTTTATAGCTTGTGGAATACTTTGAAAAGATAGCCTTAGATTTCAGCGATGATATAAATTCAACGAAGGAAGTTGTAAAAAATTTGTTTCTAGATATAGAGGCTTCATTTGAGGAATTGTCAGATGACGTTGCAAAGAAGTTAGTTTGAAAGCTTGAGAGATATGTTCTCTAATTATTCTTGTGTCATTATTAAAAGTTTTATTTCCCTTGCAGTGTAATACCTCACGTAAAAAGAGAGTGATGGGTTATATCTGGGGGAAAAGCACATGGAACATGATAACACACGTGTGTTTGTTTTCACACAAATATACATACGTGTAATAAGCATATACATAAATGCGTACCTTTTCTTTCCTTTCCTTCCCTTTATTTTATTTATTTATAAGCGTGTCAATGTACAATTATGGTACTGAAGAAAAGCTGAACGTTTTGGATGGACTTATAAACGAATTTATCGAAAGTAACATATGCACATCCTTTTTTTTTTTTTTTTTTTTTTATAACAAAATGAAACATATACATACATACCGCTCAACGTTATATGCACAATACCACATAAAAATAGTATGTACCATGAATAAAGTACAGAAATCATAACTATGTACATGAGTCCTAAAAGTGTTGTCAGTGTGACTGACTGCTATACAAATTGTCCATTATTTTCTTTTTATAGACAATAAAGGAATAATCTTTAACTCTTCAGATGAAGAAAAGAAAATCGCAAAAAAGAAGTTTAAAAAAATGTGTGATTTAATTTTAGGCAAGTTAAAAGTAGCTGTAGAATTGTGTGTTATTAACAATTATCGCATACTTTTAAAATATGGAAAAGGTGATAGAAAAAAAGAAGCCTTGGATAGAGTAAAGAATGATGACAACATTTCTGATGAACTAAAAAAAGAGTTATTAAAATATGAGAATCTAGAAAATAAAGATGCAAATGTCTCAGAATTAATTAATTTCATAACCCCTATTTATGAGAGCTTTATGAATAAATTAAACGCTTTAATACGTGAAGTTTCTGTTGATATAAACGAAATATTACAGTAGTCATCTCGAGAAGAGATGAAGTTCCTCATCATGTTGTTGTGCTAAGTAAATCTCTTTTACCATTTTGAAGGGATGAAAAAAGGGATATATCCCTAAATAATTTTTAAAGTTTTTGTAAAAGGGTAGGTAGGCGTTCACTTGGAATAATGTGAAGCATATATTATCTTATTTTACAGAAAAATGGGGATTACTTTATTTGCCGCACTGATTTTTTTTTTTTTTTTTTTTTTTTAAATAAAATTTGAGTTAATGTTTGTCATTTCATGATATCCGAACTCCCATTCATGAGCATGATAACGGGATGGTTACTTTTAAACGTGGCAGTTTTTTTATTTTACCTTTTTGCGTTAGCTTGTGATCTACCTATTTGTTGTTAACCTACCATTACACATTTCTATTTTTGTTTTTGCATTTGATTTTGCATTAGTTTTTGCATTAGTTTTTGCATTTGTTTTGTTTTTTTCACTTTCGGCCTTATTAGACATTTAAAAAGACTCTTTTCAGCCTTATGCGCCTACAAGTGCGCATACGATTTTGTGCACGCAAAACGTGGAAACGAACTTGTACCCTACACTGCCTTAACATATTTTTACATTTGTTAATACTCTTTTTTCTTTTCTTTCTTTTTTGCAAAATTGGCTACTTCTCCAAGTTTTTGTTGCTAATCATCAGAGCATGTATATATCTCCGTTAACGGCTTTATTCATACATGCGTCCTACATATGTGCATACACACTTAGGATTTAAAAGGAGAGAATGTCAAATATGCCTCATGTTATGTGTTTACACAACATGCGTTTAAAAGATGAACTAACGAAACATTTTGTTTATCGTGTGCAAGCCATCCAAATGTTGCAAATATTGCTAATTTTTGAAATTTCGAAAATGTGTTTCCTGTGATGAACGCATATTCATATTTTCCAGAATATTCCATGTCTCCTATTTTGACATTTTCCATTGAACTCCTCATTTTTTGGCATCAAAAATAGTCCCATAATAGGTAATTTTTTCTTTTCCTTTTTCTTCATATTACGAGAACACCAAAATGAGCTTTTTTATTTCTCAGAATTTTTACGTAAATGTTGCAAAAGCACTATGCATGTAAAATTTTCATATGGGTAACAATTTTGTAAGGACGAACCACGGTGGTAGATAAGTAGTTGTATTTTCATTTTTTACCTTATCATTCATTATTTAAGAGTAAAGAAAAATATTCTGATTTTTGATTGGGGGGTGAGACAGAAATGTGTCGTCATTATATAAAAAGGAAAATAAGAAAAAAAGTAATTTTAAAAGAACCTCAAAAAAAAAAAAAAAAAAAAAAAAAAAATTATGTAAAGTAATTAAAAAAATAATAGAACTCCAAAATGTTTATTACGCTGAAATTTTACCCTTTATATTAGTAGAATCTTCAAATAAAAATAAAAAAAAAAAAAAAGTATTTTGGAGGTTATGTGTACATAAGGGTTGTATAGAAATCAGGAAAGGTTTTTCACATTTACGTTCATCCGTTCTGTTAAGATATAAGTATGTGGACAGGTGGTTAATCATCATATGTTGTTTCGTGGTTAGTGTAAGAGAATCACCAACATTATAATTTTTTTTTTTTCTTTTTTGAGTGTGTGTTACGGGAAAAATCTTCTTCAGTCACAGCTAAAGAAACAGGATGATGTAGGTTTTTTTTATTTGTGTAGATTGTAAGTCGTATCGAGAGAGAAAAAAAATAAATAAATAAAAAATAAAGCAAAAAAGCAAAAAACAAAGAAAATACATTTTGTGCATTTATATACACTAATGTGTACCACCACACATATATGTGAAAATATTATGTGTTACGAACACCACAACTGAATGTTTGCGAAAACCTTTTGCGCCATTTAAGATCGTTTTACATAATTACACTTTCAACGACATACATATATACATGCATACATATAAATAAAAATATATGTATTCCAAAAAAAAAAAAAAAAAAAACCTTAGAATTAAAAGTTTATTATTACAAACCTCTGTATTACTCTTAAGTTGGTTTGGAATGAAGTTGTTTTATTCGAATGACGTTCAAAGATATTTCTTTGTTTTAAATTCAAAATTCTTCCCAATTCTATCGGAGAGCACGAGCGCGGTCGAATATATATATATATATATGTACTACATGCATACATATGTACACGTAATTATTTGTAGGCCATATAAATAAAGCATAAGTACTAACGTTCCTAAATATATATGCACCATAACACAGATATACATATGTATTGTATATATGTCATAATATATACAAAATATGTGTAAAGCTAGTGGATGGGCAAATGCACTTTTAGCATGTACGAATTAGCCTGATATAGAAAATATTACAAGTGTATATAATGTACTCCTAAACTTATTTGCATAAATTTCCTTGTTCGCTTTTTTTTTTTTGTGATTTACAAAGAACTTCCATCCTTATTACCTTTTTTACTTTTTCTTTTTTTCTTCTATTTCTTTTTTTTACTTTTTCTTTTTTTCTTCTATTTCTTTTTTTTACTTTTTCTTTTTTTCTTCTATTTCTTTTTTTCTTCTATTTCTTTTTTTCTTCTATTTCTTTTTTTTTTTCTTTTTCTTTTTCTTTTTTTCTCTTTTTTTTTCTTTCTCTTTTTTTATCTTTTCCTTTACACTTTCATTATCAATTTTACATAAATCCCATAACAATATAATGCGAAGAAACCACGAGGGTTAGTTCACGTTCATCACGAGTGTATGCATTCCTACATCTGTGCAGAATACATATAGGAGAAGCCATCATTCATAATTCTCACGTTTATATCTGTTGCGCTTACACTTCCTATGTTAGAAACATTTTATACAACACAACTTCACTCCTTTCATCCGACCGACTGTAATAATTGACAGGCCCTAAATGTCCCTTTTCTCCTCATTCTGTACTCGTGCCCATACGTTCAAATAAAAGTCTAGAGAAATTCTACATTCTGAAGAAGTTTTAAAGATACGAATATTAGAACGATATTTATTTTTACTCACTTTTCAAACAGCATAAGAAATATCATGGAAGAAGGTATGTCAAACAATGAAAGTTCAAATGGGGTTCTAGATGAAGAAAGTCAAGAGGATGAAAGAGACTTATCTTATTCTACTTTTTGTAATCAAGAGGAGGGAAGAGACTTATCCTATGATTCTTTTTGTAACCAAGAGGAGAGAGGAAATATATCTGATAATTCTTCTTATAATCAAGAGGAGGAAATAAAATGTCAAAAGAACGAAGACCATGATGGTTGTGCGAATGCTGGAAATTACTTAGACGATTGTAATGAACCAAAGGGAGATGTACGAGATAAAGAAAATGATGCTGATGGAGGACAAAACGAAGAAGAGGAAGAAGAAGAGGAAGAAGAGGAGGAAGAAGAAGAGGAAGAAGAGGAAGAGGAAGAAGAGGAAGAAGAAGAGGATGATGATGACGATGATGATGACGATGATGATTATGATGATGATGAATATGACGAGGATGACTTCAACGAGGCTACGGTAATAAGCATAAAATGAAAGGACAGTTTTAGTAACTAGGTGGAGGGGAAAAAACTGGATGTAGAAAGGGGTGCATATATACATGTATATATATATATATATTGAGACAGAGAGATAGAGATATATAGAGAGAGGGACAGAACGTGCCGAAGTTGCTATAAATATATGCATGAATGCATTTCACATATGAACCCCAAGCCAACGCATTACACATATCAACAATTGTCAACAATATACGCAGATGTTACGTGTTAAGCAATTTACTCATGTCTCCATCATGATGATTTCTATTTTGTGTATACATAATTTGCTCCAATGTACGTGTGTATAATACAGTTTTTTGGATCCACCTATGTATGCTGTGTCGAAACATATACACGTTTTGCTACTGCATAGATGTTTGTTATTGTTATTATTATTATTGTTATTATTGTTATAATTATTATTGTTTTTATTATTATTATTGTCATTATTGCTATTGTTATTAATAATATTATTATTTTATAATTTTATGATTTTTTTTTTTTTTTTTTTACGTTTGATCACGCATACACACGACTTCCCTTTGCTTCCCACGCACGCACCCACCCTCACAGGTTTCGTGGATAGAATGGTTTTGTCAACTGAAGCAGAATGTTTTTCTTGTTGAAGTGGATGAAGATTTCATAAGAGATGAATTTAACTTAATAGGCTTGCAAACGAAAGTACCTCATTTTAAAAAATTGTTAAAAATAATATTGGATGAAGATGATGATGATGATGACGATGATGATGAGGAAGATGATTATGATGAAGATGATGATGAAATAAATAGAGGTTCAGATGAATTATATAAAAATAAAGATATATATGAACAGAATGCTGCATGTCTCTATGGATTGATACACAGTCGTTTCATTTTAACGTCGAAAGGATTAGCACTGATGAGAGAAAAATATAAATCAAGTATATATGGTACATGTCCAAGTATATATTGTGATAATGCAAAATTATTACCTACTGCCATTTCAGAAGTCCCGAAATTTTTAAGCCCACTCTTGTATTGCCCACGATGTTGTGAAACATACTATCCTCATAAAAATTCATTACTTAATGAATTGGATGGTTCCTATTTTGGAACTAGTTTTGCATCCTTTTTTGCACTTTCATTTAATATTCAATCAGATAAGAAAAGAATTTATTACACACCACAAATTTTCGGTTTTACAATTAATAGAGATATAAGGGAAAATTTGTTCTTAGACATGAACAAAGAAAATACAGAATCGTTAGAGGAATATTCGTAGACACGGCTCTTTCTTAAATATTTATAAAAGAGTCAATTTCTGTTATATATATATATATATATATATATGTGTATGTTTAGAGAAAAATGGGGTAATAAAACCCCCGTGGTTAGGAAATATTTTTAAATAAATTTTGACGAAGAAATTATGAACATACACATATTGGAATCCTTTCTATGTACTTATTGAGAAAACAAGAGAAAAAAATCCTAATTGGATTCAAGTCTACCAAAAAGAAAAAAAAAAAAAAAAAAAAAAAAAAAAACAAACAAACAAACAAAGAATATCCAACACGGCTCTGTTCGATATTTAATTGCCCATTAAAATTTTTAAGTAACCGAACTGTTTGGCATCACATTGTAGCTGGTCTCTACACTGTGTTACATAATAGTGTGACTACACAGCCCGTCCTTCCTCAGGGTAATATGATTACACTTTAGTTCTTGTATAATCATACTCTTTTCTACAATATCAGTAAGTAAATTGAGAGAGGGGGGGGGGGAGGGGTAATGTGTGATGAGATATAAACGAATTAAAGCGAATTAAAAGACAAAATGAATCTAAATTGGATAACATTTCCACACATTTCGTATTAACACGATTACATTTGTGTAGTTACTTTTTATGCTTTTTTTTTTTTTTTTTTTTTTTTTTTACCTCCTCTCACTTCCCCACCCCATGTCTTCAACTTGGTATACATACACATGTACATACACAAATATAGGTTTTTTTTTTTTTTTTTCTTTAATTTTAAAAAATTTTACCAGAATTTTATTTTATATATTATTTTCCCCATATTTCTTCTTTCTTTTTTCTTTCCTTTTTAAGTGCTCCATTTATTAATCTGCACATTTTTCGGCATTTATTTAAAATCGCCATGTCGAATGTGCTTAAGGGGATTTCTGCCACTGGATGGATGTATATGCATGCATGTGTGGATTATTTTCACACAGGAGGTTGCGTTTTATCCTATACATATATATACACACATATATCTATACACTCAATACACATATACACGCATATATGCTCATATATACGCTTAAGAGGGGGGGGGGGAAGGGGAAAAAAAAAAAAAAAAAAAAATTTTTTTTAATCTACACCTCTTAAACCCCATTAACTCTACTTAAAACCACAACGCATCTCTATCTTCTGTTTTTAGCTTTTGCAAAAATAAAAAACTTAAGAAAACATTTTTTTCAACTACTAAAGTGTTTTATGTTGTATTGAATGTATGAACAATTTAATGCATTCTCATATCTTGGGGTATTCTATTATGATGGAAGATATTTCCCCATTTATGTTCTGAGCCAAGTGCCTTCTTAATACTATTCACGCTTCTTTGATATACAGTCGATAGATATTCCTATGTCCACATTTGAAATTGAGGAGGGATGCTGGTACAGAAAACGACGGTTGGGTGTTATGCTTACAAACGAAATGAAGGTATAACAGCACAGCATCGGTTATGATTAATTCAGGGGGGAGGGGAATTTTAACAGCGGAAAAGAAATATGCATATACTGATAAATATATATATATGTGCAAATATTTCCATACATATACATATACATTTACATGCACAGATGTACATATGTATACAACCGTGCTCATTACAAAGAATAATACTCGCGCTGGGAATCATCAATCGGTAAGCAAACTATTTCTACCCCCTAACATGTACAGACACGTGCATCCCTTATGTTTGTCTATTTATACATTTTGTTATGCTGGTGAAGTAAAATCACTTGGTTGCACTAACGTCCCTCACTAAGCGATCGTAAAGATTTTGAATTCTACGTGTCAAACTGTGATCCGGGCCAAATACGCTTTGAGCAACTGAATGAGATCGAATTAAGCATGTTATAGCAGAATGTGGATCATTTAAAGCTAAGTAGGAAAATGAGAGGTTGTAATAACACAAAGCTATTTGTTCATTTTTATTTAATTCGATTGGTGAAGAAATTAATGTCCTTATACACTCCTCAAAATATTCAACAGAAGTTGTGTATTCTTTCTTATATTGATATAATGAACCAAGGTTATTAAGTGTGTCAATAATTATATAATTGTTATTTTTAATTATTAGTTTTTTATTAGCTAAAGATAATTGTAAGAATTCTTCTGATTTTTTTAAATCCCCTAGATCTTTATATAAAACACCCAAGTATGTTTCTATATTTGCACACATGACACTTAGTTCTCCATGTATTTTTTTATATATTTCATAACTTTTTAAATAATGATTTTGGGAATCATTTAATAATAAATTCTTATGTTCCATTATGGCTAGCTCTAAATAGTGCTTTGCTATATCTTCTGAACAATATGAACAAGTCATTAGTTTTAGTTTTAAGCTTTCTTTTATTAATTCAATCAGTTTTTCAGTGTCTTCATTTCTTAATTCGAAACCAGAATTTATATAAGTATCTTTGGGTCCACTATACCAAATCTTTTTTTCTTCACTTGAAAATTTTCGAATAATAACAAAACAGAACGTTTTATCATAAAAAAACCTATCCTTCTTTAGTAGCCTTCCTAGTACTTTGACATACATTTTTTTGCATTAAATTGTTTGCACATTTTTTTTTTTTTTTTTTTTGATAAACACAGTAGAGAAGTTTTATTTATATGTGTACTAATGTTTATTTAGGACATAATGTCCAAACTCGAATTTGTACAAGAAAAAAAAAAATTAAACATGTCTTACTTGGTGTACATTTTCATACTGAACACTTTTTAATGGAAAAAAAATGCATTCATTTCATCTGACCTGTTAACACATGCTCTTGATAATTTTCAACACATTGTTCTTTCTCATCTTAGATTTAAACACTAAACTATTCCCCTACTTTTTCGGATGTTGCCTTTTTCTCTCGTCCTTTACAGTGTTTATATTTTATTCTATTTTATCTTTTTACAGAATTTTATAAAGCGGTACCAACAAAAGGTAAACACTCTTTTTTTAAGTGTTTTTCAAAATTAGAGAGGCTTCTATGATTTTTAAAAGTAAAAATATAAAAGGATTTTTTTTTTTTTTTTTTCTTCTCCTAACATGCGTTGGGCTTTTTTTTTTTTTTTTTTTTTTTTTTTTTTTTTTTTTTTTTTTTTTTTTTTTTTTTTTTTTTTTTTTTTTTTTTTCTTTTTTTTTGAATATATTTTTGTTACATGTATGGATGAGTTATGAGCATTAGGTGAGGAGGTGCATGTTTAATCTGTAGCAGTAGCTTCTGTTTTTTTACTCCACCATTTACCCTGCAACACTTTTTTTTTTTCTTTTTTTCACGCAGTTTTATACTAACCATAGATCATTTCTTATATAGGCATTTTGTTTTCCATGCGTATATATTAATCGATTATCCACTCTTCTCCTTTTCATCACATAAACAACGTCAAAGTTGTTACGATAAAATGTGGATATGTATAAACGTAATGACAGCATATTAATTGGTTAGTTATCACAATTAATCTCTGTGTAAAAAAAAAAAAAAAAAAAAAAAAATTAATACACTCACATTATACCTCTAAAAACGTATGAAGTACACTTCCCCTCCCCCATGGGAATGCATAACGAGTAAATCATTAACATTGAAAGGAAAAATGTTGCAGTTGTAATGAAAAAGTGTGGATGCAAAAATGAAGTGATTATATGAAGGAAAGCAGTAGCGATATTCCTAGTTTGTGCATTATATATGGCTCACTTCTCAAGGTGATCATCGAGTCTCGTTCCTAAGGACAAGGCAAGGGCCCCCCCCCCTACCCCCATGAATTACTAATATGAGGCTACTTGGTCTGACTGCTTGTAGAGGATTGGGCAGTCAAATTTCTATGAGGGAAAATGTATCAAACGAATTTTTAATTAAATTTTACCTGTACAACATATCTAGAATAAACATCGACGTGTATTACAATATAATTTCTATGCTTAAAAGAAATGAACGAAGAGATAACGTGGATAAAGGAATTTTAAATGTGCCATATTTTACCAATCCTGAATTAATTTTATACAAATATTTTCGATTTTTAAATCCAGAAAATGATAAAAAAAAAGTAATAAAATTAATGTTATTATTATACACCAAAAATTTAAGAGAATATAATGACAAGAGAATTTATTTTTACAACTCTTCTGTGCACGTGAACAATTTTATATTTCATAATTTTTTCAATTATCATTCCAATTTTTACGACCAAGAGAGAAAGACAAAAAGGGTGCTAAACCTTAAAATAGACAGGTACAATTTGTACACAGATTTTTTTTTATATGCCTTAGACTTTTATTTATATCACTTGTCAAAAAATTGTAGACTTCTTAACATTGGGCAGTTAAATATTCTTTCAAATATATATGCAAATATAAGCATATCATCAGAAGAATGTTCTGAGGCATATTTGCAAAATGATAAAAGTAGTCCTTTCACAACATGTTTAAAGAACAATTCGGATAAACTCTATAGACATGGTGATTCTGTATTGAAAGGAAATGCAACTTGTGTGCAAACTTGTTCATACGAAAGAGAAGGATATATCCAGAAGAAATGGAAAGATGAATGTGTGAATATATTTGAAAATAACGTCAATAATAAAATATGCCTCTTGTTTATTCAGATTTCTAGGGGTATCATTTCCCAAACTGTTTTTCACGTTAATCATAAATATCGAGGGGAATATGATAAAGGACACCAGTCGACGAAAGAATTAACTCAAAGTAATGTAAAAACATGTAGGATAATTTTAAATCGTCTTTTAAATAAAAGCATAAAAAAGCAATATCAAGAATATATCATTTTAAAAAAAATATATAATACAAAATTGTTGAACATTAATGTTTTAAAAAATTACCTAAACAGCATTAAGTATTTGAATATTATCAACATAAAGAAATATGTATATATTATACTTTATTTGTATTTTAATTCGTTCTTATTTAAAAAGTCTTTTTATTTCACATCTCTCATTTTTCACATATTGCAAAAATATAATTTACAATACACATATTTATTTAGCATTTTATTTATTAAGTTTAACTTATTTTTTGTGAACTACAAAATTTTGAATGAATGCAATAAGATCGTGCTGCTCGATGGAATTAGCAAATATATTGACTCAGTTTTAACTTTTCGAATAAAGACATGCAATGGAGGAGGAAGTCCCACTTCGTCCCAGGTAGACATAAATCCCACTCCGTCCCAGGCAGACACAAATCCCACTTCGTCCCAGGCAGACATAAATCCCACTCCGTCCCAGGCTGACGAATTTTATACTCATATATACAACAAGGAACGCACCGAAAATGTGTACACTCAAAAAATGCTTCATGAGGATGTGTATAAATATGCAAAAAGATCCTCCAATTCTTTCACGTACTTTGAGTATTCCATTTACAACTTATTCAAATACTTAAATTACAACATTATATTTGTGAAAGGAGAAAAAAAAAAAAAAATAAATGGAAAAACAAATCTCCCAGAGGAAGATAATAATTTTGCAAACACACATACAAACTATGTGAATAAAAAGTACAACAAATTTTACCTAACCTTGTCAGAAAATTTTTTGTCAAATATTGTGCTATTGTCCAATTATGTTCAGAATTGTTTGCCCATACTTTTTTCCTTCATGCAGTGTATCCAAGTGGTTAGATTAAGACCAAGTAGGAGAAAAAATAAAAACAGAAAAATGACGAAACAAAACATTATTCATACTCAACATACGAGGGAATACACATTATTTCCAATCAATGAACAAAATAGAAAGACAATAGACATACCACATGCACATGTTTTCAAAAATAACACATTTGGAAAATTTTTGCAAAAAAAATATAAGAAAAAAAAAGGAAAAGGAATAAATCCGTTTTCAATATTTTTAACATATACCTACAACGTGTTTAGACAAAAAATTATAAATAATTATTTAAATGATGAAAACAAATTTCCGAAAAAGGGCAAAAATTGGGAAGAAGAAATAATTATGTACAATAATATAAAAAAAAATAGGAATAACAAAATTCGAACGAGTCTCACTCATTATTATATAAGTAGCAATTTTAAAAAAATAAGTGACAAAAATTTGTTTAATGAGAAAAATATTTTGACTTTCTATTGTGACATATATTTTAATAATAACATTATTGAAGTTGATGGACCAAAGCATTTTTTTATTTACTACCATTTTGAAAAGGGTATTAAACAAAATTATTTTACTCCCTTTATTTTAAAACATAGAGATATATTTGATTTTAATTTTGTTTTCCCATTTTTTTTTCACAACGAAAATGTCTTAAATTTAAAAGATAGTCAAAATGGATATTATTATTTTTATAATGATAAAAGTGTTAAGAAAAACTTTTTTTTGTATATTAACGGCTATTTCATAAAGCACATAAATTATTTTGACAAGGACATAACCAGCTATAACTATTTGTTCGATGTACTCTTCAGAAGACGTAGTAATTTCCACGTTGCTACAAGTGGAATTTCGCAAAAAACTTATTCTTGATTAGAGTGTGTGTGTGTACATGTTTAAAGAATACCCTAAACCCATAAAAACCTCGAACACATAATAACCCCCTTTGTGCTTTTCATTCTCACACCTTTTCTTCACTTCTTCGCCAACTCCATTAATTTTATCTCATAAAATAACTGATATTGTTTCCTAAATGCTCAGAGCTGCGTTCTGCCTAAGTTCTTTTCCTTCGTGTGTGGAATTTTATTTGCTGCTATATTTTATGTTACATCATAAAAATTATTTTTTCTCCTAATACAATAGGGTAGAAATGTGTAGGGATAACAAAATTATATCATATTCTCCTGATTAAAGTGTTTCCTTTTTTTTTTTTTTTTTTTTTTTTTTTTTTTTTTTTTTTATTTTAAATTTTTTCATATTTTCTTGTTTTTTTATTTTTTTTTTTTTTATATTTTTTTTTTTTTTTTTTTTTTTTATTTTTTTTTTTTTTTTTTTTTTTTTTTTTTTTTTTTTTTTTTTTTTTTCATGTTAAATATTGCGATATCGTGCTATATTGGCGTTGGACAGGATTAAAACACCTTTCGGTGTGCACTTCAGTCACGTGGAAAATAAATGGATACACAAACATATCATTCATATATATATATATATGTACATATATAAATGCATAAACGTGTATATATGGCATGGTCATACAGTTAAGAATAGACCCCTTAAATGCCGTTCTCCAAAACACTACACTGCTTAATCATATATAATGTACACATTGGAACGAAGCATGTGCATGCACAAAAATATCCCCACGTCCCATATCCACTCCCACACACACACCCAAAAAAAAAAAAAAAAAAAAAAAAAACATAATTTACGAAAGTGTATACCGTGCTCACACTTGAAAACGTATGCATAAAATAAAAGAAAAAAACTTAAATTGTAGAAATGCAACTACAGGATTCACATTATCACCTGAAAATACGTTCCAAACACGAGTGTGTAAATAGATCTGCCAATATGCATATGCTCCCTCAGGAGAAATGCCAACTTCTCTGATAAGTCAACATAAGCACGGCCTTTCATAAAGGACTGAATATCCCTTGGACTATTTTTTTTTTTTTTCTTTAATTTTCTTCTCGTATGCGTACTCAGTGTTTAGTGCTTACAGCCCTGATTTCTCTGCCACATCTTTGCCGATCAGTGCGACTCGTTCTGCACAAGCGATCTGAGTACATACTTCAGTATTCCTCCATGCTTAAAATACTTGACTTCAATTTCTGTGTCGATTCGGCACAAAACGTCAAATGTGGTAACTTTTCCCTTTTGGTTCATCTGGACCTTCACATGCTGCTGGGGCTTTAAGTTTCCCTGATTCAACATGACAGTGAAGGTTTCTGTGCCATCCATGTTATAATGTGCAGCACTTTCATTGTTCAAGAATTGTAAAGGAAGTACACTCATACCAATTAAATTACTTCTATGAATACGTTCAAATGATTCTGCTAAAACTGCTTTGACACCTAAGAGATAGGAACCTTTGGCAGCCCAATCTCTTGAACTGCCACATCCATATTCTTTCCCTGCTATGATTATGACATGTGCATTGTCTTTTTTATATTTCATTGCTGCTTCGTATACTGACATGATTTGTTTCGATGGAATGTGTACAGTATTTGGCCCTTTATCAGGACATAATTTATTTATCAATCTAATGTTAGCAAATGTTCCTCTTACCATTACTTCATCATTTCCTCTCCTAGCTCCATATGTGTTTAAATCTTCATCTTTTATATTTTTGGATTTTAAAAATTTATAAGCTTCTGAACTTTTATGTATCATACCAGCCGGGGATATATGATCTGTAGTTATGCTGTCCCCTAGTAGGAGCAACACGTAGGCATTTTTTATATCATGAATATTTTCAGGTTCTAATTTCATATTTTCAAAAAATGGTGGTTTGTGTATATAAGTCGAATTGTGATCCCATTCGTATAATTTATCATTTTTTATTTTTATATCATTCCAATATTTGTTCACATATTTTATATTCTTATATATATCTGTGTACATATAAGATTTGACAAATTGTGTTTCATATGCATTAATTTCTTCCTTATTGGGAATCAAATCTAGTGCTTTAATTTTTTCTCCACTTTTACAAATGAATGTGTAAGAATTGACATCTACATTTACATTTCCTATCAGACTTAACAAAACAACTAACGCTGGTGAAGCTAAATAATTTGCCTTTATCAATGGATGTATACGACCTTCAAAATTTCGATTTCCTGACAAAACTGAGGAACAAATTAAATCATTTTCGTTAATTACATCTTCTACTTCTTTATCTAAATGTCCACTGTTACCTATACATGTCATACATCCATAACCTACATTATAAAATCCTAATTTTTCTAGGTATTGTAAAAGTCCTCCTGCTTCTAAATACTTCTGAACACTTTTAGAACCCGGAGACAAGGAACTTTTAATATATGGTATTGGCTTGATGCCATTTTCAACAGCTTTCTTTGCTAATAAACCTGCTGCTATCATGGAAGAGGAATTACTGGTATTTGTGCAAGAAGTTATTGCAGCTAAGACTATACTTCCATGTGTGAGTGAATACATTTTTTTATCTTTAAATTCAAAGGAAATTACTTTTTCTCTTTCCTTTTGTGCAATATCATACCCTTTAAAGCCTACAGGGGATTTCAAACATAGGGTAAAATCTTTATGCAAATCTGATAATAGCACATTATCATGTGGTCTTTTCGGTCCTGAAAGGGACAAACTCAATTTAGACAAATCTAGTGTATACACATCTGTGTATTCAATATGATCTGAATAAGTATTAAACAAAGAATTCTTAATTAAATATTCTCTAATCAGATTTACTTTCTCCTTATCTCTCCCTGTTTGTAATAAATATTCCAATGTTGTATCATCAACTCCAAAAAAACCAACAGTAGCACCATATTCAGGTGCCATATTTGCAATCGTTGCTCTATCTCCTAATTTCAAGTCTTTTAAACTTGGTCCAAAAAATTCTACATATTTATTTACTACACCAACTTCTTTTCTTAAAAATGATGTAATATACAACACAATATCTGTACTTAATAAATGATCCGATAATTTCCCAATTACATGTATCCCCACTATTTCTGGCAATGTCATAGATAGTGGCAAACCTAACATGGTTGCTTCTGCTTCTATTCCTCCCACACCCCAACCTAGAATACCTAAGCCATTTATCATGGTTGTATGAGAATCCGTCCCAACAAGACTATCAGGATATAATACACCTTTATTATTAAATACACAATGTGCTAAGTATTCTAAGTTTATTTGGTGTACTATTCCTGATCCAGGTGGTAATATTAACATATTTTTAAATGAATTCATTCCCCATTTAAGGAATTTAAATCGTTCTAAATTTCTTTCAAATTCTTTTTTCTCATTTAATTCACGTGCTTCAGGGCTTCTACTATGGTCTACTTGAACCGAATGGTCAATTACCAAATCTACTGGTATTAATGGATTAATCTTATCTGCATCTCCACCTAACATTTCAGCTGTATCTCTCATTGTAGCCAAATCAACTATACATGGGACACCTGTAAGATCTTGTAATAATACCCTTGCAGGCATAAATGGTATTTCCTTTTTTTTCTTACAATTATTTTTCCATGCTAATATAGTTTCTACATTTTCTTCTGTTACTTTTAAATTGTCACAATTTCTCACTGCTGATTCCAGCAAAATCCTAACTGAGTATGGTAAGCTCTTTATTCTGCTATCATTTAGTTCGTTAAGGTCATAGTAACTTAGGTCCCCTTTTCCTATCTTTTTAAGCACCTTCTCAAATGGGTTTGATTTGCTACAATAATTCCTTACGTAGCTGCTGAGATTAAAGTTAGTACTCTTCTTCATTTTCAGATCTCCAGGAGCGTGCGCAATTTATGGGGGTTCAATCGATGTACAAACATAGACAACTAACAACCGACGTTGTCGATAGTTCCTTTTTCTCTTTTCTGTATTTCTAGGGATACCTTTTGGTAATGTTGCAGAGTGTGTTTCTATCATGGACAACTCACTGTGTTATGTCCATACCATTTTACATTTGTTTTAAAAAAAAAAAAAAAAAAAAAAAAATTTTCTTTTTTTTTTTTTTTTTTTTTTTTTTTTTTTTTTTTTTTTTTTTTTTTTTTTTTTTTTTTTTTTTTTTTTTTTTTTTTTTTTTTTTATTTTTTTTTTTTTTTTTTTTTTTTTTTTTTTCTTTTTTTTTAATTTTTTTTTTTTTTTTTTTTTTTTTTTATTTCTACTTTTCTTTCTCTTGATGAACTACTACTATAACACTAATACACTTTGATCATTCTATTTTCCGGTGTGCATATGTTTTTTCATTACTGCATGTGTTGGTAATAGTTTTTAAACGCAATTTGGCACACATAAAGGAAGAGTTGATGGGAATTCACAGATATTGAATCACGTGTGACAAAAAATTAATTCTGGACAAAATAAAAAGGGTTAGTCGGTTAGTCGTTAGCCGTTAGTCGTTAGCCGTTAGTCGTCAGCCGTTAGTCGTTAGCCGTTAGCCGTTAGCCGTTAGCCGTTAGCCGTTAGCCGTTAGCCGTTAGCCGTTGTGTGTTTATAGAGGTTGTGCTATGTTAAACGGAGTAAACCTCGTCAGAAGTGTCAAGCAACAAAAATGTAGCATTTCAGTTGACTCTCAGATGCGTGTAACTTAAGCATTTTGGGGTGCGGGAAAAATGGAGATGTTCCACTTTAATTTTCATTGCATGACCTTTATTTTATAATTTTCATTTCTTGGCCTTTATTTTATAATTTCCATTTCATGACCTTTATTTCACAGTTTTTATTTCATAATTTTTACATGCTTTTAAAGCTGATCTCACTCGGCTGGGTCCTTCGCAAGTAATGGCAACATTTGCCTTCTGTGTGTATCGTCCAAAGGTTTAACGATGTGAGGCATAAAAAAAAGGGGCCAAAATGGGGCAAAAATGGGGCAAAAATGGGGCAAAAATGGGGCAAAAATGGGGAAGTCGTGACGAAATATTGACGCCGTGATGACGAAATAACAAGAGAAAAAATTTTCAAAAAAATGATGGAATTTTTCAAATGATGGAGAATAGGAGCCAAAATAGTCATAATTTCGCACAAGCAGAAATGCAAATGAATAAATACGCGCAGACCTCCTTATGTACGCATACACATTCGAATGTAAATCTATATTTTATGTACCTTGTGAACTGGTCGCATGCGGAACAGATGTGTTATATGTCAACAATTTCTATTGCTCTTTTATTTTATTTTATTTTATTTTTTTTCTTTTTTTTATGCATGCATATAACCCATTAAGATATGTAACAGGAAAAAAGAAGAAAAAAAAAAAAAAGAATCATTAAAATTAGAATGATTCGTTTGCACAGGGTCAGAAATATGAAAATCAAAATATAATGACACATTTTTATGCAACACGAAATGTCGAAATTTTTTATATTCTCTTTGGGAACAATTTGGGAACCTATTATCGTGTTTCATAATGGGGTTTAAATGTTGAACAAGCATAATTCTTGTCTACAATATCAATACAATATATATATATGGACTTGTAATAAATAAAAGACGACTTAAATTCGTATACCTTTTTTTTTTTTTCCAAGCATTTTGCCAAACCCCCTTTCCACTGTTTAATCTTAAACTATTATAGTGCTCATGAAATTCTCTTGCACGTCTCACTGTGCATTCATTTATCTACCCCACTTTTCAGCACACATGTCTGTGTAAGTAACACTGTTGTATGCACGTGTAAAAATATGTTACAAATTTATTTGCACACATATAAGGAAGAAGTGCATATAACACACATGGATACTAACAGATAGTATTCTGATAATAATTTATGCCTTTTAAACCATTTAACTTAAACATAGATATATTTTTCTTTAAAAAACAGTTAAGGGTAAGGGATAGCTATGCGTGTGCATGTGCATATATGTGTGTGTGTACGTGTGGGGATTGTAAACGATTTAGCATTTAATGACTACGCAGGGAGTATTTATTTTTCATATGAGCACACACAGCTCCTCCTGGTAGATTCCCACTATCTATAACTTTTTACTTGTTCATTTTGTTCTGCAATTAAGAGCCAGTTACAAAAAAGGTATGTAGAAATATGAAAACAAAGAGGCTTAATCAGTGCTGTAGGTCTACATGCGTAAGCCAATTATGTTACCCCCTCCGAATGTATAAAAATTGAAAAGGGCAACAATTTCCATATGGGAACTAATTTGTGTGCACACCACTTATATTTATATACGTATATGTATGTATATATATATATATATATATATATTTATATGTATACCCTCCCCACCCACACACACCTACGAACAGGGTCTGCATATATCTCTTTTCAGTGTACTACCTCCTAGCTGTGTTTTTGTAGAAATATTCATAAAATAGAAAAAAAAAAAAAAAAAAAGAAACTCCCTATATAAATGTGTATCTTTGACCCTTTTATGTGACCCTTTTTTTTGCCCTAATTGGTAGGTATAGTACCACAAACGTATGGGTTAATAAACCCTGAAAAGTTTTCGTAAACATTTTCCTATTTAAATAAGTTATATCTTTGTACCATTCTATCTTCCATCTTTGTATCTTAAAAATTTTCCCCTTAAATTTTTCTCTCTTTTCCTTTTTTTTCTTATCGTTTTTTTCCCCTTTTTGCATTTTCTTATTTTATATTTTTTCTTTTAATTTGATACGAAAGTAAAAAACATGGGAATGATGAAAATTACTTTTTTTTTTTTTCCCGTCAGATATAATGTTGTTCAAGGGGGTGTTATTTATTATGGTAAAATAAATAAAGCAAAATAAATAACTTGTAAAATTAACTTGTAAAAATAACTTGTAAAAATAACGTGTAAAAATAACTTGTAAAAATGGAATATAAAAATGGGATATGAATTTTCACATGTACACTTCCTCCGCAATTTTAACATATTCTGCTAGGCTTATTTTTCTTAAAAAGGATCGATCACTATATGATTAAAAAACGCCTCACAGTTTCCCATCTTTCCCAGTACCCATCTATATCATGTCATAACTTTTCAATGAGAGAAGATCATAATATTATTTGGACCTGAAGCACATGCTAAGCAGGATTCCCCCTTTCATTACGCACAAACATAATGTATACACATATATACATACGTACATATATACATACGTACATATATAAATATACATATAACGGGAACGTGTGAATAGTGGAAAGCTGAAGAAAAAGAAAAAAAAAATTAGCACTGTTGCTGACAATAGGGCAATTTCATTAAGCTGCACTAGTGTGAGAAAAGCAGAAACGCTTCTGCCAAAATTTATTCACCTCACCAAGTGCTTAATACCAGCCAAAGTATACTTAACATACTTACATAAGTAAAAACTTTTGAAAGTGCAGTATATGCCAAGGATTACAAATATATATATAAACAATACGTGTTAGTAGGTGGGATTAATTGTAAGTGGAGAAATATGCACATAAAAAAAATACAACTTATCGTTCACACTAGTTCGTGCAAATTTACTCCAAAAAAAAAAAAGAAAGAAAAAAATGAAGAAAAACAAAATTTAGTATCATCGCATATTTGTTGTAACCCACATTGCTTCTTTATACTAGTCAGCTTTTTCAGTAGTTTATAAAAAAACAACAAAAAATAAAAATTATTGAAATTTTAAATAAGTAAAAAAAAAAAAAAAAAAAAAAAAAAAATCAGTTAAAATAATCCAATTGTTCAATACTATTAAAACGTGTTTTACTTTTCCCAGATTATAAAAAGCCCATTTTTTTATTAAAAGAGATATTATCGATAATTTTTTTCCAGAAACCCTCCTAACCCCCCCACCCCAAAAAAAAAGAAAAAAAAAATAAGGTAATTTTTTTTTTGTTAAAAATTGTTAACAAAAATAAAAACGGAAAAGAAGAGAAACATTCATAATGGGTGTTTTTGTATTTCCATCCTCACCCCAGCAAGTGTTACAAATATTTATGATTTTTTAGCGCTTTTAGTTTTTTCTGCTTTTCTGTGTAGCATTTCATGCTTCTTGTGAGCTTGCTATATAACGAATTTTCACAATTAAGCTTCTAACGATTACGTTTCTAACTATTATGCTTCTAACCATTACGCTTCTAACCATTACGCTTCTAACCATTACGCTGCTAATCTTTACACTGTTGAAGAAATAAATTTTCCACCATTGTACACTCCTCCATCCGCTACTTTTCTCCACAGCAAAAACATGAAGCTGAACATCTCAAACCCTCTGAACAATGTTCAGAAGAGCATAGAAATTGACGATGAGAAGAAATTGCTGCCCTTCATGGAAAAGCGAATAGGAAATGTCGTACCAGGAGATTCAATCGGTGAAGAATTTTTGGGATATGTATTCAGAATAACTGGAGGAAATGATAAGCAGGGATTTCCAATGATGCAAGGAGTGTTGACTAACAGCCGTGTGAGACTCTTATTTAAGAAAGGAATGAAATGTTATAGACCAAGAAAAAAGGGAGAAAAGAAAAGAAAATCTGTTAGAGGATGTATTGTAGGTCAAGATTTGTCAGCTCTAAATTTAACTGTGGTTAAAAAAGGTACCAATGAAATTCCAGGACTAACTGATAAAGCAGTAGGAAAAAAGCTAGGGCCTAAAAGAGCTAGTAAAATTAGAAAATTATTTAATTTAGATAAAACAGATGATGTTAGAAAATATGTTATTGGAAGAGCTATTTCCAAAAATGGAAAAACGAGATTTATTAAACCAAAAATTCAAAGACTTGTTACGGAAAAAAGATTACTACGAAAAAGAACACTTATGGCAGCTAAAGAAAGACGAAGAATAGAGAAAAAAAAAGCTATTAAAGAATATAAAAAGATTTTAAATAAATACAGAAATGAATTACTTACCAGAACAGATGATGATACGGGAAAAAAAAAAAAAGTCAAAAAATCTATTTCAAAAGATAGTCTTAAAAAAGGAGGAAAAAAAAAAGACAAAAAAAATGCCAAAGACGATAAAGTGACCAAAAAGGAAAATGATAAATCCAAAAAAAATTTAGTAAAAAAGGATGTAGCAAAAAATGATGCAGGAAAAAAAACGTCATCCAAATCACCAGCACCCAAAAAAGTCAAAGAAGAAAAAAATACAAAGCATGATAACAAATCTGTGAAAGTTGACAAAAAGGCTTCAGCAAAAACACCAAAGGGGGATGATAAAGGTGCCAAGAAAAAAAAGTAAATCATATGTGAATACATCATTTATTTCATGCTTGAATCAGGGTGATGTGCAGGGAAAACAAGTTATATGCAAAGTGGAAAAGAAGCCATAAAATTGTATGGAGAAAATGAAGGAAACATAATTAATGTTTTCTCTCACCCCATATGTAGGTAATACTATATTATCAATAACTATTAAAAAAACAAAAAAACAATGATTCATTGAGAACTTGATAAAATGTAACTGCTTATTGTAAAGGGGGTAATATAGCTAGCTACTGATAGTAGAACTTTGTACCTGCACTCTTTATGAAAAAAAATATGCCTACACAAAAAAAGTTAAATTAACAAAATAACAAAGTGTGCATTATACATGCTGTCAGTGTGTGTACATTACACAAAATGCATTGTTCACACGCTTGTATTAAGCCTTTTCCCTCAATTTTATCCCTATATTTAGAAACTACACCCACCCGTTTTCATAAATTTAAGTTTTTATGCCAAATTTTAGATTAACTTTTTATCAAATTTTTAACAAACGGAAAACGTGCCATATATATATATATATATGTGCCATATTATACGTTTATAATATATAAATTTCTCTTTTATTTTTAAAAATGAATAATAGTAAAAAAAAAAAAAAATGGTGGATAAGCTCCCCTTCCTTTGTTTTGTACATAACACATAACAGAACTACAATGAGAAGTGTATACACAAATGAGGTTTCTAAAAAAACACAAGTCCCAATCAAAATAAGGTACTTAACAATTTTTTTTTTTTCTTTTGAGCCTTTATTTAATAATTGGCTATAAATATTCCTGATGAATCTAATATGTACATGGTATGATGCACAGAAATTCACAGTACTGTGTAGAACTGATGTAAACAGATTAAACAAGCACAACATCTCCCCCCACCCCATGCAGTGTAATAATTTGTAAGGTGCCATATATACAATATGCAATAGTGTAAGTTTTAGACAACTTTTTCTAATTAGATGTTTGATATATTTTTCATGCCACTTTTTCAAATATTTATTGTAGAAAAGAGAAAGGGACTAAAAAGGAAAAAAAAAAATTATAGTATCATTAAAAAAGATTAAATTTGTCTTTCTCCTTGATAGACCCAAGGCGTTATTTTATTTTATTTTATTTTAATATATTTTTTTTATTTTAATTTATCTTTTTTATTTTAATTTATCTTTTTTATTTTAATTTATTTTTTTTTTTTTTTATATTCACAAATTCGAAATGAAGTATTTAATTTTGGACCACGCATAGTTAATTGCAAGTTGCATATTAGATAAAAATCGTGAATACTGATTTATAGTTAATTGATGAAAAATTTTCCTTTTTTCTTAATAAAGTATACACAAATTAAATATTTGTGCCATTTGTATATATAACCTTATTTTCTCAATATTTCACTCTTGCTTCGTGAAATTACCCCACGTAAAAAAAAATGTGTATACCTTTTTTTTTTTTTGTTTTTATAAGCTAAGCATTACCTCTCATTTCTAAACTTACAAGGGAATTGCGAAATTTAATATAAAGCAATGATGATAATTTTTGGTATCACAAAACATGTCCAGCATTTACACCATATCATATATATTATATAAACTATGCCTTGAGGGAATTTTTTTTTTTTTTTTTTCTCTCTCATTTTTGTAAATAACTTAATACTTCTTGCATTTAAAAAATTTTGTATATAATAATAATAACTTTTCAAAAATATACATGCCTGAAACTTACTGTAAATATTTTCTATTATAATCTCTTTTGTAATACAAAATTCATCCAGTAGAAATACATATACATTTGTGAAGTGTACATAAAATGTACATTATACAATGGTTATGTAAATATATATACTTGCTTAATTAGGTATATATCAACCCCCTTTTGCTGCATTTACCTTTTTTTTTTTTTTTTTTTTTTTTAAAGCTCATATTTAAATTGTACAAAAAGTAAAAAAAAAAAATATTCATCAATGACAAATTGGCTAATGGAGGAAAAAACAAATTACCTATGTGACATATTTCTACGTTTTTGCTAATAAAAAAATGATTTAATTATGTTGAAATTACTCTATAACAGGACTAGAATTATTGCGTAATGTTTTTATCCCAAACTTATATATATATAGTTGTGCGTGAGTGTTTTTCGTTTGTATGATGAATATATACATGTATGCGCTTAACCTGAGTAAATAAAATTCTTGGAAAAAATTGAAAATGCTTAGAAAATAAAGTGCCTTTACTTGGTTATTCATTTATTTGTTTATTCATTTATTTGTTTATTCATTTATTTGTTTATTCATTTATTTGTTTATTCATTTATTTGTTTATTCATTTATTTGTTTATTCATTTATTTGTTTATTTTTATTTATATTTTTTTTCCATCTTTGTCATTCCCAACAATTTGTCCTTACACCCCCCAACCACTCCTCTTTGTGCCTATTTTACACGCGAAAGGAAAATATATATATATATATAGCAATGTTACGTCTGCACATGCTACATATGAACATATTAGGTTTACACATATTATGTATATACACATTACGTATGAGAATATATATGGCTTTATTCTTATTCACTCTTTAACATTCGCACCTATGTATTTAAGCCATAACAGTGTGACTCTCCCATGAGCTCTCACAAATTTTTTTTTTTTTTTTTTTTTTTTTTTTTTTTGCAAAAAGGGAAGTCAATTTTTTTTTGTGTTTTTTTTTTTTTTTTTTTACTTTCTTCCCATATATATGCCTTCGTCACGTGCAAATACGTTTGCACATGCACAAATATCCATATCATGTATATATTATTATGCGTTCATAAAATTCACCCGTATATTTCGTGAACAAATCCTGGGAATGAGTGCATCGCAGGGGAATATCACATTAGTATATCATTACATGCCTTGGAAAATGTGTAACAGTCTCCATTTTTTTTTTTTTTTTTTTTTTTTTTTTTCGTAACGTCACAAAATCTAAATGCTGATATTATTTAGGTGACATCTGCATACGTTTGTATATTTATGAACATGCATAAAAATAAGTCGTCTATAGCCTTTTATTATATTTATAATATAAGGGTTTATTTTTTTATTACACTTTTTGAGACTCTTTTTTACAACCATTACTAATTTTATAAACGAAGGATCGTCAATTCCATGAAAAACGTTTCTGTTTTTATAAATTTTATTTCTAAACAGTTATGTTGAACAAACAGGGTTTTATCCCATTATAGATTCGCATCCCGCTTAAACGATCCGTCGTTTTAGTTTGTTTTTTTTTTGTAATTTTTTAATACGAAAGATTGGGGAAAACACAAAATATTTCTGCAGAACTGTTAATTTAAAAGATAAAAAAGTAAGAAGTCTAAAAATTTCTTCAAAATGGGGGCCTTAGACGAATCTACACCAGTACCTTCGAGAATGTAAGGAAAAAATAAAAAATCACAAATAGAAATAATACATTATTTTCAATTTATTTTCATCACAGTTGTTGTCATTTATATTGTAGTATGTCAATGCGTATGTAAACATATATACTTCCTCTACACAACAAGTTTTTAAGATAGATATGTGGACTTGAATAAAAAGTGATAACACGATTAATTCCTGTTGCACGCTTAAGCAAAAAAAATAAAATAAAAATAAAATTAGGCACTGATTTCATTTTTCTTCTTCGTTATGTATATGGAGAAAAAAACAAATTATGATTGAAATAAAGGTTTCATCCATTTGTGTATTTTGCTTAGCCATACATGCGCACATAAGGGTTTATTTGCCTTTGGTGCCAAGGGAAAAGAAAAAAATAAAAGAAACATAATTAACCCGTTAATTTGTTTCGATGTGCTTATATTACCCCACTCAACCTTTCACTCATGTACATTTTTGCACCTTTTTTAGAACTCTACAATTAATGAAACAAAAAAAAAAAAGTGCGTTCCAAGGTTATTCTCTGTTGAAAAAAAAAAGTGATGCACTTTTTATTCATTTCAGGGAAGTACTTAAGGATATTGTTAAGGTGCAGAAAAGAAAAAAAATAGACAAAATAGGGAAAATAATTAGAAGTGTTTTTCCTAGTGGAAAAAATTTGCGCAGTACATAACCATTATATATAACTTGCTTTTCCATATTACAGCTAACTTAACACATGTGTTATATTTTTTTTTTATTTTATTTTTGTTTCTCCCCTTCCCTTTTTTATGTGATAATTTCGAATTAGACAAAAACAAAAGTAGGAGAAGAAATGAGGAATGCCTCCTTTTCGTTAGCCAAAGCAGTATGGGCTGCAGGAGATTTTAAAGGGCAAATTATTGAAGGAATAAAAAGACCCGTTGTAACCTTATCCTTATCCACGAATAATGTAGCTGGTGTGAAATTGCCCATATTCCAAGTACATATTGATCCCACAGTTGATGTGCTAGGTAACTTAGGAATTGCTGCAGGAGGACAAGTTATTAATAATACAAGAGAAAACTATTTACAATGTTTAAACATGTTAGTCAAATTAGCATCTATGCAGGTAACACTAAACGTAAAAAAGAAAAAAAAACGGAAAAATAGTTAAAATGGATAATAGTTACGACGTAAAGTGCATTTCATAATATGAAGCCTTTTTACAAAATTATACATCCCCCCATGGTTTTCTCTTTTTTTTTTTTTTTTTTTTTTTTTTTTCATGCTACATCTCTTCACATTCATATATGCATATATAAGCATATGCTCATGTTTACATTTTCTTAACTTGGTCATCCTTCTCACGTTTATGTAAGACAAACGTGACTAATGTATGTACATGTAACACATTTTACTTTGCACAGGTGGCCTTTTTTTCTCTTGATGAAGAAATCAAAATGACCAACAGAAGAGTGAATGCTTTAAATAATATTGTACTACCGAGATTGGATGGGGGAATAAATTATATCATTAAAGAACTGGACGAAATTGAAAGGGAAGAATTTTATAGATTGAAAAAAATAAAGGAAAAAAAAATTGACAAGTTAAAAGACTCATATGCAGAGTATATAACTGATGACGACAATCAAAATAATATGAAAAGATATGACAATTATGCAACGTCACAAAAAGATGATGATGTTATATTTTAAACTCTTTTTTTTTTTTTTTTTTTTTACCAGTTAATTAGTTTATTTTTTTGTTGTATATATTTATATAGTTTTGTCGAATAAGGGTATTATCCAAATGTTTACTTTGAAAAAGATGGTTTAGCATGTAAGAAGAATTTTAGAAGAAATATGTAAGGTGATTTTTTTTTTTTTTTTTTTTTTTTTTTTTTTTTTTTTTTTTTTTTTATTTTTTTTTTTTTTTTTTTTTTTTTTTTTAAATTTTTTTTTTTTTTTTTTTTTTTTTTTTTTTTTTTTTTTTTTTTTTTTTCTCTTATACGTGAATATTATTGAAAAAAGTAAAGATTGAGCGCCCAAGAAAAACATGTACTGCATCAAACCATAGCTATAGGATATTCTGAAGCAGGATATACATATATCTAATTATTATAGTATATGTATAAGGAACCCTCCCCATATACATATTATGTTCTAACAATTACTGTTAGATAAAAAGTTTCAAGGCGGATAATTCAACAAAAAAGGAACGTTTGGTTACTTAATGCATTTGTAAGTAAAAGTAAAAAAAAAGTGATTGGAACAACCTTTTTTTCCTGTCTTATTTTTAAAACATAGGGGTGAGCACATATTTTCTCACAGTTAGGTTTCTCAAAGTAGGCCTATGACAAGCAATTTTTTAAAAAAAATTTATTAGAAACATAATGCAAACAATGTTTATTATTACGTTGTTGAATTTGGCAATGTCCAAAATATACGTTGATTAACAAACTTCCTCATTCAACACGTGTTAATTATATAGATTCCTAAAACAAATTAATAAAAGCAACAAGAGCAGAAAAAAAAAAAAGAACATCTTTTTATATATGAAAAAGCATTGTTTGAGCAACTTCTTTTACAATTTTATATTAGTTATGTGGAAAGTGCAATAAATGGAATAAGTAAAATAAATGCATTAAGTGCATCAAGTGTAATACGTTAAATATGAGCAACAAGTACAATATGTGCAACAAGTACAATATGTGCAACAAGTACAATATGAGCAACAAGTACAATATGAGCAACAAGTACAATATTTTCAGTAAGTACCATAAACATTAAATGTTCCTTTAACAAAAGGGAATGAACAATATGTATATATATATCATATGCAGATTTGCACTATTAACTTTTTTTTTAATAAGATATATGCCATTCTGAATATTTGATCTATGTTCTAGAAAAAAGTATATGCAAATGATATATACTTAAGAAAAGGAAAAAAAAGAAAAAAATCCTACACATTGAACTTTTAAAAATTATGATCATTCATAACATTTTAGTCTTTTTTTTTTTTTTTTTTTTTTTTTTTTCCCTTTTTTAAAGCTAACTGTTTTTAATCCTTTTTGTTCATAATAAAAAGTATAACACACTGAAATGTTACTACCGATTTTACATTTATGGTAAAGGTAAAAAGCGTAAATTTGGTAATTCATTTAAGAAGCTCTTAATTTATAATGTAACATTGTCTGACATGTTCATAAAATTCTATAGCAATGTTGTTAATTTTATGAACATAAAATAATTTTCTATTGTTTTGATGCGTCTTAATGGAATTTTTTTTTTTTTTTTTTTATTAACTTTAGCTTGCACTTTATTTCATATTAATTTAGACCAAACCGTGCACACAATTATGTAAAGTGCATTTTTTCACACAAAAAAAAAAAAAAAAAAAAAAAAAAAAAATGGATCTAATGAACTTAAAGCCCATAGTATGAATAATAAGGGGTACATATTTAAGAAGTGAAATTTAAGATAGGCCCTTTATTTATTTTTTTTTTTTATATTTTATTTTGTAATAGAATGCATGTTATACTATATTGTCATGGTCTAAAAATGGTAGAGCAGGATACCAAAAAAAAAATAGAACAAAAAAGGGCAAAAAAGGACAAAAAATAACATTTTTATAATTTCCTTTTTTGTAGATAATCCTCACCTTGCTACTTTTTTTTTTTATTTCATGCAACAAATTAAAAAAAAAAAATAAAATACCTACCTTTGTTTGCAAACAAACGAGTCTTTTATTTTTTCTAAGCAGAAACAAAACTTACACGATAGCACATAACTCATTCTGGTTAATCATGCTTAACAGTGCTTAATTTTTACCTTTCCCGCTTTTACATTTTCCAGTTCTTCTTTTTGCACACATTGCATCGTCTAAATTACACACCAATTTTTGCTATAATTGGAAAAAATAGCAATTTTATTAAAATTTATCATAATTCCACATGCTAGTTTGGTGGACAACATTTCATTTAAGAAAAACATACACACATATGTAATAAACGCATAATTATTCCCAAATGAATAACAATTCGGGGGATATAAGCGATTCAGCTACGGAGAGTCGTGACCAATTCGAAAATGGTAATATTAGGGGCTACGGAGAAGGTGCAAGGGGAATTCCCAATGAAAATTACAAGGGTGATAGGAAAGACAAAAGGGAAAATGAAAATGAGTATGATTGGGTTCACCAAAATGAGGAACACCAACAAGGGGGAAATCAAAACGAAAGAGAAGTAAAACAGCAGAGAAACGAATATACAAGAGCACAGTTCATCCCTGATTTACACGGGTTAGGTAGGGAGAGACAAGCTTTACCTTCTAAAATACTTGAGTTGAAAATACCAGGACAAGTAACACCTTATCATTTCCCTCAAGATGAAACATCCTCAGATGTTGAAACATTGTATGATGAAAATGGATTACCTATTACTAATTCAAATACTAATGATGAAAAGGAGAAGAAATTGTGGTCTTGGACTGACGATGGGAAATTAAAACTTCAATGTTCACAACCAATAATTCCAGTATCTGTTGTACAAGGTATTCTAAGGAGAGATAAAATTATTTTGATACCACAAGTAGAAGTAACAGATTTTGTTGTTCCCAAAATTTATAATCAAAATATCAAACATGATGTACCAAAGTTAGATATAAAAGTAGAATGCTCAAATGTAGAAATACCAAATGTGAAATATGTCGAAAAGGAAATAATCATTCCTATTATTACTGGGTATACACATAAATTTATCCCCAAATGGGATGTACATGAAGTTCCTAGACCCGTAGTTAAATATATTGGTGAGCAAAAAATTGTGGAAGTAGAAGTACCAGAAATTAAATATGTGGACAAAATAGTAGAACGAGAAATTGTAGTAGACACTGTTGAAAAAAGAGTACCCAAAATTATCGAAATACCCAAATATGTAGATGAAATTAAATATGTATGGAAACCTATAGAAAAAATTGTATATATACAAAAACTAGTACCTAAATTTGATGTTAATTTAGAATGCCCTCCACCTTTAATAGTGCCTTATCCAGTCCAAACAATTAAAAAAATACCACCTGTTATGATCAGAAAAAATATTAAATTTCCAGATTGTGATTATACTGATTTGAATTCACCACATGGATCCTTGCCAATTCCTAGAGAATATGTCGATTATTACACGAGTAGGCAGAAAATTCAGAAAGGTCTTTTTTCAAATTGTTGTGATGCAAATTGCAAGAGTACCGAAGAACCAAATGAACTCTACGATGTTGAATCTCCAAAATATGTGATGATGGATTCAGAAGAATCACATCTGAATAAACTAAATATTTGTAATTCCTCGAATCCTTTTGTAAATAATAACCCTGGTTCCATTTTAAGCAAGGCTTAACAAAATATCGCTGTTCATGCGAATGGATAAGGGGGAAGGGGCAATGCAGGTGAAGAGGGAAAAGGTCAATCCAAATCACTGATCATGCCCTTCCTCATGTGTATGTATATATATATATATATATATATATATATATATATATATATATACATGGGGGGAGACGTATGAGTGGTGATGGACACAATATCGTGAGCATGAAATCGTTTTATAGCCCTTTTTTTGGCCCCCTCGAAACTAAAAATAATGAGTGAATATAGGAGAAAACATTTTGTAGCTGGTCAGAGAATTACTTTTACACATACACCTATAGATATAGTGTAGTATCCTCTCTCTTTCATCTGAAAAAAAGACAGACATATCATCAGTTGTGCTTTTTCTATCAATTTTCCCTTTTTTTCTTTTATTTTGTTGTGTGTATGCTATGGTCTGTATGCATACATAGTTAGATATACATGCCGTCATATATTTATTTGCAAACTAGGGAAATTTCAAATAGAAGAGCTTTCATATATCGTTTTTCTACATGCATGGAAGAAGGAAGCATGTAACCTATGCTTTCACAAAAGTATTTCTTCACTTTTAAGTACTCATTTAGAACGAGGGGATATTGTAGCAATGGTACACAAAGGTCTCCCTCTTCTAACCTAACGAAATAACATATAAAGAATATTCTTCTTTTTCACATTACCACTGTCATATGCCATTGTTTTTTTTGTCATCTTTGTCATTTTTGTCATGTTTGTCATGCTTTTCAATATTGCCGGCCATTGTTAGAACTACTGTTCATTGTTTATGTTTCTTGCCTATTTCACTTTTCATTCGTTTTTTTTCCTTTCCTTCATTTGTGTTTTCACGAAGAACTTTCAATCATCCATTTTTAACAAAATAGTAACTATTTTAACTTGTGGACTTTGACATTATTTATTTTTATTTTGTTCTTTCTCTGACATTGTAACTACTTGTATTTATGTTTTAGTAATAAAAAAAAAAAAAGGATCATAAAAAAGGTTCATAAAAAGGGGCAGCAAAAAAATGTCATAAAAAGGGCCACAAAAAAGGGTCACAAAAAAGGGCCACAAAAAAGGGCCACAAAAAAGGGCCACAAAAAAGGGTCATAAAAAGGGGTCATAAAAAGGGGTCATAAAAAGGGGTCATAAAAAGGGGTCATGAAAAAGGACGAAAAAAAATATATATGTTATTTTTCAGTTTGTTCCTTAATTAGCAATTTTAGCCTTCTATTTCAACTTCCTGCTCTATTATAATAAAAAAAAAATAATAATAAATATAAGGAAACTTATTAGCAATAAGACTTTTTTAATCATTTGGTTGTCATGATCTATAGTCTCTTTGTTATACATCTTGAGTAAAGACTTGAGTTCTACGAAATGTACAAAAAAAAAAAAAAAAAGGAATGTTATGCATTCTGTCCTAGTGGAGGAAGGAATAGAGGCATATAGGCTATGAGGAATGGTGATAATATGGCAATGGAAGCGTTAATAAGTGTGATAATTATACAGACAAAAGATGTTATTTTATATACATGTGCATGTGTCACTCAAAATGGTTATTTAACTTTCATTTTCTTTTTCTACATCCTTCAACTTTTGCTGTAATTGAACTATAAAGAAAAATAGTTTGTAGTTGCATTCCTTGTTGTATCTTATATTTTCTTCATTTTTTCCTTCTTGTCTGTGAAACGTATCAGAAGGGGGGTGTAAAAAAAAAAAAAAAAAAAAAAAATGTTTAAGCTTTTATTTTAATTTCCATTTTAACTTCAACATGAAGAATGGTGTTACAATGGTTATGTCTTAAAATTAAAAAAAGGGATTTCACATGGAAATTTAAGTAACAATGAACAGAGTAAACCCTTGTATTCAGTGCATTTTCATATATTCATTTGTGAAATTTTTAAAAAGATATGTTCTAGATGAACTTATTCTCTCATGTATGTTTTACGTAACATATACACACAAATGCAGTAATATATTTTATATGTTTTTTATTCTTTTTATCTTGTAACCTAAGTTTGGTAAAACAACTTAAATTATTAGCAGCCCTGTTATTTAGCCTAGAACATTGCAATGAACGCATGTCCATCTTTAGCCTTTTTTTTTTTTTTTTTTTTTTTTTTTTTTTTTTTTTTTTTTTTCTTTTTTTTTTTTTTTTTTTTCTTTTTTTTTTTTTTTTTTTTTTTTTTTTTTTTTTTTTTTTTTTTTTTTTTTTTTTTTTTTTTTTTTTTTTTTTTTGCTTCCTCCCTTAGAAAGAATGTATTATAAACATATTCAATTTTCTTAATATTTCTACGGCTTGCGCACAATTTTATACATGTCATATGAGCTGCAAAACAGACCCTCTAACTTCCCCCCCTTACATGCTTCAATCGCTGGCTCTTTATTATCAAAATGTGTGCAAAGTATTATGGAATGAAAAATAGATATGCAAAATAGAAATAGAAAGTGGAAGTGAACAATAAATGTGCAAAATAGAAGTGAAATAAATGTGTCACGTGAATAAGACCCCTTTACGTGTTGTCCCACTGAGCGTCATTGATGACATAGATGTCGTTTTTTCATCAAGGTACACAGCATGTCTTTTCCCAATTTTAAAAAACCGGAGTACTAAGGTAAGAAGAAAATAACACTTCATTTATATGGAGGCCAGATCCCATAAGTAAACATACACAGGAACACCTATGTATAAACTTATATACATGCACACACCTCTACACGTGTGTTCGTTTGTGTACTTCTTCATCACCTATGTTTTTAAAAAAAAAAAAAAAAAAAAAAAAAAAAAGGAAACATGCACATTAATGAACCCCGTTACGTTAATTATCAGTCACCTATATTTTTCAAAAAGCCATAACGACAAAGTAGTAAAATGAGAAAAACTCAGAGGTGTGTATCTGTGAAAATTCGTATGTGTGCATTTTTGTGTGCAAATGTGCTTATCAGTAAAATGTTTAAGTATACGAACAAGACTAGTAATGATATGTAGTTGGTTCAAAAGTGCTGTACAAAAAAAAAAAAAAAAAAAAAAAAAAAAGAAAAAAAAAAAAAGCATATACATATGCAAATACATATGCAAATACATATACAAATACATATACAAATACATATACAAATATATATACAAATACATATACACATATAAAAAGTGTAAAACTCTTCCACCAATATACCACCCCTTGTATATACATTTCACAAACCAAATTCCCTTTTTTTTTTTTTTAAAATGGATAATAAGGAATGTAATGATTTAATTACTCTTATGCATACCCCCTGTGCCAAGAAAAAAAAAAAAAATATATCGAGGGGATTAGCTACCAATGTCTAACATGGGAAGAAACAATGGTGTACTCAGAAAAAGGGGAAGAAATGAAAGAGGAGGAACAGAACAAAAAAAAAAAAAAAAAAAAAAAAAAAAAACAGCGCAACGAATTTGTTATACCATTATTCATCATGTTACGCGTTTTGAACATTTAATCAAAGTGGGATATAATAATCCTAAGGTACTTGAACAGTTTCATAGTACCTTTTGAAAATCAAATGATTGACTACACCAAGCTTTGTTCCCTGTTTTACGAGGGAAAAATGAGAAAAAATAGGATCCACCTCAAGGCGATAATTAAATTTGGTTAAGAATGGCTTCAAATGTGCCAAATGTTCCGAGGTCGTTACTAAATAAAGTGGGAGGTCTCCATTTAATGGTATTGAAAAACGATAATATAGACAGGTAAAGTTAATTTTTTCGTAAATAAATTCGAAATGTTTTCTAATATTAAAATTTTTATGTCCAAACCAATGAAATGATTTTTCTGGTATGATATATGGTTCAAGTGTGTCAGATGTCCGTTTATTTATATCGAATATATCATAAAATACATTTCCAAATTGATTGTCGTATATTCTTTTTCTCCAATTATGTAACACATTACCATTTGCTTTTTTAATGTGTGGAGAACAATCTAAGAATCCTATTTTAAATTTTCTATGAATATGAGAATATAATGGGGTATCGTAACAATCGGTTATCAGTATAGTAATATCCTTATCATTATCTGTTTTTAAATTTCGAAAATAAGTTGCTACTTTCTCTGGTGAGCTATTATGTATCCTACTGAAAAACACAATGCATATGATATGAAGTAGAAACCCTATATTTAACAATAGGAAATTTTTTTTTTTTTTTTTTTTTTTTTCCTCCATTCCGTCATTTGTATACACACGATCATCTTTTCCATTAGCAATATTCACATGTTGTGAATAACAAGGTTCCTGAATGTATATCCAGAACTTGTGAAGACTAACACCAGTAAATATAGTAATAAAAGGGATGTATCCTATTAGTAGTTTATGTTCTTTGTGTACACTAAATGATAAAGATAGAACTTCTAAAAGTGTTGCAAGGTATACAATATGATCTATTCTACTGAGAAAGACATGAAGAACTGAAGTTCTTTTTCTAGTGATGTTTTTGACAAAATCGATAAAACTGTAATATGTGAATGGTGTGAAGGCTAGATATATGGATGGTATTACACATGAAAAATAAAAATGGATGGGATTTTCTCCAAAATAATTATTTTCTCCACTTAAAAAATTATATAAAAAAAAATTCAAAAATGATATAGTTATTTTGTTATAATAATATGAATCTATCCCAATACTAATTAATAAAAAAATTATAGTATACAAAATCCCAATTATAAACACTTCTTCAAATGATAATATCACATTATTATTCTTAATCCTGCTTTGTAACAAGTAAAGGATATATATACATATCCAAAATAGAGCAGCGTTAGGTCTGATTAATACACAAAATGAACTACATAACAAACTTAGTAACAAATTCTGCATATGAACAATTTTCAATTTGGATAATTTTTCTGTATTATTGTATGGGTCCATCTTGAAATCATCACACGATAATTTTGAAATACCTTCCTTCATTACAACCTGCGGAGAATCTCTTATATTTCCTACTGACACAAAATGGGAATATAACAAAGCTTCATTATTGTCTGTGCTATTCCTAGTTTTCTGTTCCTCTTTATTATTCCTCTTATGACACTCTTGTGCTAACTGTTTTCTGTAAATTACACAGCTTTGGACAAAATCTGAATCTCCTTTCCTTAGATTATTACCATCAATAAGGTTCTCATTCGAATTGTTATTTATTCTTTTTCCCTTAACAATAATTTGGGGACGATAGTTGTTAGATATAAAGTATACCCCCCATATGTTGAGAATATACTCAAATGAATGAGAAGAGGTTCTACAAATTGTGTAGAAGTGGAACCAACAAATGAAATAGCAAATTAGTATTGTGTAGATAACAGAGGAGCATTCTTCACCCTGCTTTTCAATAATGTTTTTATCACTTTTTCCATTTTTCTCATTATCACTTTTATTACCTGCAATTCCGTTTTTGTGTAACTCAGAATACCAAAGAATAACCAACTTGACAATTCCATAATCACCCAGTGCTGCACATAGGCCCTGAAAAATTCTGGGAGCATATAACACTGCATTGGGTGTATCTAATTTCGTGATTTTTAAAAAATAAAATAATATGGCATAAATAATAGGGTGCATAACAGATCGCAATGATATACAAGGTTCCCATTCCCATGGTTTATGACCATAACCAAATACCCAATAATGAGAAATTTCGATAGATTGAGCATACTCATCTGGAAAAAATGATGTTTGAACTAGTAAACAATTAAATAACCTGAAAAGAGTTAAGTACAACATACATCTCTTTGAATTTATACACTTCTTTACCATATCATTTCCATATTTAAGAAAGTTATCATATATCATTTTTACCTTTTTTAATGAAACACTCCTCCACTATACACAGAAAAAAAAAAAAAAAAAAAAGAGTTATATTTTCTCTAATTTCTTTTTTTCTATATACATGTGGAGTGTGTACATATACAAATGTAAGTCGCTAATTTTTTGAAGCCCCTCCTCTTTGTGAAAATTGTCTCCACTTCAGGGAACATATTTTTACATTCGTTTTTGTCTGTGTTCATTTAATTTGCAATATATTCTTCAAATGAGCTTAAAGCCATAGTCTGGTACATTACATAATACTCCTTTTCAATGACGTCAAAAAAACTTTCTCTCAACAGTGGAATAAATAAAAAAAAAAAAAAAAAAAAAAAAAAAAAAAAAGCCTTAAATGTACACATATATATATTCACACTTTTGTGTGTAAAAGAAAGAACCCAGTTTTTATTCGATCATGTATTCCCATAGGTGTTATTACTTTTGCATGGTTCTTCAATTCCCAGAGTGGGAGTAACTCATATTCTACTACTTTTTTTTTAATTGTGGATTTTTCACTCTATTGTACATTTTAAAATGTTCACTAAGTAGATTTCTTGAAGAGAGGTCTTTATTTTTCCTATTTTCACTTGGTGACATAACAAAAAAAAAAAAAAAGAAAAAAAAAAAAAGGTGGAGTCTTATATCTTCACTTCACCGTTCCTCTTACACAATTTATACTGTTTTATGTTTTATTTTGCACTATTTGTTCTATTTGGAAAATTACACTTATTAATTCTTTTTCTTTTTTTTTTTTTTTTTTTGCCTTTGTAAAACATAATGATATATACATATCACTATACGGTACTTTTTTTTTTTTTTAGTTGAAAAAAGGGTGTATACTCATCTAGTAAATATGGAAAAATAATTCATGTGGATACCTCGCCCAATGCACAAATGGTACTTAAATTATGTGTGTACACTCTTGTTCTTATTACACAGCAAATCTTAAATAGTATCATTAAACGTTTTTGAGAAAAAGATTTTTTTTTTTTTTTTTTTTTTATCCCTTCTTTAGCGTTACAATAAAATAAAAAAAAAAAAGGCAAAACAGGAAAAAAACAAAATAACGCAATTTTGAAATTGAACACACGGATAAATGCTGTAGTGCTATATTCAGATAAAATGTGGGGACACTGAGGTTCACACAAACGTCTGTAAAAAAAAAAAAAAAAAAAAAAAGAACGTGATAAATGGTGATTTGGGAAAAGTTGGTTAGTAATTCACGCCTATACATGCATTTATTAGAATATATATAGGGACTTTTAAAAACTGAATAAAATAAAAATATTCAACGTCAAGTACCAAGAAGTAAAATAAAAATAAAGGAATAAAATAATAAAATTAAATATACACAAATGAGTTTATTAAAAATATGCCTTCTCTCCATATTTTACTATAATCTCTATAGCACAAAACATATATTAGGTAAACAGGAAGATTCGCATATCTTCTTATTCAGAAAAAATGATTAGGACAGAACGCAACTTGAATTTTAGGTGTATCCATTGGTTAGACCAAATAAAACAGGCTATGTTCACTTGCATTAGTACAGATCTATAAATTAATGATACTGTGTAAATGCACAACAATAAACAAATTGATAATACAGAGAATCGTTAATACGCACCAGAATAAGGAATTTTTTTTTTTTTTTTTTTTTTTTTTCTTCTCCCTCTCAAGATTGCGTAAACATATTTGTATCAAATGGATACAAGCTGGTCTCATCCGTTTGACAAAAATAATAAACTGATGTAAGGAAGGAGAATTAGGGACGAGAATTGTTAGCTAGAAAAATAGGATAGAGGGATATTATATATACCCCCAATTTTATTTCTACAAAACAAGAAGAGCAAAAGTTTTATCCTTCCTTTCCATTCATATTCTTGTACTTATCACTAAAGTAGTCATATTTTTGATAAGACAATGGTTCATTTAATAAATTGTCTAACATATTATTCATCCCATCAACGAATTTACTACCCGTTTTTTGCGTTTTAGGAATTGCAACTCGTCCAAAATCTTTTGGCAATTTTTTATGCTTTTCTAACGTGGTCCCATCTAATGCTGAATTAATTTTGTCTAATAAATTACTTCCCGTTTTTAATGTTGGTCGTTCTTTTCTTGAATAAAAAGGATCTGGATTATAAAATGGATATAAATCATATAAGTTAGTTTTATTATTCTTCGATATGCGTTTGTACGATGATGCTAACATATCTATTACTAAATTTACAGCATCATCTAAATATGTCCCTACGGTTAGGGTAATTTTTTTGAACAAATCAAATTTTCTTTGTTTTCGAGTATGAATAGCCCGTGATAATTTAGGCCCTTGGATTATGTATTCATATTGGGGTCCAGATAAATCATTTACATTTGAATTGCAGCCTGTTAATGAACAATTTATTCCTTTTTTTAAAAAACAACATTCATCTTCATCTTTCTCTAAGTAATATAAAAGTGGTGGATTATTTTTAAAATTCTCGCTATCTGCATAGGGATATTCATTTACGTAACCTGAAAAAGTTTGCGGGCTACATAAAGAATTGCTATCTTTCTTACTCTCAAAAGGAATATATGCGGTCCTTCCACATAATCGAGGGGTTCTACTAGTATAGCTATTATAATTGTGTGGATTTGTGCTGGAAATATTTTGGCTCATGTTAGAATATCTTGAATAGATGGGAGATAATGTGTTTTTTGCGCAATATAACTGTCTATTTGTCCCTGAATAACTATCATGCACTGGTAAATTATTTTCATTATCATAGGTGTGCTTCAAGGTATTCCCCATATCTAAATATTCATAATTTTCTAAATTTGTGGGAAAGGTAGAATCCCGATTAGTGGTCTTATCGGAGCTGGGGATATTTCCATAATTGAGATTTCCTCCATAATTGCCACTTCCTCCATAATTGAGGCTTCCTCCATAATTGCCACTTCCTCCATAATTGCCACTTCCTCCATAATTGCCACTTCCTCCATAATTGCCACTTCCTCCATAATTGCCACTTCCTCCATAATTGCCACTTTCTCCATAAATATCATCATTACAATGACTACTTGTATCCATTTTTGCATGAAGCACGCTTGGGATGTGTTGCATATACGTGTTTTTATTACAAGTGTAAGAAAAATGATCTCTGGTTGGTTTATTCAAAAAAGAATAGTCGCAACTGCTGTAATGATTGCTTTTTGCATTTGTTACGTCACCTACATTTGCATTAGTTTCATAAGGTTTCTCTTCTTGAAAAGATAACATACCTGGAATGTCATATCCGATATCATGGGATACTTGCTGTTGTAGATCATTGTTAATTGCACTAACAACCTTTTCTTCCTTGTTTGAAATAATTTCCTTTTCTGAAACGGATACACCTTTTAACGATTTTTTCTTGGCTGCTTTGGCAGCAGAACTACTTTTTGAACTGCTTAATTTATTCATTTATGTAGAGTTCACAATATGTTTTCATTCATTTATCTGCTTTTCATCTGGGTTTTGATTTCTTCTGTTCAAGGGTGTACCGAACACACAAGGTATTATGGCATAAATAAAGAAACACTTTAGTATGGTTAAAAGTATAAATAAAATTTTGTAGTATATAAAAACAAAAATGAGGAAAAGGAAAGCGAACAGTCCTACGGAAAGAGTAATAGACTGGTTACTACAGTTTAGTATACGATGTTACAAATGTTTTGCATAACTACATGGGTATGTACATGATCATATATATATATATATACACTCTTCTAAAAAAATCATAAGAGTGGACTATATAGTCCTCATTTTAAAAATAAGGCAAATCTTGTAGAACGACGTTTATGTAAGTTGTCTACGTAAACACATGATTCTTTTTTTTTTTTTTTTTTTTGTCCATTCCGCAAATTAATATGTTTCATTTTAGTCAATTTGTTAGATAAAATATATATATATATATATATATATATAATATATACTTATATACATATAAATAAATATGCACATACACATGTGTGCACACTAATTACAACACAAGCATGAACAGTTCATATTTTTTTTTTTTTTAAGGAAAAGTCTATAACATTTTTTTAATTATTGTGTATAAAGGATTTATTTATACAGCTAAAAGGGTAATAAAAAAAAAATATATATATACTAAAATGTGAACATACATGTGTGTGTTTAGCTAAATTATCAGTTATTCTTACAGCTGTTTTATTTATTTTACATTTTCTATTATTGTTCATGCGCCTTGGAAAATTTACAACCTATGTATAGTGCCCTGTGTGTGGTGGGGGAAGGGGGGCAAATGACCACGTTAAATTAAATATGTTTTAAAATACACACTTAGTTTTTTCACAAGACCAACTTTCATGTTTATATACTTTTCTTATTCTCCATTTTTTTTTCTAAATAAATATAGACAAAACTACAACACCAGTTTACTTAAAGAAATGAGGAAAATACAAGTTCAAAAGGCGTATGTTAACAAATTAGTGACATTTAACTATTTTTTCATAAGCAATTTTTCAAAATTTTTTGATTAAACATAAGTACTTATATTGTTTTTCTTATGAAAAAATTTTTCTTAAATGAGCATTTGGTTGTTAGGTAAAATCAAATTTATATTTCAAATGATCTCCTTCTTCTAATGGTTTTTTTTACGCTTCATTAAAATGGGAGTTACGAATAACTATCGAAATTTTTTTTTTTTTTTTTTTTTTTTTTTCATACACAAAATATAAAAATAACAAAAAACTTTCTTGTTGCATTTGCTAACGCAGAGCTATAAAATAATAATCGTGGAATTATTAGTTCTATATTTGAAAAATAATATATAAGTTGGATTATATCCATGTTAAATTACTACCTTTTACTACAACGGAGATATAGGAAATCAATTGGTGCGAAATATAATAAAGCACATTTAGCAAAGCATTATTCAGTTTATTTCTACATCGATTAGCTATAATTTGTTTAGTATTGTGAACTAGTATTTATATACATATATGCATATACGTGGGTTTAATTATAATATATTCCTTTTTTTTTTGTTTTTTCTTTTTCTACTATACAAGACTTAAATACGTGCATTTACTTTCTTATAAAAAAATATTTTTTTCACGTGAATTATAAAGTTAGAGTTGTCAAAAAGTTGCATAGGGGTATGAAAATTATAGTTTTTATGCATTGAAAAAAAAAAAAAAAAAGAAGGGTATAATATATATAGATATACATATATAGGCTAATATTCGTGTACACATAACATGTGTATATATAAATATTTACAAGCATATACACAATTACATATATATACATCACAGAAAAATAGAATGTTTTATTTACAATTTTATTCATAAACTGACTAATAATTAGATCATTTCTTGTAAGCTCTAGATTTTCTTCTTCCTCGTGCTTTTTCAAATTTCCTTCCCTTGGAACGAACATATGGTCTGGCCTTTGACTTGGGTCTACCTGGTGCTTTGCCAAAATGTTTTTCAGCTCTTCTTGCTTTAGTAGGACCTCTTAAAAGTATACACTTCTGTCCGGTTGGATATTTCAAAGCTAATTGATCAAAGGTTAAACATTCTCCTCCTGCATCCAAAATTCGTTTTCTAGCTGATTCTGTAAATCTGAGTGCACATACTTTTAATTTTTTGCAATCAAATAATCTCTTATCATCTGAATATGGACAGAAAAAAAAAAAAAAAAAAAAAATATTAAATTGGGAACAAACACAATATAAGATATTATATGTGCACATACTCATCGGAAAGTATGGGCATAAATTGGTTGAATTCTTTCCATTTTGTTTGAAAGAAATATGTAATTCACACATGTATGTACATAAATTGAATCTCAGTTTTGACTTCATCATGGAACGAAGACATATCAAAAAAAAAAAAAAAATACTAATACACCTCCATCTCCATGACAATCAATAATCAGTCATTGGCGAAACAAAAGCAGAACTCATTTGAATTTCCACAAATATTTATGGTCAGAACGTTCTACCATCTCCATTAATAATGTCAGAAGACCGTCGTGATTCGTAGAAACTTATTCATCATATATATTCAACCAAGTAAGCATGCACAAAATGTGTACATATATGTATACATACATATATATATGCGCATTGAATATGCAGAAGAGCATTTATGCTGCAGAACATTAATAAGGGAAAAATTGCAGAGGGGAATTTTTTCATTGCAAATTTTCATTACCTGTTATTGATCCAACAACAACTGCTACACTGTCTTGATAATTTGCCATGTGACGATGCAATTTGGAAAGCGACAAGGGGGGCCTAAAGCGCTTTGGCATAATAAGTCTTTTGGCAATTATTTTATTAAAATTCGCATTTGTCCTTTTGGCAAGAAATCGATATAACTTGACGAGTAGCCTCAGATAAGGATTTTTTGAAACTAGGTTTTTTCTTCCATGTTTTTTTATTCTACCAACATTTTTTAGTGCGATAGCCTGGCAAAAAAAAAAAAAAAAAAAAAAAAGGCGGTAATTTCAATGAGGTGTGAAGAATATTTGGTATTGTGAAAGAGAGATGGATGGGCTGACCACATAGATGAGTATAACAATTATTGAGGGTATGGCATGTATATATATATATATATATATACATAAATACATTGTCGATATCTATAAAAAACGCTCGTATATTTGCATATATATAAATGTGTTCCTCTCATTTCAATTCAAGCCATTGCAACATCCATGTGAAAATATGGATGGCCCCCCACTGTGAAACTCGAAATGGATGAGGTTAAATATAACAATGCCTTTAATTCACATTCTGTATACACATGTATATATATATATTTCTTCTAATACAGAAATTTGCGGAAAGGGCGAAATTTTCTTACCATATTTTTTAAGTCAGCGTTTGTTTATAAATAAGATATATATATAACTGGTGGAAGCAAAGGTTTATCAAAAAAAAAAAAAAAAAAAAACACTACGTTACAGGTGTTATACAAGTATGATCTTGTAAAAAATATAAAATGTTTTATGTATTAACTTCAAGAATTAAAAAAAAAGTATACTTTTTTTAAATATATATAAAAAAGCTCGAACGGAAATAAAAACTGAAGTGTTAAACATAAAGCTAAAATGAAATGTTTTTATTTTCAAACACAAATTTAAATCATTAGTTCGTAAAATATCCCTTCATTTTATCACATATATTAAAATAGTTATACAAGTATGTAATACATTTATTTGTCACATTTTTGTTACATTATTTTGTTACATTATTTTGTTACATTATTTTGTCACATTTTTTTTTATTTCGTTTAAAATTAAAAATGCGCGAAAACGGTGTATATATATTTATTGGTATATGCCGACTTAATGATTGGGATCCCCTCTTCTGCTATTTTTTTTTTTGCCATAAAAAAATGTATGTAAAAAGAAGAGGAAATTCTTTTAAGCTTATTTGCAATATGGCTAGATAAATGTTTTCAATTTGTGCTTATAATATATTTACTGTGAAAATTGGCCCTCTGATAATTTTTAGTGTCGTTCAGCAGCATAACATTTTTTTTTTTTCCTCCTTTTTTTTTGGGCTTGCGTGAAGGAAGTTCGCAATATGTGCTCTATTATTTGCGTATGTAATGTAAATACATTATTTTACTCAAATTAATAATACTATTGTTGTACTACACCGAGAAATGGGTTGCTACAGCAAGGCAATATACATATGGTATATAATATGTATGTAATATGTATGTAGAATGTATGTAATATGTATGTAGCATGTATGTAATATGTATGTAGCATGTATGTAATATGTATGTAATATATATACATACAAGGGATGAGGGGCATAGCACCAAGCATATGTAGCAACCCCTTTTGCAATATGACACTTTTTATCTTCACAGAAAAAAAAAAAAATGTTAACTAATTGGTACAACATTAAGGATGTATGTATATGCCTACAACATGCTAAGTGTAATATATGTAGTATATAATTAGAATATTATGTAATGTCGATTCTCCAACACTCACACCATATTATGATGAATAATATATATTTTTATTTGAAATTGACTAAAATTAGTTTCAACCCTATGCAAACAAATGATTAAATGAGCCTTAGTTCAATCTTTGAATGAAGCCCGACTCCTGGGGTGTATACATATACACACAAAACATATATAATGAAGAGATATATATAAATACGCTTGCATATTGTGCAAGAAGAGGTGTCGGGTAACAGAATGTGCAATTTTTTAAAGCACGGGGTGGATGGGGCAAAACCATATGGAATACACATATATATATATACATAATATATATACGCTATTGTAATATTATATGAATATATTATTTGTATAAAAAAAAAAAAAAAAAAAAATGCTCTCGTCGTATACCAATACTTGCATGCAACGTGTGTTTAGTGCCAAAAGTTAACGACGCAGTGTTCCCTGTGATAATATTTTTTTTTTTTTTTGCGAACATTTTTACAAGTTTCCGAATGTATACATACAATAACACGGAACATACCGGTATATTTTACCATATTTTCGCTATATCTTACCTGTAGCAAGAAAATTCGGTTTCTTTTTCTAAATTGTTTTTACCGCAGATAGCTTTAGTACGATCAAGCATTTTTTGGCACATATATTTTTTCAATAAGATAGAAAAAAAATGCGCCTGTTGGATTTTTCATTGTTGCAAAAATAGAATTCGCAAAAAAAATGAATGATTTCCCAAGTACTAAGATGGGAGAAAGTTTGACAGGCGAGTAAATAACAAAAAAAAAAAAAAAAAAACGGCCTAAGGATAAAAGAAAAAAAAAATATATATATATATTAAATAAAGATATATATTATATAAAGATATATATTATATAAAGATATATATTATATAAAGATATATATTATATAAAGATATTATATAAACATATCTGAAGTAGCTAGGGGCTGGAAGGGATATTTAAAATATAAAAAATAAATTATATAAAATTATACATAACTTACTAGGCTAATTTAAAATTGCTCCTTTTTGCCATAAAAACATACAAGTGTAAGTTTAAAAATTATGTTTTTCCTTTTTTTTTTTTATTTTATTTTTCCCCTGATATGATTTGTATATAAATGAAATACCATGGTTTTATTTTAGCATATGTGCAAAATAAACAATTTTATAATTGAACCTCTTTGAGCGATTGACGCATGTTGTATATTTCTTTCACCATTTATCCATTTCACAATTTTTAACGAAACGTAACTAGTGTAAAAAAAAAAAAAAAAAAAAAAAAAAAAAAAAAAAAAAAAAAAAAAAAAAAAAAAAAAAAAAAAAAAAAAAAAAAAAAAACAATAAAACAATAAAAAAAAAAAACAAAAAAAAAAAAAAAAAAAAAAACAATAAAACAATAAAACAATAAAACAATAAAACAATAAAACAATAAAACAATAAAACAATAAAACAATAAAACAATAAAACCAAACAGAACAAAACGAAAGAAGTTGCATACATCTCTTTGTTATGCATATTGTATACATGGAACGTATTTAATCTGTACCCCCAATTTTTATTCAGCATAAGATATCCCGCTTTACAGTCTACATTCCAAGACCAAAAAAATTGCGTTTCATTTATATAGCATAATTTTAATTAGCATTAAAAATGGGAAAGGCTATAGATAATTCGCTAAAAACGAATGTAAGTTCCATTAAGAAATGTGTACAAATTGTTTGTATATGTTTTTTTTTGCTGCATGTTAGGAAGGGAGAGAGAATTGTATTCTATATGCATGAATTACAATATTGCATTCATTGTTGACAGGCGCACATCTCGCACCCATCCCCAGTGTTATAGTCTACATGTCTCAAACCATAACTGCATTCTACGATGTATTTGGGATGTGATTTCATCAACCATTTTTCCTTCGAATTTATTATCCATTTTCCGTGCGAATTATTATTAGTATAAATTATAGGGTAACTGTGTGAGCCGTCAATTAGCACGGGGAGAAAGGACACACCATACTCTCTGCAGAAAAAAGTTTCACATTACTTACACGTGTATATATCTGCTTTGTGTTCATGTGCATACATATAATATTTATGATGTTCTCGGATTTTACAGATTCACCAATATCATATTGTTGGAAGAGCAATTCCATCAGAAAAGGATAAAAACCCGAATGTGTACCGAATGTGCATATTTGCAAAGAACGATACGAATGCAAAATCGCGATTTTGGTATTTTATGAAAAAAATAAATAAATTAAAAAAGTCAAATGGAGAATTATTAGCATGTGAAGAAATACGAGAAAGATTTCCACTTAAAGTAAAAAATTATGGTGTGCTACTAAGATATGATAGTCGAACAGGTACGCACAATATGTACAAAGAATATAGAGACACAACAAAAGAAGGAGCGATTGCACAATTATATTCAGAAATGGCAGGAAGGCACAGAGCAAGAGCATCATCAATTAGTATCATTAGAATTTCAGAAATAAGTTCTCAATTTGTAAGAAGACCACATATTAAACAGCTGCTGAAGAGAAGGCTAAGATTTCCTGCATTACATTTACCTACGTTAAGGAAGGAGTACAGAAGAAAATACGCAGCTAAAAGACCATCAACTTATAGATTGTAACGAAACAATTAAGAAACAGTGCAAAGAAGAGGAGAAAAAAATGCAAAGCAAACAATAAAAAAAAAAAAAAATATATATATTGTCTAAATGGGAAAGGCTGTGCTCCTCTACGCATCACATATATATACCGCACAATTTTTTGTTTCACCATGGCATATTACATTGTATATTATACATTACGTTGTTGTAAATAATTGGAAAGCATGCTATGGGAAAAAGGATACAATATACATACCGACTATAAATGTGAAGGAAATGTTTGTTTTCATAATTTTTTTCTGCAAACTTGTGTGTTGTATACATATATGTATATGTTCATATATATGTATATATATATATATATATAATCCCCTTCATTTTTTAACCCTAAAATTTTTTCATTCTTTTTTTTTTTTTTTTTTTTTTTTCAATTAAATTGAAGAAACATATATGTATTATCTCTTAAGTTTTTTAAAAAAAAAAAAAAATTGGATAACGTGTGCAGTTGGCTTTTATGATCATACCAAAAAATAAGAAAAATGAAAAGTGTAATACCCAATTGGTAGTATTATAGCTTTTTTGTAGACAAAAAAACAAAATTTTTAAAAATTGTTCTTTATGGGTCAGTACATTTTAACTCTTTTCTACTTTTGTGTTATGAAAAGGTGTGCACAGTTTAAAGTTGTAATAAAAAGCAGTTTTAATTTTTTGTTTGAAATTTTACCAAAAAAAAAAAAAAAAACTTCCATGTTATATACTCTCTATATATATCCTATACTTTCTAAACGAATTTGTTACGAAAATTTAAGGAGAGGTTATATATAATGTGAAAAAAAAAAAAAAAACAAAAAAAAGGGGTTGCACAGAAAATAACTTCACCCCCCACACGTACACATACACACATATACACGTGTTTATTAACAAATTTTTCTTCTTTTTCAATTAAAAAATTTCGTACTAAGTGAGAAAAATAAAAATTTTCCATTTAGATGGATATATATATATTTGCCCTACACTTGGATTATTACCTCACTTCCTCTTCCCTTGACGTAGCAGCTGTGTACATATAACATAAATAAGCATAAGTTATATATCCACGTGTTTGAATTTTTTTTCTTTCATTATAATTTTAAATGTTTGCCATGCTTAGGTACATTTTATAGAATTATTTATCACTTCGCAAAAAAAAAAAAAAAAAAAGTAGCCAGGATGGAAAAATTAAAAAAAAAAAACGTTTTTTACGTTTTTTTTTTTTTTTTTTTTTCTTCTTATTTTTTGTTATCACCGGAAGGCATATTAAGGCTTTCCTCATAAACCCCTTTTATACCATTTTTATTTTTAATTTTTTTTTTTTTCAGTAACCAAAAAGCCCTTTTTTTAGCATGTAAGTATATTGGCAGTTATATATAATATATGGCTCTCTTAGGAGATGCCGTTTGTTAAAATTGGAACGATACAGAGAAGATTAGCATGGCCCCTGCGCAAGGATGACACATGACGTTCGAGAAGGAATGTAATTTTTTTTTTTCTTTTTTATCTTCCCGCCTCATTAACTTCCCATACGTCAACTAAATATATATATTGTTTTTATTTTCGCAACCCAATGGATATAAAACAAAAAGTGTAAACATGCCTTATGATATATATATGCTTGTGCGAAAAGTTTTTTTTTCCATTTTTAATATTTTTATTTTTTTTTTTTAAATTTATTTCACTGCACTAGCGCACGGGATAAAAGAAAGAAAAATGTTTATAATAATTCATCCATTATGAACACAAAAATTATTAAACTTTATCTTATCGTTATCATATGGAAAAAACGATAAACAAAAGCATTGCACGTTTGCATGTTTAAATAAAATCGGTGAATATACATGAAGAAGGGAAAAAACTTACTGATTCTGTCTTGATCTCATATATGAAAAAAAAATGATTTATGGTTCATTCAGCCGTCCAATGTATATACTTTGCAATTGCAGTATGTGTGATAACCAAAAATGTTACCCCCTACCATCCTTTATTTTAAGGTAATCGCTTTGTTATGCAATAATAAGAATAAATTAGGGTATAATAAATACTGCAAGAAAAATTATACCCTTAAAATACACATAAGCACATTTCTCACAGTCCTAATTAGGAATCCTAAAACTCTTTAAGTGTATTGTCAAGAAAACACTTGTATAAACGTGGAGTACATTTATAACAATCATTCAACTTAACCATAAATTGACGTCTCATGTTGTAACTTCTCATATACGAAGCCAAAAAAAAAAAAAAAAAAAAAAAAATGCATTACCAATTTGCTGATCATATAATAATCATTCGAAAAAGGAAGTCTTTTTAAACAACTGTCTCAAACATTTAGTCTCTCACATAATTGCAAACGTTTTATGTAGCTAGCAAAAGTGAAAAAAAAATATTTTTTTAAATAAAAAATAAAGAAATCACAAACTTTAGAAAAATATTTCTTTTTCCATAGCTTATAATAAAACTACGTATACATGACCTTAACGATTTCCAAAAAAAAAAAAGAAGGTCATTATTGGATTCTATTTTGTTTTGGCAGCACAACACATTTATAGATATTAGATGATCCTGTAATGTCATATTTCATGTGACAATTTTTTTTTTTTTTTTTTTTCCTAAAGTGTCTATTTGTAACGAAATTATTTTTGCATACATAAATGTACAATTTATTACATCACGTTTCTTTATTTCTCTATTAAATCGAGATGAGAAAAAAATCCTAGATTTTTCCACTTTAGTAAAAAAAAAAAAACTATTCTTCATTATGAACTTGCTTTATTTTAATAATTATGCTTCACGTAAAAATGCTTGATCGACAATACTTAAGTTAATATGAAGAATTGAATATAGTTTTCATAAAAAATAAATAGAATCAGAAAATAAGAAAAATAAATAAATAAAAAAATGTAGGAAGGAATATATTTTATAAAAATTATTATATTACTCTTTCCCATTGAAAAAGTAAAAGAAAATTTAAATTTATTTTTTCTTACATTTTTTAAATACCCCCGGCGGGATTCGAACCCGCAACCTTTGGATTAGAAGTCCAACGCGCTATCCAATTGCGCCACGAAGGCTTCAAAATATAAAAGGAAATCATAAAGTATATTATTTCCATATAATCTCATATATTTTAAAAATTGCTTTCTTTTTTATATAAATCCATACAATAGTTCCCTACAGATTAGCTTCTACATGTACATTACATTATAAAAAAATTATCTTAAAACATTTGAATCATTACTTATCTCCCATATTGGATGTATATAATGATTTTTTTTTTTTTTTTTTGTGTAAAATTCGATTTTACAGAACCTTAATGCAATGTAAAAATTTGAAAATGCGAGTTCTGTATAAATGCGCATTCATGAATTGTGCTTCTTTTCCCGTTATACATGTTCGGGTAAAAAATTTGTCCATATGACATTATGAATGGGAGGAGCTCCATATATTCTGGTGATTTTCGTTCAAATGCAAAAAAAAAAAAAAAAAAAAAGTCAAAAATTCAATAAAAGGGAAGATGTGTATAATTTTATAACGGTATGAACCAATTTGTAGGAAATGCTAATTTTATTTTTCATGTGAGAAACCAAAAAATTATTTTTCTCTTAAAAATGCGAAACTGTACACTTGTTTATTTATTTTCCTTTTTTTTTTTAACCTTTTTTCCCTTAAGATAGAGGATTCTTCTACATAATTAGTTTTGTGCAACCCTTTAATGTTTCATCAAAAAAGACAAAAAGGAATTTAAGTTTACGATAAA